CTGATTTAAGACTATATTAGCTTTCTAGAGAATATTTTAGATAATATTAAGCTATTATATAATTATAAGGATTAGAAACCCTGTTAAAAAGTAATAGATCAATAGAGAATAGAGTTATATATAATCTTCTACTCTTCCTGATTGATAATTCAATGGTGGCGTGCTGTTTGGTGTAGCTGGCGCGGTTTTTAGATATTAACTTATTATATCTTTAAGAATATAACTAGAGACTATTATATATCTTTATATTTAATTAAAATACTTAATTTCTTAGTAGTTTCTAGTCTAGGATATTTAAGAAGCTAAATATATAATAGTACTATTTTACTATATATTATCTGTAGATAAATAGATAAATAGAGAAAATAAATTCAACTATTAAAATAATACTCTAATATATATATATATATATAAGATTATTATATCTACTAGATATAGTTTCTATCTTAGATTATTAGCTAGATTAATAGTTTATTTAGTTTAATTATAAAGATAAGTCTATATAGTCTTATATATAGTATATCTCTAGATAATCTCTAGATATAGACTAGATACTTATAGAATAATATTTTAAATTCTAATTAGCTACTAAAGAAGTATATAAGTTTATAGTTATTTAAATAAAATATATCTATAATAAGAATTATTATTCTATAGAATTTAATATTAGAGGTAATATTTATCTTAGATTTTATAAGAGATATATTCTTCTAATAAATAAAAATAAGCTAAATATAATTGAGGATAAGCTTAACTTCTAATATATGATATATTATATATCTTAGAAAAAGTTAAAAACTAGTATATTATATTAAAATTCTATTAAATTAGTAAATTTATTCTATTATTTTAGTAGCTTAGCTAGAGCTAATATCTAAAATTAAAGATTTTTATAATTATTAATACTCTATACTATCTTCTATATAAAATTATAAGTAATAGAAAAATAGTAAAGATAATAGTAGATATAAGATTAATTATATTCTTATAAGTAGATTAGTATAGAAAAGACTAAGATAAGATAATATAAGAATAATTAAGTATCTACTCTATCTTACTAGATATAGTCCTAAGAGAGATAAATAAGTTAATAAAGTAGATATTGATATAGTAGATTTAATATAGGATTTTAAGTAAACTATCTAATCTATCTAATAATTATTTACTGGTACTATAAGTATATTATTTAATTATCTAGTAAGTATTTACTAGAACTATACTTATACTTCTCTATCTACTAAGTAATACTATTTTTTTCTAATATATCTTCTTTTTATCTATTCTCTTATTCTTCTTACTCTTAACTACTATTTAGATATTCTCTTTTTAAATACTTTATATTTCTATTCTATTCTTTATAAATATTTACTTATTTTTCTTTCTTAATATATTATTATATGCTCTAAATACTATAAATCTTATTTATTAGATATTATTATATTTAACTTTTTTTATTTTTAAAATATTATCTTAAGAATATACTACTAGTATTATAAAAATAGTATTCTCTAACTAACTAGAAGATTATCTATATTAGAATATAAATACTCAATAACTATAATCTAATTATATTTATATTAAGAAAAAGAATAATAAGACTAAGTAGATAGAATATAACTAAATTATATAGATATAAAGATTCTTATTTAATTAAAAACTAAGATTCTATTATCTTAGATAAGCTACTATATAATATATATTTATTTAACTAGTTTATTTATCTTATATTTGAGCATCTACTAGTAATTAAATAAATAAAATATAATACTAACTTTATTTATATAAATCTACTTTATATAGATAAAATTCTTATTAATAAAATTATTTTAATTTATATCTATAGTCCCTAATAGTATTCAATTATATAAGAGAGATATATTCTCTATAGAAATACTACTTACTTCTAATAATCTTAGCTTTTAGTAGAACAATAAAAGATAAAAACTAATAGCTTATTTAAAAAATAATATATAGATAGAATATTATTTTATTTAGTCTAAGAATATCTATAAGATTACTAATAAGATATAAATACTTATTATTATAATATATTATAATATTATTAGTTATTTTAATTAAACTAAGCTAAACTAGATAAGTTAAAGTAAAATTAATATATAGTATTCTTATAATAATAATCTTATAATACTTTATACTTATAATAAAAATAATAAAAAAGCTATTTTTCTACTACTACTAAATTAGATTTTCTAAAATTATTAATTAGTATACTAAATATCTATATTTCTTAGAATAAGAGTAATTAACTACTTAGTTCTAGACTAGATATAGATTTAGATAATTAGAAAAATAATCCTATTCTATTAGTTCTAAAGCTATTTATTAACTATATTCTTTATCTTAATAAAATATCTAAAATATCTAGAATTCTAGTAATATCTTTATCTATCCAAATTAAGAAAATAATTAAGACTAGTATCTAGAAGATCTCTAAAATAATTATTTAAATACTTTATATATCTACTCTAGAGATACTATCTAATTCATTTATCTAAAAAATAGAAATTAGATTTAGTCTACTAAAACTAGATAATAGATCTACTCTTTTGTCTAAATAGATACTTCTATCTATATAGAAGATAGGGATTAGACTTAGACTACTAAAATTAAATAATAGATCTATTCTTTTATCTAAATAGATACTATAAAAGATTAGTATTAGACTTAGTCTACTAAAACAAACTACTAGTATGACTTATACTATAAAGAGAAAGATATTAGTACTCTTAATCTCTAGTTTTAGTAAATATTCTAGATTTATATAGAAGATAAATAAGATAATATTCTAGAAGAATATTAGATATTGGAATCTAGATAATATTACCTAAGATAGAGTTAATAATTTTAACTTCTTAAATAAATTTTTATCTAAATAATATATTACTCTAGTTCTTAGACTTTAATCTAACTATAACTATAATTATCTTTACTATTATATTAATTAAAACTAATTTAATATAGATATTATTAATCTAGTATTCAAAGCTAATATAAAGAATAAAATATAATAAAATACTATTTTTATAGAAAACTATTATACTTTTACTCTAAGTCCTATAGTAGCTATTACTATACTTAACTAGATAAATAGAATTATTTTAAGCTACTAAACTATATTTATAAAGTTTATACTTCTTATTGATTTTCTTAAAGATATTCTTAAGAATATTATAGATAAATAATAGAAGAATATAGATATATTTCTAAAGAAGTATATAACTATCTTACTTCTTTAATAGTATAAGAATCTAACTATACTAGATAATAATAGAGATACTACTAGCTTTTATCTTATTTCTAAGAGTAACTTTATTAAAAATATTTATTATAAGAATATCTTTACTAAAGATAATAATAATAATAATAATAATAATAATAATAACTTATATTATTCTAATAAACTTATATTGTAAATTATAATAAGAATATTATAAAATAATAAGAAGACTACTTATTAGATACAGACTCTTAATTAGATTAATATTTTTTCTTCTTCTATCTTATAATAAACCTTCCTTTCTTATTCTACTATTCTGTATTTAAGATCTCATGTAGTAGAAAGAATAATAGAATAACAACTTCGCATGGTCATAATGTCTTGACACCTCGGCGTCTAAAAGAGGGCTTCGGGCCCAGCGTATCAACTACAAAATCTTTATTATTTTATAACTATTTTAATAATTATAATACTATTAGTATAGAATTGATTTCTCTCTATTTAGAATATAATTAATTGAAAAAATCTTTTATTTATCTATATTTTTAGATTTAAAGTACTTTAATAAGATCTGAAGATAGTATATATACTATAATTAATAAGATCTAATTACTATATTATATATAAGATATAATAAAGTAGTTATAAAAGTATAATAGTAGTAATATATATTAATTATTCTATTTAGTATATTAAAAGTCTAATATAAAGAATATAGTATACTAGTAGATAAAATATAAAATTAATGTAATAAAATACTTAAAATATTAATTAATAAATAAGTAATATAAAAAGTTTAAGAGAATAAAAAGAAAAAAAGAAAATATTATAAGATTCTTTTATTTATATTTTCCTCTAGTAGATCTATTTATATAATTATAACTAAGTACTAGTAAACTTATATAGAAAAGATATATAATTCTATTAATATTATTTATTCTATAAGTTCTTTATCTTTTATTACTAGAGCTCTACTATTTCTAATTAGAATATATAAGATTATTTCTAATATTTAAATTAGATAGTTTATTCTTATAAAGAAGAATACTATTTATAATAGAATAATTATTATTAGAAGTAAGATTATTGAATAATATACTATAGTAATTATAAAAATTATAAGATTTTTAATAGTAAATCTATATCTTTCTAATATCTATAAGATACTAATATTTCTATAGAAGACTACTGATTTCTTAAGAATTAGTCTATTTTATAAATATAGACTATCTTTATTATTACTAGATGAATTCATGGTGTTTAGTGGTTGATTTCTTACCTAGTCGACAGGCTTTCTACCCTGACAAGTAGATCCTATCACATAATTAAATTAGTTATATATAAATAATATATTCTTTAAGAAGGAGATACTAAGAAAAAATACTTTAAATAGTATAAATATATTGATTTTTGGCTTTAAAATTATATATAGACTGGAATGCTTGGCATGTTGGGCCACCCGCTCACATGGGCCACTCGCTTACCAACTACATTACTTTGAAGTACTGTGGTTGACCCCGTTGATTTTGTTAGTATGGTGGACAGGTGCAGGGATTTGAATCCTATGGATTCTGCCGTTCATATGATTATTAATACTTTATAGGGCCATTCAGAGTTGATATTCAAAGCTTCGCATGGCAATTTGAGAAGGCGGTACGTGGTAGGAGGCACACCGCTTAAAGGATTCAAATCCCTGCACATCTCCACCGTACTCATAAAATCAACGGGGTCAACCACAGTACACACTCAATCCGACTTGTTCCCTCTCTCAATTTTTTCCTGGGCATCTTTTTAGTTGAGGTCTCTTGACAGAAGTGCTTTTTCATTGCTAATGCTTATCCCACATGTCATTTGATTCTTACCAGTCATCTTCCACTTAACTTCCCAACACCGCCCCTTTACGCCTTGTTTAGTGGTCCCTATCCAAGGCTGCTCTCTTTCCCTTCCGACTCAACGAACACTTTTCTGTACCTGTCTTTGTCTGGATGGATGAGTTTGGGATGAACTCAGTCGATCCAAATTTTGCCATCGACTTCGATGAATCTCTAGTTCCTGTCAGAGACATCAGGCAAGCCAGGCAAAGCAGTGTAGATTTTGATGGGCTACTAGAGACTCCTCTCCTTCTTCAGGAGGACCTTAAAAAGGGCTGCGGAGGCCAACTATGGCCAGCGGGCATGGTCCTTGCCAAATACTTATTAAATCAGCACCGCTCCAGCCTTGCCAACAATTCAATGTTTGTCGCCTCGTGGACTTTAACCCCTTTACCATTTCCCTCATTTTTGTCTCGTACATTCGGACGTAGGATCACTGATGCTTTGATAGTATCGAGTTGGGATCTGGCGGCGGCTTGGTTGGGCTGGCAATTGCGAGAGGTTGTCAAATTGGTCCCTCGCCTGTGATCATCACCGATCAAGCCCCGATGTTGCCTCTAATGGAAACAAACATCAAGCTCAACAAGCTCTCAGATCTTGTTACGGCCACCATCCTGAATTGGGGGGAGAATATCCCTGACTGCATCCCCCCAAAGCCTTCGATCATACTTGCAGCCGATTGCGTCTACTTTGAGCCAGCATTCCCCCTGCTTATATCAACCCTGAAAGATCTTCTTGGACCAGATTCAACATGTTATTTTTGCTTCAGGAAACGTAGACGTGCTGATCTCCGATTCATGAAAATGGCAAGAAAGCTGTTCATTATTGAAGAAGTCCAAGATGACCCTGATGCAGAGACATATCGGAGTGAGAATATCTTCCTTTACACCATACGCCGGAAATCTAGTTGGAATAGTATATCGAACTTGGCAGCGGTCTGAATTTGCGAAATGGTCTTGCTTGAATGAGAATTGTACCAAACGTACAGTGTCTAGTAAGTTACTCGAGTAAAGTACAAACCACTTTCTTGAAACAACACTACAATTTCAAGGAGTGGCTCCTATCCTTCGCGGCTTCTCCGAGTCTATTCCCTTGGATATCAGTAAATTCTCCTTGCTTTCCAATGACCTTGACCCCGCCCTTCTTGAGATCAGAAATGAGTTTCTGAGCCTCTGCCGCTTTCCCGGATTGTTGCTTGCTCGCTGTAGGACCGTGCTTTTGCTTTTTGCGCTCTCGCCTCAGTTTTGCCTTTTGTTCACGGGTCATCTCTTCCTTCGCAATTGACACTCCGTTTGTCAAATTCAACTCTCCAGATACTCTACCATCGTCACCAGGAGCATAAATCTCCTGTGGAGCAAGTGCCGCGAGCCCACTGACCCCGTTGATGGTTGCCGGTTGAGCATCTTCCATGGTGATAGTTGCCACATCAGTAACCACGCTGATACTGGCCTGTGGAGACTTCGGCTTGTAATGCCAATTAGAAAGTGTGTCCAACTGGGAGCTGATTTCTTCCCAGAGGCTAGTGACAGTAGTATGCTCGCGCATCAATTTTTGTTTCTTGGGGTCAACATAGCTGGGATCGCTCGATCGTAAGTGGTCAGCTTCGTAAAGTTCAGCGAGACTCTGTTGAGGCTTCGTATCCTCAAGCTCGACCTTCGATCGTTCTGTGCTCGTTTTGTCGATAACTCCAGGACGACGACGTATCACTTCATCAAACTGTTTTGCAAGGATTCGTTGCTTGACCAAGTCTTCAATACTACTCGTCAACTCTGCCGTGACAACAGGCACAGGCTTGCCTATCCGCTCAAAGTCTAGGTCTTCTTCAATGAGAGAATTAACAGGTCTCTCGATTGCTCGAGCTTCACCGCTAACCATCCACTCCTTCTTCGCAACATTGGCCTGCTCCAAGCGACGAATTTCATCGGCAATTCTGGCACGTTGCTTCTCGTGGCTAGAAAAGTGGATTCGCGATTCACGGGCATTATCAGGGACGTCGTCCTCGTCCTCGTCGTCCTCGATTTCGTCCTCGAATAAATCTCGGCGGACATCAGCCATTGCTCGATCGATGTCACCATCCGAAATGTCGTCCGTCAGTTGCATTTTCGGTAAAGAACGCGACTGCTTCTTCGAAGCTCTCCGAGGAGGTGGCGCAAAGAAATCGTCATACTTGATATCGCTGGTGTTCACCCAACTTGTCACTCCTGATGGAACGTATGGGCCCTCTTCGTCGGAATCTGGGCTTTCATGTATGTCCATGTTATCAAAAGTTGGTCCCTCATCTTCGCTGTCATCCATGCTGACGTTCCCGTCATCGGCACGCGCTGCTCTTGCTGAACTCTTCTTCCTATCCAATTCAAGACCTTCAAACCCAAATGGATTTGTATGCCAATCGATCTCTTCATCGTCGCTATTTGTATCTTCAGCGGGCTCGTCTCTGGCGTCTTGTCTTTCAAAATGTTCAGATTGCTTGTTGAATTCATCGATCGAGAAAAAGCCATCATTTAGGCCAAAAGCGTCCTCCAGATAAGTTCCTCCATTGCCTCCATCGTCTTCGATTTCGCTTGGGGTAGACTCCTCATCTGAGAGTCCATGATCACTCCCTTCGGTGTCCGAATGAGGGTTTGAATGCGGATGAGAATTCTTAGCCACAGGTTCATTATCGTCTGCACTCAAGCTCCCATCCTCGTTCTGCTGTTGGTCAACAGAATCACTAAGATCTGACGATACATTTTGAGGAGCAGAACCGTGAGAGCATGAAGGCGAAAGTCCCTGAGTGACGTGGCGTTGTGCAGGGGGCTCCAGATAGCGAGTATAATAATCACGCTCGATTTCTGTGGTGGTGGAATCAAAGATCCGAACGGCTTGTTGCCATACTTGATCGTAAGTAAAACCCTTTACGTACAATTGTCGTAATTGCAGCGCATGACTCTCAACGCTTTGGTTATCGTCGGTCCGTTTCCTTTTCCTATTTCTTCGCTGTCTGGCAGATTGCGAATCGCTGATTGAAAGTGCTAAAGAATCCAGATAGAAGGAAACTGAAGCTTGAACAGTATTACACAACTCCGCCGTGGGGTGGAGGAAAGTCCAAGGTTCACCAAGAGCCAAATCTGAAGGCAGGGCAGCCATATCGCAAAAGGTCGACTTATCACCAGCTGATTTAGTTGACTGAGCCACAGTGAGTACCATGATGCAGCATAAGCATTACTGATGTCCAAAGCTCGGCCTTCAGAATATGAAAATAGCCAGAAAAGATCAGTGGGCGAGTGCGCTTGTAGAGTCCACTTCGTGCAAGAATCTATGCCGACAAGAAAAAAAAATGTAAAAATGCAGAACGCTCGGGCCATCATATTCGGGGATAAGTCTGCTTGAATATTACAGGAACGATACATTGCTGTACATGACAGTACCTAATCGAATCGCGATGTATACCGTCCCTTGCCATGCAATTTACAACTTGCCAACTTTTCGAACGGGGTGTCCAAGCAATAATATATGAATTTACGGCTTTCATTGTAATATATTGCTTAAGAGAAAAGTCTCTATCTTACATTATACTCCATTAGATAATGGTACATACCTGTTGATTGCTTAAATTTTTAGAGATTTTCGAGCATATACGGCAAGCTGTAAATTGCGTGGAGGGATATTGTACTGTAAATTCTCGCAGGCGTGATGTAAGCTTCTCGAAAGCTTCTAATTTGGCTGGTGGACTTTTGTGGGACTATGTAACATTACGTTTTTTCAGGTAATATTCAAATTTCAATCAAGTACTCTGGACTAGTGCTTGTAGATTAATAAGATAGATGACCCAGAGTACTCCGTACTTCCAACACATTCACAAGTTGACCGGTTCCCTTCGTCTACTGGGGGAGGAGTAAAACATTATCATTGTGTTGTTCAGAAATATCCCTTACTCCAACCTCTGCTGATTGAACAGAGCTGCTAATGATCCTATACGCCCAAATCGTGATACTGCACAGTCTCCGCACATGCACCGACTCCTAGGTCAAGAGGCTTCTATGTGTATCCATCGGCACTTCTGTTTCGGTAGTCTATCTACCCAGAGTCCTATGGTCACTGGGTCTCAAAGCGAGTTTACCGGTGTATGTCAACAGGGATTCAGGACACCGAAGCAGAACTTTTTCAAATCCAGACTCCTTGTTTAAAGCTCATTGAAAATGATTCAAAAGCCAACTCATACCGAGAAAAAATTTCCGAACCATTGCCTGCAGGCAATACGTCATTCATAATTACACTGACCTCGGTCACACAAGCTAACAACGTCACCCTGACGAAGAACCAAAGGCAGACGTTCAACTCCCTTCTGACTATTTTATCTACGTAGCCCGGCTTTTTCCTAGGGGAGACTCGTATCACAGTTCCTAATGGCTATGCTATGTGCCTGAATCAATAAGTGATTATCCGTCTATCCTAGACTCTCCGATATGCAGGAATACACTGAAAAATCATTCCGAGGAGATCCCTCCCAGTTCAAGCCCGGTAAATTTCACCTGAGCTTACCTCCTTCGACGGGAGTCTTACCATTAATTCAGGTCATGAGATCCCCATTCAGCACCAGCGGAAGCCAGGTTTACAAGACGATCTCGAGCAACCCAAACCGACCTCGAGCCGCTTGCCAAATGAGGACGGGGGCTACCAGAGCTACAAAGCAGCCGGGAAGTTGGCTGGCAAACGTGCTATAATTACCGGTGGCGACTCGGGAATCGGGCGGGCCATAGCCATATTGTTTGCGATGGAAGGAGCGAGTAGTTTGGTAGTACACTTACCAGAAGAGGACAGGGACGCTCGAGAAACAAAAAGAAGGGTTCAAGAAGCTGGGCGGGAATGTTACTGTTTGGCGACTGACCTTCGCGAGAAAGAGAATTGCCGCAAGGTGATAGATGCTGCACTGGACAGTCTAGGTGGCATTGATATTCTGGTGAATAATGCCGGGACACAAAATATGGTTGAGGACATCAAGGATCTGGAAGAGTAGGTCTATATCCGATAACATGCCGGATGAGCTGTCGGAGCTCATGTAAGTCTGGCGCTGGCTACTGACAAGAGCAAAATAGGGGTCAGTGGGAGCAGACGTTTGATACCAACATCCATCCCTTCTATTACCTCTCAAAATATGCACTTTCTCACATGAAGAGTGGCTCGACCATAATCAATTGTGCATCCGTTAATCCTTATATTGGTCGGCCTGATCTCCTTGATTATACGTCAACAAAAGGTGCCATTGTTGCCTTCACGCGAGCTTTATCTAACCAGCAATTGAAGAATGGCATTCGTGTTAACTGTGTCTGCCCGGGCCCAGGTGAGTTCAGAATTTGCGGATCTAGCTTTGTTAGCAGACTTATTGCTCATATATTCATGCAGTTTGGACCCCACTCATTCCGGCTACCATGACGACTTCTGCGATGGAACAGTTCAGCTCGGTACCAATGGGTCGCCCAGGGCAGCCCAGTGAGATAGCGACTTGCTTTGTTTTTCTCGCGAGTACGGATAGTAGTTATATTTCTGGACAATGCTTGCACCCGAATGGTGGTGTAGTTGTGAATGGATGAATTGGTCCTTGGGAAAAGAGCGATAGTATAACCCGCTATACTTACATATACATCGAATTTGACATAAGTGGCGAAACCCATACAAGTGAATAGATATTACTACCTTGAGAATATTCAAAGTCAACTGGCAACACTGGTACCTTTTCGAGAAAGGTCTTGCCGAAATGTAAATCCTACTGACAACTAACAACATGTAGCAAACACGGTGGGACACACGAGAGCTGCGAGACTAACGGCGGTACCACATACGGGTGATCCTGGTGTGCCTCATCTTCTTTTGGAGCTGGAAAATTCCGTACATCAGTGCCTCAGACGTAGGCGGGCCTTTACATTGTTTCAGGTCAGTTAACGATGATGTAATGATTTGGGCAGGGTAACACGAACATCCAGGGACATAAATATCGACAGGCACAATCCTGTCGCACCCACGAACGACAGAGTAACTGTAATGGTAATAGCCGCCACCATTCGCACAACTTCCCATACTGATAACCCATCGCGGATCAGGCATTTGGTCGTACACCTGTCTAAGAGCGGGTGCCATCTTATTCGTCAGAGTGCCAGCAACGATCATGACATCAGATTGTCGAGGGGAAGCTCTGAAAATAATTCCCAGGCGATCTTGATCGTATCTTGGTGTTGAAAGATGCATCATTTCTACAGCGCAGCAGGCAAGACCAAACGTCATGGGCCAGAGTGAGCTCTGCCGTGCCCAATTGGCAACTTGATCAAGAGTAGTCCTGTAGGATGTTATTCAATGACCCATACAAGGCGAATATACCCAATAAACGAACAGCACATATTGCATGGCACCCTCTTTCTTCTCCTGACTGGGCAATGGTACCTCCTTTCGTACCTTGCCAGAAGCGGTCAAATGCTGGCCAGATTGCTCTTGTCGCTCAAGTGCTGTCGCTGATTTGATAGTTGACGTTGACAGACGCGATATATTCTGAGGCCGGAAGACGCATGAAGTTGGACGCGGTCGCACTGTCATATCATTAATAAATAGGCAGTAAATAGAAATTGACAAGAGACGTACCATGCAAAGCGCCCGAAACAGCACGCCCGGTGAAAGGAATCATGATGATTAACACTGCCCGGTGTACTCGTGATAATTGAGACCTACAGCGAAGCAAGTTAAATGGAGATATAACCGCGAGATGAAGATCACAGTAGCGATGAAGTAACGTCAAGGGCAAGAAGGTCAATTCGGATGGCTGTTCTGGACTGATGGTATTAATGGATTACTCATCCCCTATGTTACTGTATTGATACTTATGTTACAGCAATAGCAGGGGTATTAATGCGATTATAGGTGTAATAGAAAGTATGGTGTACTCGGGAAAACCCTATCACGATCACATGACTGTATAATATCAATTCGGGACTAATTCATTGGCCGCCCGGTATACAGGTGCATACATGAGTTGCCGCTTTACGTATGGTACCTACTAAAAGGAAGGCACTATCAAGTCACGTATGGGAACATTGAACTCACAGGTAAGTTGTAGAACTTACCCTGGAGAGCATGAAACCACTGGACGATTGAAGTAAAAGCATCGAATGAAAGGTCCGTCGCTTGGATAAAACATTAAGAATGGTGGTGATGTTACTGAGACGAGAGAGAACGATCATGTTGTTAAACCTTTTGTAGTATATGAGGCACACGCCGGCCGCCTCATTACGCAGTACTACTGTGTAGGACTAGGCCCCATGGGTTAACACGCCACTGCTCGGCGCTCCAGGAATGCTCATATTAGAAAGTATGACAGTTGCCGAGTGAATTGATAGTTAGTCTGCCTACTCCGGATGGCAGGGTACTCTGCAGCTACCTCACATATTAGTTACTAATGTGTACCTTAGTATTGCCCTGCAACAACATACGGTAATTAACTTACAAGTATTTTAAGCTTTTGTCCAAAACTAGACATGTCGGCTGAGACTGAGTTTGCGCCGTGATCCGGTCGGACCTCTGAGTATGCCGGGAAAGCCCGAGTCTTGGCGCCACCCGAAATCATCAGCGTAAAAATTTCCGCTTGACTTCCTACCCCATATGGCTCTTTTCACAAGTCCTTACAGAGCTGCCGCCACCTACGCCGCCACCGTACCTCATCTTACCCCAAGGGGTCTTTCTTCAAATTGTCACTTTGATCGCTCTTTGTACTCAGTAGTTTTGACCATTCGCTACCATCTCGTAGTGGTCGAAGTGTTTATCTAGAAGCTCACTCACCTTGACACCCTTTGATCGCGTGTCTTCACCGATTTGCCGCCGTTTTGGCTTGTTCATAATATTACATTTTTTTTTCACTCGAATTCAAAGCACGGCACAGTTTTGGTCCTTCAAGAACTGATTCCGGTATCAACTGCCGTCTACTACTCTTCGCCATGAAGGTCTTTTCATCGACATGCACTTTCGACTATTCATGGGAAGAGGTCTCAACCGCAAATTGGCGCAAGTACTGCCCTTGGAATGACAAGTCTACACATGTCGTGGCAGTAGACACTCTCTCCAGAAACGTGGATCTGAACACTGGTATAGTAAGTAGCTATGGGACTTAGATTGACCGGACCTAGAGACCTAATCGACGTCACTAACGGTTGGTTGTATTCCAGTTGCGCACCGAGCGTTTGATCACCTGTATCCAGTCCGTGCCACAATGGGTACTTTCGCTATTTGGCGGCAGCGCCACGTCTCATGTGTACGAAGTGTCCTATGTTGACCCAGCCACTAAAAGGGTCACGATGTGCTCGACAAATCTCACGTGGTCAAATGTTCTCAGTGTTAGAGAAATTGTCGTCTATCAGCCATCATTGTCAGATCCGACCTCTAGTACACAATTCAGCCAAGAAGCGAAAATCACCGCTCTTTGTGGCGGGTGGCAGAAGATCAAGAATAAAGTCGAAGAGGCGAGTGTGGAAAGATTCAGTCAAAACGCCAAAAGAGGTCGAGAGGGTTTCGAAGCCGTCTTGGAGATGAGTCGACGAGTCTTCAGTGAACAACGCGAGCATGACAGCAACAGACTTCAATCTTGATGCTCATCTCGGCCTTGACACTAAGTCTAATAGCACATCTAGTTTCTGTTTCTTTTTCTAGCGTTTGCATACATGTGGCGTCAATTCGAGTTCTCCTCAGTGACTGATTCTAGGGAGTCCTCTTAACTTCCTACCTTTTTCTTTTCTCTGGACCGGCTTCTCCTGACGGTAGTGCCTGGATTCGTCTATCAACCGGTTTTCGCAAGACGAACATCCATAGCTTGATGAAGCATGACCCTTCTACCTTATAACAAAAGCGTTAGATTGTTTTGATTTGGCGTTTGTCTGTTCTGATACGTGCTTCACTCTTCCCTGTGTCAAATTGCGTATCTTTGTATTATATCATATGTCTCTCCGCTCAAGTGATCCCCTTGAAATGTGATATTGGTATACAATGGCATTATAATCGAGAAATGTATCTTTCCTTAGATGGCCTGCTTACGCGCCCTCAGGAAGGCATGGTTCTCTGATTCATAGGGTTCCTACATAATAAGGCTTCACGAGTAGAGGATGGTCCATATCTGCCAAAGAACCTTTGACTGACATCCAACCCCTTCCCTCAATCCCAACCCTCCCAGCCTAGAGACCTTGATTTAGCAAGTTCCTCCCCGCGCCCCCTCGTGGAGGCCTTAAGCTGGGTGGCTGTCCCCGGAGACCCTTTAGGAGAGCTATGGCCCTTGAATCAAGACGAACAATTCCAAGCTCAGTAGCAGGCAGTAGAATGTTGCTTAAAAGAAACTGACAAATCATCTAGACACACTGATCATACTCCAAGCAAAAGCTCAGCATAGTCCCAAGTTTCTCACCGCCCGGGCAGAATTATACATGGTAGACCATGCTAAGTTGTTAGCGGACCACGCCGAGCTACATGCCCGGCCAAGGTACCCACTTGCACACCGGAACCCCCTAAAACTAGGCCTTTCTTTTCACAATGACCATATATTTTGCCAGGAATCACTCTTTGGTTTGGTGTTAGGATTGATATCGAATTGTTGGTAGTCTATTCCGAACTAGTTCCGTCTGTTTTTGATTTTGAGACTTCTCCCTAATACCCACCACGAAATCTCCGTCAACATGAATTCAACTACCGAGGGCATTGTCCCGCCACCAGGCAAATGGCCAGTTGATCCCCAGGACGATTTACCCATATCAGAAGACCGTATCTGGGTAGATGGGTGTTTTGATTTCAGCCATCACGGTGAGATGCCGAAACATCTCCTTGGTACTGTGTTCTTGAAAGCTGAGTTTCGTAGGACATGCCGGTGCTATGCTACAGGCCCGTAGAATAGGCAGAGAACTCTACGTTGGTGTACACTCGGACGAAGCCATTCTGGAGAACAAGGGTCCAACAGTAATGAGATTGGACGAGAGGTAAGTTGAGTTCTGCACCACCAACCTAGTTCACCGAGTGACTTGGCTGACCGTGACCCAGAGTAGCCGCAGTAGAAGCATGCCGATGGGTAACTCGTTGCGTTCCCTCAGCCCCTTATGTGACTTTCCTGCCCTGGGTGTCGCATTATGGGTGCAAGTATGTCGTGCATGGAGACGACATAACTTCTGATAGCAATGGTGATGATTGTTACCGTTACGTCAAGGCTGCAGGCCGCTTTCGAGTGGTTAAGAGGACACCGGGTATATCCACAACTGACCTTGTAGGACGTATGCTTCTCTGCACCAAGGGGCATTTCGTTAGAAGTGTCAAGGAGACAATTACTGGGAAGGAAGGCTCTGGTAGCGAGGAGGAACGGGCACAATTTGCCGAAAGTCTGCTGCAGAGAATTTGTGACTATGCAACCGACGAGAGTGGTCTAAGGCCGGGATCCTGTGTCTGGATCTGGAATGGCTCTACCTCAGCAAAGCTCGGGAATACGATCGAGGAGGCGGGATCATTTGAGCATATTGTCAAGGGAAAGTTGCCCAAACCAGGACAACGTGTTGTGTATGTTGATGGTGGCTTTGACCTGTTTTCTTCAGGTCATATTGAATTTTTGCGACAGGTCAATGAAGGAGAAAGGCTCGAAGGCCACCGCCGGCATTGGTATGATTCCGAATCCAGGGAAAAGAGAATAAAGGAACATGGCGAAGATTATGAGCCGGCGTTTATTGTTGCCGGTGTCCATGATGATGACGTCATAAACCACTGGAAAGGGCTAAACTATCCCATCATGAACATCTTCGAGCGCGGACTATGTGTCCTTCAGTGCCGCGTGAGTTATAATACAACTTATTCTCGGCAATTGGGACATCTTGCTAACCCTCATCCAGTATGTCAATGCCGTCGTATTTTCGGCTCCCTTCTCTCCAAGCCAGTCATACTTGGAAGCCATTCCTTTGGGGGTACCAGATGCAGTGTACCATGGTCCCACTACATTCATACCTCTCACTTATGATCCCTATGTTGCTCCGAAGAAGATGGGTATCTTCAAGGAAACTCCCAGTCATATCTACCAGCACGTTAATGCTGGTGAAATTGTCGACAGAATTCTGAAGAGTCGAGAGGCGTATGAGGCCAGGCAACGTGCCAAAGCCGAGAAAGGGGTCATCGAAGATTTGGCGAAATCGCGGGAAGCAAGCATGGCATGAACTGGGATAGAGGACTCATCCTGGATAATGAGTCAGTGTTGCTAGTCAGAGAATAGGCATTGGAAATCAGAAGAAAATGAGATATTGTGCCAGTCGAGCTGCAGTCGAGCACTGCTAATACGTTCTCCTGTTCTGCTCACAAATGCCGATATACAAGGCGGAAATTCTTCAGAAGTGAACCCCCACATTCGGTAGTTCTGGGGAGCTGAAGCTGCCCTTACAGAAAATATAGTCGTACGAAAGGATTTTAGATTGAACTTTCTTTAATCTGTCCTGCAACATGGAGCACGTAAACAATCCACAGGGGTACTTGGAGCCTCAAAACCAAAGCGCGGGAACTCAGTCGGCTGCCACCAATACTCCCTTTTCTTCAAGCATCTTGGCAAGTTCCCCGTTCTGGTGCATTGACATCAGAATATCGCAGCCACCAATAAACTCCTTTTCGAGATATAATTGGGGAATCGTAGGCCAATCAGAATACTCCTTAATACCTACAGACCCGGTAGCGGGAAACAATTAGCTGAAGTGCATTGGAAAGTCGATAATTGCTACCCAGTGAGTATTCCGAACATACCCTGGCGCAATTCTGGGTCCTCCAGAACATTAAAGGCAACAAATTTCTTGGGATCAACGCCTTGCAATCCCAGAATTTGTATACTGGCCCGTGAAAATCCGCACTGTGGAGTCTCTGGAGTACCCTTCATAAAGAGAACAACCGGTGCGGATGCGACTGCTTTATCAATCGCTGTTCGAGTTTCGGACGATAAGAGACGGGCATTGGGAAGAAAGGATAGTCGAGTGGCCAGCGACCAAGACTGAATCACACAAGATGGCCGGGCGAGTGTTCGAAAAGCCTAGAGGGAATCGATCTTGTAAGCTTTAAGTGACGGGACACAAGGTGTTGAACCTACAGATGAAGGAAGGATGCGGGAGAACATGGTGGTGTTTAGATAGTGGATAATAGCATGTAGCAAACACACATTTGCTGTGGTCAAGATTGGCTTGAAAGCCCACTGATTTTGCGGAGCGCTTCCGCTCCCGTCAAGTATGCTCACTAAGCTCTAGCCAAATAAATCACGTAACTACCGGCTGGTAACGTTAACCACAGTAAACTAACAACTACGATCAAGGCGAACGGTATCCCTACTCACGTGATCCTCTTAAACCAAACGTCATTTCGACTTTAATTCTTGCGCACTTCTCAGTTAAATTAGTTATTTCAAGGTCATTATCTTGGCTCGACTTGGTTATACCTACGTGCCTCACCACTAGCTCATTCTGATATGCTATGGACAATTTATTGTCACCATTCAGCGCACAAACGCACCTTCACGATGGGAAAATACACATAATCCTCGCGGCCAGCGGATCTGTTGCTACAATCAAGTTGCCGAATATTGCCAAAGCACTTGGTCGCCATCATAATGTGTCTATTCGCATCATCGTCACCAAATCTGCAGAGCGATTTCTTAGAGAACAAAGCTTGGAACAGCCCTCACTAGAAGCCTTGCGAATAGTTCCGGGCGTTGAGGCTATATACAGAGACGAAGATGAGTGGGTGTATCCCTGGACGCGAGGCGACCCGATACTACATATAGAACTCAGGAAGTGGGCACATTTATTACTTGTCGCTCCTCTCTCGGCTAACACGATGGCCAAAATGACTATGGGGATGGCCGACAACCTTCTTCTCTCTGTGATCAGAGCATGGGACACGACAGGAACAGTCGATTCCACGTTCAAGCGTAGGAAGCCGCTAATTTTTGTTGCACCCGCAATGAATACGGCGATGTGGAACCACCCAATTACTGGTAGACAGATTGAGATTTTGGAGGAGGACTGGGGTGTGAATAACAAGGGCAAGGATGGCTGGGTTTCTGTTCTCCGTCCAATGGAGAAGTCACTTGCTTGCGGTGACATTGGCAATGGTGCCATGATGGACTGGGAGGCCATAGTCCGCATTGTGGAGCAGTATATCGGTGTTCAACCACAAGGTGGTATCAGCGTTTCAGGGTGAGTTAGTCAATGAAGCCGGCGAAGGTATGGCGTTTTCTCCAGATTTCTCTTCGTCAATGCAACTCTGCGGCTTCTGCGACTTCTTCATAGAAGCCAGTGCATTGCGCGACATATTCTAAAAGCAATCCCGTAGTAATACCACCGCCAGTGAAGAGACAGCCATTTTTGAACCACCACCAGCAATTTTGTACATTCCCCAACTGGACTCTCCAGATCATCGCGGCGAGGGAAAGAGCTGCGCTGCCGCAGCTACCGATGAAGAAAACAGGTCCGCTACCAGCTGCGACACCAGCTGCGGCAAGCAGTGATAACTGAACACCCGCAAGGGCAGTGAGGACGGCTTTTGTGTTGTGTTTGTGACGAAGAGCAATTGACTTGATGCCAGCCGCTACATCATCTTTTATATCCATATGTGCGTAAATCATATCGTATAGAATTGTCCAAGCGACACAGCTAGAATAAAGAGCAGCAGCCGCTTCCAGCGCGGGGGTATTGTGGAGGAGGTCAACGCCCAGTGCTGGGAAACCCATAATCGCGCCCCACGAGAATGTAAGGCCCAGCACAGCTTGCGGATAGTATGTGACACGCTTGGCGAGGGGATAGGTGGTCACCAAGAGCAAGCTAGGTATGCCATACCATAAGCATTGAGTTGGGAATTGGAGCAAGACGCCCAGCCCAGCCAGTAGCTGAACGCCAGTAAAAGTAACTGCTTTACCAGGAGAGATTGCTCCTCTCGCGATAGGCCGATACTTAGTTCTCGCAACGTGCGGATCCAGGTTCCGGTCCCATAGATCGTTGATTGCACACCCAGCACCTCGCATGATAAATGCACCTGCGAGGAACAGACCAGCAGTTCCAGCAACCTGAAGTGGACTGGCGGAAGTCGTCATGTATGCAGCAAGAAGAGTGGAATAGAGACAAGGGAAAAAAAGGTAGTATGTACCCGTAGGTTTGTCAAGGCGCAACAACTCGGCGTATGGAATCCATGACCGCGGGAGACAGGCTATGAGACCTTTTTCCGGTGGCCTATAGTAGTCGGCTGAGTTCGAACTTGCGTGACTTTGCGAATCGAAGGGGCCTGAGACTTTGAGCTTGCACGGTTCATGATATGATCTTCGGCGGCCTCGCAGAAATCCATTGATTGCTGCGGGGCTATACCCTTGAGGAAAAGAAGACAGACGAGGACCGTGGTAGAATTTCAATGATAATGATTGGTGAGCAGCTCGGCCACTGAGGAATGAGCGCATTCGAAGCTGATAGCGCACGGGTAAGCAAGATGACATATTCGCGATGGCAGACATTGGGGAGAAGAGATAAATTGGCTCCTATTAATCAGCCTTATAGGAAATGATTTGAATCTAGGAAGGAATCATTCCTTGAAGTCGCGAGCAATGGAGACGCAATGATTTAGTACAGAGAAGGCAAGTTAAAATATGTGGGGTGGTTCCTCGTCCCTCAATTAATCGGATGCCCTGGGCGTGTCTTGATGATCCTGGCGATGAGTTCAGTCGATACCGAAGAAAATCCCGATCGGTCCGCTCCGTACATCAGGCACCGCACCTGTAATCTATAATTTTTTCCTCATCCTCAACAATTTCCATGCCCATTCATCCCAAAGGTAGAGAAGCAGTTTTTACTACTGCAGCTTATCGCAATCGTAAAGGTAGAATCACCGGAGGTCTGTCCCACCCTGTTGAATATCTGAGATGACTATTTCCTCGCCCATCACACCGGGGCTCGCAATTTTCGCTTTAAAAAAGCGTGCGATACGGGACACTATGCAATTTACCTACCTATGCCACCAACACTTGAAATTCAAGCTCCTCCTTCTTCTAGCCCCCTGAATAGCTGAGCTACATAACCGTTTATTTGATAATTGTCCGGGATGCCCGCGCAACGCCCCCGCGCAGCTTTTGAACCGCTCTCCCCAGACCTGGACGTGAAGGCCCTAGTGGAATCGACACCAAACTTTGAGTATGTCACTAGAATACACTGCAATACTATTGATGCAAATGGCTTGGACGACTTTGAAAAGCTCGTCGCACTTCTAGTCGTTCGATTGGGAAAGCCGTTGGTCGTTGAGGGATTCGACAAAAGGCTAGACAATACCCTGTTCTCTGAGAAGTGGCTTAGAGGCCATTATTCTGCAAAGAGTGAGTAGGCGTATTTTCTAACGCTCGCAGTCCCAGCTCACAATATTGTTTTTATCCAAGCCGAGTATGCACGAAATCTAAGTACGAAGACCGATCTGCCTCTCACAATAGGACATTATCTCAAGAACATGCCGCTTCTTACCGAGCAATGGACGGCGTACAACTACAAAGACCCTGATCGCCAGCGCATATATCTCAAAGATATCGATTGCCCTCCTGAATGGCACGATGAATTGAAAAAAGTTATACCATCGCCGGTCTTTTATCTCAATAAGGCCCACTCAACTGCCCCGATTGCCAGAGCCGGTGATCTAATGAGCTGCCTTCCCCCGAATGCGCGTGCAGAAAACCTCATGTGTTACATCGGTCACGAAGGAACTTATACACCAGCCCATCAAGAGATGTGCGGCAGCCTCGGCCACAATATCATGGTCGAGGCATCGGATGGCTCAAATGAATATGGAAAGGATACCAAGCCTGGGTCTTCTATTTGGTTTATGACGGAGAGCAAGGACCGCCGTGCTGTCTCTGATTATTGGATGTCCACGCTTGGCCATGACATTGACATCGAAGATCATTTCGCTCAGATCAATGCTTGGAAAGCGGCACCATTCACGACATACGTCGTCGAGCAAAAACCAGGAGACTTCATTCTCATCCCACCTCTGGCGGCGCATCAGGTGTGGAACCGCGGAACGAGGACAATGAAAGTCGCTTGGAATCGGACCACCGTGGAGACTTTAGACAAGGCGTTACATGAAGCTCTACCTCATGCAAGGATGGTTTGCAGGGATGAGCAATATAAGAACAAGTCCATAGTGTTCTACTCTCTGGAGCATTACTCGACCGTTCTGAAGAAAGCTCAGAAGCCTGATATCAATGGTCTGAATTTCAAGAAACTAGTAAAGGAATTCGAGCAGCTGTTCGGTCTGTACAACGAGGTACTCCTTTCCGAATGCTTTGACAACAATTCACCTGAGCGAGATGTTGAGTTCATCCCTTATGATAGCAATATCACTTGCTCATACTGTCGTGGGAATATCTTCAACAGGTTCCTCACTTGTCCTAACTGCGTCGTCCCCTCAGTCTCAGACGAGGACGATGCGTACGACATCTGCATGGAATGTTATGCGATGGGCCGTAGCTGTGTTTGCATATCTGCTCTCAGGTGGGCTGAACAATTCGATTGGAAAGACCTCGAAGGGAAGCATGAGGCTTGGAGGCAACAGTTAATCAAAGCCAAGACCGATCTTGAGCAGGTTTACTTGCCTCTAACAACACAGAGAGAGCACTTAAGCAAAAGAACGCTAGCTGAAGTCTGCCAATTAGAGCTCAGTCGCCGGCCTTGGGTCGATATTAGCAAGCCAGTCATCCAGTCTAAACCTATGGAAGTGAAGGACAGTGATACGGAGGACATTATTTCTACGCACAAAAGACGAAAATTGTTCCGGGGTGATCAAACAGAGAAGGCTGGGCGCTGTCACATATGCAAGTATCTTGAGCCGTTGTGGAAACTTGCCTCATGCACACAGTGCAGCAAGCATTATTGTTACGGCAGTCTCTATAGGGCTTTCAACATGCTTCCGCATCAGACTATGGAAGTCCTGGATTGGAAATGTCCTAAATGCATCAAGATCTGCAGTTGTGCTGCCTGTCGCCGAGATCCGACGATGCGCCCTTTTGAGCCCACGTGCATGTTACTGGGCCACGACACCCGGAAGATTGCGGACCCGCGTAGTGTGGAAAGTCTTGTAGACTTTCGGCATTCTAATCTACGCTGGCTGAAGAAGGCTGCGGATGACGAGACTTGTCGATCCAAGGAGCACCACCACCAGCACCAAGAGAACAAGGATGGAAATCACGGGCAGCTGGCACCTGAGCAGAGCATTCAGTTAGAGGAGTCCACTGCGGTGCTCCAAGCCTTGACGGAATTTGAAGGCATTCCTGTAGATCCTGCTCTGGAAAGATTACTTTTACCCGGCGGCGCAATGCCCACAGGCCCTGGTGATCAGTGAGTATGAGCTACAAGCGGGCGTAATATCCTTTCGTATGCAGGGTCTCCTGGACATATTGAAAGCATGTTCTTAATTATGACCATTGAAGCGGGCGGTCTTATCTACTTACATACAAGCCAATTTGCTGGTATTTGATTTTGAGGATAGATAGCTTCCACCGCTTGTGGTGTAAATATATGTAGATACGTTATTTATTCTACTCTATATGTATTTGTGTAGGTGTTGTCCTACTAACGCTCAGCTGACGCTGCTTTCAGGAATGACGTTGGGGGTCTGCCACTAAATACTCATCGTGGATCAAATATTATCTTCACATAACCTCGTGAGTGATATTGTAGGCAGATGCACTGGCTGGGCTTAATCTTCTTATACAAACTAAATTTTCACCCCATATTACCTTGAACTTGGATGTTACATTTTCCTTTGAGCCCCCTTACGGTTGAGATATTGTTAAGATTCTATTGTTAAGATTCTACATAAGGAGATGATTTATATCTCTTCTCCGATATTCAGGTGTCCGGAGTTCTGACCTATGATTGTACAACGGTGAGAGAATATTTGAATGTAAGATTCCTAAATTCAACCATTGGTGCCTGCAAGGAAGGGGTGAAACAGCGAAGGAAGTGATGCAGGAAAGGATGGGAGAGAGATTAAATCGAACCTCAACCTCAACATCAACCATAATGTACCTAGGGCTTGGTTTGACCTGAAAATTGAACTCCATGGTCTTAACTCAATTCATTTAGATTCAGTGCTCTTCTTAGTACTCAGTACCTTTGTCCACTTCTCCAAACCCCGTCAGGGTATGTAATATGGTATGAGTAGTAAGTGTCAATGGCAGATCCCAAGGTCTTGAATAGAAAGACATGACGAGATAATTTAGGCTCCTTTGTAATCATATCGAAGGGTCTCAAGACCCTTGATGTCAACGGACGACATAATTCTGCGTGCCACCGAGATAGTTGCTAACATCGCTTGGTATAATGAGCCTTACCATCTTCGGCACGAGTATGGGGCGAGTCTCGAGAATACTAACCTCCAGGCATCAAGGATGTGATCAGCTCGGTGCTGAGCCATGATTCTCGGGGCAAATATGCAAAATGAATAAGCACCAATAGAACGCAGAGCACTGCATTGATGAGCGAAAGAGGTTGTTGAGTTTGGGAGTGGCCATTCGAGTGTGGTGAATACCTCATGGTGAAGGCGGTTGTCAATAAAGACAGCATACTCGTGAGGGCCAAGCACCGGTCAGGATTGGTAGATGAACTGGAAAGCACGAGTGGCATGTATATGGCTGCGGAGAAAATGGGAACGGTAGTGAAGATGATCTATACCATGCCAAGCGCTGATATTTAGCAGTGTCCGCCATGCTTCACGTCATTCATGCTTGGAAAGGAGACCTATTACGCTATATTCTGAGTTTCGCCTATTGTTCAGTCTTTTGAGGTTTTGAATTACGCGTTCTTGCTCTGCAGAACTTCAGCAAATTGAAACGTCGTAAGCTATCTGTCAATATTTCCTGCTGGCCGATTGGTAACGCAGACCTTCTTCATCCAGCTCCTCGCGAGCATACTGATCATCTCCCGAATCATCTGGGTACTGGAAGGCGCGCCGAAACCTTGCGGAAGCCATCTTGAGTGGGTTCCAGGAAGGATCGAAGTCGAGAAAAAGTCCTTGAAACACTTTCAGCGGGCAAGCCAAAAAGGAGATAAATTCTTGTTGTTGTGATATATAGGTATGATAAGTTAATCTATATTTTCAGGAGTTTGCATTGTTTGCTTATTGTATTGTACTGTATCATCGCTACTACTGCACTTTACTACCGCCCAACCACCAAAAACGATATCGACTATAGACACCGCCCGTAATTCTAGAGACATTGGCCTTAAACCACTGCTAACCCGATTAGACATTTATTATACAAAAACAAATACAGGCGGAGTAGAAAAACTAGCAGAATTAACTATATACAGCTTACTAGTCCTTTGTACCACTAAAAGAACTAAAACACCAAAATATTACTGAAATAACTAAATTTCATAATAATTTAAAGATAGGTTTCTTAGATCTCTTTAACTACTCAAGTAACTACTATTCAGACAGTAACTTGGATAGCTCAGAGTCTAAGAATAAAGTTAAAATTCTACTATCTATTAAACTTCTAGTAGTATTAAATTTAGATAAGACTAAATCTACATAAGTAGTATCTTAGACAGTATCTTAGGTAGTATTAAAAGTATTGTAGTAATTATAAGGAGATTTATATACAAATAAAGTGTGCTTGTAATACCAAGAAAACCACTATACTGTATATGGTTTAAGGCCAATGTCTCTAGAATTACGGGCGGTGTCTATAGTCGATATCACCAAAAACTCCCAATGTCGATCATTTCAGTTGCCTCTGAAAGTTCGTACGCCTGACAATCCCGTGCCCGTCCGACGCAGCAGTGACAAAGTTAGGATTTCACAGTGCCAACCGCTTGCAACATGCTATTACCCGCTGTAAGACGTCGCATTGGCGTCCCACAGCTGCCTGGCGCTCGTCGCCGAGCTCTTCCTCCTCGCCGCAGCTTGATCCCCGCTCCGCGCTCCAACTCAGGTCCTCTCATGGAGCGCCGAGCTGATCGAGAGTTGCCGTCCGTCAATGGCGAGCGCCGCTGGCTACGCACGCTGCCACTTTTCGCGGTTGTCGTGGGTGCAGCCATGCTAGGTATATTCAACTATCAAAAGTCATCCTCAAGTGTGGTCAGCAGTACTCTGTATGCGCTACGGATTTCACCGCGGGCTCGGGAGATTCTCGGTGATGAGATTTACTTTGCCCAGAAAATCCCCTGGATCAGCGGTGAAATGAATCAGTTACATGGTCGCATCGACATTTCGTTCTGGGTCAAGGGAACTAGAGGCAAGGGCAAGATGAGGTTCCGGAGTATCAGACCCAACCGGATGAGTTATGTTCGTTCCTAGCTAAGGGCTCTCCCCTTTTTCCTTGGATGGCAATGGCTGCTTGGGCTAACCAGCTCTATCATTAGTTCCGTACGGAAGAATGGAGCCTCGAAACAGAAGATGGAACAGTGGTTCAGCTCCTCGACAGCGACAGTGACCCGTTCCGGCAGAGCAATTAAGGACAATGCTCACATTTTCGCGGAGCACATCAAGTTCCAAATGTGGTGCAAAGATGCCTGGAGATATGTGTTTGTAGATAGACAACGCCCCAACTGCACCATGCAGGGGCTTTCGGTCGTTGAAGAGCCTCTGTCATTTTACTTATCCTGGCATATAGACACAAAGTGTGGCCGGACTGACATGGAAAGCAAGTCTGAGGAGATGAAAAGAGATCTGATCTGACCAAAGGATATCATTTACATGTCAAATAAGAACGTCGCTCTATGGAGGGAAATAATATGATGTTACAATCCATCTCACAGGACGGAAAAACGGTGTGAGGCAGCTTGAGAATCGGAGGAATGGCGAGAGGAACCGTGTTTGAAACGGTTACTAGGACGATTTGGAAACGGGCGCGACTCGTGGCCAAGGCTTCTTAAGAGCATCCTGTATCCTGACGACGCAGCCTTTGGGACCACTGATGGAACCTAAAAAATTTAAGTGATTAGCGTTTAACTTTGCCTTACATCAATTCAAGTTCATTGAGACGGCAATTTGGGAGCCTGTGTGTAACCTACCATTGACCACGACAATCCCGTTGACTTGGTCCACTTGAAGAATCTCAAGATTTTGTATTGTGTTCTGCTCATTTCCCATATTTCCGGCCATCTTCTTGCCAGGGTACACACGAGAGCCACCGCCCTGGCTAGGACCTGCAGAACCAAGTGAACGGTGCGTTAGACTGACACCGTGACTGCGATCTTGGCCTCCAAACCCATGTCTTTTCATCACACCGGCGAAGCCTTTGCCCTTTGAGTTGGATCGCGCATCAACATACTGGCCCACTTTAAACCAGTCAGCATTGACTGCTTGCCCTACAGGCAAGAGACCGCTCTCATCTTTCACGCGAAACTCGTAGACATGACGTTTCGGCGAGACTCCATTGGCCGAAAAGTGACCCAAGAGAGATTTAGTCAGATTGGTAGCCCGTCTCCAGCCAGCGCCCATCTGAACGGCAAAATAACCATGCTTCTGCAGCGTCTTGTGAGAGACAACCTCGAGTCGATCCAATTGGAGGACAGTGCAGGCAATGCGTTTTCCAGACTTTGCGTCATACATCCCGGTCATTCCTTTTTTAATCGCGATTGCACCAGTGCGTAGGGGAAGCGTGTTGGCTTTTCGCTCTAATGCCGCGGTAGGAGACGATTTCAGAACAGGCAGACCAGGACCGACATCGAATCGGGAGGTTTTCGGAGGATTCAATGAGCGGATGCCGAATGTACGGACAGGTACCTGGCGATAAATGGCGTGGCGAAAGCTCCAGATTGAGCAAGAGGAGGTGTGAGCCAGCTGATTAGAAAGACGAGGCGACATCGCGAAGCTAAATCGGCCAACGGCGCAAGAAAACAAGTGTGGTGGTATCGCGACGCAAATCATATAGAGGCTGTAATCCTTTTTCCCTGCCGAGATTTCTGGAGTGCCTGCGGAGGCCACTTCAAGGCGGTGGATCACACTGCATGCCTGGCGAGTCAGGCCAACACATTTCTGCTGTACGACTCTCCGTCAAAATGACCCATACAGTTACATACTAATTACAGTACGCAAAGAACTCTCGGTAACTTACGGAAGTACAAGCTTGCTAAAGGCGAGTCGTTAGATACTCAGTCAGGCTGGCATCGGAGGCCGGACGCACCGGCACGCCGATGAACGGGGAGAGGATGCTCGTAGTAAGGACTATCAACCTAACTTACCTCTGTTACTTATTGTTATCTGCGCCCTAGACGCCACTCATCAACCATCTTCAGAGGGTCTTCTCGGGTACATGACCTGCTGCGTGCCCCGTCACAACATATTGTGAAATGCAGCCGCATTGTGCTTTTCTGTCGAGTTTGCTTGTCCAGCTTTCCAGTAGGACAAGAGGAAATATGGCTATGTCCAAGTCATCATTCGCAAAAAGGCCTTTCTCTCTCAAACGCGCTTTTGGGTCCTTAACGGCGCATACGTCCACTTCGCAACGAAGAATCGTCTCTGCTCGGTGGAAGCAGGTTCTCGGTAACCGCAACTTCCTTTCCGACTTCTCCCACTCTCAGCAACCGTTTCGTCGGTTCTTCCAGTCGTCCCGCACAAGATACGCGGCGCAACCGCAACAGCCAGGGGTTTCGTTGTCGCAGCGGTTGCGCAACCTTTCCAAGGAGTATGGCTGGTCTGCTTTGTGGGTCTATCTGCTATTGTCAGCAATGGACTTTCCGATTTGTTTCGCAGCTGTCCGCCTGCTTGGTGTAGACCGTATCGGCCATTATGAGCATGTCATTGTCGAGTCTGTCAAGGGAGTGGTAGATACTGTCTGGCCGATCACGCAGGATGTCAACGAGAACTCCGACCAGAATAAGGCACTGACAAGCCGTCCGGAAAGCCAGGAGGATGCGGCAAAGACGCAGGACAATGGCGAAAATGCTAGTAAGTACCTCACGCTATCCTGTCTCACTCAAGCTTCGCCGGTGACTAATGGTCTTATCCTTCTTCACAGGCTTATGGACCCAACTTGCACTTGCCTACGCGGTCCACAAGAGTCTCATCTTCATCAGGGTGCCGTTGACAGCAGCCATTACCCCCAAAGTCGTCAAAGTCCTGCGACAGTGGGGTTATGATATTGTCAAAGGCAGACCCAAGGGTCTGTAAGGTCTTGGGATTCCTCGTGGATTCCAGCCAGATCAGAAAATCCGTGACCACATTCTTTTTGCTGCATAGCGAACAGGCATGCTAGACATGAGATCATAAATACCTGTATACTATTAAATACCTGTACACTATCATGTATATCCAATTACTCGGAACAGAATTTTCCCATCTCTAAACACTGAGCCACCAACTCTCACAGAATACTGATCCCCAAGAAAGTTTGGGTCGTGGATGCGACTGAAAAGACACCATAGAAAACGGTTTCTCATACATGGGAATCACGAGCGAGAAACAGCAAGAATTATCAAGTGTACATATTCATAAGAGACCTCGTCGCGTCGGAGATGCAAAGGTCTTGGCTCTGTAAATACAAGATAGCAAGCAATCAAAAGCCAGTGCGGTGAGCCCTGATATACGTCCCAAAGGGGCTTTTTCATCCTAAAATGCGATAGTAAAGTGGCGAAGTCGCAAGGTCGAGGAACGGATCACATATCAATAGTATCATTGAATCTTAAAATGCCGTTGGCTTTCATAACACCGTTAACGCCGTCTGGCATGCGATATGCCCAAGCAGCCACACTGACGGGGTCGGTAGCTTGCAAAACGTCCTTGTTGTCAGATTGGTCGGCATCGTCCGAAGTATCTGCCACCAACACGAGACCGAGTTCTTTTATTGTCTCCACCAGAGCGGGCACAACGTTCTACAGGAGATTTAAGTCAGTCACCAGTGGAACAAACGAACGAGCCACATATAACAAAACAAATACATACCAAGAGACTAGAGCGACATATCAGTCCCATGAAGTTGTTGCTCTGTGCTATTCTGGCAGAATCCTTAATAGACATAGAAGCTCTTCCGCTGCTGTCAACGTCCGGAAGTGCTTTGATATCACGAGCTAAATCCCGAACCTGCCCAAGGTCATTGCACAGTAAGACGGGATCTGAAATGGCGAGCTATATCAGCACAGTTCAAAGAACCTTTGAAAATAAGTTATCAAGAATCTGACTCACAATTGGGCTGCTTCCAGTTCAAAGCAATGCAGATATTAGGGTTGTAAGAGGTGAAAACCACCGACCGCATGATATCAGGGTTGTGATCACGCGCGACTCGAGCATGGTCAAAAACTTCTGTAAGAATGGCATCTGCAAAACTGTTGACGTCCGGTAAGGATGTCATATGAGATGCATGCTCCTCCATCACCGAGGGATATAGCACGGACAGGTTGACGCTGACGCTAAGTGGTAGATGATGGAAAACGTCTCGCAAAGACAGAAATGATGAGGCTAGCTGACGATGAGCTTGTGCCAGGTCTTTAACAGCAGACGACTGGATGAATTGTAGCATTTCCGAATGATCTGCGCCACGTTCAACTCCGACTGCCCGAAACTGGCCGTAGGTTAGATGACAAATTGGTATCTTGATGCCATGATACTCGATCGCGAATTGGGGGCAAAGGACAGGTACTAGGTCTCTGGTCAGTTGCACAAAGAGCTGAACGTGATCACCTGACAAGCTAGAGCCCGTGACAAGACCATTGTGTTCATGGTCAACAGCACTGGTCGCCTTCCAATATGTAGCAAAATGAGTGATCTCTAGTGGATCGCCGTGGTATGGTTTGATAACTTGATAGTGAAAGCACAGTTGGCCAATCGATCTTAGCCTTGGATCAAACAATGGCAGCGAACATGTACCAGTGCTGGAGCTTTCGGCTTTGAAGACAGCTGGAAGGGCTACTGTCTTCGCGATCACTTTGGAACCGAAAGTAGGGAAAATCTCGAAATCCACGGCAAAAGTGTCAAGGTTATCAACATGGAACGAGACAATTCTTGAGTCTTCCTGTATCGGAAGCATTACGGTACGTGGAATCAGATCGGAGAGTTTGGAGGAGATGGTCAGACGTGCAGCAGGATGCCGACCAGCTTGATCGAATACGATCGACCCAGTGCTCCCTGTATCGAACAGGATTTGGACAAAGACCTTCTTATCCAAGAAGTTATGGCCATATCGCCTCAGGGGTATGATCGGTGGCGGCAGGGACAGATCAGGAATACCGTCGGTCGTATCCATGTTGTCCGCATCTGCCAAGTCGTGCAGACCGGAAGGATAACCATAATTGGAATCCTGCAGCTTCAAGCCATTTAGAAAGCCGAGGGGCTTCTGCGGAGCCTGCGAAGCTATGCTATGGGACCAAAGTAGAAGCATGCACTCTAAATGACCCTCCCACGCTGCATAGTACATTGCCGCAAGGCCTTTTTCATCCACAGCGCCGGCATCAACACCCAATTCCAAAAGAGTACGTAGGCAACCAACACAGCCTTCGCTCGCTGCATGAAAGAGAGGGGTCCATTGGTACAGCTTATCTCGTTGGTCCATGTCAGCTCCGTGCTGTTGTAGAAGAAGCAGCAACTGCGGCGACTGTGATGCTCGTGCCACCATGTGTTGAGGGTACAGTCCCTCAGCATCTGGCAGCAGCCTCGCATCCCGTTCTAACAGCATTTGGACTATTGGTATTGATCCATATTGACAGGCTAAATTCAGCGGGATATGGTCTGACTCAGACGTTGGGTCGATACGAGCATTGTTGCAGAGGAGTTGTTCCGCGCATGCCAGCTGACCCTTGACTATACTGTGAATCAAGGGTGTGAAGTTATCATGGTCCATCACGTCGATGGTATAAGGACCGACCTTCAGCAGCTCCCGCACCATTTCCACCCGACCATGCATACAGGCATAGTGTAAGGGCATCCGGCCGTAAACATCACACCGGGAAATATCGACCCCAGCTGTTAGACCAGCCTTGAAAACGAATTCGCGTCCTGAGATGGCTGCTTCGTGTAGGCAGTTGCGCTCATTGATATCATCTTCAGCGTTTATGTCAACCAGACCACTTTCCAAGAGCACTGCGAGCACCTCGTCAGAATATTCGTTAATAGCGGCGAGAAAGGTACGAGTTGCCCGAATTGCAGCGTCTGGGGATGTCTGTAACTTTGCTGTCCATTCACGTAAAGTCTGAAGATTTCCTGAAGTGGCAGAGTGCAGGATTTGCAAGTCAAGATCTTCCTCATCCGGCCCGAATGGCTGCGAGACTGCAATCCTGTCAACCGGACGGATTGTATCAAAATGGATGTTTTCGCCTTCAGCCCATGCTTCTAATTCTAGCCGTGCTGTTGTTGCTCGATCCGACAAATCACGCAAAACGTCTCTGTTGAAGCAAGGTTGGACTTCGACAGCTCGGTGCAAATACAACTCTTTCATGCGAGACTAAAAACAACGCGCGGGTAAGCAAGAGCACTGTCAATAATGGCTAATTGCAAGGAATATGCCATTGCGAAAGGAAGATAATATGGGGGATCGAGGTCCTCTGACCTTGGAAGTTTTATCCCACTTGGACGATGTTGTCAGCTATGATCAACCCACATATGCGAGGTTCGAAGAGATAGACGCACCTTCTTCAAGATCTTTGACATCGCCGTCTCATTGATCTCAACGAATTGCTTCAGGAATTAACGGTACGTTAGAATTTCCCATAGTGCAGTTGCGATGCCAGTCTAAAGCTTACTTGTAATTTATTGAGATCACCATCAAATTGCTGGAGACCCTCAAACAGCGAAACGTAATTGGCAGGCGCTTTGGAATTAGTCACTGCGCGTGACTGAATAACCCTCTTCTTGTCGACTAGGGTTTTTAGTCGAAGAGAGAACTATGCATTGATTCAGCTCCCCTGTAACTGGCGTATTGAGGTTTGACACAGCATCAACTTACCTCGGCTTCCTTCTGCAGGTAGAAGGCATTCACCTTTTCAATCTCCCGTTCCTGGATAACGCAGTCAATGAGAATGTCCTCAAAGCTGATCGCGACGCGTGCTTACCAATCGAAAGAAGAACACCTCCTTGTTCGCCCTAAGGGCAGCCTGTGCCTCGGGGACATCCTGAGCTGCACCTGCTACGCTCTGAGCCGGAATTGTGGGTGTAGCACTTAATTGTTTGATGAGCTATCGTCCTACGTCAGACACGAAGGATATTCCGAAGTAATTGACGGGGAGGATATGCACAGCAAGCGAAGGGGCTGAACTGACCTTCTTTAACGCTTTGTAGTTCACAAAGCTTGCAGCATATTCGGGGAGATCGAGCTGTCTGCGCTGGATTTGTTTACCGAACTTCCTTTATGTCTCGACCATCAGTGTCGGCAATAGGGGGGAAGGTGCCAAAAGAAGGAAAGAGCATCAGACGTGTAGATGGACGCTTACATCTTGAGAGGCACTAGGCTTGAAAAGGCCTTTGACGCACTCAAGTGCTCGGTAGTGCTGGGTTGGAAGGCACAACAAGGATTATTTGGATGTTTGCAAGTCGGAAGACAGATGTAGTAGAAGGCGAGTACGAGAATGTCGGTCACTTCGAGCTTGGAGAGCAGCGGGCGATAAGAGCCAGCCTAGGACCTTCTCTATCGGTTGAGACGGTGACAGAATGAATTGGGAAGAAATGAAGAGAAAACGAAGGAGAAATAAAAGGGAGACGAGCGACAAAGACTTTCTGATAGGAAATCGACACAGAGACGCAACCTTTTTTGAGGCGCTCCTTTCTGTTGAATGACTATCAGTCCGCAAGAACGATGGCCCAGCCGAATGATTGTCGCTGGAGCAGCAGCAGCACCAGCTGTACTCCGGGCTAAGGAAGTACGTAAGAAGTATGAATAAGCCAATTCCGAAGCTTAGGAATAGTCCGGATTCATCCGCGCGATAATGAAGGCAAGCAGAGGTAGTGAATCCAAGGCGAGGGGCGCGCGCACACATACACACACACACACACACACCTGACCCCGCGAGGGGCGCAAGGGAAAACCCGAGAAGAACACCGAGCAGAGAGGGGCGAGGGAGCGAGCACGAGTGAGCACAAGAGCGCAGAGAGCGAAAGATGGATGGGGGTCGAGAGTTGAGCGCGAGAGTGAAAGGCGGAATGAAGGTAGAAAAGGCCCACAGAAACAAATGTTGTTGTTACCTCAATCAACAACCACAACTATCGTATGGCGTACTGAGTGTCAAGTAACAATAGTAGCACGGTGCTAGTCGGGACTACTACTAGATAAATCAGGACTTGCGAATGGGAGAAGCAGAAGGCACTCGTGCCGAAGGGTTGAGGTCAATCATTGATCCATCCATTAAATCGATAAGTTCCTCCAAAAGATGTGGGGAGCTCTAAGTAGCTGTTCCCGAACCAATCAACAACCTCAAGATGCCCACGTTCCTCTGGACTTCCGTCACGGCTGCAGTGCCCATCCGCCCGGCAGCGATCATGCTATGTAGTATGTATGTACTCCGTACTAGGTACAGTACTGTACTCCGTACTACTGTCAAGTACCTACTCGACTACTTGCTCAGGGCTATGGACCCGAACCTAAAACCTCGGTAAGTACAATCCCCGTCCTAGTTGCCGGGATTTACTAACTACACTGTATCTTACTCCAGACGCACCCATACTGTTCTACCGTACAAGTAAGCCCGGTAATTAGTAGCCATTTGCCTGACTGCGGGTGGGCGGGCTGTTCCTGTCTCGCGCTGTCTTAGGCTACAACGTGCACTCCGACCAGCGTAGGTACTGTAGCTCTTCCGGTCCTTCAGTTCCTACAAGAGATCTGATTAAGTCAAACCTTTTTTCCAGCACGATCAATCATAGGCATGCTTAAAGAATCTAGGTCACAGGGCAAGGTAACTTGGAAGGTGTATAGGATCAACACCATTCTTAGCATTGTAATTATCCCGCTCGTCACGTACAGGGGTGGGAAATCAGCCGCGCGCGGCATGGCAGAGCTTCAACTTCGAACGTAACTGGATTGACTTCTCTTTCTCCACTACCGGGTGAGAAGGATTTATTCCGGTCGCGGCTGCGGGTGCAAGTTGGAGGGGTATATTCTGACGTAGTCGACAAGTCATGTGTCAATACCTCACGATGGGGACACCAAGCCACATCATCCTTTCGCATTTGATAGCACAGGCCTAGAGAGTCAAAGGTGCTATGATGAAAAAGCTCATAAAACACAGGAACTCGTATATAATTGATTCTACATGAGGATGTTGAGAGTCACAAGCTTGCCGCAGCTTCAATGTACAGTGGGGGCGCACACGTTGTAGCTTCAGTTGAGCCAGAAGAATCGCACACCATGTTAAGCAGAATTAACCTGTAAGAAAGGGAGATATGAACCACGCGATTCAACAATAGGGATGAAGGGAAATAATGATGAGAAAACTAGCCACAACAAACCTGTCGAAGCCCAGTGTGGAACAAGAATTACTTGAACAATAGTGATAGATGTGCAAATCGGAAGATCCAACTGCGAAGGAATTTTCCAAACACATCTCGACAAGGGGAATCAATTAATATGGCAGAAAATCAGCGAGAGTAAGCCAAAAAAGTTAAAAAAGAGCCAAGACAATTCCGACAACAAGAGAGTGTGGGAATATGAATGAAGATAGAAAGAGGCCAAGGCAGGCCAACTTGATGTAATGCATTGGCAGTCTTGTAAAAAATGAGAAGGATCCAGAATTCCAAATCGTGATACAGGTCGTGGAATGCGAAACACCAAAAGTAAAGCTTCCATGTAAAGACATGGTAATGCTTGACTTTGCATACCAGATACTCTGGGCATGAATACGCCCCGGCCCGCTTATAAGAGGTCACTCGCAATTTCTCGAACATCTCATTTATGGCCATAGATAATGCGTGTTAGTAGGCGAGGTAGAGTGTTGACATGTTTCGACCTAGAAGTTTTGAGCGATGCCTGCATTTCCTTGTCTTGGGAAAACAGCCGGATTCTCGATTCTAGTGTTGCGCCGTGCTTGAACATCTCGAATGACAGGGGGGGCACCGCCATATGGGCCGTCACCATAGGCTCCATACTGCGGTTGGATTTCGCTATAGTAGGGATTATCATCGTAAAATCCACCAGTAGGATGTGTGGCGGACATATGGCTTTCATCCGAGGCCTCCGACCGGTTGGCTGCAGAGTATGCAGATGAGGCATTTGATGGACCGCGATGAATGTCGACATTTCGATTATTGGCTGCTGCCGCAGGAGCAGCACCAAGAACACCGATGGGTTCAGTCTCCCCTAGTGTACCTTGACCCTCGGAGTATTGGATAGTCCCGTCACTTGGAGTAGCAGTATGGTGATATCCAGGCGCGCTTCCAGCCTCAGACATGGCTAGCCCAACTCCAGCACTACTTGAGAGGTTGGTCGATGCTTTCCGGCCTGCCGATGTGGTACCCCATCCTCGATACCCGGAAGTATCATCCTTGGGTTCAAAAGCACTACCGCCCATGATAGGCGGAAGAGACGGGTCATTATTTGGGTTGAAGCCATATTCCTCCACCTCCTTTCTTCGTTCTTCTTCTGCCGCCTTCTTTGCTTTCCATTTCCTCCAGAAATAAAGGGCAGCCAGAACAATCAGGGCCACGGAAGCGACAGGCACAACTACTGCGACTGCTATTGTACCAGCTGCTGAAAGTCCGGAAGAGCCATTTCCGCCGGTACTCTTTGACGTACCTGTAGCCGATGAGCCGCTTCCAGTAGCAGAAACACCATCCGCTGCCGTTCCCACGGTGGCTGTCGGGACTGAAGTGTCCGTCGAGGTTATGGTCAAAGTTTCCACTCCTGCAGAACCATTGGTCGGTGTTTGCGTTACAACAGTCGTGACGATATCCACAGTGTGGCTAGTCTCTGATGAGGTCTCTGTCGGGGCAAAATCAGTTGTTGTTACGGTTGATGACGACGATGATGTCGAAGTTGTTGACGTCGTGTGCGAAGAAGTGCTCGTTGTTGTTGTTGTTGTAGACTCCGCAGGAGCTGTTGTGCTAGACGAAGATGATGTTGACGAGGTGGAAGATGATGTCGGAATTTCAATAGTCGTTGGTGCTTGGGTTGTCGACTCCGAAGTGGTGGATGTCGGGACTGAAGTCTGTGTTGGAGTTTCCGACAGAGTGTCGGCCGAGGTAGCAGTATCAGCTGGATTTGCGGACGTTGCTGCCGGCGCAGCTGCGACCGCGGCAGCTATTGTAGCAGGGTTAGTAATTTCACGAGGACGAGTAACGAGAACGAAGGTAGGGAGAACGGTTCTGGACGCAATATCTGGCAAGGGTGTTGTTGGCTGATTTCATACCGGAGGACGACATTGTCCAGTGAGAGTCAATGGAACGACTCTTTGACGCAGAACGAACTTAGATCCAGAGCGATAGATCAAGATAACAAGACTCGCGAAGCGTCAGTCACCTTGCGATGACGACAGAGCGGGCGCTTCACCGAGGCGAGGGGAGTGTATGCGGTCGGAGAATTATCAAGAGAAGCCGATCGAAACAGATATCGGGCTGAAAGATACTTGCATCGAAGGTTGGCAAGCGAGTACTTTGCAGAGAAAGAACAAATAGAAAAAGGGTGATGAGAGGCAACCTAAAGGTGGGTAAGGATATCGTATTGCAGAGGGCGTGCGCCAGATGATGGTTAGAAGAATGGACGGTCGGCCGATACAAGAGACCGGCGTCTGAGTTGAAGATGTGCACGAAAGACGACCTACTCTGTAAGTCAATACTAGTCAGGGGAAGGGCCCGGATCAAGTAAACTACGCAGGTAACAGGCCCACCACGGTGCTTAACCAAGGACGGTCGGGAAAAACGAGATGGAGATAGCCCAGAGCAAGTGAAAGAGTAGAGAGAATTGAAAAGAGTCGAGATAAACCCGGGGGCCACGGACGAGAAGATCTCAACCAATCAGAATGCCGACTCACCGATATTAGACTGGGTGCCATGAGAAAGTCGAGAGAAGTCTCATAGTATTAAACCAGGAATGCTGGTTGCATCGCCACCAATGTGAGACAATTGACGAAGACGAAAGAGTGACACGAAAACGAGAAATAGACGGGGAGTAAGAAGGGAGCGACAGAAGAGAGCGGACGAGCGAACAAACGAACAAACGAGCCGGTGGGCGAGCGGCCGAGCGCGAGACGGAGAGTGAATAGGAAGCGGCGAGCCCAGAGTTCTGCACCCAGTACGGAGTAGCTTCATTAGCATTCAGGAGAAAAAGAGAGAGAGAGAAAGAGAGAGTAGAGAGGGAGAGCGAGGGAGGGGAGGGGAGGGGAGGGAGAGAGGAAACTCAGGAAAAGTCCAGCACCCCCAGCACCATGGAAAAGCTGTAGAATCTTGCGTGGTGAGCCACGGTACTTGCTATCCATGGAATACGGAGTACTACCAGTACCTACTTGGTACGGACTACGGAGTATTGCTAAGACCTTACCGAAAGTGAGCTAGGCAGTGGCACCGAACTTAGATCTTCGACCGTTCCTGGCAGGTACCGGTTCCGTACTGTCTGTTACTTTCCAGATACATTCTTTGTCAGTATTGATGGAAAAAAATCATGGAGTGTAGGAAGATGCTATTTAGTAGTCACTAGTAGGTACCTGTAGTACTTAGAGTAGCATCTGCTACAACTCAAAGGGCTCTTGGTGAGTGACTAGCCATACTCTAGAGAGTATTCCATTGGTTGCATCTCAAACTTGGCGGTACAGCATAAATAAAAAATACTGACGGGACGGGGAACAGTTTTTCCATGATGACTGCCGTTTATGGAACAAGAGCCATTCATACTTCCTTCCGGCCCAAGGGGATTTTTCCCATCACCATCATCCTCATGTCGATTAAGAACAGTCGAACCATCAAAAGACACTTCAGTTTACGGCAAAAGAGGATTTTTATCCTGGGACCTTTCAATACCAATGCTCAGACATCAATCTAGGTAGTGGGTTACTACTTATCAGCCCATTGTACTCCGTACTCCGTACTCCGTACATGTAGCACATACTACACATATATAGATAACGGTATGGAGTATGTTCTGTACTCAGTATACCTGACTATTCTACAAGGAACTTGATATTTTTAGCAACATTGATGTCAGCCCGGCAGACTCCATCCACTACTGAAACCAGAAAATATGAACACATCGTTCTCGAAAGGTTGAAAGATGCCTTTGTGCCCTCTCAAGTTGTTTTAACAGCAGGACAGGCTCAATACTGAAATATGATTCACTTGGTTTGATGTTAACTGTTAGCCGCGGCCATCATCATGCTTCGTGAGGTGCCCAAGTCTCCATGAGTCCATCCAACCTCTCTTACTGAAGCTTATCATGCCCTAACATTGATCCACATTTTGTGTATATGGTACCACAGTTATCACATTCTAGCTAAATTATTAGCATCATTCAGTCTGGTGCACGCGCCGTATGGATAGTTTTTCCAGGGTGACATCGTGGTCGCCCGTCATTGTAATCGGAGGGCTCTCTACTCCATATAATGCAAGATAACAATGAAGAGTGACTTATCCCTTCTTCCGCAAGGATCAGGAGCGTGGAGTACATTAGCGACGAGGTTCCGACTGTGGTTTGAAATTGCCCCCCTGCCGATCGCAAAGAAAAGCGGCTGTACGGAGAAATCGCCTGCCAAGCCACTGTTTCACTACGCCACCCTTAAAGATACGAGTATATCATCATCTCATTTTATGTGAAATTGAATACGAACGCTCGACTGGAGACCGCGGATGACGGTTTATTCGAGGTATAGATAATGACGGTGTCACCTCGATAGAGACATGCTCTCAAGCATCATGGTGTATAATCTCCTGTTGGACTGGCTAATCTATTTCACAGTCATTCCTGCGACATCACGACGCGAAAATTATTTCCCTCCACAAGCATCCAAGAGGTCCATGAAGTCACATATATACACAACGATCCAGTCAAGGTAATTAGATTCGATGTCTGTAAGTGAGCAACCGCATCTAGAATAGAGCATATGTGCAAGTAATGGACGATAAATACACGGCAACTGAGACCGAACGCCGGAGGGAAAGCAATAATGAAATTGATAGGGCATCCTTCATATGTTCACGACACCGACATCAAATGGTGCAATTGAAATCCAATCCCTCGAAAAAAGATAATGTGAATGAAGTGAAAGGGATATAAATCGTAACAAGGTGGATGGATAACGAGACAAGTACAAGGAACCGGAAATCGTTACAGCGAAGGTAGAATGTAATAACGTATTGTAGCAGAGTTCGCGTCCCAGTTACTGCTGCATATCCCATTTAGGGCGAAGGTTTGATATCAAATCATCCTTAGTACCCACGGTACCTGGAGGAAGGCGGCTGACGCGGTATGCGCCGTTGCGGATGTTGTGAAGATGGGTCGACGATATTCCGGTATGATTGCTGCGGATGCTGCCGGCATCGCTTCCAGCATCAGTGTTTTTGAACCGCGGTGGAGGCGCGAAATCCAGCGTATCGTAAGCGCCGGACTTTCGTAAAGCGTGCCTGAATCGTCATTAACATCTTATGTTCCGGTGCAGCCAAGCACGGCGAAGACGGACTGTGTACTTACGCGCTAGGTAGAGGCGATAAATCGTCAAAGGCCGAGACGAGAGGGGAACGCGCTGGGGTCAAGGGACTGAAGGGCTGAAGACCACCTAACGGCGTGTCCGGTCGGCCTTCCCTTAGATCCTTGTAGTTCTTGCCGGGAGCATAGTCAACCGCCGTCATTAAAGACTCGTCTTTAAGCATATGGGGCGTTGGGAGGATCTGAAGTGGCGATGGGGGCGGTGCTGGCTTCCGAGGCTTGGGAGGACCCGGTAGGCGACCCGAAGCGGACGAAATTGCACGGGGACCCGGAGAGTCGAATCTGTCACCGAAACCACCGTCTGAGCCAGTAGCCATGTGGCGAGCAGCACCCTGAAAGCGCGGAGGTGCACGAGGTGGGGGCGTCATAGCGCGGCGAGTAACAGGCTCCGCAAATGGCGCTGGGACAGGGCTAAAATGCTCACCCGTGGACGGATCATAGACATAGTCGCCTTCAGCAAAGGCTTCAGGCCCGGACCCTCCATAATAAGTGTCGCGACCGGTACGACTCTCATCAAAGTACTCCTTGTAGAATGAGCGGATACGATTGGCGCGCTGTTCAGGGTTATCAGAGGGGTCCTCTGGTGGCAGAGGTCGTAGACCGAAAGTCAGCCGGCGTGTGTCACGACGGTCATCAGGACTAGCATTCTGCACTCGTGCCATCTCATCTAGTTTCTGCGAAGGATGAGGCGGGTTCTTAGGGTTGACGTGATCACCATGTCCTGACTCGACGTGCACAGTGACTGATGGGATCGTGCGTTTGGGTTCCGCATCCCCGTAGTCACTAGCCGCATCGCTTACTGGAAGCGATATCCTGAGGGTAGGAGCCGGCACAATCGGAGTGGTTGGCGGAGCTGCTTCAACAAGGCCTGGATCACGTAGGCGAGCAGGAGCATCCGGAGTCCTTTTGGACTCATTTTGGGGAACGTTACTGCTAGGAAGAAACAATTCTGGATCATGCAGCTGCTCCAGAGGCGCCGAGGACAAGGTCTGCATAGGAGCACCAGTTTCCAGACGGTCAACCGATGCCCTAGGTTTGACATGATCTTCAGTAGAGACCTGTTCGTCAGCCACAGTAACTTCGGGCACATGAACTGGGCTTGGACTTCTCGGGAGATCTAATTGGAGTCCAGCGTGGGATAACTGGTCCGGGCTAGACAGACTTTGGGCGCTTTGGTCGCTTTCCGGATGAGCATAAAGTGGTGGGGATGAGCGAGACATTCGTTGAGCGTTTCGAAGAAGTCCTTGGTTCATGTCGTCGCCCAGAGGGCCTCGTCGAGTGGAACCTGCAAAGCTGGACGCATCGTCTTGGGCACCTCTAGAATGAGATCTGAGGGACGCATTGTCTCCGAGAAAAGAGGTTGCGTGTCGATATTTGTCATCATCTCCAATCATAGACCTCGACAAGGAGTGCAAAGATTCTCTAGAATTGTGCAGTCCAGGAGGTAGTAAGTATGGACTTGGCCCTATGTCTAGGGAGACTCCTTTGGCATGGGCGCCATTAGTTTTCTCGGCCTGTTGCATGGGCTTAGTACCAGTAGGTGTCAGATCTAAGCCGAAATCGAGGGATTTATGCTTGTCGTTCGCATCCTCGTTTCGAAGCTTCTTCACATTCTTGCGATGAAAGTAAAGTAGAACTGCGATGGCACACACGACGGGGATCCTGACCGATCATTAGCCATGAACATACTAGGCGTACAGTGCACTCAATAATCTCAGCGTCCTGAGACTATCATATCAGGTACAGGAAGACTATCAGCTCATGACATACACTACACCGAGAACAACCGGCAAGGTTGTAGTCATCATTGTGCTCGTGGCTTTCTCACAGCTATTACCACCGCAAGTGGAGGTCGCAGTGGCAGTGGCGGCAGACGGGGCAGGATCTCTTCTCATCAACGTTGGAGTGGGAGGCATAGCAAGGATGCGAAGGCGATCGCGAGGCACAATGTCGGGCCGTCGTGACAACGCATCTCTCCCAGCATGCGTGCCCCGGAAGGTCCTGTGTTGGTGATTATGGTGATACATCGTCACCCTAACTCTTGCGGACGAGATTTCTGAGAGCGGACAGCCCGATAGTCGAGGAATTGTTGTTTGATATGCAGCGGCAATGGTGATGCCACCGTGAGACGATAGCGAGAAATGTCCCTGGCTAGATGACTTGACAGAACATCGGCTTTGACCGAGAATGACCGGTCACGCAGCAACACTGAATTCAGGCAAATGGTCGACAGGATTGATTGCCTTCAAACAGAAAGCAGACGTATTCGGCTGAGGTCGAACGAGGAGTGATGGCTTTGTGCAGGGTTCCCAGCAAGGAGTGGACAGGAACCAAATAGGTTCCCAGTAATGAACGATAGTTAAGTGCCCAAGCACCAGCAAAAGAACGACTGTACAGTCCCCAGGACAGTACTTGGGGAGAGGTGAAATGAGAGGGAATCAAGCGTAGCAAAAGAATGACGTGAAGTACAAAGCCAAGAGAATGAAGGAGGAGGGGAAGAACGGAAGGAAGAAAAGGAGAGTAGAAGGACCCAAGCTGCGACACATCGGCAGGGGAGAGAAAAAAAATAGAGGCCGAAGAAAGCAAAGTGGAATGGCGAGGAGGGCGCCAGCAAACCGATTGTCCGGATGGAGACTGTTTTTAGTCTACTACTACTACTGAAGGACTCTACTAGTGGTCTAGATGATCCGTTTCATTTTCCAGTCATGTTGTCAGATATTAACCAATTGTGGGGGGGAGGGGGTGTTGTGGAGAGATCACCGCGTTCATGTGTCGTACCATGCCGAGATCAATTCAGTCGGGATTGCGACAACAAGGATTGCTTCACATGTTTTGCACAAATCATTGATACGCATAACTAAAATCTTAACTCCTGCTGGACGGACTCTCACAAGCGCGGAGAACTGTCATTCTGCATAAACTCTGTATCTCAGCTTCAAGAGTAGAGTCAACCTCCTCTGTCTAAATCCAAGTCATTTTTTTTGCCCGGTGCCACTTAGGCCCGCCTTAGCGTTGAAAAGTAGATTGGTTGCCTTGGCTCTTGCCTGGTTGAGAGTAACTTAGTATTTGGGGCTAGAACTCTGGCCGCTTGGTACTCCGTAGTCGAAGAGTTGATCACCTCCATGGCATAGGACGTATTTACTCCCATCTCCCCCCTAATGCGATATTATCAGCTTTTCTTAGTATCCCGGTTATGTATCGAGACCTGTCGGTAGTGATTTACAAACTTCATTTTCCAAAGCTTGTTTGATTCTCAGGGTATATCTAAGCATAGGTTCAACTCTTCTCTCCCTCGCATTCAATTTCGAGGGAGGGGTAATAAACACTTCGACGCAAGGATACCTTGTACGTTTGGGATATGGAATAGATACATTACGGCCATGTCTACGGAGTATAGGTTGGAAACTCGTACTACCACAGTACGGAGGACCTACTCCGTAGTACCTGCAGTGCTCTCTCCCCTGAGTGACGGATCCAGCCAACAACAACAACTACCGCAATTGCGCAACTGCAGCAGAGCCCGGCGGTGGGCGGGGCATTCAGTCTTAGGTAGGCTTAGTGCCAGGAACCCGCCCCCAGTTGGACCCAATCACCGAATCTGAAAGGATTTCCCTCTACCCCTGAGGAGATTGGCCTCCACCCGCCATAAGAGCCAGACCGCGCGTTGGTTGATGGGGATTTGACAGATACCATGAACTAATCTTTCCACCACTCCCTCACTCCTGCCCGTAACCTTACGGTAATTGCTAGCCACCAGTGCGTAGTTGTATGTACGGTACCTTGGTATCGCTCAGGATTGAATTTACAACTGATTTAACTGCACCGCTTGACAACAAACCGCAGATTATAGACACACTAACAGGCAGAGTCAGTTGTCCTGTTCAGTATATTAGTTCTTTGGATGGTTTTACATTCGAATCATCGATTTGTGACCTGATTTGCCGACAGTAACGCAGCCATCTTTCACGCTCCTGGTCATATTTGTTTCTCTCTTGCGATACAGACAGACATGCATCAGGCTAGTAGTTTGGACCGTTGGGTGAATCAGCTATCTTCCCAAAGATCGAAGCATCACTGAAGGTATGATAGGGAGGATGTTTTCAGAGTCAAAAGCTGCCGTGATAATGTACTGGTGGTATCTCAGTTTCCCCCTAGAGCGTTGCCTTAGACCACCTTCTATGGTCTGTACAAATGGCTCGTCTTGAGAAAGCTGTGCCAAAGACCAGCTCCGACATTGTGACTTACAACCTCACAGAGGTAAGAACGTCCCCGGCATATGTTTACCTCGACCATCATACTTAGTCGTACCGTAGGTTGCAGGTGTGGTTGTGCCCTTTCTCCTGAGCTTGTACACCATATAATGCCCGGCTTCCCACCTTTACGGCTCCTCTTTATAGCCTGCTACTAATACCAAGTACGGAGAGGCGATTTCTCAGCGCTATGTAGGTTATTATGTATTGCTATTCTAGTGTTCTTTGAGAAACATGATAAATAGTATTTATGCTTTGACCGCAACGAATCTCTCCCGCCATCCTGCTGGTTTTCCGAATACGAGAACTATGGACCGCTCATACCCAAGTCCCCATACACCTGCACATCGGATGCCTCGAACACAAAGATGAAGGAAAGACAAGACATTCAAAATTTGTACTGAGGCTTTAGACCTGCGTCCAGCGTAATCATAAATCACGTGATCGGAATAAACAAGAACACCCATGCGCAGACATCTCCCATAATTGTACAAGAGCAAGTCACTCAATAAGTACACCATGAAACAAAGTCCAAGGAAGAAGTATCTCTGGTCCAAGGCACATAAGTTGTACGCTTGGATAGTCTTTCTAGCCGGGAAGTCCTTCAATGTTTTATGAAAGGCGCGGGGTGCCGTTGGCAAGAATATGCATTTGGTAAAATAACACATATGTCGAAAGTCCCTCTCCGTGTCGTGACATCTGCTGAAAATAACGGTTGACGTGAAAAGAAGTAGGTTTGCGAGGGACGGCTGGGATTATATGTTGGCCCAGCAAAATTCACATTTCTCATCCAGAGGGTGTCCGGAGGGTTGCATTGCCATTGTATGTTCGATTAAACATCCTACTGAATGGAGGATCTGACGGATATTCGTCACTAGGCTCGGTGGTGACACCATCGGCTCTGCGGATTTCCTCTTTCAGTGCACGCGTAACAACACCAGCGCGTACAACGAGGTCGCGAAGAGACTGTGTATCAAATGGGAGTTTCTTGCAGCGTGAAAGATGGGGGTTGGTGTGTGGAGATCCGTTTGCATTGCGCTGTTGATAGATTAGATCCAGCACAGAGTTCCGTTTTGTGGGAGCATCTCTGCAATCCTGACTAGGAGCAGTAGTAGGGCGAGTCTTTGTGTTATCCGAAAATGATAACCCCCAAGAACCTCCACTGACTGGTTTCCACGGGTCATTGGAATTCGAAGGATCGCCTTCTGATTCGTCGAAGCTGAAAGTGAGTGATGACGGCGACCCAGGCGGGGAGTCATTGCGGTCATCGTCATCCAGCGTAGCTAGATTCACGATACCTTCTGCCTCCTTCCAGAGCTCACAAGATGGACCTCGAACGAGGTTCAGGAAACTTCCTTGGTGCCGAAGGCGCTTAAGTTCTTCAACCAGCATTGTCAGTTCCTGGACCTGTCCGAACTGTCCATGGAGGCTAGCTTGACGTTCCAGTATGGCTGGAGGAACAACCATGCTGCGCCGAGGAATGTTCTTGCTCGATTCAATAGGCTCGGTGGCTGAAACCTCCTCAGAATCTTCGAAATCGAAATCGCTATCCCAGTCTTCACTGACACCTTTAGTTCCCAGACCCCAAGTCCCGAATTTGCTACCAGATGCCTGGCGCTGTTCGCTATTGCTTGTCGGTTCTCTGGTTACGGGAACGCTCTGACTCCGAAGGTGTAACGTGCTCGGAGCTTTCCTTCCGTGTGCGCGGCTGCCACGGGAGCCAGGCGTATGTTTTCCGTGAACCGTCCGAGGACGCCCGTCTGTTCCGGTACCCTCACGGTCGCTTTTAGGCTGCTCAGACCAGTCAAAGATGTTCATCTTCAGGGAAGTGTCGAAGACCTCGTGGTGGAGGCTGCGAGAACCCGATAGCACCGGCGGCTCTAATTGGACAGTAGTAGTTGAGGTCCTTGCGAGATGAATGTTATTCAGATGATACTGATTGTTCAAACTCGTTCTTGCCTGGCAAACGGGTCCAACGGTTTCACTCGGCAGCGCTGCCAATAAGCTGCGCGCATCTTCATCGTCCGTGAGATCAGACGGAAAGGATATATTGCTTTCATCTTCGTGGAGGTCTCGCGGCACGGTGGGGACTGGGGATGGCATGTTGTTGGGCGCCGCGTCCAAGTCACAGTCGGGTCCAGACAGATAATGCAACACGCTAGAAGGACATATGTCTGACCGCGCACTCTTCAGGGTGTTCCCCCCTCTCGAACCTACTGAAGGGGCGTCGAAAATGGTTTCAATTCGAGGCGCATAAAGAGCCTGGTTGCTGTTGGTGGTCACATGTGTCCGGATTGAGTCAAAAGCCGTATCGCTTAGGAAGTCTGTTTCATCCTCGTCACCAGAGGTGAAAACATTCGTTTCATCAGATCCGAGTATCGTGGAAGCGAGCTCTGATGTAGCTATGGAATGTCGCTTGGGCCGCTGACGAATTGAATGCTGGAATCTGGATAGTGGAACAGCGTCTGACGTAAGAGGGCGTGCACCGACATCCTGGAGATGAGTCATGTCGAATCTAAAATCTGGAAAATATGATGGTAGGGCCCTGTGTCGTGTCCCTAACATGTTTGTCATCAACGACATGGGAATCGCTGTTTGCGGAGTCGGCGACGGGCGGCTGAAAACCGCCGGGTCCGTGATGTTACGCCTCCCGCGGCGTTTGTTAGACAGTAGGATAGTTCCTTCCGTGTTCATACCAAAAGGAAGGGGCGTCGAGATCGCCCGTCTTTTCGAAAAGACCCCTGACCTGTGGTCAGTGCTTTTGAAGTTGAATGCGAAAATGGAAGATGTCGAGAGGCCTCGAGGATCTGTGTCCAAAGCAAGAGAAACTGAGCCACAATCTGCCCTTTCTGGTGGTATGTGATCTTCAGGCGATTGGGCAGCACTATTAGCAGAGTTGAATGGGTCACGAAACCGAACTGGTGAGCCAGGGTTTGATGCAATTGGGCTACTGGTCGTTGCAGGTTGCCTCGCTGTGATAGAGGTAGCCAAGATTAGCGCTGGGACATAGTCACTATCCGGTACTATTCGTCGCAGTCCTTGATCTCTTGGCTTTGTCGCTGTGGAGAACCTGCGAGCTACTCTTTCCGACAGTCCATCCAGGGTAGCACTTATGTAGGGTCGCCACGCATGAACCTCAGAGGGCGCAATTGCATTTTCAGAGATGATTGGAGAGCACATGACCAAGTTCGATTCAAGATTCAGGCTGTGTGTCGCCTTATGACCAACCTTTTCCACTTGCTGATAGCTGGTAGCAGGCCTGTGGAAACAGACAGTTACCGGAGTTGATGGCGCGGTGGCCAACGACGGTTCGATGTCGGCATGCTGCGACAAAGGCCGCCTGACCAGTTTATGAAACATGCGCTGCGTAGATGCCCGGGGACTGACCGGACTAGATGGCCCATTGGGTGATACACAAATATGCGATTGGCATGAGCTACGCTTTTCTGGCTGGAATGAAAACCGTCGCACCCAGGAGGATGATGGCCGCCGAATAGACTGCGAGGCGGTAGATGGGCTACCGTTCGCTAATAGTGGGGGGCCAGCCAACGTTTGTCCACGACGCCGCAGTCTGATACCTGCGAATGACGGCTTCCTCGAATGTTTCGATACCTCCGGTTGTGTTGTGTTTGAGAGTTCATCCTGCCCTCCTTTCGAAACTTCTGCTTCGAGAGGGGGCTCCGCAGCTGCAGTCGCCAATGGCCTGTGCAATGCCGGGCGTATCCAATTTGAGATTGGAGAAACCGGTATGTCTGTTGCCGCCGCATATTGATCATGGAGCGGGACGTCCCTCTTTCGGGACCTGCTGGGCTTGGATGGGCTTCGATCCACGCGACCAAACGCGAAACCGGTCGCTGCGATACCGAGAGTGCTAATGGCACATAGCTAAGAATAAATGGTGTCAGTCAGAAGCGCGTCTTGAGCGATTTCACGTTCTCGCCGAGCCGCAAGCATAGGTGACGGGCAAGGCAGGCAATGACAGCGACACTCGAGGACACTAAACTCACCGTTGATACATGCTCCATTCTCACAGGGCGCAGTAAACAGCGTCAAGTACTACGAAGCTTAGGTTCGCAGCATCGAAGTCACTTTTGGCTTGACCTCCCATCTGCATTATCATGCACGAGGAGATCAGCTAGCCTGGGACATATAGATAAGAGTGTGTGCGGAGGGAGGAATCGATGCCGAGGACAATTCGATCAGAGGTAAACAGCACGGATACTGAAAGTGCACCCAGAGAACCACTAATCTTGTAGGCAAACTCCTACAGCGCAGCACTCGGCGCTGTCACTGTGCGCTTAGATGTCGGAGGGTAACGGCGTATTGGCGCCAGTCCTAGAGGCGGGGGAATAGCCCAGGGAATGGGGGCAAAGGTTAGGAAAGGAATGTCGCAGTAAACTGAGAGGTGAGGAAATAAGGGCGGGCTTAATGTCAGCGACCGAATCTTCAAGTGACCCAGACAAATTGCAGATTCCCCGTCAGCTGAAGAGAGAAGGACAACGCGATAGGTACCTATTATCTGGGGAGAGAAGGGGAGGGGAGGGGGGAAGCAAAATCAAAAGAAGTGAAATCGAGTGGTGAAAGACAGGGAGCATCAGCAACAACCGTGCCGAAAGCACCAGCAGCGGAGCTTGAAGAAAGGTTAAGAATAATAAATCTTAAGAATATTAACAGAAGCCAGAGCCCGGTCATCGATCAGCACTTAAGCCCCAGCAGTGGGACACGGCGGCCACTTGCTTTTCCTTCCCACGGGCGAGCTTCTTCTGGTTCTAGTCTAAACCCAACCACTTAATGACTGGAGAGGAATGAATTAAGCTAGGAGTTCCCACCCCCAGCAACACCAGCACCCACTGCAGGGCGATTTCAACGAACGGATCGAAGATGGGATAGATGAGATCTTCGTCATAAATAGTAACAAATCGTCGCAGACTTAAAAAAGAAAAGAAGAATGAACGAATCCAGCAAGGCTGTAAGTTCATCGATAGCACGTTCTTCTCGTGCCCTTCAGGCCTACTATTTTCGACATAATCTGATCTCAGCGAAGAAGCCGCCAACAGCCGCGGAAATCCAGGGATCTATTTTGAATGAATACTTACTCGGAAAACGGCCGGTCAAACTGCCTGCAAATCGTCTACAGAGGAGAATCTAAGCATTACTCACCACCTTCCGGCCTATTTTCTATTCATTTTGTGACGCTTCCACCTCTACTAACGAATAAATAGGCTTCAGGGCATCATGGATCGATGCTTCGGAAGATTCAACAAAGGTACTAGTTACCGCCCTATCGACAGGCACCTTGACTCGATGCTACATGGCACTGACCGACTGATGTGGATGCAGTTCGGATGTTCGTTATCTCGAGGGGATGGAGCTGAAGAGGCCGGGGGGAGTAAACTCATCTTCCTTATCAAATTAAAATTACAATGGTGTAATCATGACGATGTGCAATCCTTGCACCCCAGCAGGAGCAACCACAACATTAGATTCCTAGCGTGCACGATCCTACCCTTACCCAGGGACTACTCCCGAACCTGTGCGCTTGGTTCACTTTCAACGCCAACCGTTCCCTTGAATCTTGGCATATTGGTTTTACGACCACAATTCATAAGCCGCCAAAGTAAATGAAAACAAGTTCTTGATTTGACGTTAAAAAAACAGCCAGTCAGATCTACTTAGCACCTACTGTGTAGGTTCTATGTGCTGATGTCTGTTTCCATCAGCCGCTGTTCAGACCTGAATAATACAATAAATTAATACTTAGTGCTGGGAGGTGACTGGACCAAGTGATTCCAACCATATATTCCTTCCTCTATTATCTTATGATGCAATGCAATGAATCCTTGGACAATCCTCTGGAATTCAAATTGCAATGCGCCCGGGCAGTGGACGGAGGGAGGGCACGCATTGTTTCGGAATGAGGGTCCGTTGGTGACATTAGGCCGTCCCATCCCCACTTTAGGACCTGTACTTACGGTGCCTAGTATGGGCAGCTCTCGGCTGGGCCGGCGTAAATCAAATTTTCGAGATTTAGATCGGTTGCTTACTTTTCTTGGTTTGGGTTTCTTGCTTAATATGGGAAAGAGATTTGGATCAAAACTCCAAACTGACAAACAGAGCGACCCAGATCGCATTAATTCTCAGCCCCGGACGGATGATCTCTGGACTGATATTGATAGACTTATTGAAGTAGTTGTAGCATGCCATCAGACTTCAGAGTTCAGGTACCTAGCAGTGGTTCCAGGGCACGGGTTTGAAGGGAACAAGCGGGATAGGTGATAGATACCTTTCTCCAGTCCCACCGCACGTTGTTTGTGTGTTATTCCTCTCTCTTAGCTCTTGGTCGAATTTTCCATCACCCTTCGTTTTCAATTCCGTCTCTGCACTCCCGGTTCTAGAGAATGACGACAGACCACACTGTCTATTACCCACCACGGGCGCAATCATTTTCCGAGGCTGGCAGGATTTCTCAAAAAGCGGTGATGGGGTTGATGAATGATTAAGTGAACGACTGAGGTTTTGCAGCACCTGATTTGTTCTCAGCTCCATCAACTCTGTAGAATATGATTTCAAGTGTGCAAGCATACATAATACAGCAGTGTTAGGTAGCACACTTTTATGCATCGCCCCTGAAAAGCGGTACTGTTGCAACTCCTAAGTATATAAACGACCAAAGGAGGTTGGTGAGGGAAACATAACTAGCGAGTTTAGTACGTCTCAGAAGTCAGATGTCAAATGCCAGGCCAGCAGTGTTCATCATTTAGTCTACTCCGTCGCTCTGAGCTTATTTGGTAGCCTCAAAGAAGATGAATACTACGGAGTAATCTAACAATCTTGACAGATCACAGAACGTGGGCTGCAGGTTTCTTTCCGGCCGAAGTGCTCCGCTCATCCTGGTCCGGCCGATAGTCGCTCGGTCGGGATGCAGCTTTTTCATAAGTTATCGATGTGTTCATGGTCTTGATCTGCTCACTTCAGATCCAAAGCTACTTGTGATTACTAGTCACTGACTCCTGTCTCTAATTCCCTATACGTACTCAAAGTAGTACTTAGAACAAGAATCACGGGGGCAGTTAAATTATTCATGTTCCCCGCTCCTTAATTATCCCATGCATGTAGGTTACCCTGTTGCAGGAGCATCAGTGCTTCTTACAATTTCCTAAAACGAGTCCGATACTCTTCTGTCATTGCCTGAGCAAGAGTATGTCCGAGTAGCTCTACAAAGGATTGGCCATAATTCTTATCCCAGTGTATCTTCATGTTTCATATCTACCGTTCTGGCCCCTTTGAAGGCAAAGACAAATATAAGCCCTTACTGAAGGTACCTTGGATCAACCGCCCGGTATGACTTCTCCCCAACGCTTCCTTGATCCGTCAAAAGCAGGAACACCCATCGCCCTTACTTCTCTGATCTAACTGATAGGTGCAACCAGGTAATCTCCTAGGCGATCCTGCAGCGAGCATATTCGTATTTCAATTGAAATCATCGCCGCTGTCGTGATTGAGGTGTGGGAAGGGGTTGGAGGGCTCACGATGGCTGAAATTATAATCATGCGCCCTTGTCTCCCTTGATAACATGAGCTATCATTAGCGAAATTAGCAGGGATTGCAGGGTCCTGTGAAGTATCTTGACGCAAATCACAAGAAGCTCAAATTGACCATCCTGACAATATCCTACCAAGTCTACCCAATGGGCTTCAAATAAGACCTTAGTGTGTTCACATCCGGTGGCCAAGCTGAGTAGGCTGGCGCCAAACATTCCTCAGCTTGGTATTGATTAGTTGACTAGCGTGAGCGCGGGTTATCAGCCACCCGGCTCACGGCGTTTTCGGTCTACTGTTCTTTTTTTTTTTTTTTTTTTTTTTTTTTTTTAATGTCAACGAAAAGGTCAAGCCTTTGGTGTGGTGTGCTATAAAGATGGAATGGGAAGTAACGGTCTCTCTAAAGTCTGAAAATTCTTAGGCATACGCCAGGCGCTCGCCAATGGTGATATAGTATCAGGAGCCAAAAGCCTGGCCTCGCGCGATGATTAGGTAGTACAGACTTAGTCACGCGGGTTTTGGTAGGCGGTCAGCATAAGCATTGCAAATTATCAGCTCATGTCATATGACCAAAATTGAACACCTTTAATCACATCCTCCTCTTTCTTAAAGGTAGCGACTGTAGAAGAGCTCAGGGTTTTAGATACATCACTAAAGTGAATTGCTTTGTGGGTTCAAAATTGCGACAATGTGCAAGAATCTAGGATCACCTACCGGTACGTCCTTGTTGTAAGGTTCACGCTCCCTGTTCGCTGGTTTTGAAGTACCGGCTGGGCCGACCCCACCTAGCCGCCACCTCAAAGCTCTTCATGCGGTCAAGGTCCCGCAAAAAAAGTGGTCATCAATCTGCTTTGACAAGAAGACACATTCCACAATAACTCTCTAGCCATCAAAGGGAACATTCTTTTGAGGCGGCTGCTGCACGTTTTGGTTTAACCACTGATACTCCTTTTGCTCCTTGAACCTGGTCCTCAGTTGATTAGGCCTCGATTTTCCCATCGCAATGGAGGCTGAAATTCAGGCACAGATTCCTGGCATCGACCATGTTATATCCGAATATTCTGTGGTAGGCACTACCCAAGAAGCTTGTTGACAGTCTCATCAGAGAACTGTCGCTGAATTTTCCGTAGGGCTACTTAACTCATGCATCCAAAGCCTATGTTGAAGATGCAAGTGCTCCGTCCCCGTTGGCTGAAGCAGCCGACATGGTCACAGAGCTTTTGATGTCTGCCTCAGGAAACTTCTCTCCTGAGAATGAGAAGGCCATTCGGAATCTCGTTGGAAAGTTCATCTCTTCTCTCAGCGCGTCTGATGGCGTAAATGCAGAGCGCAGACAGATGCCTTTCGCTGCAAAAAAGCTCGACCAGGCGATCAATGTCGGTTCTCAAAAGAACATCTCTTCGACATTGGGCCTTGCCGGAGGCAATGTTGATCTAGAGTCTGCCAACGCCAGAAAAGTGGAGTCTCGCGTTGACCGCAAGAAACTAGAGAAGGCAGAACGAAAGATTCGTGCCAAGCAGGAAAAGAAGCAGATGAAGACGGTGCAGTATGAATCATCCCGCCTACTGACTCAACCTGATAGCACTATGTCGTACGAGGAATTTTTCATGGCTGTTAATCCTCTTCAATTGGGTTCTGACTCCCAGTCAAAGAGCAAGGATATCAAGGTTGATAGCATTGATATCTCTGTTGGTGGCCACCGTATCTTGACCGATGCCTCATTGACATTGGCTTATGGTCGACGATATGGTCTCGTGGGCCAAAACGGTATCGGAAAAAGTACTCTACTTCGAGCCCTAAGTCGCCGTGAAGTGGCGATTCCCAGTCACATTTCCATTCTTCATGTTGAACAGGAAGTATGTCTGATCGTTTGCTCTCAAGCATCGAACAACCATGGTCTGCTAACTCTAGTATAGATCACGGGTGATGATACTCCTGCTCTTCAAGCAGTTTTGGATGCTGACGTCTGGCGCAAGCGTCTCTTGGCTGACCTCGAGGTTAGACTTTCCAATTACTTCCTATCAATCCATATGTCTGACTTGTCTTCAGAAAATCTCCAGGCAGCTTACTGAGATTGAGGCGGAGAGATCTTCAATGGCAGACACTTCAAAGGACGCTGCTAGACTTGACCACGAAAGGGAAGGCTTGGACATCACATTGAATGATATCCATGCAAAACTTGCAGAAATGGAGTCGGACAAGGCCGAGTCTCGTGCAGCCAGTATCCTTGCTGGTCTTGGTTTCTCACCTGAAAGGCAGCAGTTCGCGACGAAAACCTTTTCAGGTGGTTGGCGAATGAGATTGGCTTTGGCCCGGGCACTTTTTTGCGAGCCGGATTTACTTCTGTTGGACGGTATTATCCATTCGCCTCCACATCTATTATAATCTAGCAGGTATACTAATCGTGCTCAGAACCGTCCAACATGCTGGATGTGCCTTCTATCACCTTCCTATCCAACTATCTGCAAACTTACCCAAGCACCATCCTTGTGGTCTCCCATGATCGTGCCTTCTTAAATGAGGTCGCCACGGACATCATGCATCAACATTCCGAGAGACTCGACTACTACAAGGGTGCCAATTTCGGTGAGTATCTCGATGCGGTGGTAGTTGAGAATGCAAAAGCTGATGATGATGGAGATTCTTTCTATGCGACCAAAGAAGAGCGGAAAAAGAACGCGAAGCGTGAATATGAGAAACAAATGGCCGAGCGCGCACATTTACAGGGTATGTATCTCTGTCACTGATTTCTGCCGTACCAAAGCTTACCTACCTGATCAGCATTCATCGACAAATTCCGCTACAATGCCGCCAAGTCCTCTGAGGCGCAGTCCAGGATCAAGAAGCTGGAAAGAATGCCCATTTTGGAAGCCCCGGAAAGTGATTATGTCGTTCACTTCAAATTTCCAGATGTTGAGAAGCTTTCTCCCCCTATTGTACAGATGACGGACGTCTCCTTCGGATATTCGAATGACAGACCACTTCTCAAGAATATTGACCTCGATGTACAGCTTGACTCACGTATTGGAATTGTTGGACCTAACGGTGCGGGTAAAACCACTGTGCTCAAGCTACTGACGGCTCAACTCCAGCCAACATCTGGTTTCATTTCTCAGCATGCCAGGTTGCGCATCGGTTATTTCGCACAGCACCACGTGGATGCCTTGGATTTGACGACTAGCGCAGTGAGCTTCATGGCAAAAACATATCCAGGAAAGACAGACGAGGAATATCGGCGACACCTTGGAGCGTATGTAAAGACCTTCTTTTATTTTCGCCTTTATATTAACCGTCTTCTGTTTGCACCTCACGTACACTGACATTTGCCTCTTCCGGATTATAGTTTTGGTATCACCGGAATGACTGGCCTTCAACGCATGGAGCTTTTGTCAGGAGGCCAAAAGTCCCGCGTCGCGTTTGCCTGCCTGTCTTTGACCAACCCACACATTTTAGTTTTGGACGAACCTTCTAATCATCTGGATATTGAAGGTATGGATGCGCTGTCCGAGGCTCTGCAAAACTTTGAGGGTGGTGTAGTGATGGTCTCCCATGATGTGACAATGCTTCAAAATGTCTGCACCAGTTTGTGGGTCTGCGACAAGGGCACAGTACATAAGTTCGATGGCACGGTGAATGCTTACAAGAAGTTGATTACTGCTCAAGCCAATGAGGCAGGAGTGGCCGCTCCCCACTAATATAGACACCGAATGTGCTAAAAGAATCAAATACCAATACTGATGCAATTGACACTGCCACATATGTGTTCTCGTATGATGGAGCTTGCAATAGAACAAAACTTCTTGGACCAAGTACTGAGCATCACTTTAGAAAATGTCTCACTAAAGAAGTATTCATGTACACGATATTTGCTGTACCTATCGTATATGGGCTAGATTGATCGTGAGTTGTCAGGAAAGGAGGGTGCAGATAAGGGCAAAGGAAGTGGGCTGTAACTAACTAGTTAGTTGAGTTGGTTAATTTAGATAACACTTAACTAGTTAACTTAGGCCCGCTGTTGCTTATGTAATAGAGACCACCCGTGGTCTGCAACCACCTTCTGAACGTCTTCTCAACATAGGTTGACGGTTAAGTAGTGGGTGCTTGGTTCAGATATGTAACTCCCGTTACATGCTTCACTAATAAGCACAATATCCGATCCCTGTTTACAGATAATAGTGCAAATATTGACCCCCCTTACGGACCAGTGATAGACACACTCACAACCATAATCTGCGGCATTATGAGATGCAGGGATGGAGATGAGTCGTTCGATCATATTGCCCCTCTACTTTCACCGGATTCGTCGGCCACGAGAGTGTCACCAGGCGAAGATGGAAACGCCCGATCTTACCCGCCTAGCAAAAAAGCTAGGGGAGACTGGTTCATATGGTCCATGACATTCTCGGCTGGAATTAGTGGGCTTCTATTTGGTTACGAGTAGGTGGTGGTTAATTCCTGCCAGCTCGTGCATGAGGATCCATTCGCCGAACATGAAGCTGTTTGATAGCTAAGTAGCTGACATCCAGGCCTAAAGCACAGGTGTCATATCAGCAACACTCGTATCCATCGGTTCGGACCTTTCTAATCGTCCGCTTACCACTCTAGACAAGAGTCTTGTAACCTCATGCACGAGTTTGCTTGCCTTGGTCGCAAGCCCTTTGGCGGGTATATTGGCAGATAAACTCGGTCGCAGGAAGGTTATATTTATTGCGGATGTGCTTTTCACCTTGGGGGCTGTCACACAAGCTACCGCCGACACCGTCTGGGCTATGATAATAGGGAGAAGTGTTGTAGGCTTGGCTGTTGGTGCAGCGAGCTTGGTTACACCATTGTATGTCACATAACTCGGGCTGACCCGTCCCATTTCGCGAAAACAGATGCAGGGGATCTGTTTTACAATATATTCAAGCTAATGATTGCTTCAGATATATATCAGAATTGGCGCCATCTCACGAGCGGGGTAGATTGGTGACAATCCTGTGCTTACTTATCACTGGTGGACAAGTCATAGCCTATATCGTTGGCTGGCTTTTTTCCAATGCAGCTGGTGGTTGGCGGTATATTGTCGGCCTTGGGATGCTGCCTGCTATCATTCAAGGCATCACTGTTGTGGCCCTACCCGAAACTCCACGATGGTTGGTACAAGCAGGCTTCGAAGATGCAGCTACATATGTCCTGTCTAAAGTCTATCAGGATTACGAGGACAGCGTCCAGTTGGTCGAGGCCATCTTGCTTGGTATCCAGCAGGAACTTGCTGAAGAAACTGATACAAGAGCCAGCAAGGCACCCGGAGAGCATGAAAACTGGATTGCGGATGCCACCCATCGCACCCGTAATCTCTTTCTTGTTGGTGGTAATCGCAGGGCATTGATGATAGCAGTCATGCTTCAAGTCCTACAGCAACTGGCCGGGTTCAATTCTCTAATGTACTTCTCGAGCACACTTTTTGCGATTCTTTCTTTCTCCTCCCCTACACTTACCGCATTATCAGTTGCGGTGACCAACTTCGTTTTCACGCTGTTCGCATGTGTATACATTGACAGGATTGGCCGACGACGCATTCTTCTCTATTCAATCCCTGTCATGTCCTTGTCGCTCGTTGCTTGCGCTATGGCCTTTGGATCTTTACCGTTACCTTTGTCATTGTCCGAACCCAAACGGACAGACAAAGCCGATGCTGCAACGATCAAAGATTCCTTTCTCCCTGTTACAGTCCTTATGTGTCTCACGATTTACACAGCTTCATACGCTTTCGGTCTCGGTAATGTTCCTTGGCAACAGTCGGAACTCTTTCCCTTGAACGTACGCTCGTTAGGCTCGTCTCTTGCAACGGCCACTAATTGGGCATCTAATTTCATCGTTGGGTTAACATTCTTACCGATGATGGAATGGCTATCACCGGCGTGGACTTTCGCGGCCTATGCGGCTGTATGTGTATTGGGGTGGATTGTCGTGTGGGCTATCTACCCTGAGATGAGTGGGCTCAGTCTTGAAGAGGTGAAAGATCTCCTGGCGGACGGCTGGGGGGTACAAGAGAGTCTGGGACGAGGTTACGGTTCTCACTGAGTAGGCACAGAGTGCTAGACTAGATACTAAGTCCATGAGTCTTCCCGTAGACAGTTTCCCCGAATGATGGATCGATCTGGGCTTGACCCAGCTGGAGTCTGCCTTGGGGACGCAGTCCATCCAGTTTTTGCCTGCAAGTAATGAATACAACTGAGTCGTGTGAGATTCATGTTCGCCAAAAGATGCAAGGGCTCTTAGCCGATAGTTTTTAGCCGATGGTTCTTTAAAATCCACCCATCGCCCAATCATTGTCATTTCATCAGGAACATTACTCCCTCGTAACCATGGATGCATTCAAAGTCGGTCTGAAAATCGAAAGGCGGCCAACCATCGGCAAACCACATGTCTTGGTCCTCTGCGACACTTGCACTGGTCTTAACCGGGAATAGCGGTAGTTCCACATAACTGGATCAATAGAGCAGGAAACAAATGCGGTACCAGCGGGAAACCCCCCTTGCACACCAGAGATGGGCTCTGCAAAGCCCCTCACGAGATAAGGAGTGTTCTCGACGGGACCGTGGGTTAGCCGAATGCCTCGATAATATGTCCGATTCGTATCTGAGCCTTAGGTCGAAATCATCGTATGGAATAATGGAGGCCAGTCCATGGGGTCGGTGCTCGATTCAAGCCGGAGACTCTGTGCACCGACATGTAAGGCTCGTCAGAAGGATATCGTGACGGAATGAATCCACTCACCATGGGTTCAACTAAATCCAGATGGGTTTCCAGATCTGCGCAGCTTTGCCGGTTCTCAAGGACGCTTAACGTTGTTGGGTACGGGTGTATGCATGCTACATGGTGCCACAAGGTTATCAGTTTAATTAAACTCGTCTCCCGAGATAACTAGTGTTTGTGCAGGCCTACAGTAGTATCCGCACCAGCTATGGTTGAGCTGCGTATTCTTGATCACAAAATTCCCCAAGGACGAAGCCTAGTATATTGCTGCAAAGATGTATCAGGGATATAGAAGATCGCTTCGACTGGGTTGAGAAGATGACGTTGCCAAACACTGCGTATATGTGTGGTGCTTTGAAGATCTAGCTTCTAGATGTTGATGAATGGTTCGGCAGTATCAATCTCGAAAGCACAGGCAACGGCTACGTTGTAATCACTGCGAAGATGACAGAAGACCATGGAAGGGCCCATGGCTAATTCAGTGAGGCACTTCGTTTCTTGATAAGCTCATTCCGATTTCTCATGGGAGGACGAAGTGTGACATACCGATTGAACCCCACAGAACAAGGCGGAGGGCGGATCTGTTCTTCGTAGCCCGTACCCACTAACGGGCCTATTCAGAGAAATGGAATGACCAAGTAGGTCTCGCAATCGTTGAAGATTCTTCGTAGTGGACCCCTTCAGCTTCGAAGAGACATAAGATCCAGAAGCATATTCCGCAACACCTCCAACCAGAGTGTCTGTGTTTGCCCTTAACCGAATGTGAACTGAACCTTTTGAGACAGGACTCTGGACCGCGTCTGGTTTCTTACCTTCAGCTCAGCCGAGGAGTGCCCTTCTGGCACGTCATAAAGGTCTTTAAACCGTGCGCGCTAGATAGTTGACTGGGCCGGAAGTATCTTTGCCGCTAGTAAGCAGCAGCACGAAGAAAAGTAGATAACATCGGTGTCTTCTATCAATAGACAAGCAATATATTGTACTATCTAAATAAAGTTAGAGAGCCGGCGCAGGAATTATGCCATGTTCAGTAAGGTAGGTACCTCAGTTGGCAGTCGTAAGAAAAAGATTCAAGGGATTCTTTGGTTATACCATCCGAACCGGTTCGTTTAAAAATATGTTTGCTGCTCGGCTCTGAGGTTGTTTCCAGGTGCAAGCAGTGTCAGTGAGGCAGGTTGTGTGGATATGTGACAGGGACGAATACGTTCGGAGGAGGTTATGTGGGATGCAGTGAATAATGCAGTCCTGGCCATGGGAGATGCTAAGGTATAAATTTACCGAAGAGAATCAAAACTGGTCCTGAGTCCTGCCAGAAGTAAAACCCGTCAGTAGAAGGACACGACAAGCCGTAAAGTCCCTGCCCGTTTTCAACATACTAAGACATACCATTCTCTAGTGCCCTCATCTGCACATGGCTGCTTTTTCAAAAGAGCTGAATCTTGTCCCCTGCCCTTGCCACTTATTTAGATCATGTTTGATCTCAAGCACTCGCTCATCTCGAGGTCATGTGCCTTTCAGAGTGTCAGACAAGGTGAATCTGAATACATACATGTTTGAAAAAACTGAGTTCTGTTGCTATTGCTTTCAAGGCACAATTAATGAAGGAGAAGGAAAATTCAGAGCCAGAGGATCGGACAATCACTGACAGGAGCTCGATCGAACCATTAATGAATTACAATAAGAAGCGAATGATAAAGCTGGCGAAGAACACAGGTCCTACTCTTCGATATCCTTCACCTTCTCCCATTGCCCCTTAAGGTTCTCCTTCCATAGACTGACTTTATTATCCCCTCCACTCACTGCAAGTATGTTGCCGCTTGGGCTCCAGCTTACCCTCCACAGGACAGTGTCGAATTCGAGTTGCTGACTGATCCACTGCCCAGCGTTGGATGCATCCGAGGTCCAGATCCGGACAGTCTTGTCTTGCGAAGCGGATGCGATGTAGGACTTGGAAAGGATGCTAGGCGACCAAGCGACGTCTCGAACCCAATCAGAGTGGCCTTCTAGCGACTGGGTGAGATTGTATGATTTAGAGTCAGGGCTTCATCATTGTGGCATATTAGCTAACAGTCGTTTTTTACGGTGAGGAGCAAGTGGCTTACTTATAATCCCAAATCTTGAGCAAGTTATCGCTTCCACCCGTCACGAACCTGCGCTGCTGGCCAAACCCAGGGTTGGCGCTGATTAAACTTCCAGGGGCTGCAGCAGGTGCCCAACTGATGGAGTTCACGCCCATGCCATGCGCATGAAAGATTTGATGAGTCCAGCTGTTATCACGGAATTCAAGGACGCTAACGTGACCGTCCGAGGAGGCGCAGGCCAAGACACAACCGTTTTCATGAGGAGCCCAGGATACCATGTTCACCGAAGCAGTATGAAGCGAGAAGTCGAAGACTTTAGTCCAGACACCACTGCCGATGGGGGATGTCGTGTTCTGATTTTGCTCACGCCAAATAAGCACTTTTCCATCATAGGAGGAGGATGCCAGAATAGTGCCAAATTTCGGATGCGCCTAGATGGTTTCAATTGGGATGTGAGATCAGTGATACGCCGGGGAAGAGTCAGATGAAGCTCATGAGGTTTCGGCTTGGTCAATAACGTACCCATGCAACACACCAGACGGCTCCTTCATGGCTGGGTCATTTTAGCCGGGTCAAAATCATGATTTGCGCGTTTATGTTTGTGCGCGTGTGTTTGTATAAGCCTCTTACCCTTTCAAAGTTTCAATCAGTCGGTGTGTCTCGCCTTCAATTTCGAAAATCTTGATCGTCTTGTCTGAGGAGCATGTCGCCAATCTGCGGCCATAGTAATCCAGCCCAGCGTCGTGCTACAGCGCAACCCAGTCAGTCCCTGAAAGTGCTAAGTAAAGCTACTGTGACTATCAAATCACAAGGAAGATTCTCGCCCGTTTCCAACATACAATCATATCATCGTGTCCGGAATTGGAAATCACTTGCGCAGCCGCCTAGATGTTTCGTGGAGTGCTGTGTTAACAGGGTTTCTCAGGAAAGGAGAAGATAGACACACCATTATTTTCAAATGGGTGGATCCGATGTGAAAAATAGACAATTGGCGGCAGGAAGTACACTCGTAGTTGTTGGGGATGTGATGCAGGTTTTGACGGAAGGAAGGCAAGAGGGCAGGACGTAATAGGAGGAGGAACAGCAGTCACAGCAGCAAAACATCGCCAGCTTGTCCGTTTCGCGGCCAGTCAGCCGCAGCCCGATCTTATCTTATCGGCTCAGTCATCCATCTCTGATCCTGCCTGTTCCCAATCAGGCGATGAGGGCCTCGGTTGACTGTGTGCACTATGGCTATTTGCTTCGTTATCTCTTAGTGCTTGCTCATCAAATCTTGAATCATGAAATATAACAGGTACTGTTTGTTCAAAACAGAGTCTTATCCTATCCTACTCATGCGAACCTGTGTCAGTCGATGGCGACAGGTCTATCGGTTTGGCAGTGTAACCTCAAGCTTCTTAGCATCCTAGTTACTAAGCTGCCTGTCCATCCGTGATCATGCTTCAGGTAACTCTTGGAATGATTCGATGGATTCAAAATATAGCTTCATAGTATCATTCAATTGGGTTCTGGAGGTAACCGTTGTCTTCCTGCAAGGGATAACAATAATAGGAACCAAGAATTTATAGTATGCTTAGTATGAAAGTCAATAAACTATACTATTGTGACGAATCTTGATTTAGACCTATATCTTGATTCTTCATTGTGTAACCTATATCTAAGCATTCTTGTCCACACATTTGATTGATAGTCAGGGCTAGATCAGATATTATTATGGTAATAGAACCATTGACTGTAGAACACGATCTGTCTACACTACTAGCAGAATCTGTCCGTACTCATTTACACAATTCTAGCCTAGAAAGCTGTTGGACTCGGTCCTGCACGGTGGATTGGCTAGCGGCCACGAAACCGACGAATACGAATCTCACCTCAGGACGTCTATTTTGTTGCTCGTTGGCATTTCTACATAAGCGGCAGGCAGGCTGTGAATCCCGGGCCTTGCGGAATTGAAATACTAGGCACGTTAGATTCGAATTTGAATCACTTTTATTTGCTTTATGTCATCATGCGAAGATTGGTTATTCAATGGAGATCCGCAGTCTCGGCAGTTCTAGAAGAAATATCAAAAGCAAGGTAACCTCCGAACCCGGTCCGTGTACACAATCCCAGAACAAAAGGCATGACCACAAAGAAAAGACGAATTCAAAAGAAAAGTCAATGAAGGGGATCCAGCTAAGCAGGTCTCGTACATGGAAGAATATAAGATCAGCTTGGTCCTCATGGATGACCCATTAAACCCCGAATGAGAGGAGAACATGCGGACAAATGCTGACTGCCCGAGAGAAGAACATGGTAGAATTTGAAAGAATTTGATAGACGCCTGTCCTGGCTGTAAAATATTCATTAGAGAAATCATAAATAAGGTTGATGATACATGAACTACTCTCCGCATTGGAATTGGGCAGAGCAGAGCGAAGTGGAACAGACTTCCAGGAAAGCAGCCGAGACGTCATGTTTGAGGGAGATACTATGCCATAAGCGGTCTGCATCATCCCAGGCCAAGTGGCAGTTTGAGAGTGCTCGAGGCGGCGAGCTCTCCCAAGTCTCACAACTGCCAGGAGAGTGCACAAGTCTGAAGACAAATGCCATAGGTATGACTAGCTGAAATCCGGGATATCTACCGACCAACTGGCATATCATGACGATGTAGATCTCGTGACCATTCCGGCGCAATCTTGTCTCGTTCGTATAGCAGACCGCAATTGTGGCAGAGCGTCTGTTAGTCGATGCATGTTAGTCGGGAACGTACGGAAATAAACCGGGTACTGCATTTGTCTTACCCTTGGACCTGTTGGTCCATCTCTCACAGCCCAGACGGCGGTACCCCATACTAAGCAATTCGTGCAACGCCAATTTTGTCGTTCCCTTTTAAATCTGGGTTAGCAAAATACAATATGAAGGCATGTCAGATGCTGGGAGAGATTGACGAACCATTCCGAAAGTGTTCCACCACCTCCACCATAACCTGCACCGGACCCAGTGTCGGGCGTGCCCCGACCTCCAGGCGTTCCGCCTCTAGCAAGCGGGCTGAGACTGCGGAACCGCCTCTTACGCTTGCTCCTCTCGCCCCTACCTAGGGGAGTCTCACTGTCGACATCGAAGTAGCCACTTCCTTGTCGTGAAGCTTCGGGTGTGATACCAGCAGTCGAAGAGAATCTGGCAGTCTCTCGCCTAAGACGTCTGATCTGTCGCTCACGGTCGCCCTCACGCTTCTCAATCTCCTCCTTGGAAAGTGTTTCCACCTTGGGTTCCCATTCATCACCCAGTCCCTCAGGGTCATATCGCCAACCCGCCTCGGCGCCGCTGGCCGCTTGATTGTCAATTTCGTTTCCGTAACCGCCGATACCACTGATCAGTCCACCACTTTCGCACACTTCTTTCTTCAGCTTAAGAACTGCCTCGTAGATGCCATGCGCAATGGTCCCCACCCATTCTCCACCAAGGCCTAGGTCCGCGCAAGTGACTCTTGCGAATTCCTCTGCCATACCAGGAGGATGTAGTAGTGACCATTCGAATTTGTCTGTGTACAATTTGTTCTGCAAATTGATATTCAAGTTTATCATACATCTGTATGCGTCGTCGGGGTTCAATAAACTGTCATTTATCATCGGTTCCTTGGTCACCGTCACTTGGTTGGCTCTGCTGTCGGGTGTAGCAACGTGGGATAGGGTGGGTGTAGCGGAAACGTCCCTTGATATAGCTAACGGCAAAGTAGCTTGTTTGCCTTGTAGACTTTGGAACAAGGGATGTAGTGCAACACCGGCATATTCTTCTAATTGTTGCCGTATTTGGTTGCTGATTGCCATCGTCATTGCTTGCGGATTGGGTAGGTCCATGTCGCGGACAAAACCGATCGCAAATTCTTCAGGGGTAGCGAGGGCTTCGTGGAGATTCCAAAGAAAGGTGTCCTTGATTCGGTAGGACGGTAATGGGTCCTGCTTTCTATATGCTGGTAGGGTGTTTGTGATTCCGGGATCGAGCATAGTTCGCGGCTGTGGAAAGGCCTCTAGAGGTTGGTGCGCAGGGACTTCTAAGTCAATCCGAATGGGTATAAGAGTTAGTGGGAGCTGCGCTTGTATCTGCAACTGATCGGCACATCTGAACAGAATGCGGAAAGATAGAAGTCAAGTTAGCTTTCGCAAAGAGGTATATCGCGATATATGGAGCCATAGGCTAGCCAGAGAACAAGGCTGAAGTAATGAGAACTGGACATACGCAGGTCGCAACATCCGTTTGATCATCCAGTCACGGAATATTCCTTGGACCTCCACAGGAGCATGTATCTCTTTCCCCAGTTTTTCCGCCAAAGGGACCTTATCGGAAGTTGACTCCTCTCGTCGGAGACTCCTAAGTCCCGTGGGACGCCTGGGACCTTCACTGTCCTCAAAATCATCATCATCATAACCGTCCTCTGCATAGTTGATGGCTGCAGTCCCTCGCTTCGTTCGCGGCGCCGGACCGACTTGACTCGGAGGGATGACGGGAGTGAGTAAGGCATTCCCATATAGGCGTAGACGTGGAGGGTAGGATGTGATGTAGCCTCTGAGAGGGGACATGTTGGCCATTTAGCTGGTCAAGGACATGTCCCTTTCAGACACTGCAGAAGTCGACCGGAGGACAGGTTCACCAATGTTTGGACAAGGTGAAGGGACACAGCGACTGATACTGGCAGCGGCATAAAACCACAGATGCAAAAAAGAGATCAAATATCGAAATTGAAGAAAATGCGCACTGACAAGTTATTTTGCGCGACAATCTTTGCTGGGCAAACTTGTTGGTTATCAAAGTAATGCTGAAGCTCCTCTGAGCGATGATCGCGGTTGAACTCCGCCTTTTTTGGTCGTTCGCGTTTTGCCAAAGATCCCCCCTCAACCGGCGCTAGTCCTTTTCGAGTCACACGTGATAAATGAGATTTAGCAACTATGTTTTTGGTCTGCTTCGAGCAGGAGCACTACGAAACGGATACGTCAATCTGTAGCAGCTATTATTGCGATGTTTATTTCGCGAAGATAGATTTAGCATTTGACTCCAGATATATCTCTTAGAGAAACAGGGTCTTTTGTGACCTCGCAATTCCTTGCGGCAAGGGCAGCTTGCATCAAAGAACCAACTCGTTGGATGACGTTAAGATGCCTTTCGAGTTATGACATGCATGATAAACGAAGACACCATTGCCACTTGTCTGTTAGCCGGTGCTTGGGCAGACTCGAGCTATGATGGGAACCCGCCGGCTCGGCAAGTGAACAAAACAGCGAAGAAAGCGAAAATGCCGATGAAGTTGTGGCTCTAAAATGTCCCAGAATGCGACACCGGCGTAGGAAAGAACATGTTCAATGTAAAGCTATAATCAATACATATGCTTAGGAAAGGATATTGAACCAGAAAAAGAAATCACAAACACTGGCTACCGGAGCCCAATCACGCTCTGCAACACTGTCAGTGACCATGTTGATTCGGAGATTGAACGAGAAGTCTTACCATCTCCAGTGTCCATACTCGTCGAATCCAGATTTTAACCTTGCCTTCTACCCCTTCCACATCATGCAGCTCAACACCTTCCCACCAACATCTTCGTGCTGGCTTTCGCCAGAAGAGAAGGAGTTTTTGAGCCATTCCTACCGCATTGCTGTTCTCCAAATCACTTCGAATGTCAGTTCGAAGCTTGGCTAATGCCAAGCTACAGATGACTGCCTTATTGGGTTCCGGAGCACGGTGGCCCCATCGATCATCACGATCAAACCCGCTGGAAATCATTAGCTAAGACTGAGTTCTTTCGGCTGAAAGGCGCGGAGAAATTACCCCGCAGTAAGCATCTCAATCAGGTGTTGTTCCGTTGAACCTGCTTCGTCGCTTTTTCTCAAGCCAGAGAATATCCCATCCTGCTTCAGCAAGGCTTTCGCGGCAGCGCGCTTGACTTCCGTCATCTCGGTATGGTCTATATCAGGACGAGGAGGTATCGCGTAAAAGTCTAGATCTTCGCGCAGGACAATAATGCCGGCCCGGTCCTGGAGCATATCTCTGGCAGATGCTTGCATAGAATCGGGGGCCACGTCGATATCCTGGGAGGTCGAGGGAGATGGAGAAGAGGGTATTGACTGGGCAACCGAGCGGAAAAAATCCAGCATATACTGTAAAGAAGCCGGATCGTACTGGCAATACGGCTGTAAGGTACAGGTTCGTAGTGACTATGTAGCCAGGCCCGAGACTACAAGCGTCCAGGATGGGGTGACTTACATCAACAGGGTAGATGTCGCCTTCATGAAAGGTGCCCATATGTCCATCGGGGAGAAGCCCATTCGGAAACAATGACAGAAGGACAAATTCCGGCAGAGTCAATAACTCATCGCGAGAAAGTGTAAACCGAGTACCTCTTTGAACATGTCAAGTGCCTGTGAGCCAAGAAGCTAAACGCATGTGGAAAGAGTTCAAGCATACCGGAGGTCTAGAGTAATGTGCTCATCGCCACCAATTTCTGTACATAGCACGAGTCAGTCGTGTTCCGCCAGGTGCAGGAAGCTCATGAATTCGCATACCCCCTAAAGTATTAATTGGAGGCCCTCCAGCCTGCTGTACCTGAGTGATAATACTCGACGCGCCTCCTGCTGCTGCCATCACGTATGTGAATGATTCGAGCGGGCTTGATCCTTCAGTATATGGTGGTGGAGGCTCGCCTTCTTCCACAGACTTTGTCGCGTCGTGCTTAATGTCACGGGAGAAAGAAGCTTTGAAATCCGCAACTAATGAGGTCGATGGTTCCGATTGAGGATGCTCGTCGACTGGGGAAGCAACGAGAGCTGGGGTGAGAGTGGATGAGGACGGTATGATGGTACTCTTTGTGCGATAAGAATCGGACGCTGCGAGGAAAACAATAGACGAGAATGGAGGGGGATTTGACGAAAGAAAGCTGAAAGAGGAAGCCTCCGAGCAAGGAGAGTGAGGTGGCAGAGCGATATGAAATTGGTCCCTGTCCTGGTCTATTTCCGCTATGGAGTCCGTCGTTCGACGAGGGGGCCGCGCCGTGGGAGGCGAGCCAGATGGGTTGGGTAACCGCGACAAGGTGACGAGCTCTGTGACAGAATCGAGAAGGGAGCGCCTGGCCTCTGTCCTTGTGAGATTATAATCAGCCGTCTACTGAGTAGTCGTCGGTCGCGGTGAGCCCAGCTGCGTGACGACCAGGAGGTTTCGCCGTTGAGTGTCTCGATCCGTATTATTCGGGGTAGTGGCACATAACAGTTCGGATGATGTTTGTATCACTTTATCGTTCCTAATAGGTAATATACCTCGCAGAATCAGGAACAAAGAGGCGGCAAAGATATATGAAGAGGATTTCTTTTCGAGAGAAGGTGTCTGTAGAAAAATTACTAGTTTGGTGGGGATGATGCTGAAGGAATGTGGAGAGAAGAAGTGGAAGAAGGGAGAAGGTGAGGAAAGGCGGCAGGAGAGAGCGCTTAGGGAGGAGGAGCATCTGCGGGCAGGACAGCAACAAAAGCAGCGATGACAATGAAGAGAGCGGGCCAATACTGCATGTACAGTACTCCGTACTGTGCAATTACTGCTAAGGTATGTACAATGAAAATTAACAGGTACGGATTAATACACATATACTATTAGGAAGTTTCGGACCGATTCCACACTAGCCGACTAGCTCGCTACTAAGTGAACGCCCACTTCTCCTCGTCCCTATTTCTACTCAGTTGCAATGAGTACCTTAAGTGATGCTCCTGGATGGGGATTATATGCTGTTGGGCAGTCGAGTTCTACTCAGATTTTACTCCAGTCAGGAAAACCTCGCATGCTCAGCATTAAGTGGCGGTTGGCCATTTTCCAAGGAGATTCGAATCACTATGAGCGAGAGGATGCGTTGTTCAATTTCTTGTCGCGTGACTGCTCACCGAGTATATTTATATCAATATTATATCGCTACCTCGTCTCTCATAAAGATACTTGGAGGGATAGCTGTTGATGGTGGCTCTGCTTCTCAAAGAAGGTTTACGAAAGCCCTGTAAAAGTATTCGTTTATAAGATACTAATCGATGGGGCATGTAACCATACATAGAACTAGTAAACCATGCAGTGTAGGCAGTAACAAAGATAAATTGTGATTTCAGGAAAAGGACTGTTTATCTGCTGTCAATGTTTAAACATTTCGCTCGACGTAGCTCTGGATGATACCTTCAAGCGAAGGTTCGTACTCTTTGAGTGTCACTTCATCTCCATTCAAGAGGGTGTTTGCCTGGACGAAGATCTTGCGAGGCACTTTATTCTTCAGCACCACCTCGCGAACTTCTTTACCCCACCACGCATCGACGGACGTGATTTCATCGTACAACTTCTTGCCTGATTCGAAATCCGCCGTGCTCTTGTATACATGCAGCTTCTGCAAGTACTTTTCGACGGCCGGCCGACCATGTGTCAAGATTTTCGAGCGATCCAGATGAATCTCTAAATCAGAAAGATCCGATTTGCTATACGAGAGCTTGACAAAGTCGTCACCTGCATCAAGGAATGTCCGTAGGATACTGTAGCGGGCCTGCATATGCGCCTGTCCCCATTTCTGAGTCTTGGGGTCCCAAAATTCGAGCGCAACCAGTCCGGCGCGGGCCATTGAGAGGTATCCCGCGAAGAGTACATCACCAGCCGCGCTCGTAAGGTCCACCTGGCCATCACCAAAGCCAAATAGCTTCAAAATGTCAAAGTCACAGCTAAGCACCATTGCGACGCATTCCGCACGGCATTCCTCGTAAGACGAGGAGACAGCTCCAAACACGGATCCCCACGTTTGGCCAGGTTTGTACCATGTTGTGACAGGCTTGTCAGTCACTGGGCTTACGGGAGGATTAGAAATATCAAAGTTGTACATTCCAGGAGACGTCTCTTGCAGTAACTTTCCGGTCCCATGACCGAGCAGCTCATGAATGCCAACCTGAACCTCAAACGCAGCATCGCGGTTTTCGCTGTACACCTTCAAATCTTTCTCGGATATGAATGGAATGGGCTCGTTGGGGGCCTTGGCACTCAGAACATTGCCAAGGGAAACATTCTTGAAACCAAGGGTTTGCCGAATATCGTCATAATTGGGAAGATTAATACCAGCGGGAAGGCCAGAGCATTGAAAGCTCAACACCTCAAGAGATGTGAAGTCTGGACTGAGAAATTTATCTTTCTCAAATTCTCTGCTCCATGGTAATTTGGGAATCATGGTCTCAGCACTGTCTACCAGTTTGCCGAAAGCACGAGTCCGCTCCAAATTGACCTGTACAAGTTAGGTAGTGAACTACGGGACACAGAATCAAGAAGTTCAAGCAGGGATTTGTACCAGTGCGACAAACCCCTCCCATTCTCCCCTCACCCCATGAGGATCTCTGTACGTCTCGACAAAACCTAAATTGGTCTCCAATGCTGGCTTCTGATCCTTGACCCAGATGCGCTGACTCTCTTTGAATGCCTCAATGGAGCCAGATCCAAATGACAGAGCGTAAGCATCCAGCATCCGCTTCTGGGTGTCGTTAGCAGCATTGAGAGAAGCTTGCTTGATACTGTGAGCGATTTTGGCCATCTCCTCCTGATGATCGCCGAAGACAAGACGGAGCTTGTGGCCCCTGAGCCTCCCTTCGAGGTCGAAGCTAGCGACATCGCCTAGATCTCGGTCCCGTGCTGGGGGTGAGGAGACACCGGAGGCGATGAGAAGTTCGAAATCCCCATTATCGGTCTTCTTCAATCGCGTGTTCTCCAAAGGCAATCCTTTCCGCTCCAAAAAGTCACCGACGGCTGTGATTTCTTCCTTGGTGATCGACGGCGAATCAGGATAATACGTGGTCATATGGTTTCCATCTGCGTAACCCAAGTGCATACGCGATTGAGCATCTGTTTCATAAATGCCACCTCCGGCGCTGTTGGCGCGGCTGAAGGCGGCCTTTGTCTGGGATGTGGCAGAAGCGAGAGCTTCAAAAGCCTCAAAAGGTAAGCGAGGGATGAATTTCGAGTCGCCAAAGCCCTTGTAGTTACCACAGTTGCCAAGGAACTGCGCAGCATATTCCAGGAAGTAACGAAGATGCTCATGACCGACATTAGTTCTCTGTGCAAGATCTGTCCAATCACCTTTGCAGGCCCGATGAAGTTCAATGATGAGATCGTAGATGGGTTCTGACTCTGGGGAGACCTGGCGCAGCGTAATTCGAGTTCCTTCAAAAGCGGCGCTAGACGGCGGTAGCCTATGTTAGCTTGGTTGGACTGGACTGCTCGGATAGGAATTGAGTAACAAACCGACTCATATAGTGCGCGTATTTACGCAGCTTTGCATCCTTTAGGTTCTCGAAATGTGACTTGACTTCTAAGCGGACCACCGTGGGGGGTGAGTCAGCCAGATAATGTTGCTTAACTTTGTTATCCATGTTGGCTGACGATGTCGATGATTTCGTTGACAATGGCAGTAATAATGAAGGTGAAGATGATAGTCTTGTTGCCGCTGCTGTGATTCTTGCACTGCCAATGGGAGTTTTGGAAGAGAGATTGTTGGTCAGGAAGGAGGAAGACCAGCTTTGGATGGGATGCTGAGAATTGAGGGGTAAGTGGGAGCAGGAGGGGCGGCGGTGGACCGACGGAAACCGCCTCCGGACGCTGTGAAGAGGGTGGTGGTGCATCCGCAGGAGCCTGGCGAGTGCTGTGACTTCCTATCTTATTTATCACAGCTGCTGCGTCAAGTGACCTTCCAGCAATGTACACAGTAAGCTTCTGCGATCGGATAGAGGATCTTGGCAGAAGTGGAGCTTTGGGTTTCTCATGATGTGTGAGAGAGGCCCACTTTGTTCGGTCGATGTCTTCGTACAACTACATCAATGTACTCGCTTTAGATAAACATGGTAGGAAGCTACAATACCACGGGCGATTATGCTCGACCGCCCCAGTTCTATGAGTGCAAGGTTTGCAAACAAAACTTCATATATACATACAGCAGTCTTCGGATCAGCCACCCCCATAATAACTGCTTCACGTGCAGAAAGATTCGAAGGCACACTTTTCGTTGCCACTCCATGAAGTACTTTCAATCATGGTAAGCCCGTGGTAGCTGAGTTATTGAGAGAAAGAGTGACAGTTATGCAATAGCGTAGGCCATTAAGTTCACAGCAAACTCTCATACTTGTCGAGACCCTGTTTTTGCGTCTCTGGCGGCGATATTGGACTGTTGTTGGTAAAAGAGGTGGGTGAAGTATGATCACTGAAAGGCGATCGGACGGGATTCTTCGGTCCGCTAAGGTTCGTAAAGCGACCGACCTGACTATGACCGACTGGTGGAGGAGGAATAGAGTATGCAGCATAGTTGGGAGCAGGCTGCAATCCTTGTCCAGAGGTGCCTTTATTTACCTTGAGACCGGATAGGGACCCAAAATCATTGCTAGAAGCCCTCGACTTTTGAGTACGTTGTTGGAAAGTTAATGAGATTGGTGACGTCCAAGAAGGAGCAACAGGAGAAGAAGGCTGCAGCGAAGAATATGCTGGGGTTGAGGGTGAGCTCGTTCTAGCAACAGGCTGCAAGGGAGGAAAAGAGCTCAGGTTGTAATCAGGTGTGACCGAACGCATGCTGAGACTTGACTGCGTTGGTGGCATACCTTCCTTGGGGCTAGAAACGCTAAGCGACCAGGTAGCTCCTGTCGATGAAGCACTCTGGATGGGAGCTGGCTTGCCTGCAGATTCTGCAGAGTCAGTGCTCCAGAGATTAGTACCTTGAGCATTAGGGCTCTCCAGACTTCGTCCCAGGACCAGACGCTCAAATGTGTCTCGTACATCCGCGCCAGTCTGATTCAAACCATCAGAGGTTTTTGAAGAACCCAATTCACCATTCTGAAATTTGTTGTTATCGCCAGTAGAACCAAGCTCCTGAAGTTTCTTTGTTTGTTCTCGTTCAATCCTTGAGGAAAGATCCTTTATCAGCGTCATGAAACCGCTAAACTGTCGAAGATCAAGGAGAGGTCCGAGACTAAAGCTCCAAAGAATTGGAAGAATTTCCAAGGCAAGGAACTCAGTGTCTGCGACTGTCCCGATCTGTTGGAACACATTCAGTGCTGCCATCATGACAGCTGGTTCCTTTGTTTTTATGGCCTTCAGTGATGGAACAAGTTTCTCTTGTATTGTGTATTTGTCCAAGATCGATGATTTGCTCGACTGCGAACCGCTCTTTTGAACAATACCCGTTAAATCGTCTCCCAAGGCCACTTCAGAGTGTACTGAGCCGCCACAGAGAACAGCGAATGCCTCTAAGCAACGCACTTTGATAGCAAGGCTATTTGTGCGACTGAATGTGGCAGCGATAGGCGGGAAGACCTCATGCTTAACAGTACTGAAATCTAAAACAGGTAGGATGACTGGAAGGCATTTTATAGCACCATCTACCAACGAGTGCGTCGGTGAATCAAGTCCCAAACGGATTAGGGGCAAGATATCTGTTGAAATTAGACTTGGGTTGTGCTCACAAGGATGCTTTAGAAGCAATGACGGCAACTGACCTTCCTTGAACTCCTTGCCTGAACAGTTCTTAGCCACGATGCTCATATTATCGAGAACCACCATCATCCCTGCATCCTTCTTAGAGTCACGCTCATGCTGGGCCCCTTTACCTACTGAAAATGTCTGTTTGAGCTGGGGAATTACTTTATCGGGAAATATGCGCCGAGCATTTGTGATGCGTTGTAAAATAGCAAAGATGTTGCCTAAGATTAGAGGTAGAAGTTCACGATCCTTCATCTCGTCTAACAAAGCTCCCAATACTTTTCTTTCCAGCACAGACACTGGAAATTCGGGTAGCACTCGTTGCAATCCGCGCATGAACTGTGATTTCTCCTTCGCGTTCTTTGCTGGCAGAGACTCCAGAAAACGAATCGTAGAAACCAAGATATTGTCGAAGTATTGAGACTGCTGGAATTCTCGAGCATTCAGTCGTTGAGCGGGCCTTCTGGTTATCAACCTCGGTAGTACATGAGCAAGGATATCCTTAGGAATTGTCCCCGAGGACAAAAAGTTGTTGCCTTGGGATGGAGTAGTAAACGAAGAGCTAAGAAGCTTCTTGTATGTGCTCACATTTGAATGTGTCTGTAGTGGAGATACATGGGGTGAGTTGTAGAGAGCCACAATCATCAGACCAAGTGAGAACAGGTCAGCAGCGAATGTGACATTTGCATCTAACACAAAGTCCGGAGAGGTATAGTCCATGTTCAACTGGACTGATGCCGGGAGGCGGGGGTCTTGATGGAGTACTTCGGACAAGGCAAGCGGTGGAAGCGTCGATCGTGAAGCCGACGTACTTGGAGGGCCAGCGAATCCGAGCCCAGAGATCTTCCAGTCTGACTTGGAATTGATGAAAATGGCTTCGGGGTTAAGATTTCCGTGAACAAGCCCGGCCGACTCGTGAAGGAATTCGAGACCCTTTGCCACCTGCAAGAGTCCTTTTTGTATCTCTAACTCGTCAAGATCAAAATCTCGTCGCCTTCTTGTTCCATCGGGCTCCTCTACCATGTAGCGAGTAGACCCTCCAAGACGGTGGATAGAGGTGGGCCCAGGAGAACTCTCTTGAGCATCCTTGGCCTGCAAAAGTCCAGCGAGAGAGGCAGTAACCTGTTCAGTAGCAAACATGAGCCCACCACCACGCGTTTCCTCCACAGGCTCTAGAACCTGAAGAACAGAAGGATGTCGAAGTCGTGCGAGAGTGCCTGCTTCGCGCTTCAGTCGCTCAACCACATCTTCCTGCAACTTCTTAATGGAGACACTGGAACGACTTCCCAGCCCGGTTGAGCGGGGCTCTAGAGCCTTCTTATCAAAGATGAAGATGGAAGCCGAAGTGCCTGTAGATTTTTTCTTTCCGTCGTGTATCTTCCATGGGCCTGAAATCAAGGTTGGGTGGGGGGAGACTTGATAGTTTGAGGATATATTAGAGCTCAATGATTTGAGCGCAGATGAAAACATGTTGGCTGTCCACCCTGTTACTATAGACGTTTCCGAGAACACAAAGCACAATTGATAAGTTCAATGCATCTAAGGCGAAGCTCATTCGGCGGCCTGAGATATCACGAATTTGCAATGATAACGCAGCAATAATAACGCAGCAATAGCTCGGGATTAGATGCGTATGGATAGGCACAGGAGATAAGAAGTAGCTGACTTTGAGGAAGTCGCTCCAGATGCGGATGAAGAATAAAATTGTTGTAAGAGTCGCTCAGCTTTCCCAAGGGCATTTGCCTTTTCCTTAGGTTCAAGTTCTCATATTCATGGCCAGCACATGAATAGTCGCCAATCGGGCGGCCAGCTGCCCGCCCGGCCGCCATCACGTGCACTTAGACATGTTGATCGACCGAAGCCAGACAGACAACCTTTTGCACTGACCGCCTGCCTCTATCGAGTAATGCCGGGTATCGGTGCCGCTCGAGGCCGACGTCGGAACAATGCTTTCAATGACAGTGTGATGGTCAATCTAAATGAAATTGAACTATACATAGAAATTGAATATAGCTGAAATTCGTTTAGATAGTTACACCCACGATTGTAGATTGACTCGCTTCAGATTTGCGGGTTTGTGTGTCCCTTATCCCGTCCGGGGCAAAACTATTTTGATATTCCTTTATCTGTGGATCTTCCGGAGTTGTGCCCGTGGTCCGTGGGAAAAGAGTCATCAAGTGCTTCCCTCCACCTTTTTAAGCTCCGCAACCGCCACAAAATAATCTCAGCAATTCCTGGTGACAGTGCAGTGCAGGGCCGGCTAACTCCCTCTCTACCGTGCTATCACCATAAATTCTGCGGATCAACCCATCATGTGCTCATTCCAACTCGCCCGCCGTAGGGCGCTATTGCAGAGTTTCGCCGCCCCTTGTGCTGTGCCGAATTCCACCATGAATCAGTTATGGAAGAGATGCTTCACTGCCATACCAGCTGCTGCTTCCAAGTTAGCTGGCCTTGATCCGACCAAGCTCACAGTCACTAAAACAAGCACGCCCAAAGAGTTGACAGCCGCCAAGAACCTTGTCTTTGGGAAAACTTTTACTGGTACGAACACATAGCACTGGTATCGAACTGATGACGTTCGTTCCCGATTTGAGCTAACGTTCGCTCGCCCACAGACCACATGCTTTCAATTGAATGGACAGCAGCTGATGGCTGGCATGCGCCCCAGATCGTTCCCTACCAGAATCTGAGTCTTGATCCCTCTGCATGCGTGTTTCACTATGCATTCGAGTGCTTTGAAGGTATGAAGGCATACAAAGACAACAACGGCCAGGTCCGGCTCTTCCGTCCCAATAAAAATATGGCACGCTTGAATAAATCATCATCCAGAATTGCGTTGCCCACATTCGACGGCGATGCTCTGACCAAATTGATTGGAGAACTTGTGAAGCTTGATAGTAGATTTATCCCAGAGTCAGTAGTATCTGCTTTGCAGGGTTTCGGTCGTGACTAATCCTCCTCCTCTGTAGTGCTCGAGGATACTCATTGTACCTGCGTCCCACAATGATTGGCACTCAAAAGACTCTTGGCGTCGGCCCCCCGGGTAGCGCACTTCTATTCGTGATCGCAAGCCCCGTGGGTCCTTACTATCCTACTGGCTTCAAAGCCATCTCTCTTGAGGCCACCAACTATGCAGTTCGCGCCTGGCCTGGCGGCGTTGGAGACAAGAAGTTGGGTGCCAACTACGCTCCTTGTGTGCTACCTCAACTCGAAGCTGCCTCTCGCGGTTTCCAGCAGAACTTGTGGCTTTTCGGGGAAGAAGAGTACATCACTGAAGTTGGTACGATGAATCTCTTTGTCGCGATGAAAAACAAGGAAACCGGCCAGAAAGAGCTGGTGACTGCACCGTTGGATGGAACAATTCTTGAAGGTGTCACTAGAGATTCGGTATTGGCCCTGGCAAGGGAACGACTGGTGCCAAAGGGCTGGGCAGTCGCAGAACGCAAGGTCAGGATGGCTGAGCTTGCTGAAGCAGCTCAGCAGGGAAGACTTATTGAGGTCTTTGGAGCCGGGACTGCTGCTATCGTCAGCCCTGTACGCAAGATCAGCTACAAGGGTCAGTTGGTTGACTGCGGTTTGAGAGAAAATGAAGAGGCCGGTGAAATCGCTTTGCAGATGAAGAATTGGATTGAGGGTATCCAGTATGGTGACGAGGAACACCCTTGGAGGTAAGAATATCTGCTCTGTTGCACTCCTTTTACTGTCAATTCATACTGACAACAATTGCAGCTACGTTCTATAGAGCCGGATTCGAGAGAGATAGATTTATCTGTTCTTTACCACGGCCACGTGTTGTGCATGCTTTGCTGTCTTCGATAGACGGATCTAAAACTAGTGGCTTGGTTTTAGAGGACTTATGTATGGTTAATCATTGTTCGATGAGACACAAAACATAAACACTACAAGAACAGTCTGATTTTTGTCCAACAGTGGGGTCTATCTGTCAAGAATTTTCAACCAAGATCCAGGATACGCTATCACCGGATCGTCTAGCGATGCCCGTTCTACCGCTAAATGCACGGAAAGCATAGTCTTCAGTAGGCGGAGCTGGACAAAGCTCACAAAAGACTTTAGAGTTCAGGACATCGACTACTTCCTTCGATTGGGGAGGGAGGGTTTGTTCTGGAGTACCTGTTCCCGACGTTCGAGGCCAGCATATGGTTTGTAATAGTGCCCACATGTAGTATGTAACCAATGGGGACACACGAAGATTCTACCTTTGAGATTCACAGTAGGAAGAGAGTTGGGGAAACAACGCAAAGGATGTTTTTTGACTTCGATGGGGGTTCTCGCAACTCATCCCTGAGCAAGAGGAATCATGGCGATAGCTACGCCGACTTTAGTCCTCGATGGCATGGGTAGAGCTAACATGTTCACTACCATTGGAAAGAAATATGGTCTCACAAACCCCCTTACCAATCAGATTGTACAACAACTGACTTTGAGTTTACTTGAATCCATCAGTCAATCTCCTGACTTTCATTGCATTTGTAAGATAAACCACGGGTGGCAGTATCTTGATCTGGCCTCGATCTAAGAGCCGATGAATAATCACTGTAGGCTTGTATCTAAGTGTACGGAGTACATACCTCACTGAACATAAAATCGACCTACAAAAGCTAGAGCCTACCAAGGTAGGGACCAAACTCAACTCTAAATGAATTACCCACTAAGTACACTAGCACTAATACTAGTAGAACTTCAATTCTCTCAGCCGATCATGTTTATACGAACAGACCAATAAGCAGGCTACCTACTACAAATACACCTCAACCTCTTAAGAGTTTCCAGTCAGGCAACCACGAAGTTTACCTGTGACAACTGAAGCCCGGGACCGTGCCTCAGGGGTACATACTGTCAGGTACCTTCCAGTTGGCACTTACTGTGGGCAGGGAGACATACTCTGTAATGGGTACCTTATGAAGATCCACTTTACCTCGTAATGAGGGATCGGTTTCTCTCCGGAATTATTTAGTCTTCAACTCGACTTCAGTAGATACGTACTCCGTACTCCGGACTCTATACCTATTCTAGCCATCAAATACCCAGTCAAGATCTGGTACAAGGGGCAAATAACTACCGAGTAGGCAACAACGTGCCGGCGGGATCCGTTTCGCCAGTAATTCGCCCGGGCCTGTCTTTCTCCTGCCTCACCTGACTACCGTACTGCTGGTTACTGTAACTTAACCATCGGTACAGTACTGTACTAGAATGATACCCACATTACTTGATCATGTATTTCCTCGATCGCCAAGGCTGTGCTGCATTCTGAAGAGGCCATGTCTCGAGAAGGGGAAAAGACCAGAAAATCATGTGATAAGTTGCCGGCTCATGCTTCAATGTTTGTTTCTCGTGCTTCTTCCCGGATCATTCGGATTTAACAAGGAGCCGCAATTCTTTTCGCCCGCCCGCACAACCTACCCGCAGCCCGCTTGACATCCACCGCCCGCCGCCGGCCCCTCCGGGTCCTGCCACTGGCATGGTTCCACTTCTCCATTTTCAGCTCGTCTCTGACATGGACATACCTTAGTTTGCATGAGTCGGTGTAAGATACGCCATACGATCAACTAGCTTCCATTCCGGATGCAACTTTGGGTACAGCACCTGATATATTACAACAGCCGGATCGATAGACTTATGATGGATTACCTAGTGTTTGTCTACAGTGGTTGAGATCGTGGGTCTCCTCATACCTTACGGCATCCGGGGAATTGTGCACTTTAAGGGCCCTGAGAAATAGAGAGCCCCTATGGTGATAGGTACGAAGATCACTACCAATACCACCATAGTACTAAGAGTCTAGTACGGCTCAATACGGAGTAGGGCAAACTTGCTACTTGTTCGGCTTCGCGATTGCAGTAATCTGCGCGACGATCGGGGTTCGGGTTTTGATCGACCGTCTCATGGCCGGCATCACTATCCACGATGCGCGCAGTATAGTACATGAACCAACGCTTCCTGGTTAGCGACATTGTGAAAAGTCACAGGCCAATGCATATGGAATATAAGCGTCTGAAATGTGGTGTTGTTCGGTTAATCTCCCTCCTTCCTTGTTTCTTCTCTTTCCAACTGACGATTGCTTAGAATAAAGGAACGCGATTGGTATAGCGCATTACAGTACACTGTCGAAGTCATGAACTGTACAGTAAGTACTATTTATGGTACTAACCGGATCTGGGAGTTTTATAAGGTAAGGTAGTAGTACATTCTCATGAACACAACACGATGTGATACTTGTATCACTTGGACCATCGGTATCTCGGTGAGGCCGAGATCGGTAATTGGCAAAATCTACTAATTGGGGTTGACTGTAACTCATCCATGAATCGTTAATTAGCAAATTAGTCCGATCAGGCCCGTGCCCAAAGGCGTACCAGACATCACGCTAAGAAAGTGGTACCGCTGGTCATCACCTCGAAACCCTGGCCATGGTTTTTATGATAGCTATGTCCACGAGGGCATACGGACTGTGTTGAGGCTCTAAAATCTGCATTAGTCGGCTGCGAGCTCAATCACTAACTACGCGGTAGGGTGACAATTACTGTGGGCGCTAATTTACCGCAGTGATACGCTGCCGGGCTAGAGGAAGGTCTCCTCTCTCTCAACTATCTAAAGTCTCTCCCACTGCCGGTAGCCAATTTCGGGGCTGGCCTGTGGTAGTCCATTCTTCTACAATCGTGTCTACAGAGTCCACATATTAACGAGAAACCGTTGATTGCAGGTCGTCTTCGGCACAGCAGGAGGTATATAGAGTGCTGCTCAGTCCCATGAGAGCAGTTCCCCGATCCAAGTTACCTTCACGACTCAGAATTCTAGACTGAGATTGGAAACAGCACGGAATGCCCGCTGGTGGCTGCTTTTCATGTGAGGATTCCTTCTGTTATGGTCGTGCAGTCGTGTCGGTCGTGGACTCGGGTCTGGCTGGTCCAGTAGTTAGGTATTCCATGCATGCGTGCACCAATCAGTTGCGCTAGCGGCTTTTGCAATAACCTACCGCAGTTGATGGGGCCGCTGGTCCGCGAGCATCGCCACATGGTCGAGGCGCTAAACACATTTCAAGATTACTATAATCAGGGATATCGTGGGGGCCATTTTCTACTATTCCTCGAATTGGAACTAGTAGCGGTTGAGTCGAGAGGGCGCAGGACTGGGGGGTATTGTGGTGTAGCGGCCGAAAAAGCCAACTCGTGGAAAGGGAGGCTGGCAACATGTTTGGTCGCACCTCACTTTCTTAGCTTGTGAGGCACTCGTTCAAGCATACTAAGGTATCTGCACATGCACACTCAAATATGCTAGCTAAGAGATTGATTATCCACCGTACCACTAGATCTGGTAAGCACTGGAAAACACCTAGGATAAACAACGCGGGTCTGCCCTTATGGCATGGAAAGGCTAAGATCATCGCCAGATCCCTGAAGGTCATTTGGAGATTCCACATGCAGATAGGATTTCTGAAGCACTCTGAGGTGCTACTCAATACATGATTGCGCAATTTTAAAGAAAAATGCTTACCTGCAGGTCTCTCGGTCTTGAAAGAAGGTCCGATAAGGGTGGCGCTAATTCGTGAAGCCATGGCTCTTGGACGTAGAATCTCCATACAGTAAATCATATAATTAGGTACTTAGGTGACGCCAGAGAGCTCTGGGGACGGGGGTCAGTTGGAAGTTTGTTTTCGTATTCTTCCTGGTCCTCAGGGCCCTTTAGTCTCCTGCTGGCTCCTTGGCCAAATGGTCTTCTGTCGGATGATGACTATTTTTGACCCATTATACTCGTTATACTCGTTATGAATTGTGTCGGCCGCCCGCATCTAACTATATACGACTTGGAGTATATCAGGGTCAAAAATGGTCCGAGAGAATAGAGTTTGTGTGTATACGAGTGCCTTGGAAGCAGAGTTTAAGAGATCTATGCCGAACATCAGAGTCAAGGCTACTGCAAGCCACCATCATAGCACGAAGAGTGTTAAGGTGCAGCATATCAACTCAGTTTCAGGCATTATGGTCGGCCTTCTAGAATTCCCAACAGGTTCGTTGTGGCACCTGCCAAGTGCTGTCTACCGGAACCTCTCATACTTCTTCAGGTACTTGTGCGATTTGAGGCAATTAAACCGTAAGGTAAGCCCTTGAAATGCAGGAGTTAGACTCATTCAACCACGAATTTAGCTATCTTGAGGGTCTAGTGTTTTGAATAAGTACTTATAGTGATGTTACAAGTACGAGCCTTGCCTGCAACCAATGAACGCTGCGTAGCGTGGCAGAAACCGATTTCACGAGGTCGACGGTACACGAGGCAGTATAGACTTGGCCATGCTCATACGAGAAAGCGTCACATGGCTCGATTGTGGTGCAGGAATACTGAGGTCCTTCCTTCCATTCAGCGCGGAATCCGGCTTGACGGATTCCTTCAAACCCGAAGATTCGCGGATACCAAAGTATATTTACTATAAGCACACTCCTAGGTTGCGGTGTGCACCGGGACTTGGCAGTGCTGCAAGGAAGAACGTATGGTACAAGCACATCATGCTATGTGAGTTGCTGTAGCTACTGCATCCGTTCTGACTGAAGCAACATTCCTTGGCAGTATTGAGTTAGGCCCGCAGTCCTGTTGCCAGACATTCAATGTAGTGAACTATACTCAGACCCCTCAGCCCTAAACACGGATGCAGAACTGGTAGACAGTGATCAGTCTAGCCCCAGGTTCCGCTAGTCTTATTCCAAGCCGGGAGTGACTACACAGTATGTCTATAAGTCATTGAGCCGCATATGTAGCATAGCAGGACCAACATGAGCATCTGAGGGTCTCATGGCCCGGCCCCCTAAGAAAGAAGGTGATTTCTCATCTCAGTGAACAACAAGTCACTTGAGACTGGGGAATAGATCACAACGGTGACCTGGGATTATTGGTCTCGTTGGGCTTGAGGTGATGTCGTTCGACCTTCCCCTCGTTTGCCCCTCAGGGACTTGTTCTCGGGAGGACAAGCCCAGTCAGAGAGCCGTAGGCGTTATCTGCATTTGCAAAAATCCTGTTCGGCAATGACCGGGACTCATGGGTTCTACACTTGAAGCTGGGTTTCCTTCAGAATGTGTTCGAGCAGCCTTAAGAGTGAAACCGCTATGCAATCTTCATCAGTGAGGCAGTGTGTAGCCAGGGCCAAGGCAGAGCAGGAATTTGAAGAAGAAAGTGCACATTTGTAAAAGGAATGGTGATCACGCACTCCCACTAAGGAAGAGAAACGGCAATTTTCAAGCGACTGAAGCGAAACGGGCGGTTTTTTCTTTTTGCTGTAGGACGGCAAGTCAAACTTGGGAGGGGCGGAAGTACGTATGTACATAACGAAGTGGGCTGTGCTTCGTCATTGAGGCACACCTTGGAAGATAATAATCATAAGAACTTGTAATCAAAATCCTTAACGCATGGCTTGAGTGGCACACGTTCGAGGGTGACTTGATGGTCTGTTGCGGGGCCGGAAAACACCCGCGACTCAATGGGGCCGAATTGAAGAGGCAAGGAAGCATCCCATTTCTCCAGCCCACCCCTTATCTGGACCGGTCCTTCGGAGATGGTGAGATCTTTATCCTTAGTTTCACTGCCAAGATGAAGGGGTGCAACGTGGCCGAAGTCGAGGCCGTGCACTCAAAACTCGTATTCACATGCTTTTGGCAGAGACACACACGGAGTATGCAGGTGGTCACTCGCGGGAGCAAAAACAACCCAGAGTGTGGCATTTTGTAAGCCCCTGTTTGAGTAAACAGATTACCCAGCAGGTAACTCGGCATGCTGTTCTAGAAAACAAGGTGCTTTATCGTGGCTGGGTTTGGGGCTCATCTCTCCTGAGTATCATGCATGGCGGAAAGTTACAAGTCCTACTGATTACTCTACACACTAAACACTAATCATATCACGTTTCAACTACTACATGAACCTGATACGGATCGCTTCAGGGATAAGTATTAGAGAGAAGTTGGTGCAACGGACAGAGTCAAGAGCGCTAAATCTGGGGCTTAGCTACTGAATTGTAGATATCGAACAAAGACATCATGCGCAGGGCGGTATTCAAGCTGAGCTCCTCAGTAAGCAGTGCGTCGGGAGGGTCTATGAGACGAAACCAGGAGTCATCCAACAAAACGCTCCATGTCAGCGGATTTGATTATCTACTCCGTTCTTGACTCAAACCAAATACGCAAATCTGTTGAAGTATCTCAATATCATTACTAAACTCGCCCGAACAGCAGACATCGTTGACATCTTGATGAGCATTGGGTTTAGCGAGACATCGTGCTGCGTTACCAAACCAAAGTATAAAGTTACCATTGTTACAGAGTAGGAAACGGGTTGGGAATCGACTAGTTAGTGCCAAAGTTGCGATTTCAGCCCTTCCGTGAGTAATGTTCTTACACTGTCACGTCAAGGCCACGCATACAGTAGCGAGTAGAATACATGCCAAGGCAGCAGGTCGCTATTGGGCTCTCTTCCTACCTATCACTGAAACCTTAATACTTACTTCTTATTTTGGTTCGCATACAAGCTCCCCGGCCCTGTACCGCTCTTCAGTTGCCCCAGGCCCAACCCAAACATGGGTCTCTCATCGGAACACTGCGTTATAGTATGTTCTGTGTTGTTGTACTGTACCCACTTTACATGGTATATGATAGGCAGTTGATATGTCATGTCCCCAAAGCTTCCCCACACTTGAAGGGCGCGAGTTCAAAAGATTCAAGGCTGCCTGGCGCTTGAGCGGACATCAGTACAGCATCTGAACTTCTTTTGTATCGACCACAGCCTGAGTCGGATCGTGCGCGCACCCAGATGTTTATTTGACCAATTCAGAAAATGCTCGCTAGTACAATTTGTTTCCATTTTCCTTTCCGTTTTCTTTTCTTTTGCTTTTTTTTGGCCTTTCTCCCTTTCTTTTTTTTTTCTAGCTTCTCTTTTTAAAAAAGCGAATGCCACCCAACAATCGTGGTAATGAGAGATCTGGCTTCTTGAAGAAGTGAAGATTAGAATATGTGCATACAGTATGCCCATGAAAATCCCACAAAGAGATTACGACCGCTCATTGTCAAGCTAGCCAAGCCTAAGTGATTTCTTGCAAGCGATTACAGTACGTAGGAGACAAGCAAGAAGCGAGTTGTTAACCGAGATCTACCAGGCATCGGGGTCATTCCAATTTCCTCCTCCGAAGGGGTGCTGTGGCCGATTGCACTAAGTACGGTGGAGGCCGTCTCGTGGATACTGCTGGTCCACTTCGTAAAAATCGGTATGTGCAATATGGAACCACATGGCCAAGATTGGTGGACAAACCAGAAGTTGGTATCAAGTCTACTCCGTAGCACAGCCTGATATCATGTCTGTCTAACTCTGCCCCTCCTCCCTTCACTGTGGTCGTATCGGCCATCGGGATCCGCTAAAACAGCCTCATGGTCCAGGATTGCCCCTAACCCACGCTCTAACTCACGCCGGCTATTAGTGACGCCGTCCAGCCCTGCACATCGGCGCATCCATTCGGGTAAGGTTCCTTACCAACGACACATGGTCGAGAGCCATGCATTCCCTGCAAGTGCCCACACCCTGGTCACTCTTTTTACCCCCATGTAATCATGTACTGTATTTTCATTTTTTTTCTAATCTCATTTATTTACATAATTTTTTTCCGAAATAAAAGGCACCCAAAAGAGATGGACCTAGTGTTCATACCCCCACCCTTAATCAGAAAGGGGAAAAATAGAAAATCAACAATAAGATTAATGGGCTTAGGAGCACGGACTAACGCTTTTATCGCAACGGTTCAATCGACAGTCGCTGATGGACTACTGTCATTTGGACCGGGGCTTAGCAGGCACAAGCTACAGACCTGTTTGCCAGCTGATCAACCCATGGCGTAGTTTTGTTTTAAAAACCGAATACCTCCTGCGCATTTCTCTCGCTTCCAAAAAGTAAGAGCAGTGATTCTTCCACGGCTCGTCACTACTTATATAGTTTATTCATTATCCCTCTCCCTCCTCATTCTTCACTGATAAGCAACACAATCACGTACGTTTGCGCCTGGAACTATTGGTAGCTATATACCTCTCCCTTCTCCATGCCCAACATGCATCGTTCATCAAACTACACCTATCCGCAGTCCTCCAACTCGAGAGGTTCATCGAGTCACGCTTCCAGCAGCGCTTTCAGTCCCAATGCCAATCCTAACGAGGACTGGACTAAGATCTCCGATCTTGCGGAGCGGCGTCGGATACAGAATCGCATCGCGCAAAGAAACTACCGTATGTCCCTGGCCTGGGCAAGCCGTGAAGTACCATTGACTAATAAGGATTGCTCGTCTGGTAGGTAAAAAGCTCAAACGCCGCTTGGAGGATTTGGAAAAGCGAGCAGCTACGGCCTCAACATCACCTGAAAGAACTCTCGAAAGACAGGAACCAGCGAAGGGTGTACATACAGCGAAGGCCAGTCGCAGCAAACCGAACCGCGCATCCAAATCCAGTCAGAATATCACCAACCACACGCCCAGTGAGCGAGGCTCGTCCTACGACAGTTATTCCACCTCGGATGATCGAGGGTCAATGTTTTCTCATCAGTGTACCCGTCAGCTTTCGGCGTCCCCACCCCCGGTGTTTTCCTACCCATCCTACTCACACTTGGACCCGTATGGCCATTCGAGCTACGGCCAGCCTCCGGCATACCACCCCATTGGAGGCAGCTACCATGATCTATCCTACCACAATGAATACAGTACTCAGCTGCCATCAATCCTTCCCGTTGCCTTCTCAGCCACGGGCCCGTCTAAGAAACCCCATTCTTATGCCGACGACGAGATTGTCAGTCCTTTCAGCATTAGTTATGCCTCAATGGCGGGCATCGATCTCTGTCCAACACCACAACACTTGCCGGAGACCAATATCCCTGTACATACCCCTCTCACTACACGACACATGTCTGTACTAGAGCTCCAGGGTTAACGGTGCTAATTCCGTCTCTCAGATGCCACCTTTGTCTTCAGCTCTTAGCGATGGTCACTCGTCACCGTCAACCCCAGCAGAGCCTTCTTTGGGAACAGGCCCTCTGACACCAAAGTCAGGTCCATGCTCACCTCACATGTATCCCTTTCTATGATTATACGACGACCCGAATTCCTTCTCGATTTCTGACACCTTCTCACCGTTCCTCTATTTAATGACTGCAATGATGTGTCACTGGCAACTGTGTTTTAAGCGATTGCACGATTTTTGTTTTCTGTCTATTTTGTTTCTGTTACTTCTCGGCGTCTATCGTCTGCGGTTTGTTTGGTCAATTGCCTAGAGCGGTTCGTGTTGGTTCAGTGGAGAGCCTTCCTACATTGGCTGTGCGCCAGCTACTCACATGAAGTTCGAGTAAGTAGTAAGGGATTATTACCACAGATAGAGGCATGGGTTAGCGGCGTTCTCCGACTTGTCACAATTGGACCTTTCTAGGGCGTATCTGGGAGATTGGACTACAAAGTGCAAATCATTAATGAAAAAGAACATTCCACTATACCATTGATGAGTCTCCGTTTTAGGAGAAGTCTGAAGTGAAGCGCGAATGAACAAAGAAAGCTAGGAATAGCAAGTATCGTTGAACTCAGGTAGTACAAAGTACGGAGTAGTGATCCAGAGTTTGGGCCAGAGCAGTGGAGCAGCAAGTCCATCCAGATCGAGTAATCGCGAATATTGACTCATTCCACAGTCCACACTAGTACTAGTAAGGTAAACTACCTACCTAGCTGCCTTGTGAAGTGGGTGAAGTGGGGGTGAAAGTGTTTGGCGAACATGCATAATTGGCGGGCTCGTCTGTACCCTTCCAGGTTCCATTGTTTTTTTTCAGCCCCCAGCCCAACAGTAGAGCCCGCGCTGAGCACTTTACCTGGTTAGGCAAGGTGCACCTGCCATCGGCGGCTCATCGGTCGGCCACCCCGTGCCTTCCAATTTAGGTAAATCATTGATCAGGCCGGACCACCCGGGGTCCACGGGGTTGAAGGCTTCCGTACGGAGGACCCCGTACTTGGGTTGATGAGGTCAACTTATGAGAGTAGAATAAGTAGGTAGTTGTAGCAGTAATAGTCGTAGTAGATTAGTACTGTATGTACTGTATAAAGCAACAGCAGCAGCAGTATCTAACACTCTCTGTGGGGCCGAACTCCCCGCGACATACACAGACAGTACTATCACTACTGTGTACTCTGTACAGTAGTATATTGGCCCCCACTAGTTAACTAACACCCATTTTTCAATAGATGTAAATAAGTTACCGGGGTATAACTACCTAACTCTCAACTGATCCATCCATGATCGCAAGGCCTTCCACTTTTGGGGCCAAGGTAGATGATTCACCAACCGGAATGCAACCTTCACAGGGGGTTCTTGACTTGTCCATCTCATCGCGACTCAGGCTTTCTCATCCCCTCCAAGACTCTGCGGCCGTATAGCGCCTGGGCCAGACTCCAGCCCGGGCAACCATGCCGCTCCCGGCCGATGATCCCCTCCCAAGAGAGGTCGAACGGTAAAGGCGGGATTTGGATGGGGAGCAGAAACAAATCACCCTCTACGAAGTAATTATCATTGCTCCCGCGGTTCTACCAGGAGGCTCTGCTCACGGCGCAACCACTGTGACGTATGGCTAGTGATCGCTGGTATGCTACTGCTGCGCCTCCACAGCTCCCGTCAAGATGCGGTACAATCATGTTGGACGGAGGAGTATCACCAGATTTGCGGATTACAAATCAATTCATTTGTACCCTCACGGTTGGTCATTGATTAGTTAAACCAGTTGACAATTCACATCTGACTCTCATCTAAAATTACTTGCAGATCTTGTCTCAGTCGACCTAATACAAATATGACTGATGTTTTGTCGTATCTGATGTTTTAGCCTGGCCCCCCTTCCCCCCGCCCCCCAGCCTCATTATGAGTAAATTGAGTATGAGTAGGTAATTGTACTCGGAAATAACGCATATCGCCGACTCTCGCACTCGGAGTTTACGGCAAATCGCACCTCGGATCAATCTGGAATGGAGTTCTTTCTGGACTGCGAAGGATTGCTATCTCCACGGAAGTTGCTTCAATAATAGAACCTGAAAAATGCCAGAATCGCCAATACATACTTTCAGAAACGGGGTCGACACCACGTCTACTTGGTACATAACATAGAGCCTCCTCCTGTGGATCCAGGTCGCTAGATTGCCAATCGTGATTTCTAATCATCCAGCAAGAGAAACAACCTTTAATCTGCGAGATACGAGCAATTGAGCCACCCGTGTCCCCGAGCCTCAGGTAGGACTGATTACATGTGAAAGATATAAAAATATTCCGCACCAGTTTGTGTGCACATTCTTTTATTAACCTGAATTAGAGAGTGCTGTACGACTTCATTTGCAGTTTCCGTGCAACACGCTGTGGAGATACAGCTTGCTGGCACCAACCAGAATTGTCCCTCTCCCAGCGAGTGATTAAGTGATCCCAACGTTGCAACGATCCTAGGCGCCCCGGAACTGGGTTACATGGCATTTGGACGATTCAGAGGGCAAAGATGCTTGCTTCTCTTTGATAGCGTTTCCGCCTCAACTCGGTCGGAGCTCGTATAGACAGGCAGCCATCAGGCCACGCTAATGCGAGGCTCCAAGCAGCATCAGGTGCAGAACATGCCCAGCATGAGGACATGAAAGAAAGATGATCAAAGAAAAGAAAAGAAAAGCAAAGAGAAGAGAAAACTTACAACGCGGCTCAAACTGAAGATTTGTCTTGTCTGCTGTACTGTACTTACTGTATGTACTGTACCTTGATAAGGCAAACGACGGTGAAATCCGACCAAAAGGAGGGGATCTCGGGAAATTTGAATGTACATACCTGCAAAGTCACGGACGGACCCCATCCTGTTACATCTCGCAAAGCGCATTTAAGGGATCCTGGAGCCATGGGGTTGCCGCGAATCCCATCCAAACAACAACTACACGCCCATTATCAAACCTTGCTGGTGGGGATCGAACAGCATTCCCAGTGAGGATTCAAATGAGGCTTATTTACCGGAGAAAATAATGACTCAACCGGTGCCGATTTCATCATCACTTTATTTTCCCCCCTCAAATGCCTGAAGATTACGGCTGGCCGTCTTGGAAGTTGGATGGCCCCCCACTGCATTGTTGCGTGTTTCTTAATTTGTGGACCACGTGCGAAGAGGCCCCCCCCTCGTCTCCCAGGTACCGTATGGCTTTAAGACCTCTCTGGCTGTCAGATCTGTGGCTTTTCTTGGATGATGACGCCAACCAGGCTGGTTTGCCCTTCCTGGGGTCGCACTCGATGAGTCGCTGAGAGTGGATGTATGTTAAATAAATCACTCTCTTTCAAGTTTATTCATTCCTCCCAACTTATTCCCTCATAGCGTAGGTATCAAATTTCGCAATCTTATGAGACACTAATTTTACCAGACGACTGACTATTTACCGAGCCAGCCTAGTGCGGCCGAACGGGATTCGGACTTCGCTGGAGCGCAACAACCTAAACGTACGGTGCCGGCCATGACTTTACTACCGGACGGGAAGCTCAAAGATCTATGATCCCTACAGCATCTAGTCGCTTCAGTTCCTGAACTCAAACCTCACTTCATTAGCTAGGCTGAGAGGAGACAAAGGGATGTTTGAAGGTTGAGTGCAACAGGCTCAACCACCCATGGCCTCCTGGGCCGCAACACCCAAAACAAGGCATACTCATAGCTGGTCCTACAGACTGCAAAGGATGCGAGCCGAGACCTGGAAAATCCGCCAGACCTCACCATCCTGACAGAGCTCCTTCTCAACATACTACTCAGACACACCCCTTACGCAACTACGGCGCAATGACTCAACATCATGTCTATCCGTAATGTAAACGATCTTGTGCATGTTTTATGTGTACTGTATTTGTGAACGTGAATCGGTACGCCAAAGACGACAACTTGACTCAACGACGCCTGAATGCAGGTCAACAGGAGAAACGGAACATAAGATAACATGAGACAAGATTACTAGACATGAAGATATATGAGTCTGGGGCTATGCGCATGACAGCAATCGGACAAGGTGATGTCTGCCAGCAGAGGTTCGACTCGGTTACAATGAACTTCAAACCTCGCTGGGTAGGTAGCGGTGGTGGTGAGGGTGGTGGAAGTGAAGACAAGTTGAATGACGAAAAAGGATTAGGAAGAGCGAGAAAGAAAAAGAAAAGAGATAGCTGAACCCTTGAGTGGGCGAAGGGATTAATGAAGAATGAAGAAAATGTTGCCTTCATATAGGTAGCCCAAGGAAAAATGATGGAGAGAAAGTGCGACGGTTTTATCCAAGCATTATGAAGAGTACTTTAGCCAGCTTCCGCTCCGTTGATACTCATCTGATCCGGATTGTATCGGCGCCTTCGCATGGTGGCTTTCTTCCGTCTGGCGATGGCGGCGTTCTGAGCAGCGGTGCCATTACCACTGCCCATCTCGGTGTCGCCATCGTCATCACCCTCCCCATGTAACGCTTCGTAGCGAGACATTTCATCTAATTCACGAATATCGATCGGTTTCATACGCAGCCACTTCATGCGTGGACCTGACCGTGATCGTTCCGAAACACGAAATCCATAGATTCGTGATTCATAGATGCGGCCCGGGCCGAGACCTGGACTGAAATTGACCGTACGCATGCCGTTGATCTCAACGGGCTGGTTAGGAGGAGGCACGTCTGGAGACACCTGGTTATTGATCGAAGAAGATGTCAGGGAGGAAGAGCGCGTGGGAGACAAAGCGGAGAGAGAGTTGTCCATCCGAGATCCGATATCCAAATCTGGGAAAGTCATGAAGAACAGACATCCAAAAGTAGTACCGAAGAAGGCGCCATCAACCGAGTGGAAGCGACTGTTCGGAGGTGTATACAGGTCCTGGCAACTGGGACAGAAAAGCTTAACTGTCTCCTGGCCCGGGGTATCTGAGCGGCCAACGGGCAGGACCCTGCACCCATTGCAGTACACTCTAGGACAAACACCGAAATGCTGCATTTCATACTTTTCAAGCATCTGCTGGATACCAGGCCGCGATGTGATGTACCGTTGATGGATCAAGCCGTACAACAACTCGGCAGAGCTCTCAATCACACTCAAATCACTTGCCACCCGTGCATGTCTGCGCTCTCCAGCTCTCCGGTAACCCGGGGGCTTGTCGTCGCCTATTATCTCATCATCATCCTCATCTTCTTCCTCTTCCTCCTCTTCCTCATCATCTTCTTCTGGCTCCACATCCAAGATCATTTCCAGCGCCTCCTTGTACATGGGAACTTGCGACTGAAGGCCAGTGAGGTTAAAATCATCCTCGATGAAATCCTCCGAAACTTCAGCGAAGAACTCGTGGCCCATCAAGGAGCAAAACGAGGAGATCCATGACTCCGGTGCACCTTCCGACGACGACATATCGAACGAGTCCGACGCGGATGATGAGGGCGTTGATTCAGACAGTTGACTCAGATCCAGCCTGTCTAGGCCGTCGGCCAACGCCGAACCTGTCTCTCTCGACACGTTGCCGAGCTAAATGGAAAAACCAGGCTTCCGATATGAATCTCGTTCCGAGATAGGGCGCGGGCTGGAACCTGCACCGGCTATGTCGAATGCCGGGTGCACGTTTACCGGGTTCGTTGCGCTACTCCCTTGAATGAAAGGGAGGAGATATGGAACACAAAGAATCAGGTGCTTATAGAGGAGGCCGTCGAAGGCGGGCTGCTGAAATGGTTAATTAGACACCGTACGTCTGGCTGCCAAGGCGAGGGGTTATGGGCAATGTGCGGGCCGGCGTATTATTGTGCGATGAGGGAACGTTGACGCGATAAGTGGTGTGTTGGGAGAACCACTAACCGATAATCGCCTAGAAGGACATGAACTGCCACAAAGCAGGCTCTGACCCAGAGTCTAACGATCACGAACGGAGTGGTAAGCTAGAGCTGAGGCTGGACCACGCACGCACTTCCAGCTCGGGTCTGGATGGATGGATCGATCGACGGAGGTTGTCGAGGGGCTTCCGAAATTGGATTCGTGGGGCGGTGAGAGGGGAGTAAGGGAAAACTTGACAACACGAAGAAGTAAGATTACGGAAAGAGGGAATAGCGAAACAACTTGTTGATCTAAGCACTCACAACCACATGATATGCTCTTTAATTCGGGGCCATCGTGGTGATCGCGCGGTTGCTTCGAGGAAGGCATCTGGGATCCAGATGAGCCTTCCTGGACACAAGTTCTGCACCTATTTATCACGTGATAGTAATCTCTTAAGGCTCTCGACCACGACTAATCACAACTTTTACGTGTAGTTATAAGCATATCATCGACAAAATCGACAGTAATGTTAATGCCTTTAGTCGTCACATCTCCACTACGCTTTGAACTTCTAAAATAGATCTCGTATGACTCGTGACCATTCGCCTTCATCTCCCAAAACGCCTGATAAACCTTCCCCAGTGTTTTGTATCTCTCCATCCTGCCCAATGAAGCCACTGAGGCTTTCCGAAGCTCCTCCCGAATTAATGAAATTGCCAAATCCCCCCACCGCCTCAAATAGGTTTGTGAGTTCATGGCTCATTTGAAGCCCGTTCAGCGGGCTGTTCCCTAGTTCTCCAGCGCTATTCACCGGTCCGTATACAGAAAGATCTTCAATCGAATGACCAGCCAATCCGGCCATTGCGACGGCCGCCGAAGAATGGGGGTCATTGGAATCAGTTCCAAAGGGTCGTACAATGACTCCCAGTCGTTCGCCGATCTTGCGGAGACCTTTTATCGTCTTCCATAGTCGCTTGGAGACATAGGATTTGGTGCTAAAAACACTGACCAGTTCAAGAGCCATGTAAAACTCGTCCCTAACCTGCCGGTTGAAGTCATGTGGTGCATGGCATACAGCGAGGAAAAGCACCGCTAAGGCGGCGACTAGAAAATAGTTGAAAGTGATCTGCTGCGTACGATAGATATCGGAAGTCCCATTGAGCCGGGTGAGCACTCGGATCGTGTCTTTGGCGATATCCACCACAGTCTGTGCATGACCCTTGTCTTCCGCGATGCTTGCCGCGGAATGCAGCACTGGCCGATAGATGAGGATTCGAAGCTGATTCATTCGTAGATATAAGAGAATTCTCAATCTTCGAAGACCTCGGCTGGTTGATTCAGCCTGGTGATGCTTTGTAACCTCAACTGGATAAAATTTCAGCCCATCTGGGACCTGCTTGTACCATTGTAGAATCTGATAATCCAAATAGCCAATCTCATCGCGTCGTATGTCAGTTGCTCCCTCCGAGCCAAGCCCAGAGTACCAGATTTTGGAGCTGATACGATTGTACGATATCATACATTTGAGATACAGCAGAGATGCATCCTAGTGGTAGGTTAATGATATGCATGGCTGATTTGATAATTGAATAATGTATCTTACCGGTTCAGGAAGACTGGGATCAATGTCTTCATCTTGTATAATAAAAGGCAGCCCTGTGCCAAAGCTCCAACGCCGGTCCAGACTATACACTGACCAGAAGGTCTTTACGATGGCAGGCCACTGATCCTCGCTGGGAAATGATTTGGCCAAAGCATCTCGTCGGTGTAAACCCAATTCGAGACACATACGTGCAGCAAGACCAATAATCCTGTATGCCATAGCGTCATCATCTGAATGAAAATGATATGTTGCCTGGACACTTGGTTATCACTGAAGTTGTTTAGTCTCATAAGCATAACATACCATCAAACCATACAATTGAATGGTTCTGATATCCAACGAGTCCCAGATTTTGGCTTCCGCAACCGGCTTCACATTCAGGTACAGGCGCCGTGCAAGCTCGCTCTGGCCGCCCCCCTCTATCACCAACGTAATAGCAAGGATCATCTTCAGAAGAAGTGTGTTATCGTCATGAAGACCATCTGTACCAGGCAGACCCCTTTGCGCAAAGCCAGTACGAGTTGCAGCTTCCATGAATGTATAGAGCAGGTTAACTTGTTGCGCCACCTGTTCGATGTCTACGAGAGGGTACATGATTCCAACTTCTTCCTCATAGACCTGGCAGAGTCGCAGGGCTTCATCCCGCTTAATAACCCAGATCGGGTCTTTGGTTGGGTGTATCGTAGAAACAAGCTGACCCACATGGGGAGGTGACCCGGCCGGGGTGGCATGTGCTGTTGTGAGATCATCTGTTATCATTTCTTCAGCTGGGGCGATACCCATATTTTGCAGGCTCGAACGCGCGACATCAAAGTTGAAAGCAGAACTAGTAGGGCCCTGAAAGCGAGGATGTTTTGAACGAGGTTTAGTCAACGGTGCATGCATGGGCGTGAAGACTGACTGCGAGCCATCTCGAGAGAAACCTTCGAAACCCGATGAGTCTAAAGACGAACGTTGAGACCGTAAGTCCTTCAAGTTGGAAAAGAGACTATTGACTTGATCTTGTAATGTCTTGATCTGGTCTTTCATGGATCGAAACTCTCTGTGTTGAATAACCGATTAGCCATGGCGCTCCGGGGTGTGTAAATCGCGAAACCAAAAGAGCCACAGCCTACTCGGAATCTTTGAAAGTATTGTTGCAGCAGTTCGGGGCATATCGGCCTAGAGTAATTGCTCAGCTTATATCTTGCATTGAAGGCATTACCGGGCTGCATGGCCCTCGCAGCGCACAACTGACATTCGAGGTTGAGGTGCCCACAACGTTGGCAGGGCACCTGGCCGTTGCATTTGATTTTGCGCCGTTTACATTCATTGCTGAAAAAGCAGAAAGAAGTACGTGAATTGCCGTGTCAGCTGATTGGAATCTTGCGACTGACAAAGGTCTGAAAATGTGATTCGGTGGGTTTCAGAGCCGGGATCATACCATGCGATAGAGATGTAGCGATTCCGCTTGGTGCGAGTATGCGTTCCGTTGGCCTGTTCCGCTTTTCTCTTCACTGTCTCGGTAGTCGGAGCTTCGTTCTGGTCCGTGGAATCCGGCTGAGGTGGTAAAATCTCAGTCTGGGGAGACTCTGTTGCCATCTTGATTGAAATCCGCTGTGCGAAGACTATTATGGGCGTGCGAGCAAGCTGCGACCTGGTGCGGATAGGTTCCTTCTCCTCACAAGATGGGGCGCGCGCGGGGTTTCCGTCTTCCCCAGACCGGCGGACGGTTGAACTGAGGCCCGGTCACGTAAGGCGGTAAGATCAAGTCAAGGTCATTCAGCGCGGAAATTTGCCCGAGCTCCAAGCCCAGGTTGGTTTCATGATGCTCCGCACATAGCCGCAACCTCCTGTAAGTTTCACTTATCTCAACAGTCTATATGAAGGCCCAGCAATGCTCGCGCTACAATAACCTCCGGGTATGGAGGTGCTTCAACCGTTATGATCAGAGACCCCAGTGCTTCCGCTTTTACTCCACAACCGCGTCGCAGTACCAGTATCGCCCATTAGCATCTCTCGAACATGTCGAGCTTGATCACTTTCGCCAGGCATACTTCATCCCAGAACACCCTATACTCCTTCCGCGCCGACACTTTCAGACTCTTCCTGCTCTCACGAAGTGGTTCAGCTCCTCCCCGTCCCGATTGAACACGATATACCTCAGTCAACATGGCGCCGACGCTATGGTTCCATTAGAATTGACCCAGTTTTCTACAAATACCGATATCGGAGCGAATGAGCTTGACTTTCGGCAGTTCCACGCGCCTCTAAGCTTATTCCTTGAATGGATGTCGACGGCAGAATCGCTTGAATCACAAAAGACGCGCCTGTACCTAGCACAATGCCAGCTGCTTGACCTGCCGCAGACTCTCCGCGATGATCTCCCCGCCCCGGATCTGGTCAAGCAGGTAGGGAAAGGGGATATTTACGATACAAATGTCTGGATCGGGTATCCGCCCACCTACACGCCACTGCACCGCGATCCGAACCCGAATCTGTTCGTTCAGCTAGCCGGACGGAAGATGGTGCGGTTGTTACCACCCTCTGAAGGGCAAAAGGTATTTGGGGCGGTTCGACGCCAGATGGGAAAAAGTGCCGGCCGTGAGGCTGCTGCAATGCGGGGGGATGAAATGATGCAGGGTGAGGAGAGGTTTCTGCTTGAAAAGGCCGTCTGGCATGAGGCAACTGTTGGATCTACTGGACCCCTTGGATTTGAAGCGTCCCTAGAAGCTGGAGACGGCATGTTCATTCCTCGAGGATGGTGGCATAGTATCAAGGGACTAGAAGAATGTGTAACTGCTTCGGTAAGAGGCCCTATTGTCGCGCCCCTGAAGAAGTTTACTAATCCATAACCAGGTTAACTGGTGGTTCCGTTAATAACACAGCTATAGTTCGTAGGTTCAAAGTAAGACCGAATTATGATCACGCTGGCTCATCTGTATACTCAGCTCGAGTAATAAAAGCAAACCAACAAATACATAGTTACATCAACGATCTCTATCTTGTTAGAAGAGTCTCGAAGCTCGTATTTCTATCGAGCTATATCAAGAATGTCGGTTAAGTCGATCATCCGACATCAAAGTTCTAGAATTATCTTTTCGCCGCAGTCCCGCCTACAACCTCTCACACCTTGTTCCACCTCACAAGATAGAAAATCCCATGGTCTTTCACACGTCAAATAATCCTTTCCTGACTTCCAATCAACCCCACTAGTTACGTTCCCCGACATATAATGCACATGTCCGGCCTTTTGACCCGTGCCTCTCTCTCTCTCCTCAACATCCTCCTCACTCCACTCCTCACCACGTCCACATCCACATCCATTCGCGCATCGGCAATTGGTCCGCCACGATTTCAACTCGATCTTCCTATTCACCCCCAGTGCTCCGCATTTAATCTATACCGTCGCCACAACTCCACTTTCTACTCAACAATGTCGACGACCTCCTCCCAAGAACCCCAGGCTACTGTAACAGCCGACGCCAACGCGGAGAACCGGACGCAGGAGCAGCTGGGACGAAAAGAATATCTCGCTCTTCCAGATGCAGGCAGCGCCAATTCCGCGTCGCACGAACTTGACGTAAGCGGCGACGGCTCATCCGTGAAGCTGGACCATCTGGGCCCCTTGGTTGTCAACCAGGACGGAACACTGTCGAGAATCTCGAACTGGGAGCAAATGACTGAGATCGAGCGGAGAAATACACTAAGGGTCCTGGGAAAGCGGAACAAATTGAGAATGGATGCTATCAAAGAGCAACAAAACCAGGGCCAGCAGAACTAGGAGTATCCTTGTCGGGGAAGAACAAAAGAACTCAACCACGTCATCTACTTGCTAGATCGCGGTTTATGACTTTTAACGACTTGTGTGTTGTGACCATATGCTTTCTTTCCAGATCGAATCTACAGGGGCGCATTGCCATACGGCGTGTTATATATCGTCATAGCCAGAACTTTAATTTCATCATCATCACGTATCAGGCCTGGAGCAAATAAAGATAATCATTCTTGCTCTTCGCCCAGATTCACGAGTGTCAGCCAAATCAGCCAAATAGCCAGTCGCCCAATCGGGAAAGATGGTTGCTGTAGCTTGTTAGTCCATGTCAATCGTAAAAGCAGTCATGCACAGGGCAGGGGATGTGCAAGGGCCTACCGCGATTGTACTTCAACGTAGTTCTTCGTATATTCATCTATGTCGTCCACCCCAGTAAGTATATCGACCTCGTAGGGCTTCAGATACTTCGTCCGGCAAAGTAGTTTGTAGCTGACATAAATGACTGGAAACACTGCAATCATCGTGTACGAGAACAAGAATGTCGGTACGTCCCAGTTACCGGGAAGGAATACCGTATACCCACCAACGAAGGTCATAATGAACGTGGAGACCAAAGCTATGTAGGCAACATACGGTTGGCCCCAGCTGCGGTAGAGGAGAGTTTGTCGGTCCACACCCTGTGCAATCAGAGCCTTCCTGAACCGAGTGTATGTGAAGGTGATGACTGAGAAATTGATAAGTTGGGAGGCAGTCATCTATCAGTCTAATTAGCGTTTGAGCTGCTGGCATGGGTAGCGATGACAAAAACCTACCAGACTAACAAACCAATTAAGTACGACTGCTGAACCATTAGAGACCTGCAAGAATGCAAGAAGGGCAATGAGAAGAACGACCAGCACGCAGTAGATTGGTACACCTTTCTTAGTGCACCTGGCGAATATGCGTGGCGCCTTGCCATCAAGCGCAAGTCCGTAAAGGCTTCGACTAGCACAGTAGACATAGCTGTTACCCGCACTGAATGAAGCAAGGAGAATCATGGCATTGACAATGTGTGACAGCACGGGGATGTGTAGCCGATCCATCGCAATCACATAAGGCGATGAGGCAGCACCAGGTAAATCCTGTTCGAACGCTGCGGCCATTTCGGGGTCGTTGTAGGGAATCAAGATGCCAATGCAGAACACACCCAAGACGAAGAATGCAGTGAGACGTAGAAATACACCGTTGAAAGCCTTTGGTAGAACTCTGCGAGGATTGACGGCCTCCCCCGCAGCCATAGAGACGTACTCTGGTCCAGCAATGGTGAAGCTGGCCTGAATTAAGCAAGCCAAAAAGCCGAGCCACCGGCCAAGACCGTCGGTCTTATAATACTCTGCGAAAGCTCCAGGATTTCTCCAGTAGCGAAAGCCGAGCCGGTCGCCGAGCGGATTGCCTCCAACCATCACAATGAATGTGAAGAATATCAATCCCACGCTGAGTAAGACTTTGCTTAGAGACAGCCAGAATTCGGACTCGCCATACCATTCGACGGCAAAGAGGTTCAATAGTCTAAAGAGTCATCGATTTGAGTTTAGTCGGAGTAATGAGATCCATTAGTCCACGAGAATGCAGGAGATGCTACGCACACGTAGAGTGCTAGTACAATGACGACAACCCCGGCAACTGGAACTGCATCAGTCCAGTAGTTGAGAATCATATTACAAGCCGTAATCTCGAAAGGAACCATGACAGCCTCAAAGATAAAGAAGTTGTAACCAGCGGCCACACCGAAGGCTTGATCGACATAACGGCCAGCGAACCTGATAAAGGGCGATGAAATGGGCAAGTAAGTTACCATTTCTGCCAGACCTAGAGCAAGATATCTTTCAGTAATGGCCATACCAAGAGAAAAGAAATCAAGGTGCATTGAGACTGATCACCGACAGACTTCGGGCATCTACCGTCGGTATATTGGGAAGTCGTGGTTGCTCGCAACAACAGAGAGTCGAGACTGTGATGAGCCGCAAGGGTATTGCAGCACAGCCTCTTGTAACGGGGCATCTTACAGACGGTTATACAAAGAATCACTAAAGACCTGATTTGAGAAGATATATAAGATTCGGCACAACGAGTAGATTGAAGAAGGGGCGACCCTTGAAGGGTCATGTCCGGTTCCGTGCTCATTTACCGAGCAAGTGCCATGTATATGTTGTAGTCACGTCACCTGGCTGTCCACAGATTTGCAGGAACTATCTGCTTCAACTGAATAGCACCTCCCAATGCATGTCCCAGGATCTAGAAAAATGCTGTCTCATTGCAGTGGCTGCTAGCTTACTACTGGAGAGGCAAGTTCCCAAAACCCAAGAGAGCAAGTTCTAGGTCGAGACTGCAGCAGGGATCGCAAGATAGAAGAGGGGAGTGGAAGGCTCGATACATTAAACAGCAGAGTCAAGAAACTAACCAGATCAAAAAGGCCAGGAACAGACTGCCAGGGCCACCATGCATCAAACCTTTGCCTATCTGCACGTATAGCGCTGTTCCAATCGTACCACCAATGCCAATAAGTTGTATGTGTCTAGGTTTCAGCTTTCGATGTGTTTGATCGGAGGCAAGCTTGATTGAATGAACTGCGAGCTCTTCGTTATCAGTGACGACGGCACCCTTTTCAAGGGGCCCTTGGTGACTTGCAGCATCTTCTCTGCCGCAACTTATGGTCAGGGAATGGCCCTCGTGGGTAGCAATTGCTGTAGTCATCTGTAGAAACGTGTTAACGACCAGGTCCAGGTCCAGCGATTCAGGTTCAGTCTGTTGCACGAAACCCAGGATCGAAAGGAACGAGAATGCGCTGCATTAGAGACAATGCAGAAATTTTTTTTAAAAATGGATACGAAGAGCCAAGAAGCGGACGAAGGGAGGCTACCTATGATATATGTAGCAATACACCGAGACCAGTCGTGAGCCGGTATCATAGTGGTATCTGTCAATCATGAAGCATGATTTGTTACAGTTGTCTGCTGAATTAGCTGGCCTACCTCGGCAGGTATATCAGAAGACAAGCAAGGAAGCGAATCATAGCGCAAGAAGGGCATCGCTAGCACGGTTGACTCCATTTTGCCTCCCCGCAATGGCGCGCTGATGAAAGGGGATCCCACTTCTAGCCTGGAAATAGACAACAAGCTAGCGCGGAGGGACCGAAGGGAGGACCCAAGAGGGCCAGAGCGGCATTCCTTCCGCTCCTTGCCTCATAAAAATACAGGATCTGCTGTGTCGTTCATAAGGTTTGCAGTTGAATAACCTCTGTAATATGTGCCGACATGCTGAACTCAAGGTGCGCCTTGCATCAAGAAGCGAACCGGGGAGGAAGTAAAATATGGCGGGGTTTGGGGAGAATGGAGGACGAGGGGCATTCCGGAACTAGACCTTAATTATTCATCTTAGTGTCTTTTCTTTTTGAAAAAACGCTTTTGGTTAAGTTAGCTGTTATTATGGGCGGCGTAAGACTATGTAAATAAGAACTAGCCTGAGGCCCAGTTTCGGCGATCACATAATAACCGTATACTTGTTTTCATCCAAATTGCGCCTGCTTGTAAAAACATCCCTGCAAGAACTCTCGAACCTGCAAGAAAACCTCAAAGAGAGCCATAGTATCCGCTAATCGAAGCAGCAGGAGGGGCCGAGGAGAGAGGAAAAGAGCAAGTATATCAACCAACTACTTAGATGGAAAATAACCAACGCCAGAAATTCCGCAGCTTCCGTTGCTAAGACAACTCTTAACCATCCAGCGTCCGGTCGAATTCCTCTGCCATCCCAGTCTCTGTGGTCGACGGATAAGTTCCGGCTCGGTCGCGGGGTTTCTGTCCTAGCCAGCTAGGAGGGAAAAAGCCATCATTGTCTTCGAAGTAGAGGTGATGTGATAGTTTTGATTCAACAAGGCTATGTTGGCGATCGTGTGTATGATCGACCTCGCCGACTTCGTGCCTCTCTTGAATAAGAGTTGTACTTGTAGTTCCGGACTTTCTCGGTTTATCAGTGTGGTCGGGGGATATCATTTGAGTAGCAGTGAGTGGTGTGCAGGAGTAGGAAGATATAGCCTGATAGCAGCAAACTGAAGAAGAACATGGACCTGGATGAAGAAGGTATGTGAAGGTGAAGAGGTAAATTTGTACGAAAAAGTTATCTATGACTCCAGTTAACAGCCAGCATGCATTCATTTCTTGACGTCAGATACTCAGAGTCGTAGGCTTTGACAAATACTACCTACCGAGTACTTGTATTTACAGTACGGCACCTAACTATGTGCCCTCTTCGAAAATCTCTGTATGCAACCCCCACAGATTCTTAAGGTATGGGTAAACTACACGAAGACAACTGTTTGATCCCCTTAGGAAAAACTAGCGCAGTTGAATCACTACGTACAGTAATAATCGAGCTCTGAAATCCTGTACTGCAGTAGACATCGGCAACAATCAAATCAGAGCGACCTGCTTTCCAGAGGCCCGACCCACGGTTGCACCGCCCCAAGCTCTTCTTCCCCCCGCCTGCCCCGCGTCTTCTCTCCTGACCTTCAAACCATCATTTCCAATATTCCTCAATCACAACAGCCAACTTCCTTTAGGAGTCAAGGTTGACTTGGACTACCAGTACAAAGCAACTAGCAATTATTCATCAAGAAGATAAATATCATGGTCGAACACGAACCTGAACCGAAGCGCTTTTCCCCGAAGATCCCTGTGCAGCTCGACCCTCCCAAATATGATCCGATAACTGTGGAGGAACTGTCGAAATGTGACGGTCAGTGAACCCCAAATAAAAATCCACTTCCACTTGCACATGGCAAGCTCGCTCTGACTGAATGCGACTCACAGGCACCGATTCGAACCGCCCTACCCTAGTCGCAATCAAGGGAATCGTTTTTGACGTGACCCGCAATGCTGCTTATAGCTCTAGTGGACAGTACCACGGTACATTCAATCCTCACTTCTCGATCAATATGATGTTTGGCTATAGACATGTTTTAAATATGTCAATACTGATCCCTGGTCATAGTATTTGCCGGAAAGGATCCCTCCCGCGCCCTGGCCTCCTCGTCGCTCAAGCCTGAGGATTGCCGACCGGATTGGTACGATCTTGAGGATAAAGAGAAGACGGTTCTCGATGAATGGTTCACCTTCTTCAGCAAACGGTACAATATTGTTGGGAAAGTAAAGGACGCTACAAACTATTGAAACAATTTGATGAGACCTTTGCGTTACTTCGTCTATTCGCCAGCGCTCTCTATCATGAGCGCGCCATAAATGTGCTTTCGGCCCATGGTGCCTTCATGCGTTGTTGTGATACCTAATGCTTTAGTCTATTAGACCTGGGGTGATACTTGGAATGACCTGTACTGGGTGACATTGGAAATATGCACAATCGATGATCATTAGCTATCTATGTAAATTTCCTGAACTTTTGTATGTACCAGTATCTAAGCCTTTCCTTTCCGAGTCCTTCGCTGCATTCTCTTCTTCGCAATGATTCGATTTCGCTTTGCCACCTTGTTCTGTTCCTCTGCATCTTCGCCCGCGTCATTTCGGTCGCTGCTGTTGTCAGAACGCTTTCGCTTTTGACCGGTCTGAGAGGGTTTATCCTTCACACCACGTCTTGAAGCACCATCTCCTTGTCCCTGGTCCTTCTTGAAATTGCGTGCCTTAGACTGCTGTTCATTGCGGCGTTTGACGACATTGGCATTCTCAATAGCAAATTCAACGACGAGCCGCTTTTTCTTCTCTTGAGCATCAGGGGTAGCAGATTTAGGAGGCTCCACAGCGTGACCGTTGAGCCATCTTAAACCCATGAGAGCATGGCGATGAGTATAATATTCGACGAAACCATAACCTCTGCTCCGACCAGCACCAGTTTCCTCCTTGATCTTGCTTCCATCGCGACTCTCGTAGACAATCTTGGCTTGCCTAACCACTCCCACCCCCTTCTTCTTTCGCTGTTGTTCCGCCTCACGCATGGCGTCGGCAGCCCGATCCAGTTCCTCCTTCGACAAAGGCTGACGCACACCGTTTTTCATGTCTTGAGCAAAGCCAACAACAGCCTGCCGAGCCAGTTGCTTGAGATCTTTTGAGGTGATATGGCGTGGGATGTTGCGAATAGACAAACGCGTGAGACTGAGGTGGAGACTAGGATTCTTCTTGATAAAATTCTGTCGTTGTTTGTAACTGTCCTCTCTCATCTTGATTTCAGAAGGCGAGAGTTTCTTGTAGAGAGCAGAATTGGGTGCGATGGTGCCCTCCTGAAGAAGGTAAAGGCGGCGTTTGTCGGTATCGCGAACAAGGCGGCGGGAAACACCCTCCTCTTCCAGTTGAGTCGCACGGGACTTGCTCACTGCACGAGCAACTTGAAGCACGCGGCCATCCAAGGTATAACGCCCACTTGGATCAGCGTTTTCATTTTGGAGGACGGACTGCTTGTATGCAGTCGATGCCCTTTTCCCCTTGTCTTTATCGGCGGTTAAAGGATCCTGCTGCTTGGGGGCGTCGCGCACACATGATACTGCATCGTCCGCCTTCCAAAAACAGACGAATCCAGTACCACGAGGACGCTCGGTATCTCGGTCAATGACAATTCGGGCATAGCGAAGAGGACCAAATTGAGTGAAGTGTTCGTAGAGCATCTCATCATCACACGTAAAAGGCAGGTTCCTAATGAAAATGGTCGATGCATCCCGTTCGTCGTTTTCTTCTTTTTCCTCCTCTTCTTCCTGCTCGCTCAACGCTTCACTTTCCAAATCTGCCTCGATCATGTCGTCTTCACTGTCAAGATCACCTTCTCCGTCAACGGAAGGGGCGTCCTCATCAACATCACAGTCGGCTTCTGCCGCTTCCTCGTCCTCATCTGCAATCTCAGCGTCCTTAGGCTCCTCAACCTGCTTATCACTCTCCGCGTTATCTCGCTCCTTTTGTAAATCCTCCCAAATATTTTTTTCCACTGCCCAATCCACTGCCAGTGTTCGCCCGTCGACTTCCTTTCCATTGACGCCCTCTAGCGCCTTCTCTGCGTTCTTCTTTCCTCTTAACACAACGAAGCCAAATCCTGCCAATTGATTTCCCTTCTTCGGTAGGTAAGCTTGCTTGACTTTACCATAACTCCGAAAAAGCACAGCTAAATCGTTGGGTTCTTTGATGCTCCACGGCAGGTTTCGGACAATCAATCTCGGTGGCGTAGCGGCCGCTCTTTGTTGTTCCCTTCGCTTCTTCAGCTCGAGAGCTTCGGTGGATGGTTTGGATCTGCCGAGGTTTTCGTCCACAACACGATGGCGCGGTTGCGCATACTCGACCTTGATCTTCTTGCCTGCAAAAGCAGATCCATTAAGTTCCTCCAAGGCAGCCTTCGCATCTTCAACATCAGCAAAAGTCACGAAGCCATAACCCCTGGATAGTTTGGTTTCTGGGTCGGTGACGACGATGGCATGCTTGATCACATAGGATTGCGAAAAATGTTCTGCGAGGCTCTCGGTGGTCGCTGAGGCGGGAAGCGATCGAATGAACAACTCTCTTCGAGGTTGATTTGAGGCACTCTGAGACGTTGCCTTGGTTTGCGTATCGATAGCGGTTACAGACTGACTAGAGGTAGCCTGGGCCTCAACGGAGCTCCCCTTGCGAGAGTCGTCACTGTCCATGGTTGGTGTCTGGATGACTTTTTGGGGGGAAAGAAAATCTGCGGCAGAAAAATCCCAGTGTGAACAGGGTCGAAAGGCAGAAGCGGATCTCCGGGCGGTGAGTTGCGAGATTAGACAGGACGAGGCCGACCAGACGCGGGCATTTTCTGTACGTGGAAACAAGCACGACGAAATGGAATTCTGGTTATAAGATTTCAGCTCTAGAATCCATAGAGTAAAGGATCATAGCAATGTTCTTTTGACGTATTGAAGTAGGATAACAAATTCAAGGAATAGTGCCTTAGGCGCGGCTCGAACGCTCGATCTTTAGGAAGAACAAATGGCATGACGCATTCAGATTGCACGTGAGATACCCGAACAATGTCCAGAACGACCCAGCATATCAAGTTCATGTCCCCCTTCGAAGAGGTATACCGTGACCTTTTCCACTCTGGCTTTGAGCTTGGACTTAGAGGCCGGAGTACGCCATTTTACCACGTTGCTTCCCGAAAAGAACATGAGCAACAAAATCAATGGCAAAGGTGTGCGGTCCGAGTCCATCGCGACTCCCACAGCCACGACACTAGGACAAGCTTCTGGACCATCAAAAATCCAACAGCCTAAGCCACAGGCACTACCCAATAAATCTGGTCCATCCGCTATTCTTGTCTCGACACGACAGAAAGGAAATCCAATTTTGAATCATATCAAGATCGTACCTTGGGAATATGCAGATATCCCGGCCGATTACGTGATTGGTAACACCACCTGCGCATTGTTCTTGTCACTCAAATACCATCGCCTTCATCCTGAATACATATACTCGCGCATACGGCAGCTTGCAGGAAAATATCTCTTGCGCATTGTGCTAGTGATGGTCGACATAGCGAATCACGAAGACAGTCTACGAGAATTATCCAAAACGTCCCTCATCAATAACCTTACGTTGATGCTTTGTTGGTCGGCACCCGAAGCCGCACATTACCTAGAGCTATACAAATCCTCTGAAAACTCTCAGCCTACAGCTATTCGCACGCAGCAGGCTCAATCCTACCAGGAGTCACTTGTCGCGTTTGTGACTACTCCTCGGAGCATCAATAAATCAAATGCTGCGAGCTTGATTTCCACGTTCGGGAGCCTAGAAAATGCCATCAATGCGCAGCCCGAGCAGATAAGCGCCGTTCCTGGGTGGGGAGAGAAGAAGGTTAGGCAATGGTGCAATACAGTGAGGGAAGGATTTCGGGTGGAGTCGATGAAAAAGAAGTGTGCCCCTCTTCAGGATGCGAACCATCGATCGGCACATCTGAGAACTAATAAGCCTGAGACTCCTTCAAGGTTGCATAGGGATCAAGAGCAGGTTGATGAAGGTGTTCTGTTTACAGAATTGGAGAGTAGCAGGCTTGAGGCATACAGACAAACTAATGAAGATCGACGGGCCAACGAAGGCGCTCAGTCGGAGGACATGGACCATGGCATCATGGCAGCACTGGCAAAGCTTCGTGAGAATGGCGGTTGACGAAGTGCCAAGTTGTGATCACATCAACATATCAAGCCCTTTTACTGGTCAACAGGACCTTAGGTCTGACCTCCCGGGCCATGTCATGTACGTGTATATCGTGCTTATCAGTCATGCATCATATGAGGACTGAGCCGCCGGTTTGAAGGCATGAGCCGGGAATTTGCAAGCAAGCAACTCGAGGTAGCCTCTCTATCAGGAGAGGCAGATAAGGCAAAATGGCATGACTCTGCGATCAGTTCGACGGCTGCATGGGCGCCCGCACCCCAACTCTATGGGACTGGACCAGTGTTGGTATATCAGCTGCTCCTGGTCCTTGCCGCTGAAGTGGCTCATCTGGCTTGAAGCCTTTGATATTCTAAAAAGCCATAAAAGGGACGCTTAGAGAACCTCTTACTCTCTCTCTCTCTCTTTTCCCCCCCTCCCTCCTCTGCCAATGCGTGAGAGCACCTGTGCGCGCACTATCTTACGGGATATAGTGATTAGGCAGAAATCAAATGTGTACAACAACAACCTTTGGCTTATAAATATCTAAACTAGCTATCTCCTCACACCAAAGTTAACCTTTATCACCCTTTCCGCTAGAGTAGGCTTAGAGGTCGCGTATCGGGACCTCGGGATATCCGATTAGAGCTGCTAAGCTCACCTCATGGGGAGGGAGAATCCGGGACAGGTATAGCCGGTGGAAATGGTTGCTTGCCCCCAGAGCTGCCAGGCTGTGTTGACTGGTTAGACCATCTCAACTTTAAGATTTCCATGCGACCCAGTTGCAGGGGGCCTTGTCATCCTGATCGTGACTTGACCGAGACTTAAAACAATCCAGCAGCGGTCCGAGTGCCCAATTTCTACCAAGGCCTCCTACCCATTTGATAGAGCGGACAAATCACCAGGTCGAGGAAATCGCTGAGTAAGCGACCAGTGACTGTCAGTCACGTGGGGCATAAATGGTGGGGCCCGAACCCGAAAGGGGAAATCGGGCTGACGGCGAACATTGGAGTTTGACAGTTCCCACCCACCCCCCAAAGACGAGTCAACGACATTATCTTGTTCACGGCCACGGCCCTATTCTAGTGCTAGTGATAGCAATTTTCCTCAGCGCTGTGCATGCTTCTCCGAGTCTCCCGAGGTCCCAATTGAGCAGCAAATACCAAGCATTCTCCACTGATCATTGCTGCAGCAAAGACCCCTCCCGGACCCTGGTCCCCACTTGAGCAGCTCCCCAGCCAAGCTTACTTATTGTGCCTGATTTGACTTACTCACCCAGGCTGAATCATGAGATCATGGGGGAGGAGGGACACCAGCAATCCGAGCATAATAGGAAACTAGAATTTCAACTTCAAAATGTGAGCTCGGATTCGTCAGGGGCCCATCCAACTTCGAGTAGTCATGCGGCAGACCAGACAACTACTTTTCCCGCGGATCAGCAATCGAACATATCGGCCCCGCAAGGCGGTTCAAGAAACTTCGAATTCGTGCTAGTGACCGACAATGAATCCCGACGCCAGGTCCGACGTCATGCTATGCGCCAGTATATGCATCAACGGCGCTTGGACAGTATCGCACGATTAGGGACGGCTCGTGTACCAGGAGGTGGTTGGTCAATCCGCTCCCCTTCCGACCCTCAACCCTCAGCCTCGTCTTCTCGGGCAGGGATCGTAAATGACGATGCTCAAGAGGATGCGATTGTCAAGCCAGAACAGGCATTGTTCCCAAGCAGCGATGAAGACACGAAGACGCCGGAGAAGCCCAGAAGCTCCTCTCGCTTGCTCATTCCGAAGTTACACAAGGTCAAGCACGAAGATGCCTCTCTGCATCCGGCCGCAAAGCCCAGGTCATCTGATCCTCTAGCTAGTCCAGGGGAAGGGGTCGTTCGAGATCCGTTCAGCTGTTATCCAATTGCTGTTAGCCATGAGGATCATGAATTAATTCAACACTGTAAGTGGTGAATTCTATTGGCATGTCGCCGCTTTTGGACGCCGGCGCACCGCATGAACCTTGACCAAGTAATGACATACGATGAACTCCGACGTTGGCTAATATGGCATGTCAAGTCGTTGTCACGTACCCATCTATGATGTATAAGTTTGCCGACTCTATCGCAAATAATCCGATGATGGAGATTTTCCGCCAAATCGCACTCCATGATGGAGTTCCCTTCCAAGCTATGCTTGCCATCGCCTCCAAACACCGTGCTGGAGTCGAGGGCAAGGTAGAGTCTGTGCAGAGTCTGACTCATAAGATGCGAGCACTGCGATTCATGAATGAACGTATCCACGGGGATATGAGGGGGCAGCATGACGGGACTATCTACGCTGTTGCCACAATGGCTGTCATCGAGGTATCGTGGCTCTTGGCAGCCCATCGAGCTTACACTTAACTGACGTACCCGAAGAAATGGTCTAAGGATGCATCTATCGAGCGAATGCATTTCCGCGGATTGTCGTCAATGATTCGGAATCGAGGCGGAATGCAAGGCATGCGACTGACTAGCCCTTTCCTGGAGAAGGTGCTTTACTGGTAATGTACACCCTTGCACTTGACTGTTCAGTTGGCGCTGACAGAGCTTAGGGTTGATTTCAGTTGCGCCCCCAAGGCGATCATCAGCACGTCGCTACCTTGGACCGGCAACACTCTCGATATAACACCTCCTCTCGATTTTCTGGATCCCAATTTACACCTTGCTATTCCCCATGACACTACCACTTCGGAAGATGCCGAAAGTCTTTGTGCGCAATTTAGGGCATGCGAGGATTTCTTACGCTTCTTTCGTCGCCTCCGCGAATTGGAGAGCTTGTCATTGAACTCTCCTTGTACCGTCGTGCCAGAGATTGTTCCTCGACGCAACAAACGCTTCAGCCCGGGCACTCAGCTCTATTCAATCTTAACTATGCTACCGGATTATGATCATGGGATTCGAGACATCCGCTTCATCGACGAGTACACTTGCATGTCATGCCTCTTCTTCCTCGCCGTCGCACTGTATGACTGCTACCTCAACTCTCAAAGTTTGGACGATTATCTCGAATGGCTTAGCCTCGAAGTCCATAATCTCAATCCTTTCACGAACCCTAGCATTACCTCGGTTCTCTGGCTGTTTCTTAACAATGGTGGTTATCCTAAGACAAAGCCAGGCGACGCTGGAGACCGATGCTGGATAGTTTCGCGGATGGTCCGGATCGCTAAACGACTCGAATGGAAACGCCACGGAACCATTTGGGACCGGCTTCGCCAGATACTCATCGACTTCATCATTACTCAGCAAGAGTGCGCTCTAGGTTCGGTTCAGATTGACGCCGAAACGCACGTGGCTCGCGCACAGAAACGGCTCAGCTACCAGACTAGTTCGACCGATTACTTCTGGAACGAAGCACAAATGCGCGAAGATATTCTCGAGCTCAAGCTTCCTGTTGTTGCCAACATATCCACAAGTATCGAAAATATGGATGCACCCATTCTTACGTGACTCCCTTTCATCTTTTGGCTTTTATCTTCAAGCATGGCCACGCCACTACGGATTAAAAGCAGCGGAGTAAAGGGTATTAGTTTGGAGTCCACTTTCGGTTTTGTTGGTATGCTATTTTTTATGACTTATGACGAATGAGATAATAATTGGGCGGCCACAGATTAGGACGCATTGACGTGATTGCTGTAATAGAACTAGTAATTGAGATGTCTAGTATGCAGGAGATCTCACCCTGTGCTATCGGTAATCGAGTATGACGGGCACTTATCATCTACACAGGGTTTGTGTAGAGTTAGGGTCAATAAAAGAGTCCTTTCGTTGATTAAACAGTTCACAGGCTACTCGCCATACCTGCCTGTTTGTCGCCCTCCGATCAAATCACATGCGCCAATTGGTCTCGAAGAAATCGTCAAACCTAGTTCACCAAAGAGTCACAGCAAAGTCGCATATGCAGCAAGATCGTCGCTTCTATGCCATAGGGTTCTGCGACTAAGTATCTATTTAAGCAGAAGCACAAAAGCGACAACCACTCTAAGGCCAGGGATTGAGAGATCAAATCCATGTTCGCTTTTCATCGAGATAAAATCAACTGACCCAGGATCTACTTTTGAAAGGGATAAAGGCATGCACCAACAAAGGAATTGCAACACGCCCCCCGTCCCCGCCCCCGCCCCCGCCCCCGGCCCTTGGGCGTCCAGACCAGATAATAGTCTTATCGCTATGTAATCTTCCTTTCTGAATCTAAAGGACACAAGCTGGGCAGAGGAGTAAAATATAGCATGCAAGACAAGGCGATATAACCACAATCAACCAAAGTCAATGGTATCGAGCGCGAAGACAAAATGAACTCAGAGGGAAAGTCATAACTAGAAGACAGAAAATGAAGATGGAACCTGCCAGTGCGAGAATGAACAGCGTTTGACAGTGGGACTTTTTCAGGGTGAAACTCAACACGGCCCCTTATCGGTTCGTATTTTTCCAGCTCTTTCAGATCATCTGCAGAGATTTTTTGGGCAATGTCGTTGATATCAGCATATCAGCATTTCCGTGTCCATATCCGTGATATCGTTATAAGAAAAGTCGAACAAGAAAAGAAACCAGCTTAATAACATTGACAGTTCACGTGGGCTTGTCGCAGCCAATGCGGCCTAGAAGTGCCTTGCGGTCGCTTTGGTCTCCAAGACGAACCCGCCGAGGACGTACAGCCGAACCATTAGCACGACGCCAGTCAGCATTAGAGCTCTCGATCGCATGAGAAGCCGCATGAAGACTATCCTTCTCAGCCAAAAGCTCTTCTTCTTCATCTCCTTCGTCATCGCTGCGAGGTTCCTCCGCATTACCAGTACGAATCACACCGACGGCCACGCGAATCACCATAGTGAACCAGATAAGGGACAGCAGCTGTAGTGCCAGAAGACAGGAAAGGAAGATCCATTTGACGGTGCGGTTCATGCAGATCGGTCCATTGAGGTCCTTAAATGGGGAGACCAAATACGACCATGCGCTCGGGTAGCCATCGGTCGAAATCATTTCCGCGGTCTCACCTGAGTAACATCCGTAAGACATCTTGGCAGGGACGTCCTTGTAGATGGACCAGCAGAGTTTCGGGTAGTAAACATGACGAGTGATCAACCAGGTGACCATGAACACGACAAAAGCGATATTGCAGCTCATTTCGTACTTGAGATACTTAAGAATTTTGGCCGTCTTTCCCCAGGTTAGTATAAGCTCGACTTTGGGGGTCGGGGGACCTAGGAAAACATCCGGGACTTACGGGCAGCAAAAGATCAACAATGTCCATAAGCGAGAGCACGACATTCGAGACATTGTAAAAGCCATAGACGTAGGCTGAACCAAATAGAGCGATAGTAATCACATGGTGGGTAAGCATTTGGTAGTGATCCTTTCTGCGCTCCTCGATGTTAATCACCAGAAGCTGCTGCGCCCAGAACGCGAGTTGCACCAGAAGATACCATTTCATCAAACCGGAAACATTGCGCGCCGGCCACTGGTCCCAGATTTTGCTGAATTCACCCCAGTGATGAGAGTTGGTCCAGATATACTGTTTATCGGCGTTAGTCACAGGCACGGCCAGTAGGCGGGAAAGCGATGGGCGCAGTCCAGGTGAACGAACCATTCCAAGGGAGCAGATGAAGCCATAATACAAACAGAGCCAGCCCTGTTCTGCCAGACGAAGTGAGGCCTTCCGTTTCAGGCCCAAATGCTGCGCGATGGGCCTCAGAACCCAGTCAATGAGAATGGCCCGGATAGCGATAAAGACAAGCGCGGAACTGGCGACAAAATAGACATCATCCCATCCTTGTAAATAGTCACCAGAAGTAGATTGGTAGTAGGACAGCTGAAAGAACGGCGTGGTGTAAGGATTAAGGGAAGGATAGAGGTGATGGACGGCCAATAGCATGGCAAGAGTGGTCAAAGTAATCCCTGAGGTGAACGAAGAGTATAGTAAGCATAACGAGTCCCTCTCGGAGCGCCAACAAGGGCATTGCTCTATTATCCGGCTTCCATTGGGATCAATCCGTACCGATTTGGTTATGCAGCATCCATTCGCGGAACGTGGTTTCTTTGACAGCCGGGCGATGATGACTGGTAGAGGTGGAAACGCAGGCATTGAGATCCGAAACCGATTGAGAGGTTGGAGAGGATACTTCGGGGGCCATGACGGAGGCAGGAAATGGAAGATGTCAGGCTGGGATCTCGGAGACCCTGACAGCAGAAGCAGTAAGTCTGCAGAACAGATTGTCCAATTGACGACAGCGCAAGAGGGGGGAGGAGGGGAGCGGGGGAGAGGGGAGGAGGGAAGGAGGGGATGAAGGAAGGGTGTGCAGGAGAAGAACGCGAGCCAGTCCGTTCAACAGATGTCGTGGGAGGAAAGAGAGAAAGGTTAGGTAGTAGGTAGTAGGTAGTAGGTAGTAGGTAGTAGGTAGTAGGTAGTAGGTAGTAGGTAGTAGGTAGTAGGTAGCTGAGTTATGGTAGGTAGTAGAGGAAGAGGGATAGAAGGAAACGTATCAATTGCAGAGTGGTTTGAGGTGAGCTGGAAGTTGAGGGAGCGAGTTCAGAGCACAGTGAGCGAACCAAACAGGAACGTAGAAGTAGCGAGCAGCGGGCGAAAGTGGCTCCCGCGCCCACTCGGACGGGTGTTATTGTAAGCCTTTCTGGGTCCCAGGGCGGGAAAGTCTCTCTCTCTCTCTCTTCTAGTTATTCTTCCTTTCTCTCATCCTCCTCCCTCCCTCCCTCGCCCTCTCTCTCTCTCTCTCTCTCTCTCTCTCTCTCTTCGCGCAGGGATTCTTTTTATTAGAGGAATATAATCAATCAAGGCTCGGTCGATTGAACAATAAAGTTTACGGTACGTACGGAGTATGTACAAGAGTGAGGGAAAGGGAGAAGGGAGAAGGGAGAAAGAGTGGACTGGTCGAGTCTCGCTCTTGGTTTCTGGAAAAGTGGAAACTCTGGGCGGAATGGAATGAATTATCATACTATACCGATATGTCTTTGCGGCGAGATGTCTACAGGATCTCGGTCACCGTACTCCTCAAGAGCATTCGGACCCCTGTGGCTGGTTTTCTCTCAAGGCTCCAACCATACCTTTGAGACGTAAGGGTAGTTAAGCAGAACGGAAGAGCAAAAGGAAAAGAAAACTAGGCGATGGATTGATTGATTGATTGATTGATGGTGTATCAAGTTGGTTTCAGCTCATTTCGACCCACTTTTCCGGGAGGACCCCGTTACGTACGCGCTGAGGAACCCCAACAGTAAATACGGAGTACTTAATTAGTATAAACTAACTAACTAGTTATACTATACCGTAGTGCAGTACGTGCTTACCGCCCGTAGCATACTCCGTACTACATACACATATGATATAACTACTACAGGCTACATTGTACTAGGTCTCCGTACAGTATACCCAATATCGCATTTGTTCCCTTGCCTACAGAACGTACCTTAGTCTTATGCAGTCACTGCGTTCTTCTCACCCGCTGCAGTCTCGATTCATCTAGGCTCGCGGTCGATGGGAACAGCCGAGGGTCATCGCTGAGTAGCAAGCTGAGAAGCCATCTTCATTTTGTAGCTTGGGCCGGTGTTGGGTGAGCAACGGCGAGTCCGATTTACAGTTCCTACGCAGTGGAGTTGAGATACAAGACTGCCTGGACTAGGTAGCTGGGATTCCCTTACTGGTATCAATTCCTGTTCCTTTCTTCCCAAGGCACGACCTGCCACTTTGTTGCGTCAGAATCTCGGTCCGGGGATTGGACTGATGGGAACTGTCCAGTCGCTTTAATGCTAGTTATAGCTTGGAGTCAATGGCTACAGTTGCTACCTTAGTCTGGTGTCTATATCATTGATCTAGGGTGCGGTGTCTCCTCTGTTCAACAAGGCTCAAGAGGTTCATTGATTCGCTTGCAGTAATGCCTGCATTCACTAAGAGCCCCATATTTGTACTGTAATTATACATCCAGCAATTCAGTACGTATGGATCGTGCCCACTATCTACTCGAACTAGGGGATACGTCGGACGACCAAGCTGATGCCTGCTTGGCTATACACAAGTTCCCAAGATAAAGTAGATCATGTCTATTGACCACTGTCCAGTCCCTTGGTGATGGTATTGACATACTCCGCAGCGTCCATCCCCAATTTGGCCAGGTCAACGCCGCCTTGTCCGGCCAATGCGCGCGACATGGCACGAACTACTTCCTCTTCCTCCCAAATCGAGGTTGGTGCTGGAGGTGACGCCGCCGAGCCATGAGCCCCGTCTGCCGTCGCAGGCTGCCTATCTTCTCTCAGAGCCGGGTTGTCCACGTTCAATGCCACCACTGTCCGCCAGTACGCATCATCTCGATCCTTGAGCACCTTGTCCCTGACCACCGTATTGCGGGTGACACTAAGTGCATGCATCTTGGACGTTGCTCCACCGAGCGCTGACAATGACGCCGACACTAACTGGTCGACCTGCTCCGCCTGCGATGGCGGTGTATAGAAGAATCTCCGCGTGGCTGAGAGATAAATCAGGAGCGCACAGATCCCATCCGCGACCGCAAACGCAAGTGGTCGGAGCAGTCCAAGCTGGTAATACGCAGCCGTTGGGACCGCGACCCCAGCACGCACAGCCGCTAGACCCGACTGGACAGGATCGTAGCTGAAGACAAGGTATAGGTCCAAGAGCGCAAGTGCGGCACCTGCCAGCGTGAATTTGTTGCGCCACTTGCTGGCATCCTGGCCCGTTAAGGGAGCGGCGGTTGCTGCACCTAGAATGGCCATGTGAAACAAATGGGGGAGAAGCACATGGAACGGAAGGTAGTAGAGAATGTAGGTGGTGGGATTATCAAGCGAGCAGAATTGACAGTTGGACAAGGCGTCCGGGCCGAAGCGGAGGTAAATCTTGCGAGCGGGAAAAGTGGTGAGTTTCGTCTTCAGGAGGAGGTCACTCGGAGTGAGGGCACCATCCGACCGAAGGCGCGTCAGTCGCGAGAAAAGAACGTCGCTAGCGGTGTTAATGCGTGAATGGGTAAGAGTGAAGATGCTTTGCGGTGGTGCCCGCGGGTTGAAAGGAAGGCTGAGGAGGAAGAAGAAGGTTATCGAGAAGAAGAGGAGGTTCAAGGCCCGCGAAGCATCGCGAGGCACCGGCCGAGGAGGGGGCCTGGTAGCTATCGAGATGCGAAGACTGCGGTAGAAGCTGATGGCCCGTGGAATAATGATGGGCGCGAAGAAGATGAGGAACGACTTGATGCTGAGGTCAGATTACTGTCAGTATCGCTGAGAATAAAGACTGGTAAATTGGTGAACACCCACGTTGCCAAAGAGATTCCAAGCTCAACCATCTTGTCAAGAGAATATAGAGAGAAGTTGTCGCATTGAGCAGACAACCACTTGCTCTCGTTTTGAAGCGGATGCTATGCAGTAATTCAGCAGTCGGCCGTGAAGTGGCCCGTTGGAGATCTTATCGTCCGCTACCTGCGCTAAGCGGTATTGCTCGCCAAGCGGTATTGCTCGCCCTCTACTCCGTACTCCGTACTCCGTACCTACCTACCAATCAGAAATGAATCCTGTAGAACTTGGAATGAACGACGACCCCCGATGAAGACGTATACCACAAGTATGTAAGTACAGTTACTACAGTACTCACTAAGTTGCTGCTTTGAAATCATAAAATTGAAAATAACGGGGTTTTAACGAGTTTGCAAAAGCCATCTGCCGCCAATTACATGCACCAACGCCAAGATGAATGCGCCGCTCTACCAGAAAATACTAACGCCCTATCGTCCAACAATATGCCCTAGCAGCCGAGCAAATCCAGTATGCTATATGCGTCCTGATTGCATTGCTGGGTGATGAGAGAGGTCCGGAATAGTCACTCCAGCCGAGTCCCTTGAATATTTCGACGATGCTGCGTCACTAATATTCATCGGATTCAGTGGCGATGAGATCTTGAGTGGAAAGCGAGTGCTATTCCGCTGAGACATATGTCTGCGTATAGAGCTATGTGGGCTGTACGTTGGCAATGATTCTTCCCTCTTCATGCTCAGCTGGAATGATCGTTGGCTCCCGGCTCGCGTTACCACTTTTTGAGGTGCCACCGCTCCATAAAGCCGGACATGCCGTGCGCTTACACCAATGTCGCGGTCAGAAAATACGAAGCTCTGCCGAATGTTTTTATGATTAGCACTGTCAAGATATATAGAAACTCCGCATCGGCTTACCGCAACTACATTGATCACGCTCATAATCATAGATAAGATACCAGCGGAGAGTACGAGGCGCCAAAATGGCATCCCGAGCGATTCCTGGCTTGTCGCCTTCGTGTTGAGGTCGCCCAATACTCCAACTCCAAGTATGAGCATTGCGATGGCCAAGGTAACGAATCCGGACTCCTGCCCTAGTAAAGGCCAGTCTCGGTCGAAGTAATCACGCAAGATGGGGAGTTCAGATATAATGAGAAAAACTGACCATCGAGTAGATTAGCAATTTCGCGTTGATAAGAGTATAAAGCCTTAGGGAGAATTGGTTACTTACTGCTGACTCCAGCAGTAGCCACACGAGAGACTGCTTCGAAGAAGAAGAAGCTGGTCAACAGCGAGATCTTCACTAACAACACCGCACTAGCGGCAATGATATCGAGAAAGACAATTATATTGATGATGCGGATCGCATTGAGAATCACATATCCTGGACCTGCCAAGGATTCCTTTAGTGAGGCCATCATGCTTTGGTGTGAAGGAAAAGTCGAGCTCTAGCCGTAGGGCTTGATGGACTTGGATACAAGTGCGTATGAATTATGTATATCGTTCCCAGAACGAAGAAGAGATACTTGAACAAAAAACCAGGCTTGGGGTAGAACAGAGATAAAGACTGAGCCAGCAGCCGGAGATTATCTGACGGGTCAGTCAGGATGAAAAGAAAGGGGGCCCTGGGGTCGAAGGGGTATTAAGAAGTGCGAACTTCTAGCTCAGGACCTGATTCTTGACCACTAAGGACGTCTCGGTGTTCTTGGTGAAGCGGTATACTGGAAATAGGGCGAGCAATGAATACTAAGGCTAAGGGAGGTCAACAAAGACAATAATAGACACAATGAACAAGGGATGGGACCCTGAAACACATTCACAAAGCCTTTCCAAAGCTTAGAACCAGTTCCTCTGGTCAATTTGGCTCCCTTCTACTTGTTTGGGTGTGGAGGTTGGCGCCTAAATGAATGCTCTCCATGTGTGGTGAGTTTGTGTGTACTCCAATGAATCCAACGCCCGGCGCGTATTGTGCTGCTGAGAGTTATCCATAACCTGGGATTGGTAGAAGCTAGGCACGTTCATACCTATTTCGCGCCTGAACGGAGCCTCTTTGTCAGGCGATGGCCTCGTTACACAGCGGAGACTGGTTGGCAGGATGGCGCTCTCGGCAGCTTGACACTCGGAGCTTTATAGAATAGGACGGTGGAACAAGCGCCCACCTACTACACACATTGCTCCTCTCCTCATTTCGGGCTGAATGACTGAGCGCAATCCTAGTTTCCACCAGTCGAATGAAGATTATCTTAGTTGCAGCGTCTACGCTTTCAACGATTCTTAATAGTCGATTATCATCAACTCTCATCTGTATGACAACTAGGGCCATAGATACAGGTTATTAAAGAGAGCCATGTATAGACATACCATAGATATCAAATAAGATGTAGAAGCTAGGTATGTATGTATTTGATATAACCAGACTAAACCGAAGACACGACCATATATCATAGCACGGGACAACCCTCGACACTGGAGGTTGGAGAAACGGGCGAGGGGCGGAAGTTGGCAGGGGCGGAGGCTCGGTAGGCTAAAGCAACTAAAAAGCGAGGGGCGTCGAGAGAACCTTCCATACGGTGGCCCTCGACTAAATAAAAAGGGAAAACTTTTTCCTGACAAGGCAAAAGCCATTCCCGGTCTTTGGACACACCACGGACTGCACTGAATTTGTTCCAGCCCGCTGCGATCAATTTATTCTTTCTTCTATTTCTTCCGAGTAGTATACCTATTTTAGACCTCACTTGATCTCATCACGATGACTCGTGGCAATCAAAGAGACCGCGATCGCGCGAAGAACAACAAGGAGCAGGCCAAGAAGGTGAGAGCGCATTTCTATTGTCATATTCGTGACCAACCTGACACTATCACTTTAGAAAAGCAAGAACGAGCTTAGTGGTACAGAGTTCCAGCGTAAGAAGGAGAGCGATGCTGCCAAAATGCAAGCCAAACAGAAAGCAGGTAAGATGTCAGTGGTCCCTTGGGGAAGGGACGTCGCCATACTTCCTTGCGTCTCTACTGACGTTTTCTATCTCTTGTACAGCCGATGAGCGCCGAGCTGCCGAAGCACTTGCAGCAGCGAAGAAAAAATAACACTTTTCCCAATCTTCACGAAAAGGCCACCAAGGCCTTGTCGCCCCTACCTGACCGCCGCGTCGTCACCTTGCACACCGGGCACCAATTATCTCTCTCTATATCCTTCCCAGATTGTGCTTTTTGACCCCTCAGTTTTGGCTATATTTAGTCGGCTCCCTGCCTAAATATCGAGTGGTCTGTCTGTGAGGCGCGGGACTATGATAGATTGCTCGCGGTCATCAAGCACAGCCTGAATATTTGGTGTTGGACAACAGTACTCGATTTGGAGCATGTTACGAGAACATGATAAGTTAGTTAGCGAGGACTTGATTCAATTTGGTCACATTTGGCGTTTGCAACGAGGCTACCTCGCAAGTCATGCAATATCTTCATGTTTTACATGTAAAGGTGTATGATGCGACGAGGTACGCATACTCCTTGTCCAAAAGCACGCACGACCCCTGATTGAGTATACGTCTGGTGTGTCTTCATGTGGACGGCTGACCATTGTTCTCATTGACCGGTGGGTCAGCAGCCCAGGCAGCCCTCGCCCTTTCTAGCCAGACCCTCCAACCATCCTTCAGTCCAGATTTTGGTAGAGAATCTCCCGCCAATGCATTCCATCGAGAGGCCCATGGCCCATCTTCGATCATGGTTTCGCCGTCTAGGCTGGTTGACGCTGAGCACACGAATACCCACAGACTCTCACCCTTCCAACCGATATCCAAGGCGAACTGTATCGCCTGACTGACAGCATTTCTGCGAATCTCACCTCGAGAAACTTTCTCAAGTAAGAAGTTAGTAAATGCCCATCCCGATATATCGGCAGGATGGGCCAGACACCATCGCAAAGCTTTTGGCATCATAGATTCAGCTAGTATTGTAGAGGCATTCTGGCCACTTTCACTCGTATCAGTGGCAATATGGATGACTGCTCTCATATAACTAAAGGCGTAATAGTTCCGAGGGTGAAGTTCTCCAGCCCGGAGTACCATGGTCAATTCATCATTCGTTATTCCTGGGATCGTTCCATGCGCGAACTCATCCAGCTGCCTTCTGGGAGCAGATGCTGCTTTCTCCAGCTCTTGGATGCGGATTAAGCGAGTCAGGGCCCACAAGCGGTGATTCCATAGTGTTGGTGATTTGGTGTGTCGATGCAATCGAGAGCACAAAAAGGTCTTGGTCATTGAGAGCTCTTTGCCCAAGGCATCGACGAGTGACCAGAGACTATCAACGTCAGAATCTGCAAGATCGTGGCGCTGGATGAAAGCAGCCAGGCGCCTTTTGCGCCAGTTGCATGCTGTCAGATGCTCGCAGTCAAAGAGGAGAATGATTTCAGTAGATACAATGAGGAGCTCGTCTGAAGCATAATTCCAGGGTCCACATGGAGAGATAGTGTTCTCATGTCCAGGCTCAATTACGGAAGTCCCATTTAGAGCGTTGAAGAAAATGCGTCTTGCCGTAATGAAAGCCTGAACCAGGTACTTCTTTGTGATGCCAACCGAGTTGCCATCCTGTAAGAGAGGACCTAGACCAGGAGGAAGAATCTCAATCTCGAGAACCTCGTTGTTTTGGTGTCTAGCTGAAAATATTCGGGCAAGGTCATCAAATGCGACGCCATGAACTGAATAAGGGGACATTGAGCATCAGCCGGCCTGCCGCATAGCGGTAAATAAATAGAATAGGGGCCCCGTGGTTCCAACAGGCTATTAAGACGAAATACTCGAGTGTTTCCGTGAGTGGGGACTATAGACCGGATACTGAAGAAAAGCCGCGGCCGACGGTCGGGTCACACGAGAAACAACGTGACAACGTCATTTTGATTCCTCCACGGCTTAGAGGCAACTTTGTCCTCGATCTGCTTCTGTGCGTCTGTTTTGCCTACATCTGTCCATTTTTTCCGACTGATCGATTACGACCTATCCACTTGGATTTGAGTCGCATTACTTTGACTCACCCACGTCAGCCGCAAGTTATCCGGGGTCTCAAATTTTTAACTGGACTTCCTCGTTCCTCCATTGTTAACGATCTAAGCAGACCCCAATCATGTTGCCCCTTCTTTGGACTGTGCTTTTTGTTCACATTGCTATCTATCTTGTGAATACCATTGGCGCAAGCACGATTGACAACCTAGTACGTTGACCCGACTGATCTATGACCTCAAGATACACTTAATCGTGATCCGCCTCCAAGAACTTGTCTTCGAAGCAGTTGTTGATGATATTACGTCTAGTTATGGCTCCTCTACCTTAGGTTACCAACTACAACATCCAGCAAGTTCCGCGAGCAAAACCGTTTGAAGCGCGAAGTTGTTCAGCTGAAACGGGACATGAACAACACCAGCTCGCAAGATGAGTTTGCGAAATGGGCAAAGCTACGCAGGCGACACGACAAGTCAATGGAGGAATATGAGGCTATGAGTACGTTGCGATATTTCCCCATCTGAATTGCATGCCACCTCCTTTCATGGTTCGCAATTCAGATTCAAGGAAGAGGAGGCACGCAAGCTATTTATGAAGCCAAGGCTGACACAGTCTTTTCACCTCAAAACCTCAGACAAGGAGCTTGCGTCGCAAAAATCATCTTTTGACTGGGGTGTGAAAGCGGTCCGTTGGGTCGGTACAAGTGGCCTCAAGTTCTTTTTGCAATTCTGGTACTCGAAAACGGCTGTCTTCATGTTGCCGGATGGCTGGGTGCCTCACTACGTGGCCTGGGTTTTGTCGTTTCCTCGCGCTCCCTTCGGGTCCGTGAGCATTCAGATTTGGAGCAATGTGTGTGCCACGACAATTACAACTCTGGCGGAAGTCGTTACGGCATTATTATTGCAGATGGGTACCGGAGCGGCGAACCCCGTTCCTGGTCCTGCTGGTACTTATGTGGAGACGAAGAAAGGGCAATGAGGACACGAAATGGCGGGCTCAATCGAGCGAATTGATGGCTACGAGAGGGAGATGACTTGTATAAAATAGAGCGATAGCGATGATAATGATGGCTTCTATTGTTTCTCTCATGTTGGTTATTCTGGGCTTGTGTTGATCTCCATAAAGATTCAGTAAGACCCTTGAACTATTACAGGACACAATGATAAATTGAAAAGCTCATCAGATATGAAAGCAATCGTTTATCGTCAATAACTCCTATACCGTAGTACGGGGTCTCAGGGCTTGACTCTATGATTGGTATATCATCATGTGAACAAAAGAGGTGAAGAGTCCGACTCCTTCGACAGAGCATCTGTGATTCGTTGCAATCACCGCTTTCCATAAGCTACAGACTCGTTGGGATGGAAAAATAGAAGTGAACTCCTCGCCTCAAGAATGAGCCCCATTGAGTTACATACTTCCAAGCCACAGAGGCGAGGAAGTAAGCAATCGCATGACTATCCAAACACGACGAAAGGCAACCCGGATCAAGACCCCACCCTAGCACAAGCCCGTATCTCCATTTTTTCCACCAGAAAAGCATAACCTCTCTGGCGTCGGATACAGATGCTAGCACTGGGAGAGAGGAGGGCAATCAGCCGCTATCGAATTGCTTCTATGGCGGCGCGTTTCCGCATTGCCTGACTGGGCCCACAAGGGACGATTTAGACAGTCAGGGTGTCCGGGGACTTTCCCAAAAGCTAGGTGAAAGAGTATCCTGAAAGGGATGTCTCTGTGTGTGAGCTTTGAATGCGATTCTTTGAGCGAGGAGTTGGAAGGAAAAAAGGAAAAAATTGGAATGTCCCCAACGCCGTAGTTGCAAATTTATGCATTAGTCAGTGGGGTCAAGCCAGGCTACGCTTGTTAGAGACTAGCGTTGATCATATGACCATGGGTAATATTCCATGGCCTCAGGCAGGTAGAGGGCTAGAGCTGAAAGGGGTCAAAGGACAGTATCTACGGTGTACGCTACTCTATTTGACTAATTTTGTGGCAAGAGGCTGAAAGTGCCTGATATGACTTCATATGATTACTAGTCTAAATCATGCTTGGCGAGTAAGAAAGAAATCATGTACAAGTGAGATTATTTCAACTCCGAGCGATTTTTTTTTGCGATAAACAGAACAAGGACATTTAGAGAAAAGCATTGAGTATTCAGGCAGTAGACTTGCCCTTCGCCTTCTTGGTAGTCTTCCTGGCCTTCTTGGTGGCAGGCGAGTCTGCGATTTCGGTCTTTTTCGTTGCAGGCTTGGCTGTCTCTAGCACAGCAGGAGACTGGGCCGCCTTCTTCTCCTTCTTGTGGATCTTTTTAGGGGTATCTTCAACGGGCTTCTCTGCTCTAGTCTCCTCCGCCTTGGGCGCCTCGATGGCCTTGGCAGGTTCCTCAGATGCTGTATCGGCTGCCTCAATTGCATTGTTCTCTTGAACAGGGACCTCGTCCACACTCTTCAATTGGGGAAGCTCCAAGTCGTATCCCAGGACGCTCTTCAACTGCTCCGCCTTGACAGCCCGTCTCTGCTGCTCCTTTTCAATGCGTTCCGTCCACTGATCTCTCGTTTTGCCCTTCTCAAGTCGCCTCTTCTCAATCTTATTCCACGGGGTCCGCTTGAACCGCCTGTTGGCGCCCTTCCAGATTTCAGGGTGCAAACGCTCCTTGGGAACATATTTGCATTTCAAAATATGACCGTACATGAGGTAGTTATCCATTGTAGCCGCGACAATCTTAGCAACGGATTCCGCTGCAAACTCGATGAAAGCGTAGTGCTTAGAGCGACCGGTAGTACGGTTACGGGAAAGACGCAAGCGGGTGATATCACCGAATTGGCTGAAATAAGCGCGCATTTGGTGTTCGTAAAAACCGTGAGGGATTCGTCTGGGAATGAGATTGTTAGACGTGCGATCACTACAAAAGGCAACGGATAAGACTCACCCAACATAGATCGCACCCGGTCCTTCTGACTGGCTGGCACCGTCTTGCTGCTTCTTCGCGAGCTTGCGCTGCGCCTTTTTCAAGTCAGGAATTTTTGGCACGGGCTGACTGGGGTCGAAGCCCTCGTCGTCGGACTCGCCCTCGTCACCGCTGCTCTCGAAACCGCGGATTAGAGCAGCTGTGCGGTCATCCTCTTCAAAATCACTCTGATTGTCATCCGAAGCAGCAGAATCATCTCGAGCCTCAGAGTCTTCTTCCACAACAGGCTCTACCTTCTTGGATTTGGTGTTGGCTTTGTCGGTTTTCCCCTTTGAGGCGGCAGCAGCGGTGCCATCAGACTTCTTCGATTTCTTAGTACTAGGCTCCTTTTTGCTAGCCTTGACATCGGTAATCTCTGCCTCTGTCTCACTCTCTTCGTTGTCACTAAGGAAGTCGGCCGCACGCTTACGAGGCTTAACCTGTCTAGAGGGCTCGCCATTGGCCTTGCCTTTCAAGGGAAGATCGGTCTTGACAGGCATTTCATTCTTCTTGGCCTTCTTGAGAGTCGGCTTCGGAGTTTCCTTGGGAGGTTGAGCAGATTTGCTTTCGGTCTTTTTGGTCTTCTTTGCGGGAGAGTCGGCGGCAACGGCGTTCGCAGCTAGCAATGGTCAGTGGCCGAAATCTAATGAGCGAAAAGCACGAACGGGAAGAATTCACATACCCTTGCGCTTCTTGTCCTTCTTGTCAGGTGCCATCCTGTCGTAAGCTGGCGTAAAGAAGGTAGGCTGTTGTTTGGAGCACTACAATCAGCGGGCTTTGCGAAATGGTGCGGGAAACTTTTTTTCTGCTCGCAATTTTTGCGCCGCCAAGCGGTGAGTTCGAGCCCGGCCGGCCGACCATCAACGAATTTCCTTCCGCGTGGCTACGGCTGACTACTCCAACCTGTCCGTAACTTACGTCTTCCATCCTCATTTCTCACACCCTCTAATGCCTTGTGTTTGATACCATGGGCAAGTCTAAGAATACCAGTAAACCACTGACACAGGAAGAGATTTGGGATGATTCCGCGCTGGTCCAGAGTTGGGATGAAGCTGTCGAGGAATACAAAGTATGAGCTCCTGTTAGGGCACGTGAGCCATTGCTAACGACGACCACGACAGCTTTATCACAGCATCCAGGCAGGAAGGGAAGATATAGATGAAGTACTGAGAGAGGCAGAAGCTGCAGAGAACCCTCAAGATACTCCACTCAAGCAAAATCTCGACGAAGTGGTCGATCATATGGATCATGACGCGGAACCCTCTGTAATTGATGCAGCTCCTGCTGAAGCCAAATTAGTAGCCGATTCTCAACAAGACTCCACCCTTGATACATCCAATGTAAGTCGGATTTTATCCCTCTGGAGCGCATGAGCTCAACTCTTTTCAGACATCACACACCTCCGCAGCTTCAGAGCCCACAATGAAGCCCTGTGGCACTGGTTTCAATCCTGAAGGAGCCGTGCCTACGCCTCATGCCGCTTTGGCGCAAGGTAAGATTCTCACGGTTTATGATTGCGGCCCTTGATTACTGAGACCGGCGAATAGTGCAAGACAAATGCTTGAAAAACCTCATGATGGCCTGGTACTATGCTGGATACTATACTGGTCTCTATGAAGGGCAGCAGCGAACAAAGCAGAATTATGATTCCTGAATGGACCTTTAGTACAACTTGAACGTGTCATTTTCACTACTACATATTAGAGCTCTCCCATTGCTCATGCAATGGCAGCAATGACAGCTGGCTGTCATAGCATTCTTGCCTCTTGAACATGTACACGGGAAGAAAATCCGATCTCATATATTTTATTCTCGTGTTTCACTTTGCTCGATCAGCTATCCTAAGGACTATTCTATAGCATCCGTTCATGCGACTAAGCCACATCCCAAGACGTCCCAAAATTTCCCTAATTCAGAGTATTCGAAACATGAAGATCATGCCTCGCGCAGGCATCGAAACAATACATACAAACACCTAATGTCAGAATCACCGGCAGTACCCAATCACACCACTAACGACATCGGCCAAGTGCATTTCTCACAGATTCGGCAAACCACCACCGCTCAACAGACCACCGATAAGGGGCAAGTTTGATAGAGGACTGTTATTCACAATGTGGGTGTTGCTAGGCTTGGGAGGCTGAGCGGCGGCACTGGCAGCTGGAGTAGATTCCGCAGGAGTGGTAGAAGTGGAGGTTGTGCTGTCGTCCATCGGGCTGTTCTTGTTCTCCGTCTCGCCGGCGTTGGCGGGCTGGTTGTCAGACGCGGTGTTCGAGTTGTCATTCGCCTCCTGGGCTTCCGCTTCTTTGTATTTTTGGATCATCTCCTTCATCGCCTTGGCGGCGGACTGGACACGATAGTTAGTGGAACCCTCTTGAAGCCAACTTTAGGACTGTGGCTTACCTCGAGCCCTTCCATGGCAGAGTTGCTGTCATTGGCGACATCGTCACGTTTGATGGGCATGGCAGAAGCCATCAGAGCCACAAACAGGCAGAGGAAAAGGATGGAGAGGCTGAAACGGGCCATTTTTATTGGCAATATGAATCGAGATTGTGATCAAAGAGGGGACAGGCGTACTAGACGAGGCGATCTGTAGCCTAGGCGAATGACAGACAAACAATAGGAAAAGAATGGAGAATAAAGGTGTCGAAGCCGAATACCATGCCTGCTTTCCTCTGAGGATAGTGAAGACGAGGACAAGCTTTATAAGTTAGCATCTTTCCAGGGCACTTCTAAGGAGAAGTGAGGGCGATCCTAGGACCGCGTTCACTCGCGCCTCCTCGAAGCATTGGAATTGACGATCCAAGTCAATTGTCAACCTCCCGTGCCACTCTCCTCGTGCGAAAATGTTCCAGCAGCTCGCGACAGACCAGTCATGGCGCTGTACCTTGATCAAATGCAAGGGGGCGCGGCGTATCGTTCCGATTCAACAGGAGTCGCAGCCATTGATTGCAGTAGCCCGTTCATCGAACCCTGCGAAGCCTACTAAACACTCAGGCTACTTCTACTACGTTGCGTATCCTACATTCCGAGCGCGATCCTGCCCGGAATCGCTCTGGCATTGCACGCAGGGTCGTTGGCTGACTCGTGTTGGCAATGCATACATACCACGAGAACGGATGGCGCCTTCTCATCCGTCCTTGGCTTTTCATCGCTAAGCATGGTTCTGCAGACTGCGGACTGGAGCCATTCTACAGCTACCATCCCGCCAGCAGGACAGCAAGATTTTACTGATGGAACGCGAAACTACGAGTACGAATGTACCTCCCTGCTTTGACACGTACCGCCCCATTCTAGATTGACAGCGGACGCAACACGAGGGAGAAAGATCATGGACAATAGTCCGCGATTCACTTTTGGCACAAATTTGACCTCGAATATCATGGAGAGAATGAAGGACGAGACTTCGAAAGTGCCTTTGTAATCTGAATACATAGAATTGGAGGAAGGTCTTATGTCCCTGTGAGTTAGTTCGAGCCAAGGAAAACAGGAAAAAAAGGTTGATTGAGCAAATTAGGAGATGACACGGCTTGCTTGACACGGTGAATCGAGGAAAATCATCTTTCTCCTGGACTCCAACCAGTCTCAAGCACGGCCTCATTCCAAGCAAGGCCTGCTGCAACACCCGACTCTATAAGATATATAGAGACGTGCTGTTATGCAAACAATGTAACGATTCCCAGACAAGGAATGTATGCTCAAAAGCGAACCCAACTACCGCGTGTTGGGCTGGTCAGGCCAGCCCTGCGCCAGGTGTTGGGATTAGAACGAGCATGCGAAGAGATCGCTCTGGGTCCCAAAACTAAAATTTGCGAATAAAACGTGCCGTTTGGGCATCTATTCGCAAGGGTATGTTGGAGACCTGGTATAATAAAAGAAAGAGAAGGAAGACTTGACAAGGGAAACGCGAAAATTTAACCGTCCTGGTGGAACCGCATCTGATTATGTCAGCCGCGCGAAAGAAGCGGCCAAATGTGCTGCCGAGATTGGACTGTTTACGCTCCAGGCATGGCAGGCAAGAAGTTTGAGGAGGCACTCTGCACCGTTGCAATTCAATTTCATGAAATTACCTAATATAACTATTGCCTCTACACCCCTTCCAGCTAGAACCGCGCCAGCACCCGGTCCTGCGTGTCGGCCAACGCCCATTTGTCACTATGTTCCCGGCTTTGGACTGATCGAGCCTGCTCTGCCGTGAAGCCCTTGGCTTCTACTGCTGGGTTGTACCCAAGACCCGTGATTTTCGCCACCGTCTCAGACGCTACTGGTGTGGCGACTTCGCCATCTGCTCGCTTGTATACAGTAACCACGACGGCACCTCCCAACCCCAAGTTGTGCTGGAGGGCGGCATCCGTGCCGTCGATCAAGCGATTGTTGGCCCAGCCACGCAGGTGCCAAACAAGCTCCGCGCATTGTGCCAAACCTGTTGCCCCTAAGGGATGGCCCTTGGAAATAAGACCCCCGGAAGGGTTAATGACCATCTTTCCGCCGTAAGTGATGTCACCCTGTCGCACCATTTCGTGCGCTTTACCCGGCTCACACAACTCCAGTGCATCGATGGTGATCATCTCATTGGCAGAAAAGCAATCGTGTAGCTCACACACTTTGATGTCTCTGACATTAACTCCCGCTTCAGCTGCTGCAGCTCGGCTCGCATTGCGGGTCATCCCGAAGCCCATCAAGTCAATCGAACTGCGATCATACACGGAGCTGTGATCCGTGGCGAGCTTCTGGCCTGCAATGAGGATTGCCTGGTCTTTGAGTTCAGGCCGCGCATCAAGGAAGGCTTGGGAGACGACCACAGCAGCGGCCGCACCATCGGATGTCGGACAGCACTGCAGCTTCGTCAACGGAGCGTGGATCATGGGCGACTTGAGGATCTGTTCAAGGCTGTATTCATCCTGGAATTGGGAATACGGGTTGCGTTTGGAATGCTCGTGATTTATCCGAGCAATGTTGGCAAAGTCCTCCGCCTCGGCACCATGTCTACAATTGACGATTAGTAGGTGTTGACTGAGCAGCGACCAGCCCGGATCCACAGACTTACTTTTCCATGTATTCGCGACCAGCATTGCCAAACATCTGTGCTGCCCATGGAGCATCGGTGACGCCTCTTGTCTCGGCCATCATTTTGCCGAATTGGCCTGTCGGGTTTGCACGATCGCCGTAGACCGACTGAAGACTGCCGGGGCTCATCTTCTCGAAGCCGACGACCAGGATGCAGTCTGCAGCTCCGTAGGAAACCAGCGTTCGAGCCAACGCCAAGCCCGTGGATCCTGTAGAGCAGTTGTTGTTGACATTATAAATGGGGATCTGAGTCAGTCCGAATTGATAAAAGACGCGCTGGCCGCAAGTACTATCTCCGTACACGTAGCATGCAACACCTTGCTCAACGTCATCGTAATTGATATGGGCATCCAGCATAGCTTTGACTCCGGCTTCGAAGCCTAGCTCTTGATAATCGACCTTACCGCGGGGCTTTAGGAACTTGGTCATGCCCACGCCTAGGACGTAGGCAGGGCCCGAATGCGTCTTTCCCATGATGATCGGTCAAAGGAAGAGGTGGGTATAGTTTACCTAGAGTTCAACGACCAGACGTAGGCACTACTTCTCGAACTAAAGACAAATTGCCGAGTGATGTGATGTTTAGCAGGTGGTATGGCAGGCCCACGGAGTAGATATGTAGGAGGTATTATGGTGGTAGTGCAACTGCAACAAATGGTCCAATGCGGAGTAGTGCTGCGGGGGAACCGTCAGCGGGACCGAGGTCCCGAGGGTAACTCAAGTCTTCTCTAACCTGCAATAGGCGCTGACCGATAATGTTATGATTGGATTTCTCAATGCTATACTACCATCATCATTGTGTTATTGTCTATCAATCCCCGGTTCTTGGTTCGATCTACGTCTTTAAGAATGAATTCAATCTATCAAGAGCACAGGACGAGTAAACCACATTATATATATTCTGCAATGGAAAAATCCCGCCCTCCTCCATTCTCGTCTGTTTGACATTTATATACGCTGCAAACAAGGGCGACTACGGAGTATAGTCCTCCAATCCCAGGGCGAGGTTCATACTCTGGGCTGCTTGACTCGTGTCAATGTGGACTTCACAATCAAATAAATTTTCGGTCTGTTTCTACATTGGGTATTGAATGTCCTGCCCACGCCCCTCGCCCTGAAATATGTTGTTTCTTCGAGATGCATTGCAGCACAAAGCACAGGTGTCGTCCACCAATTAGCATGAGTACAAATCGAATGATCATACAGATGGTTCAAATTTGTTGCGATGGAATCCTGATCCCAAGGGCGTGTACAGTAAGCCCCTCCGTGGGTCGACAATGTCAATGAAGCATCTGGCGTCTGATTCGTTCGCTTGGACCTTTGTTGTTGGTTGAATCCATTTATTCGAGTATCGCCAGATCATGCCTTTCTCTGTTCGGAAAAACAACGTGTGGTCGTGAAATCCCCAATCCCAGCACTGAAAATTCGATTGATCCAGCTCTTTGTGAATTGGTTACGACACCAGGTCCCGGCCCAGTCAAGAAGTTCCATGGTCGACAGCGATGATCTTATCTGCTTGCGCATTGCCGCATACAACCTGCCTGGAATCATCGCTCGCAGCGTGGGCCTAGTCCTCCATGTAAAAGCTCGAATGATTCGAGCGGAGGAAATACTTTTGGGGATTTGGGTGAGGGAAAGATATTAAAGCTGCAGGGTGGTGTGGCACACTTACTCCAGAAACCTTACGGACTAGCCTGGGTTTGCAGGGGCCAAGTTAGCAATAAGCACCGGCAGACCAACCGACTGGCATGCCTTGCATTCGTATTGAGAATGGAAGAGAATTTACAGAGTGCTGTACACACTAACTACACAGTATGTACTCCGTACAATGTACAGAGTACAGTACTGTGTATAATAGAAGGGACTTGGAGAAGATTATGACTGGTGGCTTGCATGTGTGGTTCGGTCAGGGCGGGGTAGATTAATTGTTTGATCGATCAAGTGATTAGTTGATCGTACTGTATCCATCCGTTCTGGCTGCGGGTGCAACCACCGCCCAGACTGGTTTGGTCCGATGCAGCTCTTCCTTTCCTCCTTCCTTTGCCACGCCTCCTAAAGTTCCATCACTCACACTAACTACGCAGTATGGGTACTCCGTACACAGCACGGAGACACATTGTACATAAATAGTATTCTTGCGTCTCTCGTTGTGCTATTACTGCACGGGGTCAGGGAGGAGGATTGTCAGTCTGATGCGCGATTAATAACCTCCCTAGTCACTTGCAAAATGGAGAAGAGATCAACAGATCCACGAGGGGAGGCCAGTTGTCGTTCGGCTCAGCAAACAGCAGATAGGAGAAGGCACCTTATTAAACCATTATTGGACCATTGACTTTCATTTGTCTCAACCGTCTATGCGTTTCAATGGGATGCAGCAACAATACCTATCTATACTGAGTATGCTCCCTACACCACCCGAGTAACTACAGTACTCGGTGTAGTCTTTTGCAGAGCATGCGTAGCACTGACTGCCTCACAACGACGTCACTGGACCAGGAAACCCCACTAAGCCTGTTCGAGTGATCAGCAATTCAGTGCCCCCTCCAGGAGCCCCCCGCCACTGTCTCTGCCCGAATTCCTCAATTCCTCTGCCAGCTTCTTGCTTTAACTAGTCAAAAAGATTTCATGGATCCTGCCTCGCTGTGTCTTGAGGAGCTAATTGACTATCGGCGCACCACTAAACTCAACTCACGGCCGAAACCAACTTTTTTTACTACCTTAGTAAGCACGTAGTTAGTTAACTAGCCAATTAACTAGTTAACTCAAACAATTGAGTAAGTACTATTAAGTCACTGGCAACTGCTCACCCACTGGTCGAGCGAAGGTACCCCGTCTGTCGTGATGGTTGTCGTTGACTGGCTCCCTCTCTCTCTCTACTGTGAACCTCCTTCCATTATTCTTCTACCTTGATTCTTCTTCCCTTCTATCCGCACGGTCCATTGTCTCACCCCGACTCTGATCTTCTGCTGCCATCACAGCTTGTCGTTGTCGTCCCGTATAGGTAAGTGAAACCTGCCCATCTTGTGAGATCTTGATCCTGTTAGGAAGTTTTGGAACGCAGTGGCTTATCTTTCGGGCATCCTCAACAGGTACTTCTCGACGATAATCGAAAGCCTTCAGCAGGCGATTAAGAGGGAAACAGAAAACCGGAAGCCAAGATCGACTCCAACTCTCAATTCGCGGTTTGCCATCACCCCAGTAAAGCCGAAAATCACCTCTTCACCCCAGAAAGAACGTCCATTAGCAATCCAGTAGCTCCAGTAGCTGTGTGCTGAGGCGATTTTCTCCCCCGAACGCTTTCTCCCCATCCATTGAGGGGAACACCTCCTTTCTTTCAGTCGTGAAAGAAAATCGTGCAGGAGGTTGTCGAAATTTACTTCATGGATAATTGTGGGACGCCGAACGGTCTGCTCGCGCGTTGAGAGACCGCTTTGCGTTCCATAGGGTTCCCCAGCCCGCTTGTACCTCTCGATCTGACCATAATCGCAGCCATTGCCGCTGGACATATATCACAACCTCAGAGGCTCCTTCATCTGCCGCAGATGGGATATCTTCAGGCATGACTCTGGACAAACGCGCTGAACATGCACGCTTTACCCCGACCCCCTCACAACCTTCTCCCCTAGCCATGTCAAACCGAAGTCCCTGGATTATGGACGAAGCCAAGCGCAACAGACTGCTCAAGAAGTACAAAACCCAGGTGGCCTCGGGGACTTCGACAGTTTGCGCCACTCTCGCTGTGGTACGTCAAGATTTGATCAAGTGCGTTCGAGCTAGGCATTGAGCTGACCGGATGTTTGAACGGCTGGGGTAGACTCCATTAGAAAATGTTAAAACACGTATGCAGACGTGAGTGCGAACTCATTCAGCGAGGTCTTTGAGATTCCGTGCTGATTGATACTCTGCAGACATAATTTTCAGAATGTCTTCCAATGCATCCGTTACCTGTGGCGTACCGAAGGACCCCGCGGTTACGTTGCTGGTAGGTCGACATCGTCCCTTGGATTCTGCGTGACAATACATTAATGTTAATGTCGAATCTCAGGAGCCCTGCCACCTCTAGCAAGCGTCACGGCGGTCCGAGTGGTCAACTTCACAACCTACAATGCAGCCAAGCATCGGATCTCCGAATTCGTGGAAAGAATGACCGGTGAATCACCTCTGGCAATGTATAATCGACCTGGCAGTAGTCCCACAGTATCGACCTTGTTCACCTTCACCGCTGCTGGTCTCGTTGCTGGCCTAATAACTTCTCCCCTAGCCTGTAAGTTTTATCATTATGGCATTGGATCGACGATTCTGATCATTGACATGGGCTAGGCCCGTTTGAGCTCGCAAAAAATGTGGTTCAGACTTCGGTCCTGGTTTCAAATCGTGCGCAGGCGTCCCCTAATGCGATCAACGACCCTTCACTTCGCAGCAAGCCGCGTCTGGGTACCGTGGAGGCTATCAGGCAGATCATTCAGCGGTACGGCATACGCGGGCTGTACACGGGGTTTCATCTTCACGCAATGCGCGACACGCTCGGCTCTGGACTCTATTTCACCGTCTATGAGACGGTGAAACAACTTGCAGCGAAAGAGTTGGGTCCTGACAAGTCCCCCTTCGGGGCGCCCATGATTGCGGGTGCTATCTGCAGCACCGTCCCTTGGTTTTGTGTAAGTCCTGCCAAGCAGTAACTTCAGCTCTCCAGCTAATTGAAGCAGACGTATCCGTTAGATACTCGGAAAACCCGTGCGCAGAGTGTTTTACTCGGAAAAACCAAGGAGGTGGGTGAGGCAACAGCCGCAGTCGCCAAGTCGAGCATGTATAAGGGGCTATCTATTATATTGATACGTACTGGAGTGAACAACATGATCCTCCTTAGTATCTTTGAGTATATCAAGATGAGGATTAACGAGCTGGATTAGTGAATGATAAAAGGCTAGCTGACCGGGTGGACGCGCACCTGTGTATTGTTGGGGCGTATAAGGTCAATTGTTTTTTGTTATGATTCTTCTCAAGTACATAATGGCAAGAAGCGCCAAACCGCAAATACAGAATGAACTAGGCCGATGTCTACTCGTCTGAGATCCCCACAAATCAATTTTCGTGGGCCAAAAAGTCCCTCGTACCTGACGGATGCTTTCAGCCTCAGGCATCAATTTGCAACGTCATGCGTTGCCCCGGCGGAGGTTTGGGCATGGGCTTTTTCGTCAACAAAACTTCCCCGCCAGCGGCCGACCTACCGTTCTTCCACGCCGTATGCATCGATTCAAGACAGAATGGCGTCGTAAGTGAATTCTTCGGTCTGCTCAAGGCGTTTGCTAATTTTGGTCCAGCAATATTCTCCAGATTCCGTTTCGACGTTCGCACCCTGTGTCCTTATCCGAAGCTATTACGCAGTACATCTCCTCCAAATATGACCAACGTCCGGATATGTTCGCCGAGGATCTCTTGATCATCGATCGGCTGCGAAATGAAGCGATCAATGTTCAGGAGGCACACGTCAGCGGGATAAGCCGGCTGGTCACATACGCGGCGCAGTTGAAATGGCTAGGCGGCAAGTTCCCCGTCGATGTAAGCGGATTTTCATCTACCCCTGTCCATAGGAAAGGAAACTCGTAGCGTACTGCAGCATCAAAGACACTGCGGTGATAGCGTCACAGTTTTGCTAATTTGCTTGATGTTCCGCAGGTCGGCGTGGAGTTTCCATGGTATCCAGCATTCGGCTTCAATACCTCGAGACCAGGTACGTGGATTCGACGCGGATTCACATCCCCCGCTGACACGCTGGACGCTATATAGTCTCGCAAAATAACATTCGATTTGAGCTCTCCAATGTAATCTATAATCTCGCAGCCTTGTACTCGCAGCTCGCATTTTCCGTCAATCGGACAACTGCAGACGGCCTCAAGCAGGCATGTAACTACTTCTGCCAGGCAGCGGGCGTTTTAGTCCACCTACGAACCGAAATACTGCCCGATCTTCGCACATCCCCACCCGAAGACATGGACGAGATGACCCTTCAAAGCCTGGAACAGCTTCTCCTTGCGCAAGCGCAGGAATGTTTTTGGCAGAAGGCTGTCAAGGACGGGCTGAAAGACGCCTCGATTGCTCGCTTGGCCGCAAAGGTCTCGGACTTTTATGCCGACGCGGGAGACCATGCGGTCAAGTCGAATGCGATCAGTCCGGAATGGATCCATCACATGACGGCTAAACATCATCACTTCGCGGCGGCGGCGCAGTATCGACAGTCATTAGATTGCCTAGAGAAGCGCAAGTATGGTGAGGAGGTAGCACGGTTGAAAGACAGCGAGCTTTGCGTGAATGAGGCGCTAAAGGAGTCTCGCTGGATCAATCGCACGGTCCTGGGAGACTTGCAGGGCCTCAAGAGTCGGGTCACCGAGGATCTCAAGCGCGCCGAGAAGGATAACGATATGATCTACCTTAACTCCGTGCCACCTAAATCGGAGCTAAGACTAATCGATCGCGCGTGCATGGTGGCCGCGAAAGCCCCGTCGCAGGTTACGGATGCCATCTCAATGCTTGGAGAGAACGGGCCTCTGGGCCAGCCTTTATTCACGAAATTGGTACCGTATGCGGTGCATATCGCGGCCAGTATTTACTCCGACAGGAGGGACAGACTGGTCAATGAGAAGATTATCGGACAATTAGAGACTATGACGGATAAGTTGCGAGAGTAAGTGCCTCTATCACTCCAATCTAAAGTCAATGCTAACAGATGCAGTCTGCTTTCGTCCTTAAACCTTCCTGGCTCTCTGCAGGCACTAGAAAAGCCGCTGGGATTACCACCGACTCTGGTATCCCACGCAGAGGAGATGCGCCAGCAGGACGGTCTCTACCGGCTGCTTAGGTCTCTCGAGGATACGGCCAAGGTGAAAGACAACGACAGGGCTGTGTACACTGAAGGAGTGGAGCTTCTCGCGGCCGAAAAGGCAGAAGATGATGCATCACGCCGCAGGTATGGCACTGACCGGTGGACACGGGCATCTTCCGAGGAAGCAGCTTCCAAGCTCTACACGACGTCACGGGAGATTGAAGGATATTTCAACTCGGCTCAAAGCAGTGACAGTCTCGTGGAACAGAAACTGAAAGACTCGGAGGCAGTGTTCCGAGTGTTGACCGGCACAAATCGGGACCTAGAGATGTACGTTCCAAGCAGTCGCAGGGCCGCGATTCCGGCCGAGGTCGAGCGGGAGGTGACGCGACTTCGTGGATGCCTGAGCGAGGTCAACCGACTGGAGAACCGCCGAAAGCGACAGGTGCAAGCCCTGAAAGACAAGTCCAGGGCAGATGATATCAGTGAGTATCATGACTATAGACGAAGCTAACAAACCCAAACTGACTATCCTGCAGGCCAAGCACTGACCAAGCAGACTGCACGGTTGGAACGCGAGTTTCCCATGCAGCCAATTCAGGCGAGCCAGTTTGAGGATCTATTCGAAGAGCAACTTCGCCTGTACGACACCGACCTGCGAATGGTGACCGAGGAGCAGCAGGGCCAGGACCAGCTTGCAGCACGGATCTGCGAGGCCAATCGGGCCTTCTCACGCGCACATACGGGTGATGCTTCAACAAGGGAGCGAGAACGCGCCTTGCAGGAATTGGAGAACGGGTACTTGAAATACAAGGAGATTATTTCCAACATCGAAGTGGGAAGGAAATTTTACAATGATCTGGCTAAGATCGTAGGACGATTTCGCGACGACTGCAAGGCCTTTGTGCACAAGCGGAGGATGGAAGCTAGTCAACTAGAAAGGTAAGCGGCTTCTCCGGATGAATATACCTTTTATTATCAATTGATAAGACTAATCACCTGCACAGTGACATCTCCAGTGCTGCCGCAATGGCATCCTTGAACATCTCCCCACCCATTCGGCAACAGCAGCCGCAGTCAACATATCATACACCCACTGCCCCGACCAGCCAGCATTTTAGCCAGACTACACAGCAGACATATAACCCGGCACCCGTGCCTGCGCAGCAACAGTCCCGCCCAGCATTTTCCGCGCCAGGATCACAGCCCCATCCCCAAGCAGCTCCCATCCCGGTAGCAGTTCCAACCACACCGCAACAACCCCAACTCCTTCTGCCACGTGCTGAACCCATGACCGCGCCGCAACCGACCCGGGCAAACGCCCGGCCCCCTATGAAACCAGGGATGTGGACACCAGAAATGGGGATTCGGTTCGGAACTGCTGGCGGGACCGGTGGGACGTGGGATGCAAGTAAAGGGTTGAAGTTCTCTTAGATACGATTTTTTCCCTCTCTGTCTGTTCTTAGCGGCCATATCAAGTCATGATTTGCATTTATTGGTGGCGCGGGGGGAAAGAGCGCGCGGGGAAAGAAATGTCTTGACCATGAAGTGAATTTATACGCTCATGGACGTAGATAAATTAGCATTACATACTTAAAAACGTTATATAACATTGATTCGGAAAATGTGTTCTCAAGTTCTAGTGTGGATCGAAGAAGCTGTAGCTGCAATGTAGGCATATACAACAAATGCTGGCGACATGATACAGCGGGTTCGGTTCGTCAGTTCGGTTACTCATCCGGCATCATCTTACTTACTTTCTATATCTTTCAAGCTCGAGCCGGGGGAGACCGTATCCGGACCGAGTAGCTAACTGAAAAGCATCACGGTCAATGTCTATTGATGAGATCTTGACTCTTGCTGAGGTAAAGATAACCACGACCCTCTTACGTGTGGCATTCAGCATGGCAATATAAAGCTCTCACGACCCGTTGAATTTTGGGCATGTGATATGTGAATCGTATTATATATTGGACGATTGCGTACAGGCCCTCAACATCACCTCCGCCGCCTCTGCAGCGATTGACCTGGTTGACGCGGCCAGATCTTCGCGACAGCCGGCGGCCCGAAAACAGCCGATCCACGCGTCCCATGTTCTGCGAGAGATAGCATCCCTACTGTCTCCCCTAGCTGAGCGTGAAGATGTGGGTTTGCTGCTTGCTGCGAATGGGGACGTCGAAACGTCTGGCGGGCAGGACTCGGCAGAGGCAGCATCTGGTATTCTCGACCTCAAGGACATGAAGGTGGTCGCCGGCGATAGAGTTGTTTCGTCGTGCCCGTCATCATCTCCGTCCAATGTTAGCCCTACTACGAAGTCGTTGCTTGCACCCTCTCCTCTGCGCTGCCAAATCTCCTCGCCCGTCAGGATGGCCCAGATCGCCGCAGCCGAGACGTAAAGATCGAGACAGGGCTTAGTGGTGATGCAATCGGCGTGATTCTCAGGCTGGGTCTGACGGAAGGGGTAATAGCTATCCACTGGGCCGTGTGCATAACTACCAAGCCCTGAAGCCGGGGCGAAGAGAGTCTTTCCCTCATTGCCCAGAACGGAGCCCATCATGACGAGGGCGATGTCGTCCAACCCGTCATGAACGGATTCTTTGCTCATGATTGCCAGAAATGAGGTGAGGTTGAGCCACGCTTCACTTTCCAGGGTGCCAAAACTCACTTTCGGCATGGGAGGGTTGAAGTGAGTAGGAGTAGGATGTTGCGTGGAATAGAAAGGAGGAGAGGGATTTATGGCCATCATGGTCTCGGGTTGACTTGCAGTAGAAAGTGGTCCAATAAACTGCGACGTCGCGCTAGTAGATGTAGGTGCGGTATATCGTGGCGGCGATGGTCGACGAAACCATTTCCCCGGAGCATCTTCCTGAAATATCTCGGCAATGACCTCACGGAAAAATGGCAGAGCCGCCCAGCATATACCTCTCTTACACTTGGTTCGCGCTTCGACATCATCAGCGAGCATGCCCTCCCAGTCGCTATGATTGCTACTCAGGGAGGAGCCATAGTACGACGATGACGAGGAGAAGACAGTGGCTCCGAGGTATGGTGACAAAGACGGGTGATGATGATGGCTGATCCCGGCCACTGTGCCTGGAATGGGTTCCGTTATGGGAAAAGTTCGGATGGCCTGAAGGAGAGTGAGGAGTTTATGTTGCGCTTGGGTTGGTGGGTAGTGCGACCCGTCTGGTTGTACATCGGGTTGCGCAGCTGTAGGTGTTGTCAGTGAAGCGCTGTCCGCTAAAGCATCGTCTTCATTGAGACTAGGCTGTTGGGGACATATCGAGCGCAACAAAGTCCTAGAAGTGTGTGCGATTGTTCGCCACAAATCGTTCAGATTCTGCTCTACCAGGGTATCAATAAGAGGTTATTGCTAGGCTCAAGATAGCATACCGACTAGCCCACTGTCTCCGCCATAGTACATCGCGTTTATAACACTGACAATTTCCCGCGCGGCCGTTTCCGCGGACAGCTGATCAGCCATGTACAGGCTCACGATACCGGTGTAGGGCCGTGTAGGGGAACCTTGAACCCAATCATTCGCGGTGGCAAGTACATCGATCTGATAATCCATGTTTCTGAAATTGAAACACGAATGTTAAATGCAAAAAGTGTTTGCAGATCATCCTCGCGGACATCGTTACTTGCCAGCAATATGTTAGTCACGTGATATGATATCATGACCCCGAGCATCTGTTTGCGGCACATAGGTGAGGCTCCGCAAGACACCCAGCATCATCATCCAATATGGGGCCTGAAGTTCCCAGTCACTTTCGACTCTCACTCTGGTTCGGGCAGGCTGCTCGAGCCGGCCAAATGATCGTCCGGCGCTGGCATCGACTCCAATCCCTCACCCAGGAAGAAATCCAGTTCACTGGGCCCGCCTTGAGAATGCTCGTTCTCGGCCAGTTGCTCCAAGAGACTGAGAAACGGATCTTTTTCACCGTCACTTGTTCCGGCTCCGCCTCCAGTGATAGTGCCGGAACTGCCTTGTGACGGCGCATCTGGTGTCAAGGCCGAGACGCCAGGCGTGGCCTCGAACGGAAACGTTGCGTACTGTGGCTGAGTCGGTGGTGTTGGAGCGGTGTAGGTAGACTCTGATAAGAATGCTGCTGGGGAGCTTCTTACGCCTAGAGGATATCCCAAACTGGTTTCCGGAAGCGTCAATTCCGGCCCAGGACCCCATGGTGGGGAGGCCTGCGAGGACGGGAAGCTTATAGATGATCGTCCTTGGGAAGGGAGTGTTGCTGTAGCTGGATAGATGAGCCCGCCTGAGAAATCCTGTCGGTCAAAGAGCGGGAGACTGCAATAGCAGGTTAACAATTATATTTCCCCAACCAAGTGTCTCGGATTCGTGACTCACGGCTCATCTCCATCCACCAACCGCACATGTCCACCCTCAACAGCTGAGCCTGGGTACCGGTCGAAAAAGTCTTCCAAGTGAAAGACAGGAGCAAATCGAACCGGGCGGGCTGCCATTGTTCGCACCAAGTCGGCATGGCAGGAGGCGATGCGCTGCAGCATTTCCCGTTGATGTTGCACCCCTGTCCAGTAATGCCGCAGCCAGGCCAGCTGGTGCATTTCGCGGGCCAGAAAGTCGGCGCTGGATGCGAACACCTCGCCTTCACGTCCGTGGTAATGCACACCATGCACATGTACTGTGCCAGCGGTACAGATGCAGTATGCCACTAGGGACGGCCATTCAATGCGCGGGGCATGTCGAGCCAATTCGACGAGCTCCGCAATTGCATTGGCGTGTGAGAAACAGAGCGTGGTTGCCTCAATCTGCCACGATTGATGCTGGCCGGTGCCGCGCAGCTCTACCAAGTCAATGGGAAGGAATGGGCGGTAGAGTAGGCAGTGTACCAGATGGTAGATCAGTTTGCTTAGAAGCAATAGCGTACTCTCCGGGTGGCCAAATAGTGTTTCAATCGAGGCAAAGAGATCCTGCGTGCCAGTGGCCCAAAGGTCCAGCTCCTGGCGAATCTTGGACAAATTGGACAATGCATGCCAGGGGAAATGGGAGTCGCCTTTGACACCGCCCGCCGCCAGATACCGATGTGTTACACCCAGTATGCGCGTAATGTCGACCAGCAGAGTTGCACCCCCGGGGCCTTTGCGCCGGTCGGGAATGTAGTGGATGTTGGGTCCAACCGGATTGAAGCTTTCCCCAGTCTCAGAGCCCATGCCCGGTAGCCGCAGCGCAATAGAGTGATCGGCAATCAAACAAGGCCGCTTAGAGCCACAAGTAAGAAAGCGGTCCATGATGTACACGGTCCAAAACAAGCGGCGGCGCATCTCTCTCTCCGGGGCGGGCAGGGTTGGAGTGGAGACCTCGCGGTACAAATCCAAGGCCAAAGCCATAGCCACCGCATTGGCTAGCAAGAGATTAGCCTCGGCCCTTTGACTGAAATCGGCATAGACCTACAGAGAACCATGTAGGCCGTTTTCCCACAGCCATGGGCGAAAAAAGCTTGAGAGAGCAACAAGAGAGCCTGTGTACCGTCAATCGTGGGGTTATCGATGTCCACCAGCCGACGGGCTTGTCGCGCATACTCCTGGCTGCCAGGGGCCGGAAGGGGATTGATATAACTGCAATGTTTATTTTAGTGCGAATGCTTCTGCATGGACGGACGGGATTCGCAGGTACCGTGACGTCAAGGCATAAAGAGCCATAGACAAATGCACTGGCAATTGACCTAAATGATGGCGCTGGCGGGTTTGGTGTTCATCCAAAATCCAGTAAGGCTTCCCATGCAGGCGAGCAAAGTAAGTGTCGAGCATGGCGTCCGGTAAGCGGGGCGGGGATCCATAAGTTTGCGACGCTGCGGGATGCTGAAAGGCCACCGAGGCTGGAGGTAGTAACGGTGGGGGCTGTTGTTGCTGCTGCTGCTGCTGCTGCTGCTGCTGTGGTTGCTCTGACGATTTGATGGGCGAGATCGACGAGACGGGAGAGATTGGAGAATCCTCCTGTAGACGCTTTTCGAGTCCATCGACGCGCTTGAGCAAGGCTTCCAATACATCGGTCTTGGGTCCGCGCTTTTTGGGGACAGCGTCTAAAGTAAAGATTCGGTGAGTTTGCGTATTTCGGAGAGGGGGGAGGGGGGGCGGTTGGAACGGGCCACAAAACGTCGGAGGAACATATGGCCTGATCGGAGGACACTAAAACCAACAACATTTGAACAGGGGAACAAAACAAAGTAAGTAACGAACCATAAATGCAGGGACATTGGAAGACCTTGCAGGCCTCACAGCTTGGGCGCAGACGGTTGCATTTGATCTGAGGCGACAAAATGACGAAGGGAACTTTTGTCAGCAGGTAGAGTTCTTTTTCCTTTCTTTCTTTCTTTGTATTCCTTTTTATTCTTTTTTTTTTCTTCACCCTTCCTTATAGTAGATCGGATATGTAGGTATTTACCTTGCGTTTCCGACAGGATTTACAGTTCATCGATTCGCGAGGCTCGACATTAACCCGTCGAGGAGTGAGACGGTCGATGCTGACCTGGGGGCGGGACATGGCATTCTCTGTGACATGAATAGAAAGAAGAGAAGAGGAGGAGAAAAGTGGTCTAGTTTAGAGAAAGAGGAGGGAAGGGAAAAGGGGAGAAGAAAGAGTAGAAGGGAAAAGAGAGGAGAAGAAAAGACCAGCACCCCCGGATTTATTGGCTGCAGCACTGGAAACGCGGAGAAATCCAGTGGGCCTAAGGGTCAAAAAGGCTTAGCGGGGGGGTTGATGCGGGGGCTGTTATTATTATTATAATTATTATTATTATTATTGTTGTTGTTGTTGTTGTTGTTGACATGGCTGCTTGTGAGTCATAAAGTACTACATAAACGATACCTACGGAGCAGTTAGTAGTGAATGAGGTAAGTCACTACGGTAGGCAAGTTACTAGTAAAGTACAAGCAATCAAAAGCAATTATACTGTAGATTACTTGGGGGCATGAAGGGAGGATATTCAGGGCACTTCTTCTAGGCCATCCCCCCTCCCCCATCCCCCAAACCATCATTCGTCCCCCGGGATTTTCCCGCTTCCAGCACGGATTCCCGTCCGGTGGGTGACGAATGAGTTATAATGGATCCGTCCCTCCTTCTTCCTACTACCCCAGATGTATGTAGATCCTTGCCTTTCCTTCCATTGTTTTCTCCGCGCTTTCCCCTCCCTTCCCCAGTCCACCGAGGAGAGAAATCGGTCTTGTTTCATGTCATTCATGCCGACAGCCGTTGACTGGCTGATTCAAAATAGATACAATCGATCTACCCCAATGCAAAAACTTCCGGTCTCAGTCAGTATATAGTAATCCATCCCCGCTTTATAACCCCCCCCCCCCATCTCGACTCTCCTCGCTCGCCCTTAAGGATAAGACATCCGAGAGAAGACAGAAGAAAAGTAGAGCGCACTCCCTTCCCTCTTCCGGTTCTACATATGCAACCAAAGTACAAGGATGGAGAAGAAAACAATCAGAACACCCTTCCTGAGGCCATCCGGACAAAGTCAAATGGCACGTTCTGGCCCACCAGCAAGCGCAGTGTCTCCACTGTCGTCCACGCATCCACATCTTCAATCCCGTAAGCCGTCCATCCAGAACGCACAGCTACACCGACAGGGTCACCTGTGTGTTCACCTCGGGTCAGGTCAAGGTAGACTTTGCCCCGGGTCGAGGGCGGCGATGAGCGCCCACTCGTCCGGTAATGTCGCAACAGCGGCTGTACCAGCAACGACTTTTCTGGAGGTAGCGCGGACACCATAACGAACGGTTGCTCAACCCGCTTGACGGATTGAATTGATGTGAAAGGCTCGAGCCCCGCTGCTAAGGGACCTCGAGCCCGGAATCCCACCGTGTGGATCGCACCGACTCCCAAGCTGCGCAAGGCATAAATTGTTGCCGATGCTTCACTCTCGCTTGCTGCCAAGAGAATTGCGGTCCGGCCTTGGTACGCCGACGGTACATAATCTCGGGTCAAAGTCGCTCGGATGCCCTTCCACGTTGCATTCTCCCCCACCAACGACTTCAGCGGCCCTTGAGGACCGGCCACAATCGTATCGACCAGACCGATCGCTCGCGCCGCCTCACTCACCGCGGGAATACACGCGGTATTGCTTGGAATGGGTGGATGCACCGAGGCTCCTCCGAATGTGGCCTGTGTGAGCACCCGCTCGACTGACCCTATGGGTCCGCGATCGATCGAGGTCAATGTGTGTGGAAGGCTCAGCTCGTTGAAGCACTTCTCCATGAACATAGACTGTGGCGTTGATCGAAACGACCCAATCGCATACAGGTCGCGTTTCGGCAGCTGGCCCATGATGTGGAGTGCCTCATTGATCTCTGCCGCTGTCAACTGGCCCGGAGCCGCGATCATCGGCAGCAACGGGTGAGTGATGGGCGAGAAAACTGTGTTTAGAGCTCGTGACAGTTGGCCTAATTGACCCATGTTGACCGCCGACAGCAAGGGATACGCCCCGTGAGTCTTGCGGATCTCCGACCTAAAATATTCAAGCTCGTAATTGGCTTCGATAGTCGTGACCATCGCGATCATCTTGACTATATCGGCGTACTTGGCGCTCTCCGCAAAGATTCGTGGGGCTTCGGGTGACGTCCACTTCCAGGTCCCTGAAAAATCATGGAAAGCTGACATGATGATGCTGTTCCCCTTCTCTGCTGCCAACCTTTGACGTATGGACTCAGGAAGCCACAACTCCACGTCAATGTATTCTACGCCCCATTGGATAGCGCGGCGAAGATAGCGGTAGAATAAATGCGGATCATCCATGGGAAATTTGCCATTTTCTGCGGTGCAGCGTGTGGTAAATATGATTGGCAGTTCTGTATGTTGTCGAAGTAACATCAATTGCTGTCCAACATAACGTAGACTCGGCACTGCACCCGTGGTGCCTGACGGCGGAGTTGTGGGATCCACGAGCAAGTCAACCCGAATCTCTACCGCGTCCGAGCCAACAGAGAGAATGTCCAAGTTCGGCAACGCAGCATGAACATCAGGAAAAGTGGTGGAGATGAAATTGGTCCGGCTTTTAGTCTTGAGATCCTCGTGGGGACGACTCTGGCCCAGAATCAGAGAGAGAAACCTGGTCAGGTCCCGTCGAAAGAATGGACTTCGGAGTGAGTATAAGAATTCGTAATGACAACAGTCACTCAGTGCCTCTTCTGGGAAAGAGCCGTCGTCAACACAATGCGTGTTAACGAGGATCCACGCCGCATGGTCGCCTTCTTGCAGGTCCCGGGTCAAATCTTTAGTGGCTAGAACGCCGACAACCACTGCGCTGCTGCTCCTCCCCAAAACTGACAAGGAGGTTTCTGTCGTCCATGGTTTCCCAAGGATCTCTGCAATGACCTGCACTATACCCTCCTGACCGGGGGTAAAAAGCGTGATCACGGTTCGTGCGGACTCTAGAGGTGATATCGGAGTGGGGGAAGCTGAGACCGCAATCGATGTTGAACCTTTGAGAGCCGTGAGGGACGTGGCGGCATCCGCTAACAGCGTCATCCCCACGGGCTGTTGTAGCGCAGTCTGCATCATCTCATCGCATTTGCAGTTAACTGCGTGTGTTCATACTTGGTCTCGACGGCGACCAACTCAAAGGGAGGGCAATTGAAATCAATCGGTTATATCCCAGCCCGTGTGCAGAGATAACCGGGGGAGATCAGTAGTTGAGAAGTAGAGGTAGGGAACGAATTCAGGATTGCGAGACGGGCAGTCGCATCAATGACCTGGCCAACCACACACGTGCTGGCGGAGGCTGTTGGCACACGCCAAAGTGTATGGCGCAGTCGTAGTGAAACGAACGGTGATAAAAAGGCTATCTCTTCTTAGTTCTCTTCTTCAAGTAGAACCGAGGAGGCTGAATGGTGAATGCGGTGATAGTTGGATACCGAATAACTAGATCCCAGCACAAAATCAAGAGACGGTGGAGGAGAGAATTGGGTATGAAGATGAAGGAGAACGTAAGCAAAGACTAAGGGAAATAGCGGGAAGAGGCCAGAAGGATAAGGACGACATTTGCCAGGATCGGGAAGAAGAGGAAGAGACGGAGGAAGAGAGCAGAGGGAAAGGGAAGGAAGAGAGAGAGAGAGAGAGAAAGAGAGAGGAAGGGAGGGAGGGAGGGATTCGAGGATTGAGGGTGGGGAGGAGATATGAGGGAAGAAAACGTAATATTGGAACAGGTAGCGGGCCAGACAAAGGAGGAGAAAGACAAGAAAGATGGGGATGGAACAGAGGGACGGACGGATTTCCCCGGAATTCTGCCTCCGCCGGCCGGGGGGGCAGCGGAGGCGATTTCTCCGCCAATCACTGTTTGCCTTTTGTGAGTATAGACAAATACTACCTCACTAACACCTACGGAGACTGTGTGTGTATACTGTTTTCAGGTGCAGTGTGGCAGCCTCACAATTCACCCCAGATTTAGGGGGTCTTAAGGTGTACCTTTCTCTCAACCCGGCCATCCTCAATCCTCCTTTCAAGCATTAGTTACCCGTCTCATCAAGTGACTAAAGTACACATTTCTACTGCATCGAAAGCCAAGAGAGTAAGTGACCCTCTTCCCTTAATCTAACTCTCTCTCTCTCTCTCTGTGTGTGTGTGTGTGTGTGTGGCCACCAACATGTCGTAGATGCGATTCGCTTCTCACATCCCCTTGAACCCCTCTTATGTCTGGTCTTAGACTCAGTCGCCACGGACATTCTGATCCACCGCTCCTTGGGCTTCTATGATACGAGGGAAATGGCTGTCAATAAGTCTTATCTTGCCCCTCTACGGTTGGTCGGTCTGCATTCTCCCGCGCCTACCCGGAGCCCCGGATCGAGATGCAACTGCAGCGTCGTACTTGATGTTTCCACTAAACATCAGCCTAGACTTCGGGGTGGCGGTGGACCTCATCCGCCGACACCCTTGATATCGCAATTTCTTAGAAGAGCTCTCTTATGAACGGGCGTATCCATGGCAAGGTGATTATTAGGTCATCATCGATATTTCAGCCAGCCATTTTACACTCGTCGATCCTCAGAGATCCAGCCCTAACTATCCTCCCGCCGGGGGTGACTAACATGACACGTAGAACTACCCTGGCCTGACCCACCCGCAGCTAACATCATAACAGACATAGTCGATCGTCCAAGAAAGGACAGCCGGATGATTAATCTGATGCAGCAAAGTATGTAACATGACAACTAAATCCACCAATAGGTTGTGGGACTAAGACAATGCAATGTATTAAGACCACGTCGAGTAAGGAGACAACCGTGAATACCAGCCGATCGAAAGGGGTATTGTAAGCTAGAAAGCAAGACACCATGCCCAAATGACAGAGAAGTACAGCAAGCCGACACAAAAGAAGGGAATCGATTCAAGGCTGGTAGGATATTGTCATAATCAAACAAGAAGCGGGCACAGTATGTGTCACTGTCTGCGAGTGCAGTAGGTATGTGTATGTGTACATCAATGCATACCACAATATGTTCTGTAGTCCAGGGGAAGTTCCAAAGTGTCGCAGCCATAGCTGTGTTATCCTCGGGTGGTCGGGGAAAAGCCGAGTTAGGTATCCGTAAATGATGAGTGCTGAGGTCAGCGGCTTACGAGCTTTCCTGCAGGCTGAACGGGTGGGTGGGACGACAGGGATGTATAGATTTGAATAAATCAGGGCCGGTGGTTGTCTCGTCGGACGGTGAGGAAAAAAAAGAAGGCCAAATGCACGGAGTCCAACATCGATGAACTATCATGTTGATGGCGAAGTTCCGGCCCGATTATGAATGTGCGTGAGTTGTCGCTGAGATGAAGTGAAGGGCACTATGCAACGAGTCTCCGATGAATTTCCCCCCCACTAGTGAGTAAGGTCCCTTAAAACAACTTCTTATTGGGAAGAAACTTCATTCATCCCATGTCTAACCGCGTATGCAACATCTCCAGCATCTGGAGGTATGCTTGGCAGACTGGCGTCACACAGTCATGTCTTTCGGGAGGGACACTCCAACAATGTGAAGCAGTAACTTCAAGGAGGGGATATTGCGAGCCCGTTCATGAGCTTTGGAAGAGGTTTTCTGCGCGCATTATTTGCCGTCTTCGAAACCCGCGGCGCTCCGTGAACCATACGGGGTTCTTTCATCAAACTGGTATCAAGTTTCGCTGGGGCTTGTCACATGACAAAAACATGTTAGCTTCGAACACTCCGCAGTAGGTTTGGGCAGCTAACCTCGCATTACAACGCGTGTATAATCCCCTGAGAGAGTGTTTTGGCTCCGATTGCTGCCTGCAAAGGAGGAAGCACTGGCTGTTCTCCATAGATGATTGGATGTGTCAGATAAGAAGTCTGTAGTACTGCGGCCGGAGAAGATCGATGAGCGACCCCTGTTGCGCTTGGATAGAATGATCTCGTCAAAGAGGGCCATCCTGGGATCTCGGGATTTTGGATTGGCTCTTTCTCTGTCGCCAATGAACTCATTAAAGCCTAGCAGATGTAAGTAACCACGGAAAATTGTAAGTCGAGTCAAGCCTTGCTTACCTTGCGTCTGTTGCAGTACCGCTATGTAATCTGCATGTTCTCCGGGTAGACTCTTCATAAAGGCTTCCATGTTGAAACTATAGGTCAGCCCGGCCTTCTTCTTGTCTCCGGAAGCGGGCTGTAGAAACTTCTTGTAGGTGTAAAACAAGCTGGCGAAACATCTGACGAATGCAGCACGAATTTGCTCCGGATGGAACGCTGCCGGACAAACTAGGCATATCTGAAGAGCACACCTGCTATGCACTACAACCTTGCAAGCGCTACATCTGTACATGCCATCCTCGGCCCGATCATCACAAATGGTACAAACAGCTTTTTCGTCCCATGGTTGTACCTGCAAGCAGTGCCCTTCCACCCAGCACGTGCCCTCAGCATTATGAACAGGCTGTGCCGCAGTCGTGGGCACAATAGTGGATGCAGCAACCGTAGACTGCGCATACACCGAGGGCGCGTAAGTTGACCCGGAATTATAGTCTGTGTTCAAGGTAGTCACCGACAAGTTTGACGCGTGGCCCAGGAAGGGGGCGCTCGGTCGGCGGGGAACGCCAGGGCGCATCTCCATGCCAAAAGACGAGCTTCGTCGGGATGCTGCATCAAAATGACCGGAGCGTTTCTCGCGCAGTGAAGCCTGTAGAGTGCTGCCTGAGTCATTTCGCGACCCCAGACCTGTAGAAGAAGCCGGGAAATGGCCCGATGTAGGTGAGCTATCTCTCGGAGATGGTGGTGAGCCTGTCTTGTACGTCGAGCCGGTGCCCGGTCGGTCAGAGCCTTTCGAGGAATAACCCCGGGACACAGCCTGTTCGTATCGAGCATGAAGATAGGCGTTAAAGATCAATGGCTGATAAGACCCTGGCGTTACGGAACTTTGACCAAAAGCACTAGAATTCAAGCTGACATACTTAGCCAGTTGCGTGGGCTGAGCTTTGGAAGTGAAAATTGAAGAGTTTTCCGACATGAAAGCATCGAATGGATACGTCTCAACGGCATAGGCGGGCGGTCCGGTCGGCACTCCGCATCGGCTGTGATGAGGTGCGGCAAGCTGCAACAACGACAGGAGCTTCCGGCGCTGATGACGGGGCAACGGGGTGGGCTGGACCGTGCTCTCGATGAGGTTGGCATCAAGATCCACCAGTACAAAATCATCAGATGGTAGTTCGACTTTTTCATAGCGGCGTTCGATACCCACTATATAAGGGCAAGGCGCCTCAAGAGCCTGGATCAGACGGGCGGGAAGCACTGGAATCAATACTCCTGACCACGGAATGGGGAATAAAAGATCAACCAGCGCCTTTGTTGCCAAGTAAAGCATTGAAGTATGAGATGAGAGGAAAATGATGCGCGACTCAGTTAGGGCATATTCAAGGAGAATGACGATATTGGCTAAGGAGAGAGCGCGAAACAGCGCGTAAATATCAGTATTGCGAGAGCCCGGCAACTCGTTGGAAGCCTCCTTGCGGGCGAACAGACGCAATTCTCGAACATTCAGCTCTACCTGTGTTTTGGATGAAATCGGACTGAACGCCTCTGTGCACAGATTCATCACGTATCGTTCCAATGGTTGCCAGACACCCATGCGAGGAGAGCTGGGTGGGATGCGCTGGACGCCCCCATCCGTCATCGGAACCACGACAGCCTTCAACCACTCTTTCCAAAAGCTTGTCATATTTTCTTCTCGACCGAGGATCCCATAGGCGCGAGGAATCCAAAATCCGGTGTCGCCATCAGTCAAACCCTCGATCTTCGACGCTGCGCCATGTCGCACCGGTCGCAGAAGGTCAGTCATCAGACCAATCTTCTCCTCGACCGCGCTAATCTCATCTTCCAACTGTTCCCGCGACTCGGACCCTGACGGGACGGTAGGGAGTTGAGCCAGGAGTCGGGAGAGTTTGGCGCGCTCACTTGCAAGTCTTTCGCCTAGGCTCGCGGCGAGCTCTCGTTCCTCATCCGTCATGTTTTCCTTCCGCCATTCCTCGCAGCGCTTTTCCAGCTCATCTGCAGCTTTCTGATTGAGCGGAATCCAGATGATAAGACAAATAGCATGCAAGCGCGACCCGTTGTCGGTGGTCATAACGAAACCGTGCCATGTAGAGCGGGGCCTTTGATCTGAAGAAACAATATTGATGTCGTTTGGAAACGCAAACATAGGAACATAGTCGGGGAAATTGCCTCGCAGTTTCAGCTCGTCAGACATGCCCTGTGTGGGGTATCTATCAAGTAGAACCGGTTCGAATCTCCGCTTTAAGGGGTGCATGGTGGGAGAAATCTCAAGCGGCTGAGGAACCGGGATGACCGAATTGTAATTGCTTAAGCGTCGCGAGGTTCTGATGGATGCTGTCGTGAAATCCCGTCAGCAAGCTTCGAAAGCTCTGTCCCAAAATGGACATCACATACCTTGACGGGCGATTGACGGTTGCCGCTTCATACTATTCATATCCCGAAAAGCCATGTGTCGCCGTACGCTGCCGATGCTAGATCGAATCAAGCCTGTCGGCTGCGAACCTTCCTCCGAGACGATTTTCTGCGTGCGTAACCTAGACCGCGGACGCGTCGATGGGGTGATGGCACCCGCACTGACATTGAGATCTGATAAAAAGGATTCTCTTTCGGACGCGAATTTCCACAGCGCTTTATCAAAGTCGAAATCTCCGAGGAAAGATGAACCACGAGGAGATTGGCTTCCTTTTATTGTCATACTGCTCCGGTTGCTGTGGGAGCCATTCTCGTTCGCATCAGACTCACCCGAGCGCGTGAAGACACGTTGAACTGAGTTGCGATTCCCCGCCATAGAGATAGGACGGGAAAGACTGTCCAAACGAGGATCATGGGCCTCTTCCGCATCAGCATCTTCCTCGATGGTATCCGTGAGGGCTGGGCCGGGCGAGGCGGCACAGTTGACTCTATAATCATCCCCTAATTTGCGATAGGTCTCGAGCACCTCTGTTCCATCCACACCGGCAATCCAAAAATAATCTGCAAGCGGGGTGGTAGACGCCTCGGGCGCGGAGGGTGAGGGTGAGGAGGAGGAAAACGGCATGTTGTTGGAAGGGTTATAATCATCAATCGTCACGAATCGTCGACTTCGTCACAGCATGAATCGAATCGCTAAGCCTGGGTGTTGTTGCCTTCCCACAAGCATCAATGGGGGAGAAATTAGTAGTGTCCCCCTTGTTCCTTCAGTGACTAGGGGATTTGGGAGTAGACGGGCAAGTGAAGGTTGGAGGAGCTAGAACGCATATGTTCGGGTTTGCGACGCTGTCGCCAGAAACGAACGGACGGCACGGAGGCTGGAGCGAGGAGCCTGGGGAAACTCAAGCGCCAAGTAGACGCAAGAGGTCGGAGGGAGGGGGAGAGGAAGAGGGTATTGGTGAGCGTGCAGATGGCGAGAAAGAGAGTGTTGATCTATGCATTGACCAAAAAAAAAAAAAGGAGTTAGGTATCGGTTAGTGGAGGGAGGGAGGAGCGGACAGGTGAGGGGGCCAAGAGGGAGGAAGAGAACTCGACGAACTTCGAAAAAGGAGGATTGCTTTGACAGGTGTCTCTTTGTGTTTCTTGAGGAAAATTAGAGGGCTTTAGGGGGGGTTGGTTAAAGGTTAGAATGGGGGTCACAATTTATTTTTAATTTTGTGTACTATCTTATTTTGACTTAAAGGAGAAGCAGAAGAAGAAGAAGCAGAAGAAGAAGAAAAGAAGGAAAAAGAAATAGTGGTCAAGTACCTATGTTTTTCCTCTTTGTTTTCTGCTGTCTTCCAACTTTTTTTTCCCCTTTTCCCTTCTGGGAGACTGTACTAGTAGTAAGTTCCCTAGTACCTAGTACCTAGTTACCTAGTAATAGCAGTGATAGTAATTTAGTAACGCGGATGGTTGCGTAGACACTGCCTGGAAAGGAGGGGGAAACGGCTAGCTACCATTTCACCCCAAAAGCACATATTTCCAGCCAGACCTTTTTTCCCCGTGTCTCTCCTCTACTCCTCCCTCCCCTCCCTCCCCCCCCCATCTCCCCCACCTCTAACGTACTACAAACTCATGACAATAAGAGAGCCTGCGTTCAACGTAAAGTACGGGCTGAATGCGATTCGTTCTGGCCTCAGCTTGGGGTCCCATACTCTCATATCAGTCTCTCTATCTATGACCAATCCACTTACTTAGTTACATTATTTGGTCGACCATCTTCCGCTCCGCTGCCGTCCAGACAAATTTACCCCTCCGGTTGATGACCGATAATGATGAATGGACGAACCAGAAGTGACGACAAGGAGACAGAAAAGATTTAGAAAAAGAAAAGCATGCAAATAAACGTGCAGGTGCACCTACATTGAAACGGCAAGACGAGGAGTCGGGGGGTGATCATCTTGTTCAGCCGGGCCATGACTGGCCAAGCACAGTTGGGAACTACTGCAAGTGTGCATGGTTGGCTGCATCCCTCCAACCATCAACCGGCATCAGCAGTGTTACCTGGAGTCCTGGACCGGATCCCGCCCTCTTCCAACTTGCCTGGACCGCAACCGAGTTGGAATACATGTCTGTTTGTTTGATGACCTCGCTCGTACAATTAGAGCTTAGGCACTGCCTTGTAAATGAGGACAAGACACCGAGGTAGGTACCGATTCATGGCCGAAGGCTCAAGAGGACACAATTCGGCCAAACGCACTGTGCCTGCCCCAATTTCTAACCATCAAACCGTGAGGGGGAAAAGACTCACAGGGACGGGAGCATATCAATCGCTGGGCCCTGTGGAGCCTGTCGCACACATATTGCTTGGCTCACTGGCCAATTTCTGCTCCTAAATGGCCCGCGGTTAGATGGAGCGAGAACTACCGTTCGAGACAACCATGGGAACCATGACCATTACGTCTTGCACTTCTGGAGCCTTTTGGGGCTGAAGGACGATCGAATTACCTGTCCATTTCTAACAAGACGCTGCGACTTCCTGGCCCAGATTCCGACTAAGCAAACACTAAAGGTTGGATTAAACTGTTTTGAAACCAGGGACTCGCGCGCGTATGCTCTATTGCAATAGAGCTGGTCTTTCTTTAGATTTTGGCCGGCGGCCATGTTTTCCAATGCTGTGAAGCAAGCACCCAGTCCGGGTTTTAGCGCGGCAGATCTAGTATGAAATTGGATGTCATCCTATCATCTCAGCCTCCCGAAGATCATTGAGGCAGTCTTTGATCGGGTCAGTACGATGCAGTCACGGCTCCGGGAATACAGTAATTGAACCTGAGACCGGTTACTGGATCCTGAATAGGGGAATAGATGCCGAACGTTCCCCTGGAACGGGAATGGAGATTAGCTGCCGAGGTCCCGCTGCGACTAGCCATCCTCGGCCGCAGTGGTTGAACAATCAGAAGAATATATTGGTGGTTTCACATAGGGCAGAAGCAGGACAAGAAAGGGGGTGGTGGTGGTAGTGGAAGAAGGAGGCAGCGACCTCTTGACGACTTCACGGTTTCACATTCAACTTAAAGTGCTGAGTAACTTTCTTGCCTCCTACTGTCCTTTTTCTGCCTAGTTGCATCTTGCATTGCCTGAGTGGTGACCTTTGCTTACACTCTGGGAAATAGAACGGGGTTTGAACTGGCGATGATCAATGTGGAACCTCCAGCAATGACAACAATAATGCGCAGTATGGTTTGTCACTAACTGACCCAGTTTCTGTTGGTCTCCGGTCGGCTTCTCTAAGAAGGTTCAAGTCAGTTAACCACTCGAGTAAGATAAAAAGTTGAGGCTCTGGGGAGGAAGCTTCATTAGGTTTAATTGTGATAATCATAATCAAGTTCCCTGATGGTCCCATATTCATTTACCCCAAGACCCTGTCCTGCTCGGGCGCATCACATGGCACACTCGTCTTGGGTCTGTAGTACCTACCACACACTGAACAGAGATAAGGGCAGAGGAGGCCTACTGCTACTACGGCAACAACAGGTACATAAGTAACCACCATTCCCAGGCCACCAGTACTTTGACAATACAGGACATGGACTAGCATCAACCCTGCAAAGAAGCAATTGAATGGTTCCCGCATAATTTAGAGCAAACCAGCCTCCGTCCTAGATAGGAGAAAAAGCAAAGAAAGAGACCCCGATCAAAAGGAGTAAGTTAACAAGTACGTACCTAACTTACCCTCAGTGAATGGAACCTTACATAACCCTACTCCCCTGTAGCTGCTGATCGGCTTGGATTTCATGCATCCAATAACTAACAATAATATGCTTGACATTGTTAATACCGTGTGCTGCACATAACTGACTACCAGTAAGGTATCATTCAGAGCACTCTTCGATCATGATGGAGCAATTCCGATCTTACTTTGAGGCTTATGGGTTGGAACAACTCTGGAAAATTCAGCCCGAGGTCTGTTGCTGTTCATTCTGTCCACCTGGGTAATCTTTCCTGACTTCACATACTTGGGATGTCTGTCTGGTGCGAGTTGTCACAAACGAGTGATGCTTGGTGTAAGGAAATGATTTTCACGCACATGCCCCCAACTTTCCTCATCCAGTGCTGGGAAGGATGGAAAAAGGGGCGACTGTACTACGGCAGGCAAGACAAGGTGGTGATTTGGCTATCATTAAGTAGTGGATTTTTCCCGGCCTCCGTTCGTATTTGCCTCAGCAGCTCAAAAATATAAGGCATGAGAAATGCCTACCGGCATATTGTGGCAACTCCCGCAGTTGCGGTTGCCTTGCTCTTTTGAAACTGTCATTCATGAATCATGCTACACAGTCAATGCCATTGTGACCCGGGTCTGTAAGGCTAGGAAGCAGGCTAGACTCTCTGAATACTAGGAGATCAGTTGAAATACGCAGTACTACTCTCGTACTTGGTTTCATCGACCCAATGACCTCCACTGGCGCTACCACCCAAACATGCCATTCATGCGACTAGAACAAGTCCCTCGGTGCTAAGTCAGGGCAAGACAGCGGCAAAACGGGAAGAGAAGAGAAAAGAAAGGAGACTCGCCACGAATAACACTCCAACACCCGCATGAGATGCTGTACTTGCAAGACCACTTAACCATACACTACCACCACTAAGTTGATTTTCTATCTCGCAGCCTAAATTGGATTTAGTCTCGTCTCCACAGGCGGTACTTCAGACCTAAACTGTGCCGTTGACCTTGAGATGAAAAAGAATATTCCGTTCGTCGTGCAAATAGAGCCTAGACCCTGTCGTCCCGTAACTTGTCTACGTAGTCTGTATTCTAGACAATGTCTCCGAGGTCTAGCCAATCGACGTTAGGCCAAACGCTCTACTTTGGCTGTCATACAGCTTCAGATCGACAAACGAACAGCACATGGCTGGTCCAGCTTCCAACTAGGAATTCTCTTCAATTGACTTAACCGGGCCCAAGCTATCAATAGAAGCCCCCAGTCGGCGTTTCTGCCTCGTACCTTTGTCGGCCCAATTTCGAACCTGCCCACTTGAACAGCCAGGCCACTGCTGCAGGTGGCAGTTGATGATGGCTTCCTGCTTTGGCACGTCTATGCTCAGATGTAACCAACCCAGTTGCGAGATTGTTGTCTTTGATAAACATCGCGACTTGGCTCTGGTGGGCTACACCGATAGGCGACGCCATCGACCTTGGCGTTTCTGGTCGCACAGCTGGGTGCCTCACACTTGTAGCCTTGCGCTCACATGCGTCTCTTCACTGCAATGTTTCGCATTGCGACAGGCCGCTAAGACAGATAGGCTGTTACACAGAAACCGAGACTATTCGTAAGCTATCTAGCCCAGAGCTTAGGAACACGTCGGTCTCCCCTTGCGCTTGGCTCACGCCCGTCGTCGCGTCAGGAGATTTCCAGTGGTCAAAAATCCTTTATCCCCCATCGCACCGCGCCACTCAATAGATAATTGACCTAAGACAGCCCGTCCATCGCGTCTCGTATCCTTCTGTAAAGTTTCAAGACCATCCTGCTGCCCTTCCTCCTGCTCAACCAAGAAAGCGACCTGCAGGACATCGCGAGGATGTAGAGTCGGCGGCTGCGAGTCAGGTAGATCAGGTCTTCCTAGATCCCAGTTCAGGGACATTGACTTGAATGGTGGTTTGGGGTTGAGTTGGGTTTGCTGCCAAAATCAGTATGCTTCTAGCAAAGTCTCGGTCATGGTATTGAAGCTGGGAAACTGCTCAATCATTTTTTCAAACCTACCTTAAGCACGACCGGACCATCACCCACATTCTCTAATTGCGCCTCTAGTGCGAAGCGGAGCAAGCGCGTCTTCCCATACGGTCCCAGACTCTTGTTCTCAACCTCAAGTGGCGCCAATTCGGAAGCTTTAGTCCGTACACTCAGACAGGGCTGAGCAACAAACTGATAGAGTTTGCGGAAGGTCCGCACTCGCCCGCTTGCGGCCTGCGCATCTGAGCCTATCAACGTCTCCGTGTAGCTCACACTGACCGCCAGTATGTGATTTCCCTCCTCTTTGAGATCAAATCGTACGATTTTCTGCAGAGACTGGCCCTTCTGTAACCCGTCTATTGAAGCTGTATCCTCCGCTGGTTCAAGATCCAATGATGCTACCTGAGAGGGGGTTTGCATTTCGGCGACAATGCGAACAGAAGTAACAACACGTGACGTCTCATCTTCGGATAGCTCATTATTCGCACTGAGAGTGCATGCAAATGTCTCACCGACGTATGCAGATCCGAAGGCAGGAGGTAGGGTCAACTTGCAAGAATACCGTCAGTAGCTGAGCATCAGGATCTGGCTGCATCTAGTTACATTAGGAGTGAGAATGAATTGATCATTCGGGTTAACGGCGGGGTAGCTTAGAGATGCTTTGCTCGAAATCTTCGAATTCGCCGCCGGCAAGGGATATTGGTAGGATAAAGAAGGACGGGATAGACTTATCAAATAGTCAGGAGACAGGTAAGCTCGGGGATAATCTGTGGTGAGGTGTAAAGATCTGAAGAAGAATGCAATCGCTTACCGCAAGACTGAACGAGGATTAATTGATCAGCCAAGAGCTTTACCATAGGAAAAATGTCTCCAGCAGTGCTATTCATACCTTTGAGTGATACAGCATGGGGCTCTTTAGGAGCATCAGCGCCCGAATGAGCACGAGGGCGTGCCATTGTCATGGTCTGGGAGAGACTTTCCCTGAAGATAGATAAGTAACATGAACTCCGGGGGAACGTCATCTTCTCCGGACCCCCATCATTATCGGCTTTGCTTGGCAAACAAACAGAGCAAACCTTCCACCTTGTCGACCTCCGCTTCAGTATCGGCAACTTTCAATCACTAACTACCACTAACCTTAGGTAAAAGCCGGAAAGTACAAACTTGACATACCATCAATCAACTTCAAGCATTAGAGAACATTTCTGTCTCTTTGCGGCTATAGTACTTGCAAACTATCCATTGCAGGCATTGATGTTGTGAGGTATCGCATAGGTTAGTTGTGTCATGTCGCGGAACTACATCGCTTATCAATTCACTTATCATTCATAGTCAGTTAGTTACCATCCGCCACCACTGTATCTTTTGAAAGCGATTTTTCTTTTCAGAAGCCAAAATTCTGAGACCATCAGAGCTTAAGTCTAGTTGCACAATGGGCGCAATATCGAATACATCGGCTCGCTCGCCGACCGCCTCGCTTGGGCCCTCGAAGCAACGTGCAAAGGGCACGGCACGCACATCTACTGTCTCCAAAAGAAAGCGAATCGCCGATGAGGAGGAAACAACCACTACAACCACCACCACCACCAGAAAATCTAGAAAATTCGTCCCCGACAATATGATTATTCCTACTGCCAGGAATTCTAATTTGACAGAACAGTGTGTCATTTCTCCAATGAAGAAAAACTCTAAGAAGACAGCGCCGATTCAAGAGGAGCGTCGAGAGCGTAGGTTCCGGCCACATGCCCCGCTCTCTTTCCAGGAGAGGGCTGCACGTGCGATGACTCAACGGTGAGACTAGCTAACCTAAGCATGAGACTATCTGGCCTGTAATACTAATTGTCCTAAGTATGTTTATTGTAGGGCATAACATTACTCTGGTGGACGGGGTGCTGGACATAAGCTTCGATATTGTCGGGACCACTGGCAACCTTTACAAGACCACCATCGGGAAGGTGCCAACCTGTAATTGTCCAGACGCGCGCAAGGGAAATCAATGCAAGCATATTTGTTATGGTAAACGTCTTGTTCTCCTCAATAATCCCTCATGACTTATCACTATGTCGCTCTCGCTTATCATTCATTGTTATTCCATGGTCCTAACACTTCTGGCTTTACAAGTATTGATAAACGCCCTCAAAGCACCGGCGGACCTTCAGTATCAACTAGCCTTCCTATCTTCGGTAAGTGGTAGTATTAACATTGTATCTCTCGATGGACTGCTCGCTCACCTTTCAGGAACTCCGGGAAATATACAACGGTTCATCGCTTAGCAAAGAGCGACCCACCAAAGACAACGCTGGTAACCGAAAACCAATTGAGGGAGACTGCCCAATATGTTTCATGGAATTTGAGCCCGAAATGGAGGACATTGTGTGGTGTCGAGCTGCATGTGGGAACAACATCCATAAGACTTGTTTCCAGCAGTGGGTCGCGACCCAGCAAACACAGGGTCTTAGATGTGTCTACTGGTCTGTACTGACCTCCTGATACTCATGGACATGCTATTGATCCAATCTAGTCGTTCGCCCTGGCAGCCCGATACTGAAAATGTGGATGTGGAAGAATTGTCCCGTCAAGGCAAAGTCAGTCACGATGGCTATGTCAATGTGGCTCGGCACTTTGGTCTTTCAGGACGTCGCGGTACGAATTTTCTAAGTCCAACTGCCTAGATCTAGTTTGCGTGCGAAGCATAGCTGACACTTTTCATTGGCTTTGACCAGACGTTTCGAGCTATCATCCCCTTTGGGTGCGCCGACAGCAATATCAGCATGAGGATGACTGGGACTACGATGACTAATAATGAACATAATGCAAGAGCTCATTTCATCTGGTACTGGCTTCGCTAAGGGGTGTCACTTTGTTTCGTTCACCGTCTGGCACGGTCATAATCATGTATCAATAAATGTCTTCCGGTTGTTGGAAGGTCTAGCAGTTAGCAGCTACATGCTATGTGGCTAGACACTAGATCTTAGCTTTCGTACGATGATCTTTATCATTATGCTTAAGCGATCGCAAACATATAAACGCCGAGGTCTGCCTGCAGCATACGGTCTTAATGGTCGCCGCTCCGGTTTTGAGTTTTGATGCCCTAAAGTCTGCTATACCTCGCATTGTTGACCGCTTGCTTCGGCTGCCAGGCCTGCCTCCTCCGGCGGCTCCCTTTGATAGTGGGACATCACACTTGAATACCTGAACAAGGTGCACGCATTGCCCTAGATTCATATGGTTGTGATAATTGCGTTGCGCGCCTAGGCCACTGGCTGGTCAGTCATTCGAGGACCAGGACCTGGGTTAGTATAAGGTATCTTTGCTTTTGACACACAAACGAAGCTGAAGTAATTGACCAAGGCCCCTGCCTCATACTAATCGATTGAACCAGTTCACTCTCTTATCTCCAGAACCTGAATTGTCCTGCAACTCCAGCCAGGGAGAATGAAATTCAACTGCGCGAGATCTGATCAGCTTGGGGCTGACAGAAGAAAGCCACAGGACTGTCAGGAGCTGCGCCGCCATTGCAAGGCAACTTGACTGACGTGGTTTCAATGCCGATAGTAATGGAATGTCAGAATTAACCCAAAGATGCATGCTTCGACAGACGTCCTACCCTAGTTGCTATCTCTGCAGTGACTTGGGTGCGCCGTGGTCAGGAAGGAGTGAATATAGGACGAAACTTGAGGTTCAAGTTTCGAGTGCCTGAACCCTATATCAGAAACAAGCTTCAAATGCCTCACCAAGCACCGGGGGTATAGTATGAAGCGAGTGACATGACTCATTCAACGAGAGTTCATCCACCGGCCTTTGTCACTCGCTTTCCCTCCCTCACCACGACGGTGCTGACACCTTCCTCGCCCGTCATCCACGAAGGCATTCGCTCCGCGTCGACGATACCCAGCTCCGCAAGCTTGCGAAATCCACCAATAACATCCGTCCCCGTGAATGTAAGTGAGATTGGGGTCTGTTGAGCGTGCTCCTCTGTTTTTGCATCACCCGTCAGGGCATCAAGCAGCCGAACATCGAGTCGATCGAGTGGCGCGGAGGATAAGGCCCCTGAGCTACCAAAGCGGGCCTGCAGGGCTAGAGCCCGCTTCTTTGAGATTTGAGATTCTCTGATATTGGCAAGAGATCGTTTAGGGGGCCTTCCAATTTTGTAAGAGACCTCTTCTGAGTCAGCTGCCGTGTTCTCTTTGCCGCCGGGTGTGTTGAGATGGTGTGACGTAGATTGGCGGACATGCTCCTCCGGGGAGACGGTGCTGGATGGTCGCGGGTCCAAGGGGCTGCCTTCCAAGGCGGCGTCTGCGAAGATACTGAATGCGCCACCGGCGCGATTGGATCGGCCAGGGCCACGGAAAGAGAGCAGGGCTTCGAGACTCTTAGCTGTTAGGGAAGTGGGTTTGAGAGTATACCGTTGGTGGGGGAGAGAGAGGGCCTTGGGGATGGCATCTCGAACCAGGCGCTGGAGACTGCGAGAGTCTGTTGCTATAGGGGAATTTTGTGTGGCAGAACCAGCTTTGGATGCTACTGGGGAAGAAGCGATCGACGTGTAGATGAAGGGACAGCTGTCTGGGAAGGCAACATAAATGGTCCTAGACGAGTCGGTAAGCGATTCGGCGTTCTGGCGAGAGGCAATTTGGTAAGGCGAGGTGGTAACGAAGACGCGGAGCACCGTGAGGGGAAGAGAAGTCAACCGGCCAAGATGATAATGTGCTTTTACCAAGGGAGAGATTTCACGCTGTAGACCACTCAAAAAGGTGGATGCGTGAACACGCGGGATACACGCGGACGGGTTATTCGAGGACAAGACGCCGATCTGAACGAGTTCAAGGGCTGTCCAGCGCAAACAGGATGGGTGGTCGTCTATGTAACGCAGATCGACCATGGCCAGTTGACGGAGTGTGACGCCGTGCCTCCAATCACCATCGAGAATTCGTTCTATGACTTCACGCTTTCCCCCCTTCCGAAACTGCAGCTCCTGGTAGGCGTTGCGAACGCCGTTGATGGTGCGTTCAGCGGGATAGGGACGAAACCCTTCATCGTCGCCATCATCCTCCCTTTCAGTGCCTTCATTGACTTCTTGAAGATATGGGGCAAAGTTTTGGATATTGCGATCATCAAGCCACTGGAAGACAAGGTCAAGCAAAGCCTGGCGAGTGAGTTTGCTGAACGTCTTGACTAACGACGGCGTGGAGGAGGGTATTCGAAGGTCACCGGGGAGACTGGCAGTTGTAGGAGCACGAACATATTTGGATCGAGCCATTGTGCCTGACGGTTTGAATATGAGGTCAAGAAACAGAGGTGATATGCATGGCAATGTCGGGCGGTCAAGGTGATGTTGATGATCGGTTGCAGGTGCGTGGAGCCGGCTCTATGCTGGTCTGAAAGTCATGATGCGAACGCGACAAAACTGGAATTCCTGGGGCATCAACAAGCCATATCACGTGCTGATTAAATCCCGGAGTTTACATGCGACTTATCGCCGGCACACTTTCCTCTTTTTGTCATAAATTGGTGGATGTGGACAAAGACGACGACGACGCTGGAGGACAACAGGCTTTGATTATAAATCATTGCATGTTCCATCGGAATCGTTCCGTATCGTTTGAGAATGGAGGGGGAAATACTCTCGTAATTGCCCAGTACCTTGAGGAATACGACGAGGTACTACTGTAGGGCAAGGCTGCCTAACCCTGCGTTTCTAACTATGGGACTTTTCGGACCCGAGGCAAATGTGCTACGGACCAAATGATAGTACAACGGGCGGATAGGAATGGACTTTCCTTTGAGAATGCTTACTCTGTACGAACGAACGGAGGGTGGAACAGCAGACCCAACAGTAGGCTGTATTAAGGAGAGATTTCCTCGCCAAGGGCGAGAGTCGACAAGAGGCCCAGTTTAGGCCAACCAATTGGGCCAACCATGAGCATCGTGGCAGACGCCATTTGGGAGTAGATTGGCTAGGGTAACCCTAAGTACGGAAATTGAAGCCTCGAAATGGTTTCGACACACTGAGACTCCATCATCAACAACGAGAGAGAGCATTGATCAATAACCCCCTTGGAGTTGAACCCAAAAACCGGGCAGTTCGTGGTTTTGAAGACTGCCTGGTTCCGCAAGCCGACTTCGGCCACCGAAACGAGGATGACTCGGCTTCGATGTCATTACCCGGAAAGACGGCTGCGCTGTGGCGAGACCAGTGTGAGCAAGCAAGGCAGAAGCGACTAGAGGATTGGGGACTTAATGTAGGCACATTGTTGAGTCTACTTTGCTGCATTTTCACGGATAGTGAAATTTTGAAGCAGCAGAAGCAGCAGGTCTGAAAGAGCGACAAGAGAATACCTGGAGCACAGAGTAAGTTCCAACCAAGTTGAGAGTACTCCGTAGTTAGTCAGTCAGTTAGTTGACCAACGTAGTTAGTGGTGGTTTTGTTAGTCAGTTGTATTAGTCGTTCGCCGCGGGCAACTCCTCATTGATTCCCACTGATACGGGTCTTAATAATCAACATCATCCACCCCCGCCGTAAAATGATTTTTGCCCAGTGGCCAGTGCCCTTTTTCTGCCTCCCGCGCGTCCCACATTGGACTGATTGAATTCAGTTGAACCCTCCTCCGCCGCCCGCCTTTCCGTTCACTCACACCCGCCCTCGTCCCCTCGATCCTTTCGTCTTTCTTTCTTTCTCCCCCTCTCCTCCAGACAAGACCCATCCACCTTCACCCCCCCATCGACAATCCAGCATCGACAATTAATCGCGTTCGGCACCACTGACCGTGTTGATTCCATCTATCGCTTCTGAACCCATATACTGGGTCCGATTCGGCTCTCCACCATAGAATCGAGGAATCCGACTTCTACCACATCGATTAGCCCGTGGGCCATGCACTATTGCATGGCTTAGCCCCTCACGAATTCGATATCTTCCTCTCGAATGACCCCCTCCCTCTCACCTTTGCTGCTTGGTAAACTCGAGACGCATAGAGGCACGACCAGCCACAAACCACCAACATCATGTCTGAATTCAACGGCCGTCGGGCCCCGAACTTCTCTCAATATTTGGAAGACTTGAATGCGATCCCATCGCCATATGATCAGGCCATGCAGCAGCAGCAGCAGGACTCCTACAACTTAGATGCCGATCTTTCGCTATTCACCAACACCGAATTCTTCGACTTCGATCACTTTGGCGACATCAACCTGCCCGCTTTTGATTCGGTGGATGATACTACGGTCAAGAGGGAGACCGCGCAGGATGCGAATCCCGACATGGACTTCCTGAATCTTCTGGGAGGTGAGTGAGAACTTCCTGTTTCTTGCTGCCTGTTTCCCATACTGGTTTTGTTGGACATGAGAGATGCGATATATACCCTATGGAAGGTCTTCGTTACGGTGTACTCGTTCTGCGTTCTTCTACAAGGCCTAGGCATTGAGCCATCTCATCCATGGTCGTTTTTCCCACACTCTGCAATCATTCTCTCCTGTCTTTGTCTGGAAAAGGTTTCTGTCCCTCCAGGATCCAACCACGAGCATGGGTTTTATACCAGCAATTCTGCCCACATAGAGCACATCATTCGCACATGCTCTGATTGGCTCCTTAGCTGCATGAGATCCTTTCGTCTGTGCGACGATCGCAAAACGTGCAGTAGTGTTGTGAATGGCATGGATAGCGCGAGCCGCACCACCAATCGCGCAATACCACGTGACACCACATGAGCGCTGCACATATGAGTGATACCTTCGGCCTACAACACTGAGGCACATCGCACTAATGCTACTGTTTTCACTACTCATTGCGTTCCTTTTCCGCGACTCGACCAGTTATTTCATAAATGGGCTTAATACTAACTTTTGCTTTAAGGCTTCGGCAATGTCAACGACATTTCTGCCAACGTAAATGCCGTCAACACACAGTCTATGCCCCCACCGAATCCACAGTTTTCCGCCCTTCCGCCCTTGCCGAGTGCGCCCTATAGTGTGAACCCCGCTCCTACCCAGGCATCTTCGCAACATTCTCCGCAATCATCGTCATCTATGTCCCCTCCCGCTGCTACCGCTGCCGCTCCTGTCACCGCAGCTTCCACCTCCAGCACGGCGGCAAAGCGTAAAAACACCCAGAAGACCCCTCCTATGAGCGTTGAAGAAGTCGCGCGCATTGCAGCGGAGGAAGACAAGCGCCGACGCAACACCGCCGCCAGCGCCCGTTTTCGTGTGAAGAAAAAAATGCGTGAGCAGGCTCTTGAAAAAACTGTCAAGGAAACCACAGAGAAGAACACGGCACTAGAAGCTCGCGTCACCGCATTGGAGTTGGAGAACCAGTGGTTGAAGAACCTCATCACAGAGAAGAACGGACAAACGTCGGAAGAGGCCAAGAAGTCGGAGAACGACATCGCCATCATGTTCCAGAAATTCCTTGCCTCACAGCAGAAGGACGGCGAACGGAGTAGTTCCGACTCTAAGATCGGCGTAGGCACTGCCTAGCACTGACTCTTTTTTGTTCAGTCCTTTGTCTGCGTGCGAGCATGCCCTGTTATGCTGGTTTCTCTTCGTCCTTCTCCGCTTTTCCTCCTGTAAATGTTCTCTTCCATGCACGGGATTCTCCATCACACTCTTCATTTTGTCTGCTTCTGCTGTACGTTCGGCGTACGCGGAGCCTGTCTATCATTCTAGATCCGAAGACATAGTATAAGAGGCGGTCAGCTGTTGCGGTGATGGGCCCATCGTGTTACTTGAGCCGCTAAGTGGGATACATGCAGTAACTCTCAGATAATAGCTGGCTTAACACCTTGTGATGTTTTGTTACAAAAGTATGATAATGCATGATACCGAAGCAATGATATTTAACGTTCACCTTTCGAGAAGTGCCCCGGTCAAACAACATCATAATTGCTGATTCTGAAACTGGGTATAAATCATGCTACCAGAACAGAAGGGGGACGCGCATTGACATTGGCCGACTAGCATCACAATCCAGCAATATATGTGGATTGAAGGTTTCAGATACATGATTATCAAAAAGAATCATATCTGCGGACAGCACAATTGGGCGTACCTGGTGCTTGTACATTGGTCTCTCAGCTGACCATGCAATGTCTTTTGAGGAGAGATAGTACTCATCTTCATATTTCTCCACGGAAAATAGAAAGTCTCCCATCGGTCTAGAGCTGCGCCCGTAACCTGATCCTGATGACCTTCTAAGGGAATGAAACACAGATGGCGCCTGGAAGCACTGTAGCGAATGTAATGTTGTACTAAACGACGCCAAATCATAACCTGCAAAGGAGGAATAGAATAGCCCCCACCTTTCTCCCGTTTGCATAACAATCATTATGGGAAGTCAAGCAAGTAAGAGGCAATGAATGGATACAGAACAGGGAGATTGAACCTAGTGGTGCTTCGGAAATCGATATGTCATTGTCATGGAATCTGTTATCTGGCGCTGCATAACTTCGTTGCGATTGTCTGTAGGGAGTTGAATGAGAAGAGCATTTTGAGGGAAATTTAGCTCATGCGGACCAGACCGGCGGTATTGGAATAAACCAACCCCGGAGCTTGCCAGCCATTGACCTAATGCCCCGACTTTCTGGCCAAGGGTTCTGTCATGACCTCCTCATGCTCTCCAGGTTTTCTCCCGAGCACCTTATCTTCGTCGCTTTCGTCGCCATTGATCTCGCCCCATCCTGAGCTGCGACGACTGATGCGCCCCCCCGCTGTTGCTGCTGCTGCTGCCTGGTGTTGCTGCTGGGATGACCCTTGCCAAACGTTACTGACCCCGGCGCCGTTAATGCTGGTGGCGTTACTATCATGTCGACTATGTGACTGAGCTGCACTAACAATGCTCGCAGCGTCCCCAGCCGTGGTGGCGGTTTTGTGATAATTACCACGCTCACCACTTCCGGTCAATGGATTAGCGCCTGAAGCTGAATAAACACTGGCACGTTCTACGCTAGCAAGTCCAACCAAGCTAGGACGACTGAGAACGCCTGGAGCGTTAAGCGAGGAGGTGTTGGAAGGCTGCTCTCCAATGGTACCGCTGAGGACGCTCAGGGGCAAACTCTCCCGGCTGCCGCCGAAGACAGAGGATGGGGCTAAGGCGCGCACCGAAGCATTGGTGTCAAGTGAGTTACGGCGCCGTCGCTTGGATGAGGACGCCAGTGTTAGAATTGAGGCATTGTCTGTCAGGAGGTTGTTCGCCGTCGCCGTGCTATAAGTTACCGAGTGACCGTGAGGGGTAAGGTGGGGCGGGACAGCCGTGGCCGGCGAGGAAGGGAATTGATGAGAAAACTGGACTTGCTGGGTCGCATGATTCTGTAAAGAGTTGGTATGAGCAAGGCCATGATGGAGATTTTGAGAATTGTAGAGGTGGCCCGATGGCGCCGCCGATTGAACAGTGGTCAATGTTGTGGTCAGGGACCGGACGGACGGCGCGGGGGATGAAAAGGTGCTTCCTTCGCCTCCGCCGTGGGAGCTGATCCCTCCCCCAGCTGTGACCATTGTGCCTGCTTTCGAATATGCTGCATCTGATATAGCTGTGTCGCCGTTGGTAGATATAGTTGGTGCAGTGGATTTGGCGCTGGTGGCGGGGACCTGGTGCTCGTATCCAGAATATGCGATTGAAGGTTCACTTCGAGAGCAAGACTGCTCATCAGTTTCGGCACTAACATCCGACGCAGTAGCATCGCTAACATAATCCCCATACGGATTGGTGACGGTGTCATTTCCCGAAAGTGGGTAAGGGTTATTCTTCGAACTGCGGTTCTTGTGTTTCGGCATCGCATGGCGCTTGTGAGACCAACGGTTGGAACCTGAATCGGTCGAGTGTTTCAAACTAGCAAGTCGTTTCATCCAACTGGAGAAGGGGTGCCGACGTCCATTGCGATCTTTCCCATCATCATGCGTTAGACAGTTGGAGGGGGAACAGAACGTTAGGGAATTGCTTTGCGCACCATGCGCCCTGGCGGGTCCCTCTGTCGTGGCCATGGTTCAGGCCTCACAGAGATAAATTGAAATCCTTTCGCAGGAACAGTCGAGCCCAGAAGTATGCTCACTCTAGCTGTCGCAGGCGCTGGATATAGAGGAGCTGTTGGTCGATCGGTTTTACACCGCAGAAAGAGTGACTGGCCCGGGGGAAGGGGGGCTTCGCAGAGGGAAGGGCGATTATCCGGCTGGACTGGAAGTGGACAAAACAGAGCGATGGTAGGCAGAGCACCCCGATCAAGTGAGCGCACTTTGATCAGAACTTGACGAGGGAATGCACGGCAATGTGGAATAGGAAGAAAAAAAGAAAGAAAGGTGTGGAGATTAGTAGCACAGCTGAGCATTCATTGTGAAGGCAAGTCAGGAGTTCCCCAGGCCCGGCACGTGATAATGGCCATCGGCCCAAGTTTACATCTTCCTTCTTTCGTATCTATCGCCCAATTAGATTTGTCTTTCTCTTCCTTTCTTCTCCCGTTTGCCTGTCCAATTCCTGAGTTCTTCCTCGCTTATATCTCTTGCCTAAGCAGCGGCCTTTTGGTGCGCCCAACTTGTTTAGGACGCAACCCCCAGTCTCTCTGGCTTCATCCCTTACAGGCCGGTGCGAGGCAGTTGTTGGTGGAGCGTGGTACTATACTTTCCAGTGCCTCAAATAGGGGAATTAATTCAGTCTCAGTATGTTCCTTTCGAGGGAATAGTACCTCTTGCCAGTAAGAGACCGTCAAGCGAATCACTGCATTATAAACAGGTTTACAAATATGGAATGGAATAAATCACCCGATTGGGAGGTCGCGCCAACGCCTTATCATCGATGATTATCACCACGTGACGCGACGACATCATCCTGCGGCTTCCTCTCTTTCCCAAGACAACACCACCACCACCACCACCATGTCTTCATTCTTCTCCTTTTCCTCTTTGCGCGGCTGAAACTGCAATCTTTCCTAGTATGACTTGCCATACTTCTCACGCTTCTGATGAGTACTCAGTCTCTTGAAGGAGACTTCGCTACTAGGAGTAAGCGCGAGACGTAGGTAGAGATGCTGCTCTACTTAGTTGCTCGCCGTCATGAACTCCGATGACCCGAGGATTCAGCCCTTGCCACCGGCTGTAGTGGCAAAAATCAAATCCTCGACAACGATTACAAGTCTCAAAGGAGTAATTATCGACTTGGTTAAAAATGCCTTGGATGCAAATGCTCAAACAGTATATATCACAGTCGATTTCCCACGCGGAGGCTGCATTGTGGAGGACGATGGAGATGGCATCCCACCCTTTGAATTTGATTCCAATGGCGGGCTAGGCAAAGCGCACCGTACGTCAGAACATCCTATGTGTAATCTTAATACTTATCCCAACTATAGACACCTCTCGGCTTTGTCCAGCACGATATATGTACGGTCATAGAGGCTCATTTTTATCCTCACTATCGGCTTTGTCAATACTGACCATCACATCCCGCCATCTTGGGCACGATACCACAAATACTCTTGTATTCCACCATGCTACCCCAATTCTTCGGCTGACTCCAGCCCCGAGCTATCACGAACTGAGATTCGGCAGTCATGGGACCAGTATTACTGTGAATGACTTGTTTGGCAACCTGCCCGTACGAGTAAAGAGCCGTGCATTGGCTCTCCAGAAGCCTGAAGAGATAGAACGCCAATGGGATGACCTAAGGCAGCTGCTTGTAGCGCTAATGTTGGCAAACAATCAACTAGCCAAACTTGTGGTCATGGACGCTAGTAGAGAAAAGAAGCTCTCTTTATGTCACAGGGCTAAGTGCCACGAGACAGAATCAATGCTGGAACTCCAGCGCATCAACTCCATCCTTTATCAGGCGTGTCTGGTGGGAAATCGAAATCATGAGCACTGGGATCTGGTGTCAGCGAGTGTTCCTGGGTTTCAAATCCAGGCTGCGATATCACCCATGCCCAGCCCCACGAAGAAAGTCCAGTTCGTTTCTCTGGGTCCAGAACCCATGCTACCACAAAGTAATGCCAACATTGTTTACACCGAGGTCAATCGTATATTTGCTTTGTCCGACTTCGAGACTGCTAGAGGCTCACCCTCTTCAGCAGCGAAAGTTGAGATAGCCCCAAGTGGTGATGAGAGAATTGCGAACTCGAGTTCAAAGGAGTCCACCAAATTCCCCATGTTCTACATACGGATCATTGGCCAAGACTGTACCTGTTTTGCCAGTGATATCCAATGCGCACGCGAGTCAATCTTACCGATCCAGCGGATCTTGGATGTCCTCGAAGCTATGCTGAGTGAATTTCTCCGCCAACGGGGTCTACGGCCGCGTGCCGCAAGAAAGAGGAGGCACACTTTGCCGAAGGAGTGCTTATGGCCTTGGGATCATCAAGCTGGCCAGTCATCTTCAACCTGTAGCACCGAAAAGATTTTATACCCTCTTGTAAAAGTGCCTGATGTTCGACGAACGCCAACCATCAGTCATCATTTCGCAAACTGGACCAGAATCAAGAGTGCCAGTACCATATCGCAGGATCTGAATGCAACTAGGCGAGTTCCTAAGCTCAGCGCCGCTCTTTATAGCAATCCTCTGCAGCGGCCCGAACTGTCATTCAAGACAGGTCCCGGAGACGCAATCGTTGCACAACATTCTGTGAAACGAACCCACCTTGAGGCTTTCCATGAGCACGACTCAAACAACGGACATTCTGGTCATCTTACCGTTCGGACTGACCCTTGTACGGGTCGAAGCCACATGATTAACTGCCGCACCGGCCAATCTACTGAGACCGAGTCTTCTTCATACCCATTCTCAAGGCCGCGGTCTACTGGATCATTGGTGGGAATGCGGAAACTGGAAGACGAGAATCGGCCAAGTTCAGCTGTCCCACAACGCCCGCGAAACGCCTGGGTCGACAATCTTTTGGACGTTTGGGAAAATCCGATTTTTGGCCGGCCCGAAACGCTTATCCACATTCTCGACCTTGAGACAAGTCATCGGACTTCCACTCTCAATAGCACTTTTTATCTGAACACCTTTGGAGTATCGAAGTACCGTGGTAAACTTCGGAAGGACGATCTAAATAGGTCCCATATCATCGCCCAGGTAGACAGGAAGTTCATCCTCGCCGCAATCGGACCCTCCGCATCTAAGCCCAACACGACCCTGGTTCTAATTGACCAGCATGCTGCTGATGAACGCTGTCGCGTAGAGGCTCTTTTAGCATCCTTTTTCTCCACCGTGTCGACCGACATCACAGCATCTGTTCGACTCGGAGATCCGATCGTGTTCGAGATTCCCGCAACAGAGGTGTCTCTATTTCATCGATACGAAAAATTTTACAGTGGCTGGGGAGTTCACTACTCGATTAAACAAGGGCCCAGAGATGCTCGCGCCTTGTTCATTGCGCACGCACTTCCCGTCCTCATTGCGGAGAGGTGTCGCACGGAACCGGAGTTAGTCTCACAACTGATTCGCGAAGACATTTGCCGACGGGAGGAAAGTCGAGGTTGGGGTGTCCCCAGAAGCGCGGTGAGTCTGAGGGAATCCTGTCCCGACAGTCGACCGGGGATTAGCCATGATGCTATCACCAGCTGCGGTAATAGCGTTGCTAGGAGGAACAGTTGGCTCGGCCGTCTGAACAACTGTCCTCAGGGGATTATCGAATTGCTTAACTCGCGCGCTTGTCGCACGGCGATCATGTTCAATGATGTTCTGGAGGTGAAGGAGTGCCAAAGCCTGGTGCGTCGACTACTAGACTGTAATTTTCCGTTTCTGTGTGCGCATGGAAGACCGTCCATGATACCCATATTAGATATTAATACCCCCCCCTCATACCACCTGGGCTTGGGTCTGGATGACGGTCAAACGGACGAGTATACTTATGATGAGCGGTGTAATGGTGGGTTTGTCGATGCTTATAAACGGTGGCAAGGCGATGTATAAATAATAATGCATCCTTTCTTGGAAGTGACCATCCAACTATCTGCAGCTTCTAGTACTACGCAGCCGATACGAACTTGGAGGAGATTGTTCAATAGGATTATGATCTCAAGTGATGATCGTTCATTAGGTGGGGTACCAGGTTGCATTAGTCGTCAGTCCCAAATATATACAAGGTAAGTGATAGTACAGTCCTCCGTCATCGTTCCCATGTGCCATGCCAGTCCAGTCCAGATATATTCCGATCCTCCCAAAACCCATGATCCTGATGCGAGTCCCAATTCCAGTATTCCAACCCAAATATAACCAAATCCGTACAATTCCAATGCAATGCGACCGCAACCAGATGATTCACCAATCCATAACAATGATAGCAGAGAATGAAAGGCAACAACAAGTGAAATAGTGCCAGGTGAGACACACCCCGCGTCGGCAGGACAGTAATGCTCCGTTCCAGCCAGGGGCATGTTGATCGAGACGCCATCTCAATCAGGCGAACATGACGAAATATGAAAGAGAACACTCGGTTGAGAGAATGATCGCTTCGTCCAGACCGCGAGGTATCATTTGATATAAAGAGTTGGGATAAGATGAATAGTGTTGTTTTGTAAGTGCCAAACATGTACACCGAGTAACTGCACTTTGTGATGAGCCTGCATTGTCGCTGTGGGATAAGAGACAAAAAGGCAAGATTCGCAAGTACAAACATTGAACTTGTGAAGTATAGGACAAGGAGGTATCCACAGTGAGGGCGTGAGGGAAAGGATTATGCCAAAATTTTGCGATTAAAATGGATCAAGTGTAAGTATATAGTCCGTGTCAGCATGAAGTGAAATGACTCGTAAATTCGTGACTGGTCGCTGTTCAATGACCGAAGCAGGTCTATCTTTAGCCATTTGTTGCAACGGATTTGTTTTTTGACGGATGTGTCCACGACAGGAATTCAAATTTGTCCTTGGCGTTTTCAAGAATCGAAGAGGAACTGGACTCCGTTTGTAACGTACGTTGCTGTTGAGGTGCCTCACGGGGTTCGAGGATGAGCGACCGACGATAGAATGTCTGTAAGCTTTTCTCCCCGTTGGATCGCACCCGGACCAGCTCGTTTTGCATCCATGCCTGCAATTCTGGGACTTCCATCAGGCGGTAAGGGATCTGGAAGCGCTGTAGTTCGCTAATGATCTTCGCCGTCTTCATATGCTTATCAAAGTTTATCACAGCCATTTCTCCATCGTCCGTGGGTAGAGAACGGAGGGGCTGGTTGCCATGGTCAACAAACGTCAGGTCGGTCAGATAGGTGCCGACAAACGGTAAGCAAGGTGGCACATGGTTTTGCAGACGCTGTCGAAGAACAGCGTAGTTACGCGAGACGTCGACTATCCCCCGGAGAGATTCGAGAGTGTTTTTCGTCTTCTGAGACACAACCTCCCATGTCCGCTTAAGACGAGAAATCATTGATGAATCCAACGAGCAAATGATAGCCATCAAAGAGTCGTAGTTGTTTAACTCCAGACACTTGTTGGCAATCTTGACCCAATGCTTGATGATAGCCGCACGCTTCTTCGGTTCTTCAAGCAAGAGGATGGAGTCAGCGACGAGGTGCGCCAGATCTGTCGATAAGGTCGACATGGCGCGAACATTGACCGCCAGCGAAGCAGACTTCTTCATCCACTCAGTTGCAAGCAACTCCTCAGGAAGGATGGCACAGAATATTCGCGATTCTTTGATCGTAAACTGGCGAGCGAGTTCTAACGGGTCAAAATCCAGAATTGAAATATTGTTGTCTCCATTCTTCCATTGTTTCAGTAGACCCAGCTCCTTCTTCCCCAGTATGGGTGGGGGAAGAGGGGTATCTGGATGGACATATTGCGCAGTTGCAGTATTAGTTTTGCCCATCGAGGAAACGAGACGCGGCACAACCGGACCATGAACCATTGAGACTTTCTCCGCAAGTTCCAGGAGGCGCTTGCTGGCAGTAGGCAGGTTATACCTAAGGTTCGTATTGGCAAAACCAATGATATAATCGAGTGCAACGTTGTCACAGTCATGTCGCCAGTGGGACTCGAGCCAGCCTTTGAAGACGTTGTATACACGAAGACGAACGGGACCCGCGGCGTGGGGTGTGTCACCGATGTAGTTGAACCGATCGACCAAGGTTTCGGCGAATTCGGAAGGGGTCGCGAACAAGCGGAAAGTAAGGTAAAAGGTCGAAACAAATGTGGCATTCGGGGTCGACTGATGAGCCGTGAGCTTTTCGACCAGGGCACGAAGGCTACCCCCCATCACCTGGCCGTCCTTGAAAATCAGCTCGTGGGCGTAGGTTCGCTCAAGGACGTTGGCCTCGGTTTCTTCATGCTCCTCCGCCAATGTGGAATGGCTCACACTGCCTCTCAAGTAAGGAATTTGATAGCTGTTTCCTATCTCTGGCGACGTCGCTCGTGTTGATGTTTGTGAGACACCACTCATTTCCGAGTCCCGAAGACGGCTATTGAATGTGAAGCTGCTTCCATTGCTCATGACTCCGCGGCCAATTGAGTCGCGTGCTTCGCACTTGGGTTGACTGTTCCGATCATCGAATGGTTGCATGTCAGGGCGAGAGAACGAGATCTTGTCCAAGCTCGACGAAAGAATATTTGTAGGCTGGAATGAAGAAGTTTCGGTATCAGCGGCAGCCGGGGTGCTCGCCCCACCTCGCGATTGGAAAGAAGAAGAAGGTGTGCTGTCATCCGTGAGTGCTGGGGGAGAGGAGGAGGAGTAACCAGCGTTGGTCGAGATGGGAATTTGCAGAGGCGGAGGGGGTAATCGAAGTGAGACATCCTGTGGGCGGATTGAGTCGCTGTCGAACGTGCCTGTCTGCGGCGGTTGCGGGGTCAGGTTCAAGACAGGTAGCACTATCGCCGCAGGGGCCGCATCCTGGGGCATGGCCTCGAGTTCAAAGTCGCCACATTGCTCCAGCATGAGGCGCGCTTTGGCCAGGCAATTCCCCGCCGCGCGGACACAGTCCGTGGCGGCATCCACCAAGCGCTTCCCCTCATCGGGCAAAAACACTAGTTCGTCGTCGGGGGAGTGAGCTGGGCGAAAGGCGTCCCGCGCAGCGTAGACCAATTCAGAAAGCCGCTCGTACATAGCGTCTCTGGCCTGCTCCAGCAACTCACTGCCCTGTGGGTCATGCTCACAAGCGGCCTCAATGACGGTCAGTAAAGCCCGACAGGAGCGCACGGACTGCTCCGTGGTCACCACTAGTTCGGTGGAAGATCGAGACTGAAGGTGCAGGCCAATAAATGAACCCAACACGCCAAGGAAGGCATCGTATGACGAACTCAGTCGTTCGGATGCTAAGTTGAGGTTCCGGACTGCGGTAGCGGGACCTGAGTAGGACACTCGGTGGGATATGGATATCCGTTTGGTGGTCACCGACACAGAACGCGCCGGTAGCGCATCATCCATGTGGTTGGATGCTCGGCTCATATCCAATCGACTGCGGTTGAGTAATCTCGACTCATTCCGCTCAGTCTCCGCCTCTGAATGAGCATTCTCCGTTACCGAGTACGTCTCGTGGGGGCCTGGCGATGAAAGGTCGTAGCGTGCTGATTGTTGCTCCATTTCGGCGATTGTTCTAGTCAATCCGACTTCTTCATTCCATACGTCGAGGAAGCGGACTCCGCGAGTCACTATACGGAAAGCCTTGAGCAGCATCTCATCCACTAAGTAGTCGATATCGTCCTGCATGGCGTCCTTGTTCGCAAGTTCTTGAAACTTCTTAGTTGTCCGGACTAGGGACGACAGGTCCGCCAACAAGCCCTTCCGGTTCCTGCGCAATCCGTCATGGTTGGTCACCAGCTTGCAGTCACGGGTGAGGCACTCGGATTTTTGCTTAAGCGATGTTAGCCATCCGAGAATCCCCGGTCTGCATCAAATAAACCTAACATAGACCTACCAGGAGATAGCGAACACCGGCTATCAAGCCTCTCACGAGATCCTGATTACCAGTCTCATTCACAGTGAACCCACACCCGCCCCGGATGATATCCCAGAAATCCGTCAACGCCTTGAGCAGCGGGCGCATTTGTTGTTGATCATATGCTTCGCAGTAGTTCGTGGGTAACCAGCCCCGCGCGCCTGTATCTAACAGGGTGCCATCGGCCCAGCCATTGGTGTGAACGGAGTGTACAAGGATTATATCGCCCTGATCCAAGGGGAGGGTAACAGTTGATGGAGACACATTGCCGGACGGGTGGTAAGGATAGAATGCGCGAAGATAATTATGAAAGATGTTTCTCGGTTTCTCTGAGCTGTCTTCTCCACCACTGTAGGGCGTAAGAGGAGGGCTCATTTCGAGGTGATGCTGAGAAGAATAGGAGCGGTTCAAAAGAAAGGTAGAGTGCCCTTTCTCAATTTTGAGGGGCGCGATGTGTCGTTTTGTCGTTTCCATTAGGCCCATCTTCATCGAATTACAATTTGCAGCGATTGTTCGTTGCCTTTCTGGACTTGAATAGGCCTGGCCAGAGATGCCCACCTCTTATGCGAATAAGATGGAGAACATTCTCCAGTTGAAGGCTGCGATGAGTTGCAATGAACAGAGTCTCGCAAATAGTTTAGGGAGATGCTGCGATCGAGTACCGAGAGTCGTGACAAAAGACCTGTCAAGGATGTTAGTTGGACAACACGGGATGCGATTATCCATCCACGTCAGCAGTGACGGCGTGCTTTCCAGTAAAGGGCTGACAGGAGTGTTTAGAGGATGTTTGGAAGAGGATGGGTGGTTCTGCATATCTCCCGCGGAATGCCCTATTTCTGGGAAGAAGCCTGGAAAGAATGCTGGGGAAGGGCAACCGGTTGCTAACGCACCTACTACGCGATCTCAAAGTACGAAGCTTCTGTTGGAAGGAGTGCAGTTTCGAAAATATAACGAGCTTTAGTATTTCGCAGGGGATGTGGTGGACTGTAGGTTGTTGGCACTCGAGACACGTTCCTTGATGCCGGATCAAAAACGAGGAGCGAGGCTGCGCACGAGGCCGGGGATTGAAGTGGTTTAGAAAGTAAAGATGATGAACAACCAGTCACAAACAAGAAAATGGTCGAGTGGGCGGCAGTAGCCACGAGCAGTCAAGGTTTTGATTGAGAGCGGTCCTGTCTCTTGTCGCAGGGATAAACGCGCAACGAGGGCCGAGCTTGGTGGGCTTTCCCAAAGCAAGGACCATGAAGCGAGACTCGAGCCGACCAAGATGACCACCTCCTGAGTATATGCAAGCTAGCAGACAACGAATCAGGGAGGACTAATCTTCTCACACAGAAGTCGATCGACACCGAGTGCAATGACAATGACGACAGAGAGCGAGCGCGGTTGTTTCGGGCGGATTGGATGAGGAGACACGCAAGGGCTGTGTCGAATCTAAGACAGGACGGAGCCACTAGTACCACTGGAAGGACCGGAATGAATGCGATGCAGATTGTGATGCCTGAAGATGTGGTGTTCTGGTATCACCTATCGAGGTTTTTCCAATTGCCACCAGCAGCAATGAATAGAATGATCGCAATTTGCAGGTGCAGTGGTTGCAGCACCACTGTATAATTATGCAATGCGGCACAAGCAGAAAGGGTATATAGCAGTAACAAAATCAAACTGAGACCTGTTTCAAGGAGAGAACGAAAGAAAGGTAGGGTTGACAAAGGAGGTGGAGAGAGGGAGAAATTTGAGTACGGAGTGAGTAGAGGGTAAATGATAATAATATGAGGAGATCAGAGGAGGAAGAGGAGGAGACCCGAAGTAGTAATTGAGGAGTGGGGGGGGGAAGGAAGGAAAAGGGAAGACAGGCAAAGCACCGGGCCAGGAGTTCTCCAAACTCCAGACTAGATTGTAGTAGTGTAAGTAAGTCACATTTCAAGTGTCCTACCGTTTAGTGATTGATTTTCTCTTTCTTTTCTCTCCTCTTTTTGCCTTTTTTTTTTTTTTTAATTTATTTGGGTAGTTTAAAGTAAAATAGTACAAAAAGGTGATGGGGTCTAGAGATTTCTAGTTTAGTGGCCTCCAAAACCCACAGAACCGGTGGATATTCCAGCAGCACATCCCTGACTCAATCGAGAGGTGGAGCAGGCGATCGGTGTCCGTAAGGTGGAGTTTGTGTCTGGGTTGAAGGCATGAAATGAGAACTAACTAGGGAGCACGGAGTACTAGTAACGTCGAACGGCATTGATGGTAAGGACGGAAGGGAAAGGATGAAGGATCATGATGCATGGGTTGTGATAAGGAGAACCATCCCGGCCTGTCAAAATCCCTGGTGCAGTTTAATCTATTTCTTCCTCTATTGCCTTGTCAGTGGCCACATTGTTATGATGCTACTTACTGTATGTACACAGTTTTCCGTACGTCCTTTTGTAATTCCCGGGCAACTTTCCCCAGCTCGAGTCTGGAGCAGGAACTTATTTTCCAATTCGCTTCCTCTTCCTTGTGGGAACTGATTGAAGAGAAGTGCTGTGTAGATTAGGTACGGTAGTTACTTGCTTCCGAACTTACTTCTCATTTTCAGGTTTCTCTCTTTTTGTTTACCCTCTATTTTTGATCTGCCCATTCTGTCTCTCTCCATCTTGGCCGCCAAATACAGCTAAACCCTCTTAGTCCCGCCTAAACGGTGAGGATCTGCCCGCTCCTCTCGAGTCCCATTGCCAACCTGATAATAACTATCATGAGATGCGTCCTATTGGTTTCAAATCGGGCTAAATGGGCTCAAGGCACACGAAACTCGATCCCGATGCTTGTGCTTGACGTTCGATTGCGCATATGAGTTTGGTTACAATTCGATAACATGACTATTTGACTGTGGCGAGTCTGCCTGGGCTTAGTTGTAAAGTAAGCAGTGAGTAGTAACTACTGTGGACCGGCGGAGAGTAACGAATGCATTTCCCCGTAAAATGAGTACCAGTACTAGTAGCTAACTGGAACTGTAGCTGATGGAGAGAAGAATATGAGTACTAACCATTGAGCAAACAGAACATAGATGAATATTAATATCGGGTAGCATTAAATGGCTCCCTTTCCTGGGTGCAGGAAGCAGTCAGCTAAACCAGGTTTGTTTCGTCCCACCGAGGGAGAAAATGGAGTGTGCAATGACCTGCATGGATTCTAGACAGGGGGTTTCGAGTAGTGGTACTTTTGAAGAGTGGGGAAGGAAAGTCACTTGCGCCAGGCACCTTTTTCCATTTCTTTTTTTTTTTTTTTTGGTGTTTTTATGGATGTTTTTCAAATGTCCTTTTGCTTTTCTTTTTCCCTTTCTCTGTTGCTTGCGCTCAGCTCGACCTTTCCCAGCCCTTTTGTTCCTAAGTGACTACAGTACTGAAACCAATTACGTATTGACTCCCTCAGAATTGCCAGAGATCTTTATCCAAATCACATGCTGCCGGCCAATATCTGGAGTCCTTGACCGGCATTTTGAATACCTTTATTCCAATTCGAATGGTTTGATGTTCTAGCGAAAGCTTCAATAAGATGTGGCAACCTTCCATCCTCCAAAGGTCAAGCCACTTAAAACCCTCCATGGTGGCAAAGCCATGCTGATCCATTCCCACCACCGTTGCTTTTCTCACCTTCCGATGCCAGCACTTCTCGGATTAATCCTCTGTGCAGCTTCAGTTCACTCAATGAAAGTGTCAAGTACCTGGGGAAGGCGAGTTGATCAGGGAGTAATTATCATCTGCAACCATTGCTACTCCAAGCGACCATGAAGTAGGGACGTCATTTGGAGGTATAACTCCATCCCATCGGCCGAGCCAAAATTTTGAGTCTTGGCCCAAACGCACGATCGACAATGGCAGTTTCCATTCTTTCCACCCCATAACCCACACCCCTTTCCAAGGGTACACTGATGATCGTCTGCTAAATAGTACAAGTACTACCGTCATGACTGTTTGGAAATACACCTACTCGGTGGTTTGAAACTCCGGGAAGTCCTCATTAGATTGGCACTTCTCGCAATCTTGCATCCGTGCCATCCAGCTAGGTCGAACCGTAAGTTTAGAGGGCCCTTTTTTTTTTTTTTTTTTTTTTTTTTTTTTCAAGATATCAGGCAGGCGCTTGCGGAGCACTCCGTAGTTATCGTAAAAATCCAGCGAGACGGCATCTCCACTGATGCCGAGGAATCAATCTATACATTCAAGCGTTACAGATGCCACTCGGGTCTATCACCGAGAAAACACCGCGAATAGATTCTCATCAAAGCTTCTCCTGTTCAGCGAATTGGACAGAAGGCCTGCATGACTGAGGTAAAAAGTAGATTTGAGTCCAGCGTTTGCGCCTTCTGGCAAGGAAAAAGCGTCATACCAATGGCTTTAAGCCATAAATGGGCATCAAGTGACAGATCGGATGTCACCGAGTGGAGGATGGAAGGGAAGGATCCATGCATCGCGGCCCCACGATAGCCAGGCCAAGGACACGACCCTGGTGAGGTAGTCCTTCTGTCGTTCTGTCCTTCACTACACATCCAGTACTCCTTAAGCATGGGCTCTACTTATATAACTTGAATTGAAAGAAGGCCGAACTCCATGCTCAAGCTGACGAAAACAAAGGAACTGTGCGTTCCATTTCACTCCCAAAATAATCAGTCACCGACGAGCGCTACGATGACCATGTGTTCTTCCGTACCTGCATAATAACCCTGTCTAGGGTACAGCTTGCTACCGAACATGATGTCCTACTTTGGTGCCACGTCTCAGCAGCATAGCTCATTGCCGGGACGGTCGCACCAGGTCCATGTCATTATCACTTGCTTTGTTTCGTGTTCATTCGTGTCTAGAGCCCCCGGATCGTCGAGGACCGTGGGCAATCGGCCATGCAAGGGGAATAGTGATTATGAGATTTGTGCTGTGCAATATACACTACTTGACATGACATCGACCTGCTGCCAATTGAGACCCATGCACGGGACTCACTCCAGGCTCACGCTTGTTAGCAGTTTAAAAAACGGTAGGGTACCGTAGTGATCAGATCCAGACTCCGAGCAAAGCCGACGGGTTTGCGATATCCCCATCTTAACCACATGCGGATTCAGGGCTATCACTCGAATCAGAATTGGTCTCCGTGGGGTTCCTAAAATTTAGATGTTTCTAATTCACCAAAAGACTTAGTAGTATTACTCAATTAGTATGCATCACATCAACGCCGATCGGCCTTGTGCTGGTAGATTTTTTGTAGAACTCTAATGCCATGCGAAACACCGCCTCCATGGTCGGCCCGGCAATCGTTGCTGACACCTGACGCCGTCCATGTGGAATTCGTTCATAGTTGTCCTTTTGATCGACTCTAACTAGTTATTCTTGTTCTGGGGTTGCATGTGTCCACCCATGAGTTTGGTTCCCGGGTTTGATCACCACAATCCACTAAAAGAAGAGAATTGCGGAGAAGTCGATCAAGTCGGACCTTGCGTCGACTGGAGACGGTCGGTACTAACTAAGTAGGATCGGGACGGGAGAGGCTCCTACGTATGTACTAAGTACTACCATGTAGGGCAAATGAATGATCTTCCGCTCTCTTCTTGCAAGGGAAACAGAGCCGACCCCGTGCTGATAAGGTTCAGCCTGGTAAGGATCGCGAGTCGCGAGTTCGACGGCACAACAAACCTTACCACGGCTTCAAAGATATAATTTAGGTATCGCATAACCATGCCAGAACTTAAGATGAAGACAGGTCACAAAGATCAGGCCCAAATTGGAAGGGGTTTGACGCGGCTGGGAAACGAAACTAGCTGCATTCTGATAATGTGCGTCCAAGCGTCAGTTTATCTCGCGCAACTGAGTGAATTCGAGAAGATAGAGAGGGAGAGAAAGAGTATTGGGGGGGGGGGGCGGGTGAGAGAGAGAGAGTAGAGAGCCATAGTTAACGGAAATGCCCCTTTTAGTTACGTCGAACCCAGACCCAAGTGCTTACGATATCAGATACACTAACTACCGATACACAGTACCCAGTAGTGCCAAGTTCAGTCTAAGAAGCCGCCAAAGGATGATCTATACTTCAACAAGAAAGCACCAAAGAGTCTAGTGCCAGTAGATCACAATCCATCCAAGACAAACAGACAAAGAGCTGCTACCCATTTAAACGAGCAAGCAAGCCGGTCAAATTTGTAACTTAACTACTCCGCAGTACTTTCATTGAGCCCAGGGACAACACGTGCTCGTGTTTGCATGCGGGACTAAAGATCAGAGGCCGGGAAAGGGGCTGGTTCATAAGCTAACGGCGAGGGCCAGTGTAGTCTAGGCTTCTGACTGACCACCGGTTATCCGCCTCTGAGCCGCGATCGGAGACTTGCATTGTGGTGCACAGTTAGATATTTCTTTAGCTGCAACTTGCTTGTGAAGATGATCCGAAGCGACGCAATCTCTTGTGGGTGTTCGAGATTTCGGACATTAACTTTCCATCTTCGTCGGCCCTGAAACAGAGTCAGGGAGGGGTGGGGAGAGGTGTGATCATGGAGCCGGTCCGATTAGCATCCGTTCATCCTTAATCACTGCTGTGCTAAGACTAAGAGACGGGATACTATATTGTCAGCGCAAATTACCGAGACACCCAAGTTCTCCCTATTGCAGAAGCCCGTAGTCGTAGCAACACGGGACGGCGCGACGTGCCTTTAGTGCTTTTCTTTGATCTCCCCTGGGCTGTGATACTAAAAGACTGTGTGGAGTACGGAGTAGTCACTGATAGTTATGGGATGGGAAGACAAGGGAACAGGTGGTGTCTAGACCAGACAGGCCATGCGTGGTTTGACTGCATCGTATCAATCAAACACAAGTTAACAGGGGTGCCTGTCTTGGTGCTGCTGCATTTATCCCCACCTACATTCTCCGTACATGTCGCAACAACCATTAAAGGGGATTGATCAGGTGAGAGCAAGAGAAGGGATCTTTAGAGGGGGGGGGAGGGAGTTTGTCGGATTCAGGGGTTGAGATTGAGATTCATCTTTGCTGCCTGAACTCTCAGCAATCATCACGTGCAGTCCTTCATTCCGATGCAGAGGACTCACATCTTCTCCTTCAAGTGGCACATGAACACTGTCACTTATTTTCTATTTTTTTCTGGTCGATTAGTCTCATTTCGAAGAAAATGGCGATGTTTTGATGGGTACTGTGTATTACACCGTGAACACCAAGGCCGCCCACAACGAAGTAGGCTTGATCAAACAGGATCCATTCCGACATGGATTCTTTTGTGCTCGACGCATTGGTTCGATCGCCTCCTGCGGAGCATCTCTCACAATAACCACAGCCAGATCATTGAGACCCAGGTTCAATGATCTCATCTATCTACCCCATCCATATCGTGGAGCCGCTCCCGACCACTGGGTCCATACGACTCATGAAGTCTGGATCTGCATCCAGTTTCGCAGTTTCGTCCCAGCTTCGCGCATCTACACAGAGCGTAGTAGGCAGAATGATGGTCGAATTCTGTGCCCGCATGCTAATCATATTGTTTGTGTTTGTCTTTGAGAATCTGCGAATGAACAGGTGTCCCAAGCTACCTGATGGAACGGGGACCATCAGAGACTACAGTGCTCAGCAGCAGTAGGTCGATCCACACCTACATACCTACCTACCTACCTAACGCTCGGCTCGGTGACCACAGCTAGCAGCAGATTGTGGATAGGTGGAGCCCCGATCAGCTAGTGCCGAGTAGTAGCCGAGGAACGCCATTACTACTAGTGATATACACAGACCAATGCCTCGCGTGCATCTCCACTCTTGCTGATCGCTCAATTCTGCACAAGCAAACGCGCGACGTGAAGAATAAAGTCGGCATCCCAAAAGAAAAGAAAAGAAAAGAAAAGAAAAGAAAAGAAAAGAAAAGAAAAGAAAAGAAAAGAAAAGAAAAGAAAAGAAAAACAATGAGACGGGAATCAAGGCTGGGACTTGCAGGTGCAATGGGATTATCGTCCCCCCCCCGGCCCCCCGGGGCCTGCCTTGATGGGATATTCAGCCGAAGGATCTGCGTACGTTTGATGTCTGTGCTAAGATATTTAATTGGCAGCTGTCAAGTTTTCTTATAGGCAGTGTGGAGTGCGGACAGGGCTCAGCCGGCTGCACCAACGGACGGAAGACCTGTTGGCTTCAGCTGGTCTTACGGTGATGTCGCGATATATGGCGCAAACTGAACTTGCCATCCATCAAGGCACAACTTGAATCAGGCATCTTAGTATGGTGGGGTTTCATCGTTGTACAATGAACACAGACTCGACGCTAACATTGCATCGCGGAAATCGGGATTGATCCGGACGGCGCAGCAGGATGATTCGACCCCAGCAGCTTCCATTTCGAAGCCTGAAGATGCCCGCCCGCAATATATGATGAGTGCCGAGTCAGTCGGTCATCACCTTGTCACAAGTCTCACAACCTGGAGTCTCTTTCACTTAGGGGGTCGGAGGACGCTGCCCAATGCAGAACAACCCCTTCCGACTCTCGGACGCTAAAAGAACGACTAATGCAGCTCCTGCATCCGGAGGCGATGGCAAACAAAAAGTACAAGGCATCTCGTGCAGACTCACTCGTGGTTGAATTGCCCACTGGGGAAGCGCATGATGGCGGCTCTCCCCCTCACGTGCGGTGTGACATGAATGCAAAGGACGGAGTACATTGTCACATCGGAGTGGGGAGTGGGTGGGGCTTTGGCATGTTTTGGGGCGATCGGAGTCTAGATACGCGAATGACATTTCTAGTCTTCTACAGAACCATTCTTAGGCATCAATTCGTCAGTGGTTTGCTGTCCTGCAGCGTGCAGAAACTTGGAAGGACGCGCTACACGAGTCAAAGGGACATATACAGCCCAGGAGTACGATGCAAAGCGGCATAGCGACTTCAAGCGTAGTCGTGCTGATCAATGTTCGCACACCCTTTTTCTTTCCTTGTTAAACAGACGCCGTAAGATCTGACAATGTATTCCGTAACTACCTACTCATTCCTACACATCGCGTCTTTCAAGGAACATGGAATCAGAAGTATCAATAACGTGAGACCTGCCCCCCTCCCACCCCCGGGCACACGCATCTGATTCTCACAGTATCCATGTGATGCACTAGTATCGATAATCCGAAGATCATAGACCTTAACCTCTCAAACTGCTCGTCCATCGCCAGAGCAGCATGCACGACCTCAAATTCGCAGGCACTTGCGTGTCGAGCACAATCCTGCACGCGTCAAGTCGTGAAACCAGGGAGGAACCCAATACATACCTCCCAGTCTGCCCCTCAATACCAAACCCTTGTTTCGAATATCCTACACCCACCACCCTTAACACCTTCATCCCTTTCCACCCGTCACTATGTTGAGCATAAGTAGGCATAAGAAGACCTGGATTCTTCACAGACCTGGTTTCTTTCCCGGTCATCCATCTACTCTTGCTCTCGAACCACGCGACTTGACCCACCTGGCTCTTCTTTCCTTTTGCACACTGCACACGTCGATAAACTAATACATTTGACGAGAAGATGGACGTCTCCCTCACCTCTCTTATCATCTCTGTCCTGACGCTCACTCTCGTGTCAACCGCCGTCGCGCTCCCTCTCCCCGAATTTCTCCCCTGGGCGCTCGTGGATACCGTGTTTCCAGGCTCGGGAATCCCAACAGCTGTGGAGAAACTGAGCACGGGGTTTCAATGATGGTCTTCATGTGCAGCAAATGTGACGTGAGTGTTGCTCCCCGAGAAAATGAATGGCATGGTGGAACCCACTTTGCCTGCGTTGTGTGCATGGTCCGGCGGCTAAAAGGTTTCATTTTCAATTCTAGTTCAACTTACAAGCACATCTCAGCATGACTATGCCAAGGGGTAAATGGCAGATGCGCTGGCACTTGAAATTGCTGTTGCTGACAGAGTCACGGGCCATGTAGTGAATGCGCGGCCATTCTACTATATGGCAAATAGAGAAGTTTATCTACAGGGAAGATGGCGAGATTAACCTTGCAGTCGACCGATGATTGCTTCATTGATGCGCTTGAGACCCAAGTGTATATGTATGGCACGTTCAATATAAGATGAATCAAATTTGCCAGTTGAAGGTTGAATGCGGGCCCGCCTTCTGGGTGGTCAGCGGATGATTTCGACTCATAGACGAGTGAACTAGTAGAATGAGTCATCGTCCTCATCGCACCATCTTGGTACATGGAATCTGCATGTAACCGACACAAGGGCTGACAAGTAGATTAGCCATTCAAACAATGTATGCATGGTCAATAATCTAACCTGCAAAGAACCAATGCAATGCTAGAATCTATTTATCCACCACCACAGACACCGTTAGTATACACAGCCCCGATCATGCTGGATCAGAATAGACCTTCCATATCCAAGTCCAGAAATTCCGGGTTTCCAACCGCCATATCAGCGGCGTGTAACACATCGTCAATACTCGTGTCTAGACCGCTCGACGACTCGAGCCCCATAGTGCCCATACTTTGACCTCCATCCATCCCCACCGCAGCTGCAGCGGCCGCATTGTCTAACATACGGTTCAGATTTGCCGCGTCATCATCACTGACACCATGCCCTGACTCCCCCGGCGCTTCAAGATTCATCTGTCCAGGGCCTCCAACTCCAAGCTGCATGTGCTGGATGATATTATTCATATCCAGATTCGGGACTTGGGACGGTGGCGTCATGAGTGCATTCACTCGCCGGTATAGCCGGACTATGACTTCAGCGCGCAACGGATCCTTCTCGGAAACCTTCGGAATGTTCTCATGAAGTAGAATAAGAGCGCTCCTAAGGGTGAGAATTGGGCATCGTGGAAAGGTTTCTTTGCTAGGATCCAGGGGTTGGTGAGAGTGATTGTTCTGGTCAATTGCAAAGCACTCGGCCATCGGTGCGCAGATCAGCGTCGCTGCAATATCCAGGGCTATAGCACCGCTCCCAGCTTCAGTCTGCAGTTTGAGCTCTTCAACCAGAGCACCTAAGACGCGTATGGATCCAAGTAGCAGTATGCCAGTCACCAGTTGTCGGTGCGTGTAGGAGTGTGGTGCCACGCTGACATCAGGACTGGTGCTCCACAGTACAAGGGACTGAAAGCTGCTTCGAATGCTGCCTAACAGGCCCCCAGGGGAATGGTTTGTCCAGGAGTCCAGCTCACTCCGATGGCAGCTGCCACTTCGTTGGAAGATTAAGCATGGCTCGAGTGCATCAAGAATTGGCTTAATATCAGTACGAGACGGGTGCCGGGCCCGGACATCCTTCAATTGTTCCTCTAGGCCGCGCGCGGTCATGTTCAAAACGGTACGATGTATTTCTTTGGATTCGCCGGATATTGAAGCGGGGTTGACCAATGCATGTAGAGCCTTTAAGGGGATTGATGGGTCGCTTTCCGTTTCCCATATGTGGTTACCAAGCCACGTTAAAGCCAGGACAAGCGATGGGAGAAGGAATGGTTCGAGTAGGTCTAGTCGCTGTTAGCCCAGGGTAGAGGATTTCTCAGAGGAGGAAAAAGCATTACATTCAAAGCCACCTTTGAGTGTGTCGAACTCCAATTTCCCAGCTTCGCATGCGCCGAGGCTTTGGCTGAATAAAGTAGCGACAAGGAAATAGAATTCTTGCGGGCTGCATGCCGACATTGTCTCCTCACTGATGCCTTCAGCAATAAACAGAGCCGTGATCCAGCCCCCTAAATTCTTGTTCTGCTTGTCGCTCAGAGCATCCAATTTCTGACTGCAGGAACCGCCTTCGAGAATTCGCAAAACAAAAGAGTTGCTGCCACCAAGACCAAGGTCCTGTGCTCGCAAGTCATATCGAAAGGCAAATGCAAGCACCAGGAGTAAAATGCTACCGAACTCGTCATAAACTGGTTGACTTTCTCCTTGATCCTCATCCCAATGCCAGCTGTCCAGCAATAAACACAGAGGTTGTAGCACCTGTTTTGTGGTTCGAAACAACAGGATTACATCCATGGCTTGGGGTCGGCGAGAGAGTGAATTGCAGATATTTTTCAATGTCATTGTTTCCTTCTGGTTGCAAAGGTTATGCATGACCTAGAATCATGAGCCAAGATTCTGCCGCTTTCCGGTAACAAGCGATTCCTTACCTCAGTGATTGCGCCAACTATTGCACCAGCATTGCCCTCCATGGACTCGATTTCCCCGATCAAATGCTCGGCTCGTTCAGGGTTCGCGTTGATCTGATTAACAAGATCATCCTTGTTATATGGTCCCCCTACAGGCAGCGTCTGCATAGGATTCTCTCCCAGAAGTCGCTCGATGCTGGATTCAGGGATCAATTTGTGCGAGGCACACGCAAAAAGGAATTCTTGCCTCACGTCAGAAAGTGCAGTATTGCTTTGCATGGTAAAGATCTGCGAAAAGGATGGAAACGTATTTGGATCTAGCCGACCCAGCGCATGACTGATACACAACTCCATGGGTAGGGTGACCATGGATGCTGCGAGCATGGCTGCGAAGAAAGCAGGTAGCTTGTTGACGAGGAAGGAACGGAATAAGAACATTGCTCGGTTTGACTCGCTACGATAACTTGCATTTGAGAGAACGTCGAAGGCGGCAGTGATTGTTTCCTCAATAAGAACTTCATAATGTCCCTATGCAATCAGCTAAGTAAGTTATAGCCACACGGCCGCAGAAAATCAAACTCACCCCATATCTGTTAGATAAGTAATTTAGAAGCATGCTGTCGTCAACCAAAGGACGTCCTACGAGCTGGGACCCAATTAGCATCAGAATACCATTTACGTTTGATCATACATACTATTGCATTTAGATAGACGAAGAGACCAGCTCTCGAATTGATTATGGGACCGTCCATAACTGAGGCCTCGAATTGCAGCGCATTGACGTTGACACTCTCCATCATCGAAACATCCAATGGCTTGGTAGGCAGCTCGCCATAAAGATTGAATCCCTTTTGCAAGCTGTCAAGTCGGGTACGCAACGGAAGCGATACTTCCACACAGATGGGAAGATATGCCGACAGAGCCTGTCCCAGTTTGATCTTCAAGGCTATACCGTTCTGTTAGCTCGGAGACGCTAATAGCATAGACTCTTGAGCATACCTTCTTGAGAGTCTGCCGAAAGAACCTCTAATCCTTTTGGAGTTTCTGATAGGGCAGCGAGCAATATTCCCAAGGACTCAAAGAGCGAAACCGTGTCGGGAGAATTGATCAAGCCCGGGGTTTGATCACTGTGATCGGTATGATTGCTGTTCCAGGCCACAACTGCTTGAATCCAATCTATGATAGCAGTAAAAACAGATATCGCTTCAGAGAATGATTCGGGAACAGCGCCAGTGGAGATGGACAGCATAGCATCTTGAACGACCCTGATGTCCGTCATAAGGGTGTAACATTTCGATCTCCTTCTTCTCAGAGAGGGTTCGGCGGACGGAGATCGAGAAATGTCGTGGATCGAAGAGTACTTCAGAAGGGCGTTCAGTACGGTCGACGTCTGGACCAGACCCATCTTGCAAAGACAGTCTATGTACAACGGGAGAAGCGGGTCCCATTTGATTCCTGTGGCAAGTCGCGTTTCGAGTAGTACATCAAGCAACAAAGCTTCATTAATGGGGTAGCGCTGCAACAGCAGTCGTGATAGGCTTCTGAACTCTGCCGCATCGATTCGATGCAGCAAACATCGATGGAGGAAAATTCCCCATTGCTCGGATGAAGTCATGTTCCAGATTGATTCGCGTAGTTCTCGTGGATTAGGGAGCGCATAGCACAGAATCCAGATTGCAGGCTTCCGTTCATACGATGTAGTTGTTTACCTCGACCTTAACGCTCGACATTCTGTCATGATCCATTCTCCAAATTGTTGATTCCGGAAGACCTGCAATCATTGTTTGGACGTAAGGTGCTTATCACGTGAGATTATGTAACGTCACACGTGATGATAGGTGGTCACTGCACGATGCCGGCCATGTAAGAGAGTGTGTGAACCTTGGCTTTCGAGCCAACATACTGACACTGCTTCCCACAATTCGGAGATTGGCCGCAATGCAATACTTGTATCTCACACTCAGACTTCAGCTCATTGTGCAGATGGGTTATAAGTACGGAGTATGGAGTATATAATTGTGATAATCGCGCCGTTAGTGAGTTACAGAAATGGGCGATATGAGGATACCCTGTGGGATAACAGCACTCACAAGATACTAATGTTATCTTTTATCTCACCGTACTACTAGGACTAAATGCTGTAGCTAACACATACAGTACTTACTTGTTCACAAGGGCGGTAAGTTGGTGGACTGAATCAATTCGAAGTCTTTGAGAAAAATGGTACCTGCTCAAAGTAAACAAAAGACCCAAGGCTGTAGCCGTTCATACTAAGTACTGTACTTGAAACCTATATTCCTGATAAAAGGGTCACATATATCGTGATCTGGACAGCATACATAGTGAGAAACCAAGATGCTAGCTCTAAGATCAATACTAGTCTCTATGTTCCAGTAACCATCTCACCTTCATGTAAATCATGATGCCTTCAAACCCAGGGTGTCCGACAATCAGTGGGCTTCTTCATAGTATTGAGGCAACCTATTGCCTGGGCAGCGTCATTTGATAAGAAGGAGAAGCTACAAGTACCCTTGATAAGTATGCGCCTTGAACGCACTGGTTCTCATGCTGCTCATAAAACTCTCCAATGCATGCATTCATCTGTGGCTAGTACCTACTAGTGGCAATATTAGCTGAAAGTAGATAGTGCGCCACGGTGGCAAAGCATTATGTGGCTGCAGTGCTGATCTTGCGACGTTTCGGCGAGTCCGGTTTTCACTCACTGTTCACTCCGTTGAACTGAGGCTGTGTTAGGTCAACCATGGATGTCGGTCGAAGGGGGCTTGCCCCTGGTTTGGAACGATACACGGAGTAGTACACGAGAACATCCTTGACAGTAAAGAAGCGGCATCTTCTTAGAAGACGGAGGATGTTTGACAATAAATGAATATTCACTCACTCTGCCCCAGTGTAGTTCAAACTAGATACTATCGTTGTATCCGTCTACATCAAACCAATTTAGATATGTACGCACATCTTGGTTTGTAACTCTGATGGCATTGCACCAATAGATAAGCATGCGATGATATTCATTGCCTTTTGTGACCGTCATCTCCTCCATCATATTGCTGGATATTATCGAGAAGGGCGGCTGTCCTACTTGTACGTAGGACAAAACGTGCTGGCGCATACCTTACGCTCATGCTTTCCTGGAATCGTTAAGCTCGTATTTATTCAAGGGGACAGAGTGCCTTGCATAATATGAGGGCCCAGATGCTTTAAACAGCAGGTAAGCCTCACTAGAAATGCGTGTCTGCAGTACTGATGTAATACCGAGTCTCATACCAGACAGACTTAGGCTGACTTCATAACTGCCAAAATAATCATCTTCAATCGTTGTTGGTGTCGTGGCATGCGGCAAACGGCGATCTTGCATGAGCCTATTCAAGCGCGCGTGATGTGTAGAGAATATTGTAGCACAAATGATCGTGACGGTGTGATTCAAGGGAATACGTCTTATCTGTGTCTTGAGTACGAGGTGTATCAAGCGACAGAGCAAACATGAGTAAAAACCGTCTAAATTTTGGTAGTGATGAGGAAACACAATCCATGATGACTGAGCCACTGGGCTGCGGCCGACTGTGCTGCTCTTTTCACTCATAACAGGGCTGTGATGTGCAAGGTATATGTCAAGTCCATAAGAAAATGATCGAACATCATCGGGGCGTCCTCACTATCCGAGCGCTCGCAGGATCTGGATGGCTGAGCAGTCTTCCTTTTTCACCGTTCAATTTTCATGTGCTCGACATGCACGCTCGCCTTGCTCCTCGCAGCAGATAAGTAATGGTTGAGGGCGACCTTGCCGTTTCAAAGAATAACGACAGACAAATGAAGTTCCATGGAATTGCGAATTGTTTCTGAGAATATGATTTTCAGCCAATTCACTGGACCTGAATATCTCTACCTGAGGGAAGGGGCTAGATAGGAGAAGTTATCCGGGAGCATGATAGTCACCCGCCTAGCAATCATGAAGAGTGCTTCTCTGATGGCGTAATAAGTATTTCGCCGACGCACCAGCTTCCCAAGCTTCAGATCTCCGCGAGACAGCGTGGCAAAAAATTGGATGTACCACAGGTAATGTGGTACACATATTGGATCCGTACATGACAATCAATACCTAGTAGTTGAGAGAAAAATGCACGGCCGCTCTTGGGCCATATGTTCAATTACAGAGCCTGAATACGATGCTCTTACGCTTGCGCAAACGGAAAGGAAATCTGAACGGCAACTGAAGGGTGGGGTAAGCTTAGCTCCCTCACATTACCATGTTTTACGATGTTATCTTTCCCGTTTGTTCGGGGGGGAATGATCTCCCGGAGTGGGATCTGGCGGATACGACGCTGAAGTCCCGCTCTCGCTGTTCGTCACTCTGCTTTATTGCTGCATATCATAGCAACAACACAGGTGATTGTTCAAGGAAGGACTGTGTTTCTTCCTTTTCACAATCTATCCTTGTAGGTTAATGCTTAAATCAAGGCGTTTGCTTAATGTATGAGTGATGACTTAGTTATTCTACCCCGGACATTTGAAACCTAATAACTACTCGCGGCTGATCAATTTATCCCTGCAGATGGAGGCCCTGTTCCTGGAAAACAGGATGCATCCCAGTGCATTAATCGGAACAAGTCCAGTGCCTCTGAATTGGACACTAGGCTAGACCCTGAAAATAAGAATGCTTAAGATTGCTGTGCTTGGCCATTTTGCATAGTGAACAGAGGACGGGAACATGAAGTCACTCCGCCCAAGTCTGGGCACGACTGGAAAGAGACTTGATTTTCTTTTTGCCCTTTCGGACTACCTGCAGTCACTTTTCCCTCCCTCCCTTGAAGACCACTAGTATTTCGAGAAGAGGCCCTTACAAAGGAGAAATCGATGGTCTAACTTGACCAGTTCCGTGTTTGAGGAGCCCGAACTGAGACCGTCGTACTATAGGTCTGTCACTGCTTACAACTAACTAGGTAACGGGGAATAACTACCCAACGTTAATAGATGCGCCACTTGGGCCGCATCCTTTCGTTGTAGGGGCGATTGATTATTGGAAATCAAATGAAACACCGCGTTTCCTGATTATAGGTCCAAGGCATGGGAGACACGCGATTGACAAATTTGACAGGAGGAGCGAAGAACAAGCTGTCATAAAAATTTAGATTATTGACCCTCCTTGATCAAATCACATTGACCTTCGACGACCAGAAAGCTGGGTACTTTTTTAAGTTTTCATGGGGTGTATTGTACGTACAGTATCTGCAAAGGTGGTGTTTCAGTACGGACCATAACGTACAGTTTCGTCCAACTTAGCTGTTGCGGGCGGGAGAGATAGATACCCTGGGGTTGATGGTTTGAGGCTTGCGCGCCCTGAAATTCCTCATGCTTGCTAGAAGTTACAGCTCTCGAGGATTGGACTCACCGTGATGTCTTTTGCTTTGCTGTGGACTCATTCCCGCTAATAGTTTTCTTCGTGTACCACATTCAGAGTAAGTCTAGGATTACAGTACTGTACACTTCCAGAGTCGAATCAGTTGGACCAAGGACATTTCGCAGGCTTTCTTGTTGACGAACACATTAGTACAGAACAGTACTTGATGTCTGCCATGAGGTAACTTGAAGAAACGGATCTTGAAAAGTTGGCAGTTCTTACTAAAATCAATATGAGTTTTCATGATCTCATTCAACGCAGGCTCCTACCGATCTCATTTTAGGCAGGGGGCTGCAGTGTCTATCGAAATTTGGGATGTAAGCTTCAATATAGTGTTATCGCATTTCCATTCATTTACTAGGCTGTGACCAGTAGACATAAGCATACAGGTACTCGAGTAGATGCACGGATGACTTGGATCTGGGGCCTGTCCAAATCTGCATTGTTCCGGGATCCACTGGCAGCAAAGGAACACGCGATGACCTTCGTCTGTTTTGCCATCCGCTAGTTAGAGGTTTAGAGACTAGAGGAAAGGAGGAGCTGCCCATAATCCACTCAAGGGCCGCCCTGAACCACTCGATCCGTACCTGATACTAATGCTCAGGTTCCTTGGGTTTCGATTGTCCACCACCCTGGGCAGTCTTTGAAGCGATTGGTAAACCGAGACAAGACACGATCGATAGGTTGATGAGGACCAATTGTTTCCTCCAGGTAAGAACGGCTCTTTCCTTCTGTCTCGAAATTTTCCAGGACTTAGGTTAGTGCTGCTTGAGGTTACGATACCATTGCAAGCTAGCGTGGCTAGAGAGATTAGCAAATCAGGCACGTTGTCCTTGCACTATTACGGGCTACTGAATACTCATGGTACATAGTGTAGGTTTCTATGAATCCTTGTTGCCCTTAAAATTATTGTTGGATCGCTTTCAAGGAGTGCAAATGCCTTTTGAGCTTATTGAAATCATTGTAACGGGAGGCATTTAACCAAGCCAGCTATACGGCAACCCAAAGTAAGAAAAAGTTCTTGTTTTTGAAGCCTGTGTAAAGGATAGTATCATGAATATTGATGTTGTATCTTTCTTTTGCTTTAGTTGGAGGAGTAAAGTGAAATCGAAAAGAGGAAAACCGCCAGAAATTGGAAAGAGGGGGGACAAGAGAGGAAAAAGACAGAAGAAAAAAAAAAAAAAAAAAAAAAAAGAATAGAACAATCCAAACCACTACCCCCTCTCCTTCCGAATCGAATACGAAACAAAACGAACCGCCTTTAATCGGGTAGACCCGTTCCTCTCCTCTGCTAGTAGTTGCACCCAATACCCAGACAATATACCTAGTCTACAAGTCCACACTTCCAGTCCAGCTCCGCAATCTGACTCTTGAAGTTCCTTTCTACCCTTCCGGGCCGGTTCCCTTCTTCGTAACTTCTTTATTTTTGTCTCAAACCGAACCCTTATGTATGTCCGTATGCACCCCGTTCCAATTCTTCCAATGACTCCCATCACCTAAAGTAGAGCGTCGTACCCTCAAACTTCCCCCCCCGCCACTCTTTCGCTACGAATATCACCGCCAGCAGTTCTTCTCCCGACTCTACAATCTTTCACCCCGCTTCAGCATACCTCTTGGGCTTGAGCCCTGTCATGACTTGTGACTTCTCTTTCTCTCTCGATGATAGATGGATTGCGCTTAGCAGATGTCCATGGACGATTCTCATCCGGGTAGAGGCCTAGGATTCACTATCAGAAATCTGTTTCGCTCCTCATCTTTATCCTTTCCAACTTCGCGGCCACGGAAATCCCTCCTTCGAAGAGGACGGAGTGTCATTGATAGCAAGTAAGTGCTCGATTATCCTTGACCTTTTTCACCCTTCGACCTCCTCTCTGGATTTCTTGGTTTCCTCTAAATCAATATGGCCTCTGCCACTTCTCCGTGCCTCTTACAAGATAGGGCACGAACAAGTACGTCGCCTCCGTTCCGAACGCCGAGATTCCGGTACAGAGCAGCAGGCATCATCCACGCCGGGATGAACAGTACTTGGAGGCAGGAATAAATTGAGTAGTTTGTGACTAATTCAAGTGAACCTTTGCGCAGCAGAAATCCTATCGATCCCACAAAACGTGCTTCCGCCCCTCCAATGAATAACAATCAATCCCTCAATCCAGCTGCAATGATTGGACTTTCGGAAGCGTCTACAGGCGACATCTTTGAATGGTACCCGCGCTATCAAAGTTGCCAGCGATATTTCTTGGATGATGCGCAACATAGTGTCCCCGTACAAGCGCTTTCCGCTTTCTTGAACATTCGTCTTCCGTTCCAATGGGAATCCAACCCGGTTGCAAGCTCGAGCTTGTCCACCAACCAGTCTTCAACCGGCGCCAACCAAACCTCATCAGTATCATCTGGACCAGCGACAATACCCCCCTCTGTCTCGCTGATCCCGTACATTCGTCGCTTAGTGGCTACTGGCATGGATTTTCCAGGGGTGCTCCAGGGATTCTTTGGAGACGACTGGGCTGCTGGCATCGGTCCTCTGCACGAACAGGAGAGACGCAATTACCTTTTTGCAGCCAAGAGCGGGGGATGGGCCGCTGTTAAAAAGGAATACGACATTGCTCCGCTAGAAACCATTCCGTTTTTACGCCCATTGCAGGGGCCGCTAGACTCAGAGATCGAGGCTGCAGAGCGAAGTTGGAGTGAATGGCTGGCCATGGAAGACTGGATGGTCGGGCCCCGAGCGCCCGATGTCCTTCGCGACTCGTCTTCCAACAAGTCACGAGCACAGAGCTCACGTGGCTGAGGCTTGCAGCCTCTTGATTCAGATTATTCTCCCTTTCCTTTTCGCTCGCTGCTCGATTACTTTGCATTGATTCCCAGGTTTAACGTCCACAAGTTGAGCAATATCATACGGCTATGGGCCATGGTACGGAGTTTGGGGAGCCCAAGTTGGACGCATTTCGACTCTAATATTTCCTTTCTTCTTCACAAGCTTGCCATGAGATGACGACCATATGAGTTCTTGAGCGTGCTAGGTTGTCGCGAGCCCACATTAACTTATAGTTTTAGATACAATTATTGACCACGAAGCGCACTCCTTTTTTGCAAGGGGTAAACTTGGAAATACGGGATATGCGACTGAGAACAATTAGCGAACAGCATCGACAAATGAACTACAAAATATGCCTTCAAATATAGTAATACTTTGGTCCTTAGTTTTCATCCGTTGGCTTACTGATTGGGACCATACCATATCTCTGGAATTCTTGATGATTGTTTGTTTCAAGTTCTTTATTCTTGCTTCTCCAGTACTTGCAAGTGTTCTCCTGAACTTGAAATTCAACCACACCCCCTGAGCCCCCTACTGCAATCGCGAGCTACGAGCCCCAGAGGCTGAGTGACAGTGCCAACCTGGTGAGGATCGTCTTCAATAAGTGTCTCGATTGGGCACCTACCTCCGGGACGAAAGAAGTCTGAAACAAGCGGAGCGACCTTTAGCGAGGCTGACAGCCCGGTGCACTATGGAACACGGCATTAGTCTGAACGGGAACAATGTACCGAGACGACTGGCGCTCACATCACAGTTCGGTTAGAACCATTATGTTCATGGACTATTCATAGTATTCTTGCCTAGCGGGTGCTCCAAGGTTTCCTGGGATCATCACTCTCTTTCCGAAATTTACATCTGCTGTGTTCCGCACCACATGAACCTGTGGCCCTTTGAAGAGGTAACTAGCAGCCCCACTGAATCTAGGCCTGCCTAACAGGTAACTACTACTTGTATCAATGTGCAAGGCGAAAAGAAATCTAAGAGTATTAACTTAGGTAGGAATGTTTTCGACCTGTCTAGATCAAGATTCGACATGTGAGGCAATGGCGGGCGATACCATTGGGATTGAGCAATTTGATTCTGATCGATCGATCCAAATTATCGCCCCCCTCTGCCATGTTACCATGGGAGAGAGATCGGAGCTGATGGGGTTGGATGACGAACCGCCCCTTCTCCACCGGTCGGAGCTCGTGGATCGGGATCTGGTTATCAATCGCGTAACTTAGGACTAACTTAGGGAGAACTCATCCGGTAGCGTGGGTTACCATTTTCCCCCAATCTGGGTTGATTCTTGCAAGGTCCTTGATTAGTTCCCTGCAGGACAAAATCAAAACCTGGAAAGTTGATCCGCTGTGCATCACTGCATGGCCGCACAAACATGGTCGAACAAGCTTGGGGAATAAGGTAGCTAGCGATTCGGCAGGGGGAGAGAGAGAGAGAGAGAGAGAGAGAGAGAGAGATTATCACTAGACAGACTAGTGATCTTCTTCCTCAGCTAGATTGCAGTTTAAACTTCTTCTGGATTTTTCGACGTAAGATCCGCGCCCAGGTCAATGGTGCGCGGCTCAAGAGCGGGGTGGGAAATGCGAGGGGGGAGGCCTCGGGTTTAGTTCACAAACCCTATTGTGTACAACATTGTTGATGCGAAACTACCAACCATGTTTGTGGTATGGTTTGTGTCCTCTGGCTGATATGAGTAGAATTTGAAACCTGGTAATGTTTCCAACTAATCCAGTTCCCTCCTCCGAATCTCCGTAGGGGAGACGAAGAGCACGGGTCAAAACTGGTTGGTAACAGTACATACAGTAATCAAGCTACAAAAAGTGTATGTAAGCGTAATACTCTGACCATACATGGATGGTATTCTTTATCGTCATTGAGCTGTACGTATCATTTTTCCTTTAGTCGATACAATGCAATGCCAATTGCAACTGATTAGTCTAGCGACAAAGCTGAGTGTACGTCCATGTTACCACCGATGAGCGTAGAGTACCGCTGACTCACATGAGTAACTCTGATGCCTGATATGTTGGCTAATCTCAAAACCTTTCACTCTTCGGATAGTAAATCTTTGCTAGTAGTTCTATGCATTTGTGTATCGTACTGTGATATGAGTACGTATAGAGGAGATATTGTCCGCATACTAACTTATCAACTGACTATTAGTCTTCTTTGCATAGCTTATGCTGGGTACTTATCCTTCTTAACATCTGATGTTTACTGTATGTTCCTGTGCAGGGAATTGCTTCACACGCAGAGGTATTCCTTTGGAATGAGTCTGGTGATCATCGATGACACCAATTGGGCATGAGTGATGTTCTACAAGGATCGTGCAACTGACTATATTGTTGTCATAAGGAGGATTGCAAATGCACCGGCCCTTCGAGCGGTGCTCGTCATGGCTCTCTTGCCTTTATTTCGAGTCGCTCCCAAATCTTGATTTGGGAGCAATATCTGGCTTGTGTGTCTTCATGCAAACCCACCCCTGATGATATTAGTGATGGCTGTATATCATGGATACCGTATGCCAAGATGTAAGACTAGAGGCAAGGCGAGATGTAAGTGACGTAGTATTTCGCTTTGTAGAGCGGCACTTCGAATGGTCTGAGCCCCTTTGGTGTGTGGGCCACAATCTAAGAGATTCACGTTGCTCACCCGGAGTCTCCTCGTACTATTGTCTTCACGGCCACTGGAATATGAGTCCCTATTTTTGTATAGTTTGCTCAAAAGTTGTACTCCCGGACATGATGGGATGGTCGGTAAATGGAGTCTTCTCCTACGGCCATAAGTCCTTGGGCACATGATCCAATCTACATGTCATCTAGAGATCAATTCAAGGCTGCTATTGAGAGCGAGGACATCGCTGCCGTGCTGAAGCGCAGACCTAGGTGTTGATTCAGCTAAAGGAGGTAGTACTGGATAAGAAGCTCCATAGATCTTGATACTCAGATTACGTCTGAGTGGTTGAATGACGGTTGTAACAAGATTTCTAGAGACTTCTTGGGCGAGCAGGCTTGCTTACCGCCTGCCAAAGACCTAAAAAGGTCCATTTTTGCCTATGAAACTGTGAGATTATCGGGTGTAGGTTACGTCTCGGATGTACACCAGATGACTCTAGGGCTCTCTCCTTTGTCTATGAAGCCACGGAGTTTATTCATGACCTTCCGATGTTTGCGAGCTAGTTAGTGATGCCACCACCGCAGTGGGATTCAGCAATTGCACAATGAATCAGTCGCCCGCTCGTGAGCGAGCTGGCTCGGTGTCTCGCGTTAGATGTTGAGAACGGTCCAGGGTTGGTCGAACGATCCCTTAATTCGGCAACCCATCGACTAGTGTGCCTGCTTACCTGTAATGGCCGAGACCATCGCCCCTTGTGTCGTGTGAGCACAGCGGCCCGGACTATAAACCCCACCTCTTTTCCCATCTTCTTCTCTACACAGTCGCGTTGGAGAAGGTAGACTTGAGGCCCCGCGCGGGCCATGGGCAAGATTCGCAACAGTCTACTGCAGGAGATTGCTTGTAGAAGCAGCTCATGGTCTTCCGCATCATACGTTATGCATGCGGGGATCAATTAGTGCGCGTCAATAGCTCGGCAAGAATTGAATGACGCCCTTCACAGTCTACTTTGCGTTCCGGTTTATGATGGAGCAGCGATTGCTTGACGTTTGCTCGATACTAAAGCTGGCTGCCCACGCACCGTGCTGCACATCTTTCTTGTAGACTGAAGCACGCTAATAGCTCAATTTACATGGTCTCGCATGCTCTATGAAATATGGCAGCCTAAGTACCGAAATATGCACTGAAGGACGACAATAGGCTAAATGCACGCACAGTCTGTGAAGTATGAATGATCCTTCTTCAATATCCTTGATAGACTGGCAATTCGAGGTCGGAAGGCCACAACACCGTGGATCATTTGATTGGTGGTATAATCGTACGTGAGACTGATGGCCGACATCGGATGCTGCTTTGCCTTTGAAGATATGGGCTAGTGCGAAGAAGAGTCCTGCCACTGATGCTAGGGCGGTTAGGACAGCCCATGATTAGTGTGGCTGTTAGTTAGTCCTCCCTTACATGCCTACTGACAAGAAAACTCCAATGCATTCCATTGGCTAGACGACGATGGTGAGTAAAACAAAGAGGTAATGATTGGAGCTATCGACGCGTGTAGTGTTGAGTTTGAAGTTAGAGGATGCATATGTGGCGAGGTTTTGCATCAGATTGCAGAGTACGACTCGGTTCCCGCTGGTGCACACTTTCCCCAGATCTCATTCTGGCCCGCCATCTTCCCCAACAACAATCGACGGGACAAATGCTTTTCGCCTCCCCCGGATGACCAAGGAGGAGACTAATTCGGGCCAGTGGCCCAGGATCTTTGTCCAGTCTCAACGAATCCCGACCACCTATGGAGATTGGGTGCATTAGTGGGGGACTCTAGCGGGCAGCTTATGATTTTAAGAGGCGTTAAAACTAAGACACTGCGTGTGAAATCCGCTTTGACTGTCAGACTCGGGCGAGTCGGCTTGGAGAGAAGGTGGGGGAAGGATGCTTAAAAGAGGTTTAGTGTCAAAGTTTCTTCAGCACCTGCCAATCTTTAAGACCCTCCGACTGCAAGTGCACCGTACGGAGTACGGAGTAGACTCCCCATCATTCCTCGAATCCGAGCACGGGCGGGAGGTCCTTAGTGCCACTGCGCCACCATCTCGGGCCAAACTCGGCTACTTATCTATGAAAATACCAGCAAATCATTGGCTGTGATACTGTAGAGATAAGGATAAACAGGGGTTTTGGGCTATGTTGATTGGCCTGCAGTCACTGTAACTCGATTTGAAATGGTAACCCATCACATGTCGGTGTTATGAAGTACTGACTGCCTGCCATCCATGGTGGTTGAAGTGACTCGAATTAGCCAGTCAGCCGCACGCACCTTTTGAGATTGCCTTGCTGCTAGGTTTAGATATCAGCGTTTGCACACAAATGATTTGACACCAATGAGATGTCGATGGCTTCTGTCTTTTTGAAAGAGTAATTATTCTGGGACCCGGATGTACCGTACTATAGTGTACCCAGTATGCTGTCGGCAAAGCGGTCTACAGACGAAATGAGCGATGACCACCGGTGAGACGGACAGAGCGAGGCCACAGATGGTATGACCTCCTGGTGAACCGTGTGTCATACTTGCCCGCCTTCCCGTGCCACCACCACCTCCACCAGCAGCCAGCGGCCATGCCCTTCCCTCCGGCCGTGCCCACCGACCACGGCCCTACTCAGCTCAGCTCACCGGGCAGCCGGAGTCTCCCGACAGCCATTAAGTCATCCTGTTTTCGGAGGAATCGCTCCAGTGCTTTCTTCCCTTTCTTCGATTTCCGAGGAGGCAAGCTGCAGTCCTTAGAGGGGCGCACCTCGGAATCGATCGCATTGATAGCGCGTAAAACGATCAGATAAGAGTTTCACCTCAGACACGTGGGGTGCACTTGAAATCTGAAGATCGACCCCGAGGTCACGTGACATGGCTGCGCCTGCAGGAGATGCTTGGCATGCATCTCGCATCGTACATGAGTTTGAAGAGTTACTCTACACGAACCGTACGTACAGAAAAGAAGGAGCCTAGGGAAAGCCCACCAAATATGGAGTACGTACGTTTTCCATCCACACATTTTCCTTGTCCAGCTCGCTTAGAATACTACGGTCCCTTGAAGCCCCGAGAAGTTCCTCGCCACACGAGGATTTCCCGGGAGGAGCGAAAGGACTGAAAGCGGCGAGAGGGGCGGGTTTCCGCCGATAGATAACGGAATAGATTCTGTGACCATAAAGTATCGACTAACACTGCCCCGAAGTTCGGACGCCCATCCGGCATTGTTTGCCGTGATTAGTCCCGCCGCCGCTGACTGTTTCCTCTCCAGCGGGAACTTCTTTCGTGCTGTCCGACTCCGGCTGTACACATTGCCTTTTTTTTTGGTTCCCAGTTTCCTTTTTCCCTTACCCTTTTTGTGTTTTGCCGTTCGGAAAGCCCTCCTCCGCTTCCACCCAGTGGCACCCACCATCGACTGCTACCACACCTACTACCACTAAACCCAGTCCGGGGCCGGGGAGGGGAAAAAAGAGAGAGGGGGGGAGGGGGAAAAGAGAGGGCGACTGAATCGGGAAGGGAGCAGGAGGGAGGCAACTTCGTCGGCAAAGATACATATAAAGCCATTCTCTCTCCCTCATTCATCTGTCTTTCTCCCTTCCTCTCTTTCATCCCCATCCTATCTCTCTCCCAGATCTCTCTCCCAGACCTGGTTTAAAAGTCTTGTCGGGTATCCTTTGGGTCATTCTTCTTTGTGTATCAAAACTTATATCAATTACCTCTTCACATCCGTTCCATCATGTCCAACCTTCCCGTTGAGCCCGAGTTCGAGCAGGCCTACAAGGGTATGCTTTCCTCTCCTCTATCTGACGGCTCCCATTCCACATTGTATACCTTGTGTGACTGACAGTGCTCCTTGTGCAATAGAGCTTGCCTCGACCCTCGAGAACTCCACTCTCTTCCAGAAGAACCCCGAATACCGCAAGGCTCTGGCTGTCGTCTCCGTCCCCGAGCGCGTCATCCAGTTCCGTGTCGTTTGGGAGGATGACCAGGGTCAGGTTCAGGTCAACCGCGGTTTCCGTGTCCAGTTCAACTCCGCCCTCGGTCCTTACAAGGGTGGTCTCCGCTTCCACCCCACCGTCAACCTTTCTATCCTCAAGTTCTTGGGTTTCGAGCAGATCTTCAAGAATGCCTTGACTGGCCTGAGCATGGGTGGTGGTAAGGGTGGTTCTGATTTCGACCCCAAGGGCAAGTCCGACAATGAGATCCGTCGCTTCTGCGTTTCTTTCATGACTGAGCTCGCCAAGCATATCGGTGCTGACACTGATGTGCCTGCCGGTGATATCGGTGTCACTGGACGTGAGATCGGTTTCCTCTTCGGCCAGTACCGCAAGATCCGCAACCAGTGGGAGGGTGTCCTTACTGGTAAGGGTCTCACCTGGGGTGGTTCTCTGATCCGCCCTGAGGCCACCGGTTACGGTGTCGTCTACGTATGTTTCTCTTGTTCTGGTTTATCGAGAGAGTTGACACTAACATTGAATCTCAGTATGTTGAGCATATGATTCAGCACGCCACCAACGGCGCCGAGTCCTTCTCCGGCAAGCGCGTCGCTATCTCCGGTTCCGGTAACGTCGCTCAGTACGCCGCCCTCAAGGTCATCGAGCTTGGCGGTTCCGTCGTCTCCCTGAGCGACAGCCAGGGTTCCCTCATTGTTGTCAACGACTCCAGTTTCACCCCCGAGGAGATTGCTCTGATTGCCGACCTCAAGGTTGCCCGCAAGCAGCTCTCTTCCCTCGTTGCTGAGGGTCCCTTCGCCGACTCTGCCAAGTTCAAGTACATCGCTGGTGCTCGTCCCTGGAAGCACGTCGGCAAGGTTGACGTTGCCCTCCCCTCTGCTACTCAGAACGAGGTCTCCGGCGATGAAGCGCAGGCGCTGATTGACGCTGGAGCCAAGTTCATCGCTGAGGGTTCCAACATGGGCTGCACCCAGGAGGCTATTGATACCTTCGAGGCCCACCGTCAGGCGAACCCCGGCAAGGCTGCCATCTGGTACGCCCCTGGTAAGGCCGCCAACGCCGGTGGTGTCGCCGTTTCCGGTCTTGAGATGGCTCAGAACTCTGCCCGTCTCAGTTGGACCTCCGAGGAGGTTGATGCCCGACTCAAGGACATCATGCGCTCCTGCTTCAAGAACGGTCTTGAGACCGCTATTGAATACGCCACCCCTGCTGAGGGCGTTCTGCCTTCCCTGGTCACTGGTTCCAACATTGCCGGTTTCACCAAGGTTGCCGCTGCCATGAAGGATCAGGGTGACTGGTGGTAAATGTGTCGCACCGTGGACAAGATGGTGCTATGATTACGACTTTTCTTCTCCCGTTTTGTTTCAGCGCATGGATAGAGGCGCCGGTTGCTTTCCTTCTCAAAGTACATATTACATCTACAATTTTCACAATCATGATCCATGAATGTCAACCCCACGGGCTCTCGTTGATTCCTTGCCAGTGTAGCTTTCTCAGTCATGACGTACGGCAAAGATAAACATCACGAGTCGTATCATTCCCCCTGGGCAATATTTTCGTTACAAGCTTCTACTCTTGGCTTTACGAACCAAGTCCTTGGACGGGAGTAGATTCTGTATACCAAATTTCAAATCATTTATCTAGAATCTCCACATGTGGAATTAAGACCTGAATATAACTCATACTAGGGACTCTAATTCCTGGATATGGCCGCAACTAGATAGATAGAATAGCCATTAGTTCTTAATCGATATAACCTCCAGACCTGGATTGCTCCCAAGTATGTATGTGGATAGGTCAGTACATCATTCATGTCCTGTCCGTGTGCTACATGTTAAGTAGTCTGAATTACAATACACCCATATAGCACTGTTTCAAATACAGAGTAAAGAATTAAAGGTTACCTGTAAGTTACAGTGGTGAGTATTTAACATAACATAACAATCCGATACCCAGGGATTGAGACTCCGAGGCGGTGCTCAGTATTGTAATGGAAGGAGAGCCTTATGTTCAATGCCGTGGCATTACTAGCTTCCGCACTGCTACGCCAGCCAAGAACTATTAAGCAGCAATAAGCACAGACATCAACTGACCCACCCCCAGGTGTCCGCTTAGTCTTGACTCGTTTCTCGTAGCCATTGAAAATAGTAAACATACTCCGACATGGGTGGAGAGGCAACGGGTAGCCCAATGCCAAGCATGCGAAGAAGAGCTCTCTGCTTGGTTGGAAAGTCGACTCACTCAAAGGGATCTAGATGTGTCCCAAGCCTGCCTCTGTATGAACATACCAAGTCGGCATTTGTCTTCAGTAGTATATACAGGTGCCGAGCAACTTCAATGACCCTAGCGTATATGCCAATGCCACCTAGATCGCGACGCTATCAAAAAGCCATGTCATATGCGAATGCAACCTGACGCCATGCTAAATCCAAAGGAGCACAAACATTAAACAACGTATGGGTATCACGCGGCATATCCCAAGAAGAAGGATAAATACATAAAAAAAAATCACTCCGTTAATTGGACGGTTGGCAGCGGATCCAAAAGCACGCTGCGCCGTCGCGACAGCACTCCGCCCACAGACGGATTGTCCTTGGCACGTGGTACACCGCGGCTACGGCGGCGAGGATGTCGCAGATGTTCGTTAGGCACTGGGTCGACCTGTTTCTTGGCCGCCGGCACCAGGTTTAAATATACTGGGAATATGGCGCCCGCGGCAGACAGCGCAACGAGAACGCAGTACGAGTAGGGCACGCCACCCACCATTTGTGCGGCGTACTGCGCAAAGGGGAATATACCGCCCCCTCCGATGGCCATGGTCAGCAGACAGGCGGCTGTCTTCGTATGACGTCCCGTGCCCCGCAGTGCAATGGCGAAACTAATGCTGAAGACACCACTCTCAAACAGATATACAAGCTCAGCCATTGCCACCGCTTTGAGGCCAGTTGTGTGCATGCACAACGCTGCGCATACGATCATGCCAACATAGGACCATAGCAGAATCCAGCGCGGCTTGAGAAACCATTGCAATAAAGCTGCCAGAAACCGCCCCACTGCAAAGACCGTATGACCGATGGTCAGAAAATCGAATGGGCTTATGGAACCGCTGTATGCAGTTAGTAACCGAAGCAAGAGAAGGACCCAGATGAGAACTGACTTCGGATGGACTTCCTCGACGAAACGCACAAAGCTCATGGACAAGACCTCTTGTCCTGCGACGTACATGAACACTGACCATACACCGAGACCCAATGTCACCCAGACCACCGGCAAACCCACCACGTGAGCGCGATTGTCCGCACGCCGACGCTTGGCCAGCTCCTCCAGATCGCTATCTGAGGCTTCCGGGATAGGCAAATAGTAGAAAACCAAGGCGAGAATCACATCAAACAGAGCGATTCCAAGATAAGTCCACTGCACATCCACCAACGAGGATACATCGGTCACCTGCTTGAAGAGGACCTTTTTCGCGAGCAGCGGCGAGACAACACTGCCAACAGCCTGGACACCTTGCGAAATGTTGAGACGAATTTCGGAATTCTCAAGCGGACCGCATAGGGCGATGAACGGGTTGCCGGCGGTCTCAAGCACGGCTAAGCCGAATCCAACAATGAAATTAGACACTGCAAACGCTGAATAGGAAGTCAAGACAGCGGAAGGCCAGAAGATGAGGGAGCCGCAGGCGTAGATGCAGAGACCCGTGATGAATGAAGCCTTGAACCCCCATTGTTTTAGCACTGGACGTCCTATGAGTGGGGGCCCCAGCAGATAACCCCCGTAGTAAATCGCATGTAACCCGTACGACCGATATACTCCCAGGTCCAATATTTTCTTGAATTGCTCATTTAGCATATCGAGCAATCCGTAAGCGAAACCCCAAAGAAAGAATAGGATGGTCGTGAACGCAATCGGCGTAATGGACTCCTTGTTGCTCAGCTTAAGCATGTTCGCGGGCTGTTTCATATTGACAAAATCGAAAAACGTGATACTTGGCGGGTAGGAGGAATTAGTCACCGTATTTGTGCGCTGCTCCACGTCGGTCACATCAGGAGCTAATGGAGGCGGTGGAACGGCCAGGAATTCGGTGAGGTTGACGCGTGTGTCGCTGCCGGTTTGACTGCTTCGACTATCTGACTGGGTGGGTTTAGAATTGACAATATCATTGGGTGGAGCAGGTCGGTGTTCAGATTCGCGAAGCGCAATAGGTGCCAGCGCCGGCAGCGGTCGGGTGCCCGGTGAAGAGGTCTGATAACTCTCGTCAGTGTCGCGAATGAGCTTAGGTATCAGTCGGGCGACGAGCGGCTTGAGGCTGGGAACGCAGGCGCATATGATAGAGACGTTGACTTCAATAACGGACCACATAAAGGAGAATGCCGCGTACCCTGGACTGAACGTTTAGGAATGGACGGAGAGGCATCAAGGGGCACATTTGACTAACAACTCAAATCTTCACCCGGAGTGCCCTGAAGGTGGACTTCTTTGAGGGCGATCTGACGAGAGGTCGCAGCATCCTGAATGTACGCGATCCGAATGACATCGACGACGGCGACAAAGAAACCGAAACTGAAGGTAATGACAATAATGATTTTCTGCTTGCGTGGCAAGCGCATTCGCGTGAGGATTGGATTCGGTAAGCAGAGGATGGCGAGGTCGGTGATAATGTTGACAGGTGAGGAGGAAAGATAGAGGGTCAAGATATCGATGCACTTGGCGCCATCGGGCAAGGGATATGCGACCGCTGCACTGATGGGACGACACTGGAAGACATTGACCAGGGTGAGGACCAGGCCGGCGACATTGACCACAAAAAGCGTGACGTAGGTGGCCCAGCGGAATATCTTTTCGCCCTGTGTGAGGGTGAGGTAGAAGACAAGGATGGATGTTTTAATGGCCATCAAAGTAGGGTTCTAAGTTGTCAGAGGAGAGTCGGGGTGTGGG